GTCACAATGATCCGGTTTGATCTATTTCTCTTCTCAGTTAGTCTTCTTTACTTTCACATTGCTGTATCATCTTTGGGGTATCACTCCTCGACATACTCCCAATAAAAATCGAGGCAAATCAAGCCTCCCTATAACGAAAGCGGTTGAGCCCCGGATCCAGTTTGGCTGGTAGCGACATTGCGAAATCTGGGATTGGCCACGATGAACGTGAAACTTTCACACAAGGTGCTGTTGGCCAAGCCGAGCCCATTGCTCTATTAAAAACCCTGTATTTGATTGTAAAGTTTGGAGATACAGGCACCTTTATGTTTGTAAGCGTGATACTATATGACAAGTGGTCTTTGTTTAATGTAAAGTAGCTAGACTCTGGAGAGCCAAAGATGCAGAGGGTCGTGTTGTGTAACACACATACGTTTGCATGAATGAAAGGGTCAATGTATAATTACTTTATGGATCATCTAGGAACAGGCATGTATTGCTAGCTACCGGCCACTTTTATCCAGTCATCATTGTTGCGAGATCCACTGCATGGGAACGATGCCCCTGCTCCAGGCATTCATTTTCATGATTCAATTATCTTGATCCGAGCTGATTTGGCTGAACTACGGTCAAAGAGAGATTACATCAATCCATACATCAGCATACGTGCGACTGTCTCAGCTGATTAATCCTTGTTCGACCGTAACTCAACCAAATCAGCTCGGATCAACCTACTTGAATCATGGAAATGAATGTCTGGAGAAGGAGAATCGTCCACCTACAATGGAATGCACAAAAGTTGTGGATGCACAAAAGTGGCTATTAGCTGCCAATGTATGACCTGAAAATGAGGGTTGCGTACCTGTCATGCATGGTCCCTGAAGTCCAAACTTTTTAACCCAGTTACACAAACACGTCCCTCTGCATCTTTTGCTCTGCCAGGATCCAGCTACTTCACAATGAACAAAGACCACTTGTCATATAGCATCACGCACACAAACATAAAGGTGCCTGTATCTCCGAACTTTACAATGAAACGTGGGGTTTTTATTAGAGCAATGGACTCGGCTTGGCCAACAGCACCTTGTGTGAAAGTTTCACGTTCAATGTCGCAACTAGCCCAAAAAATATTTTTTGGTCGTCGTCGACGAAGAGGTCGACCCCCAGATCCAGTTTGGCTGGTGGCGACATTGCGAAATCTGGGATTGGCAAGCTTGATCGTGAAACTGGCACCCAAGGTGCAGTTGGCCAAGCCGAGCCCATTGCTCTAATAAAAACCCCACGTTTCATTGTAAAGTTCGGAGATACAGGCACCTTTATGTTTGTAAGCGTGATGCTATATGAGAAGTGGTCTCTGTTCATTGCCAATTAGCTAGATCCGGACAGAGCCAAAGATGCAGAGGGGCGTACTTGTGTAACACAGCCTATCATGCAGAAGTGGGAGGATCAATGGATGATACGGTATACGCTATTCAGTAACAGCTCATGCATTGACAGATAACAGCCAATTCCTTCCAATCAACATTGTTGCGAAATCCACTGTATGGGAACGATGCTCCTACTCCACATATTTACGTCCATGTTCACGCTTACAGCATATGTAAAACACAAAGGCACTTGTATCTCTGAATCCTACGATCAAACGTTGGGGGTCTTTATAGAACAAGGTTGCTCAGTGGGGTCGAAGAAAGCTTGTGTGAACAAGTCTTCCCAAGATTTCGAATCATGCTTTGAATCCATTTCTATTACTGCAGGGGTTTCTTCATGTAGATTCAACCACCCCAACTACTAGGCATCCACAGCTCCATCATAGGCAGTTTGCTATTCTTTAATTCCAGCTTTTAGTTGACTACCCAATTTATTGCATACTAGCATGCGTTAATAGCCCATAAAGTAAATTCACATCATATCATCAGAATCTATACAAGTCGTTTTGGGGGAAAGCGTATTAAGTGATCATGCACTAAGAAGTAGTTGTTTGCAGATTGCCGCTTCTCAATTCCTTTCTGACGGCCATAGCAGGAAGGGGGGTTGATGGTAACATACCACAATAACCGCATCCACACCATAGTTGCGTTGTGCCACTGAATTTTCTACTACATTATTGTTTGAGAACACCATGAGTGAAAACGGAGCAACCTATAGATTCCTTGACAACATTGACCACCATACGTGGGGCTGGAAGATCTATTTAGCTAATGAGTTCATATGGAAGTTTTACCATCATCATTTCACGCATCCAAATGCTACTCGCTTCTGCTGTGAAAGGCTTGGTCTTTCATCTTGCATCAAATGCCCAAATCATGTCATACCACACCATAAGCTCAAGCATCCCATACATAGCGCTGAAAGAGATAGCCGTTATGTTATCCACAATACAACTTTAATTGGGTGGGGCTGGCGATGTTGGGTAAGCCATGTTGTAGAGTAATGGCGTTGATCGCACGTTACTTGGATTCGTTGTTTTACCAAAATGGGAAATCAAGCTGTGTAATTCATTCTTATCTCTCTCTTTCACTTGTCTCCTCCACTTTGTTCAACCCCCCAACAATATCCATGGCACCCAACACCTCAAGAGAGATATCTTTCGAAGACTACAAGCTACCCCCTGTTGGTCATGCGGTTTCTGGTGCAGTTGGCTCCACCATTGCCAACCTGTTCATTTATCCACTTGACATGTAAGACCAAGAGATCAAACAGTACACGTTGCAATGCATAACTCATTCGCGTTCCTCGTAATCAGATCAACCACCCGGCTACAGCTTGATAATAGACAACAGAAACGGGGCATACTTGATATGATGATCAGCATATATCAAAAGGAAGGTGGTCTTCAGGCGCTTTATGCAGGATTGGGAGCCGACACTCTTGCTACTGTCCTTTCGAGCTTTGTGTACTTTTACTGCTACTCGGCACTTCGCAACATACAAGAAAAGCTCAACACCAATATGGGTAAACGCGCACAGCTCAATGTCGCCCAAGAGCTTTTCCTTGGCGCTGAAGCAGCATTGATCTCGCGATTCTTCACCACGCCTGTATCCAATGTCACCACCCGTTTACAAACAGCTGGCAAGGACAACAAAAAGAGCTTCGTTGAGATTGCTCAAGATATCTACCGAGAAAAGGGTATTCGTGGCTTTTGGACTGGTAAGGAGATAAAGGATGAGCATGGATGGACTTGCATGAAATTGACATCATCGATTTCGGTAGGTTATCGGGCATCCATGTTACTTGTATCGAACCCTTCTATCACCTACTTTGTGTTTGAAAAGGTGAAAGCCTTCTATTTGACCATGTACCACAAGACTGCTCTCAGTTCCTTGGAGGTGTTTCTCGTATCCGCATTGGCTAAAACCGTAGCAACCATGGTCACCTATCCTTTCATCTTTGTTCGCACAAGCATGGTAGCAGAGGATCCCAAAGGTAAAGGGAAAGCAGCCGATAATGGAGGAGATATGGGTAAACAACAAGGGATGCTTGGCCTTATGAAACATGTGATTCATCGGGATGGTCCACGCGGTCTATACAAGGTGTGTTATGTGCATGCTTTCGAAAATTTTCACGTGTCACTGATGTCATATTTCAAATAGGGTATGCAAGCACAGATCACGAAAGGATTTTTCAATCAAGGGATCATGTACATGATAAAAGATCGAGTAGCGACCTATCTCACCCTTTTGTTTTACACATCCATGCTTATCAGACGGCGGAAAGTCAGCAGCTAGAATACATCATTTACTTTTGTTGTCACTATAACCCAATTAAATGTGCTTCTCCGCAAGAGTTGTTGTCTGGGATGGGAAATCCATGGGCTGGTTATGGTTTTAGTGAAGGAAAGGAAAATGCATGAGCATTGATTCGAAGTTTGTGACGATACCAAAATCACTTCCGCTCATTGTATTATGATACATCGTTGGTTATGATTGTTTGGCGGCAATAGATACGACTAATTGCATTGATCATTTGCATGTAATACAAAAGCATGATGCATATACTGATATTATTACTGTATTTGAGGAATGGAAGCAGTGAAAGAAATCAAATGGTCTTAACAACGATTCATCCTATACTACATATACATTACATGGTGGTCTAAAATAAGTTATTTACATCTGTGCAGAACCGACCCATCCATTGATTAAACTGCAATCCAGGCTCGAGATCAGTGTAAACAGGTAAACGCCCAAGCCAAGACATGTCTTGCAATCCAAAGTCCCAGCCATTGGTTTGTTCTTGTGTTACCGTTGCAGGATCAGATTGATTGATTGTCAACTCATTTTCACGTCGTATGGTGTCATTAGATTCAGTTGTTGTGGTGATGTTTCCAGGCAAGGTTCCCAGTATTTGAATACTTGACATCCCCTTGTTGGCTTGATCTATGTCTCCAATACTTAACGCTTCTCTTTCATTGAAGTCCAATTGATGCTTACCATCATCAGGGCTCTGAAAAGCCATCTTGTCCAATTCACTTAAAGATTGATAGCAGCATTGCGCTGATCCGCTGTATGATTGATATTGGGAAAGGCACTCGAGACATCTTGTCCAGCTTTTGATTAGGTGATCTTCACCAATCGCTTGCTTGATTGTGGGGAACAACCTTGCCATCAACAGCACTGTAGCTGAGGTGTACAGATCTAGTAGACAATTGTTAAGAACACATTCCCTAAATACAATCCATATAGCTTACAAAACATGTTGTACCACCATGCTGGTAATAGTTCGCGTATGTTACGATGGATCACATCAACGAGTTCTTGAGCTGCATTGACACACGTTGTTGAACTTTGCAAAAAGAGCGACTTTTGCAAGCCACTATCATCTCCCGAATGATTCGATTCTTCGGATGCAAAAAAGTATGCAAATACAGGCCGATACAGCAAGATGCATGTGTGTAGATATCTAACAACTTCAATCAGCATACGTGTAAGTTTAGTGGATATCCATTGTCAACAATTACCTTGCTCGTAATACGTTGTTTTGTCGTATCAAAATGCGGTCATGTATGATGTCAGGGTTTAGTGAGCCGTAGATCGCATCCTTGGTATAGGTCCTTAATCGAAGAAACCATGGAAGAGCCCGCTCCCATGATTGTAATGCCATTTCAAACTTTATCACACCATTCAGATTAGCTGCTCGATCTATGATGAAAAGCACATGTTAACAAAAAACCTGACAATGCGATGCTGCCACTTACCAGAAGCACTTCCTTCTCCTGAAGAGCGTTTTGTACTATTTGAGTACAATGTTGTCAAGATTTCACCCATGATCTCATATAGTTCCAACGTATGTACAAAAAAGGACATGTGGCTCGGCTTGTCGTGAGGCTGTTCGGCTGGCGTATCCGGATAAGAAGTGAGAAGTTCATCATCGATCACTTGAGGAAGGTTGAGATCTTGGGTAACTGGTATCATGAAAGGTCGTCCATAAGCCATGGAGATGACTCTGAAATAAATTGGGAATTAGCGAATCTCCTGGCATAGATGCAAGCTATTATGTACCTATCAAGAACGATGCATCCACCCCAAAGACGCTTTCGCATTTGTGATTCAAGTTGTTGTGAATGACCTCGACTCGTTCCACGATCGCATTCATGCAGGTCTCGGTGTAACCCCAATCCTTGAGCAACACGTGTTGCTAGTCCCACCACAATCCAACATCGTGCTGGCATCTTTGTGCATTGAAGGTATTGACCCATGAGTAATAGTGCTTGAACAACCTTCATGTTTCCTTCGTCCAGGATGTCAAAATGAAGCAATTTCTTGGATCGTTGAAAGAATACATCAGCTGAAGATTCACGTTCCGTTTCACCGATTTCAGGAGAGAGTTGACATCCCAATGCAAATACAAGGTTGAGAATACATTGAAATAGTGGATCCGATTCCGATTCATATTCAAAGCCAGTGTCTCGATCGGATACACCTAGTCGCTATTCATTAATCAAATTGCCATCAGCCAATATCATCATTGGGCGTCTTACCATCTTCGGAACATTCCCACAGCCTTGAATACGTTCTCATGAATGACGGCTTATGTAAAAAGGGATAAAGCGTATGAACGTATGTCCAATAGCTCTTGACCAAGCTGTCGGCGACTTTACGTGGTGGCAAAACGTAATCGTGACATATAGAATAGCTTCTTGCAGGTGCATGATTCCCGGCGCCATCGGCTGAAGATGTATTGCGAGATGATTTGGAGCTTAATGAATACTGCCTGGAATGTCGTCGATGTTGTTCATGATGATCGTCAGGCGAGGATGTCGTCTTTTTATCAATCACTTCACGTACTTGTCGCATGAAGCTCATTGCACTTGATGAGCCGAAGTATCCTTGTCGATTCCCATCTCCATCATTATTGTCGCTTCTTTCAAAAGAGCCTGTGAAGGCACCCATTGCATCCACTTCAGGTGTATCTCGTAATAAAGATTGTGATTGTGGTGGTGAAGGTGCTGTCACTGATGGTGAATTCCATTGTTCGCTTGTATAGCTGCCACGGACATTACTTTCTGGTGCACTATTGCGTATAGTAGGATTCAAATCATTGGGCAAGGAGGTTGCTGGATGAAGTGTGATGCTGCCATCAAGTAAGATATCCTGATGTGAAGTAGAATCAGGTGGCATTGATGATGTTTGCTGCTCATGTTGTGTGGGCGTGGGTGGTAGCGGGGTTGGTGGGTTGCTTGGAGACGTCAAATTGTTGATGGAGAGACTAGGATTCTAAATCGTCGTCATGTGAGCTTATGCATAAACCAAGTAATTCAATACAAACCTTCTCAACCGAAAGAGATCCACCCTTATCTTGTCTCATTGCATTTTCCAATTCTCGAACCTTGTTCTCTAGTAATTGAACATACCTAAATCTTGTGTCAATCATCGTTTGACTATATACATAAATCGTTGTTCATCTTCTTACTGGCTTTTGACACCTCGTCTTGCACGTTCAGGCTCATATACACAAGTCCCTTCAGGCTTTTTCTTTTTGAGGCATGGACCACAAGTTGGACGAGCACCATCACATTTGATCTTCCTATCACGGCATTCTTGACAAGCGAGTGAGACCTTTTGTCGCTTAGTAGGTCGGCTCTTGTTGGGTGACGAGGATGGTTGTTGTGGTTGTTGTAGTTGCTGTGGAGGTGGTGGAGGAAGAGTAGAAGGAGATTCGACTTGGGATGTTGGAGACTGATAATCGGGAGTCTGTGCTGGTAACATTGGAGGTAGCGGACGAATGGGTTGCATTGCAATGCGAGGTGTTGAAGGATCCATGGGAAGAATCGAGTTCCTTAAGTTTTGTCAAGGGAAAAAGCGGGGTAAAGGCTAGTGTTGATCAACATCTCCAAAGGAAATCAGCGCTGTGTGAGAAGCATTTCAAGTGTAACCCATCCCAATAACATCAATGCATTATCATAAATGGATTAATGCTTGACAATAGTCAATAAGGTATATGCATCATCGCCATCAACATCATCCTTTATTGTCTAATTCCTGGGTATTCAAAGGACTCAATGAAATGTGGGGTGCTGGAACAGCGACTGGCATTGAATAATGCTTGGCGGGCAGACTTTCCGTAGTTACACACAGCGTTTCATTCAACGGTTAAACCCATTTCATCCTTCTTTCTCTTCGTAATATGTAGAATGTTTTAGCCGTACCATAATAGCATCTTCATTATTATATAAACTACATGGTTTAAGTGTTACTTTTCAGCCTGTGGTGCTCAAACATCATCTACATTGTTCTCAAATCCACGTATCGTTAGTTTAGCTGTCGCATCATCTCTTTTCTCGGTACAGCCCATATATGATTGCGAATGAGCATTCGATATCATCATGATCATGGTAAATGATTTGTATTGGATAGCATCCTGGTTCTTTGTGGGGTTCAAGTGCTTGAATTATAACCATGAGACCATTTCATTGTCTCGAAACTTACAAACTCTCCGGGAAAATATCCCATTGGCAGAGAGCTATTTATCCAGCATGGTGGTGGGTGGTGGATGCAAAGAGATTCAAAGATGCTCATCATCTCACATATTCAATAGCCAGATTGAAGAGCGCATATACCAACAACAGGCCCATTGTTCCACCAACAATACCTATTCGAATACCCCCATCATGTCCAATGCATCCTATATAGATTCCAAATGTTGTCACGCAAACACAATAGCATGGCGGAAAATGATGAAATTATTTTATACTGATTGGATAGTTGGATCAAGCGGTCAATTCGCTAGGATTTCTAACATAATATTCTACACGGTCGAGGAAAGTGGCTGCCTTTTGGTCATTCAAGATCTTGCCAGGGACGCTGTCTTGCAACTTGATTTCAACTTGGTGGGAAACCTTTGGTTGTGCACTGAAATCAATTTGAGCGTTCTTTGTTGTTAAACCAATTGCTCGTGGAGCCTCCTTCTTTGGTGCCTCTCCACCAAGGAAACCAATAAGATCAACCATCTCTTCGTCCTGCGATTTGGGTGCTTGTCCGCTTTCAACACGTTGGCTAGCGCTCACATTCAATTCGTAAGGCTTGGAGGTTTCGTAGGAATCAGTAATGAAGTCGTAAGTAGGAGGGGACAAGTGGAAGATCCTGCAAATAAAAAATGTAAGCCCAATGATATCTTTAAAGTTATCTCACTTGCCACAATACTTACTTGAAGGATCCACCCTTATAGGCATCTGAGAAGGAGGAAGCATCGGTGTTGTACACAATACCCTTTGAGGGGGAGGAAGAGACCTTGGGAGAGCTAACGACATCTTGAAGAGCACGAGTTGCTGCCTTGGCAATAAAGTCGTTTACGCTGACATTGGTACGGTTTGATTCTAATACGCTGTTAGTGACCTATTCATGATCCTCGTTCAACATATATATATACATACCATTCAAAGCACGACGCAATGCCAACAAATCATCCACTGCCACAGTCTTGCTGATGAAGTTAGGAAGAGGCTTTTCTTCCTTGGGGGCAGCAGCACCCTCCTTGGCTGCAGGCTAAAAATTGTTGTCAGCACTTTTATACACACATGTTCCGTATAACACATACCTTGGCGAACACAATTTCTTCTCTGGGAGGAGCAATGGAAGTTCTGAAAGGAGGAGCAGGTTTGTACGGAATCAATCCAAGATGAGCAAGGACATCACCCTTCAAGATACGACCACCGGGACCGGATGCTTTGATGGCGCCAAGATCTTTGATGTGATGCTTAAGTACAAGCGAGATAACAGCAGGAGAAAGTGGCTTCTTCAATTTGCTGGTATCGAGTTCATGATGATCCATGGGGGTTGATGGTGTAGGTGGTACTGCTGCTGCTGCTGCTGGCTTGGGCTCTTCAGCTGTAATGAACAATGATGCGATCGGCGACAATCGTATCAGTCTATGCCCCATTCATCATCTCCCTCCCCAAAAAAAGAAATTCATCTACACTTACCCTTTGGTTGTTCAGGAGCGGATGATGACTCTTCAGCAGGCATTTCAACATTCGAGATATCGTCACCTTCCTCGGCCAAAAGTGCAATGGGTTGATTGACAGCAGCCTTCTCGCCATCTTTCAACTAGTTGCCAAATAGTGTCAATACAACGTTGTGTCACATCCAAGATCTTTTTGATAACCTACAATGATCTTTGCAAGAATACCATCCTCAGGAGCGTCGACATCAATTTGAGCTTTATCGGTTTCGAGTTCGAGAAGGATATCACCAGCAGAGAAGCTTTCACCTGTAATTGTGTGTGTGTGTGTCACATCAAATTTCCCCCATCAATAAAGATATCCACATCGAATCTTATCATTGTTGCTATGCTTGCCTTCTTTGACTTTCCATTGGTGAATAGTGCCCTCAGTCATTGTGGGACTCATGGCAGGCATGTTGAAACGGCTGATGGCTGCACGCGAAGCGGCCGAGTGAAAGCCTGCATAAAACAAAACAGGGTTCAGCATTACTGTCATTGCGCGTCTAATGGTGGTGGTGGGTGGGTGTTGTTGTTTACCAGCGGCACATGTTTTGGTAGAAGGCAAGCGTGCAATGAACCGATGCATGGTGGTGGTGGTGTGTGTAGGGATGTGTTCAACAAGCGACCAAAGAAAAAACGACGGGAATTGCTTGCAAAATGACGGGAGGAGGTTATTCGTGACGGCTTCAACCGGGTCAACCCGGGCATCGCCGACAACCACCTCAGCTATATTTGGCTTTGATAGTTGCTATGCTTCTACCCCCCAGCTACATGATTGTTGGCTGCCACAAGATTAAACTTTACCTGCTCACTTGTCATATAAAATCCCATCAATAAATCAAGTTGAACTTCATCCACTCCTCTCAACTTGCTCTGTTATCAAAGTAAAGTGTATGGATGTACTGGGAAGAAGAGCTTTTGATAACCCCAACATGCATGGTAGTATATTACTCGTAATATCTTTCGGAATGCTGCATGAAAAGGCCTATCTGCATCATACATCATCTGCTTAGCTGAGTATACCACATCCATAGTCGATTGACACCATTCAAAAATGAGTTGCCCGAAATAAATATCTACTTCTTGTGCTGATGACTCGCTCGGTAGCTCTGTTAGCCAAATAGGCTCCTTGACCACAAAACAGAGAACCCAATTTTTGGTCTTGTATCTGCTACTTGAATATGTGTACGCGCTCGTAATACTAATTTTCAGAGGAGACCATAAGTGATCCTTTGCGAAGCTTCACCAAGGTCGACCCGATCCTTCTAGGGCTGATCTCGCGGATGCTTGCACAGTAGACCATCAATTCTTTATTCTAATGCACATACTACTCCCCCCCTAGAAGGATGACATACGATGCTTGACATAAGATCGATCCATGCAATACGTTGAGCTATAGCTTGAAGTCTATAATCGCATGTACTGTCCTTGAGCATTGAAGTAAAACGCGCAATACTTAAGAAAATGCCATCAGCCGCTTCCAAGATACATCCAAGTTGAAAAAGCAGCTTATCGTTAATTTCCATGCTGTAGGTTTACTCTCATTGTTGTTTACCATAATGATATGACAAAGGTAAGGATGCTATCATTATTATGATCACATCTTTATTTCTATGCTTTACATGTACGTCTAAGAAGATGCATGTACAGTGCCCAGCAACCAATGAGCATAGTCGTGCGCTAATTCAACACTCAATAGCATGGTTTCACGAACTGCATTAAAGCAAGCTTCTGGATGCATGTATCTAATAACATGAATGTGTGTGTAAAAGTATCCCGTATCCATGATGTTGCTTACGATAAGATCCAAGGGTGAACAACGGAAGCATTACCAAGCAACTTGAATAGCCAATCACGTTTCGCTTTCTGAAATGGATAACGAGTGCGTGCGCTTGATACACCAAGCCCGCCAAGCTCCCTCCCTCTTCCCAAGAAGACCTTCATCTTTGTTACGACATCTTTTTGTCCTTCTTCACTTGCTCTCTTATACCTCAACGTCGTTTGCATAAGCTTCTCTTCGAGCATGGCTGGGCCAATTGTAGAGTTCATTGGTAAATGGAATATGAGGAGGGGTCAAAGTGAATTGGGCACGCTTCTCACACTCATGTGCCGGAATGTTCTATTTACGACTTGACAGAGGAAGCATGCAGCGTTGCACGCTACGAACCAGACCTCGCTTTGAACCTCGAGATTTGTGAAATGATCAACAAGAAGCAGGGAAACGCGTAAGTCATCTCTGTACTTGCCGTCTTGCCGTTGGGTAAGCACTTGCTCACGTGCCACTCTCACACGTACCATAGCCCTCGAGAAGCCGCCACGGCCATTGTACGCCTGGTCAACAGCCGAAATTTGAATCAATCCATGCTTGCACTTACGGTATGTAATGAACGAGATTTGATTGTGAGCTATGTCTAACTGAATAGTCATTCAGCTGCTGGATAATTGTGTCAAAAACTGCGGATATCCTTTCCATTTACAAGTTGCCACGAAGGAATTCTTGAATGAGCTCGTACGCAAGTTCCCTGAACGTCCTGCGGTAAATATTACATTCGAGATTGAAAACCATTGAATGCTTACATTGCTTCCTTTCATAGCCCTTCCCTAACCCTGCCATTCAACGTATTCTATACATGATCAAAGAGTGGAAGGTGGCTCTTGCAGATATGTCACGACACAAAGACGACTTAATCCATATCAAAGACATGTATCGTTTGTTGCGATTTAAAGGTATGAAAACAGCTTGATGGGAGAGCTACAAAGCGTGTATACTGAACCATATTCTTGGCTAGGCTATCGATTCCCAGAACTCAAAGATGCTTCAGTTGCGGCATTGGCACCTTCACAATCACTCAAATCAGCAGAAGAACTTGAGGAAGAGGATCGTGTAGCACAATCAGCGGTAAGGAACATTGGATACTTGTGATAATGCTTTGCTTTACTCATGATGGTGTATCAGAAATTGCAAGAATTGATTCGTCGAGGACGACCACAGGATTTGGTGGAAGCCAATCAGCTCATGAAAGTGATGACAGGCTATGTAAGTATCGAAGAGGAGGAGATCATCGTATATAAAAGGGCTGTTCATTCATTTATAATCGATTGACAGGATCAACGACAAAAGCCAAACTATCAGCAGAAATTTGAGGAGGAGCTGCACAAGATTCAAGAAAAGGTCATTTTGCTATACGAGATGCTTGAAAACGTCAAACCTGGAGAGCAAATCAATCGCAACGAGACCCTAGTTGAACTGAGGAATTCAAGTGCTGGTGCACAACCCAAGATCCAAAAGATGATCCAAGAAGAGGAGGATACTGAAAAGATTGGTAAGGCTCATTATGGTGAATGTTCGTTCGTATCCATTGATATTGATGGACCATGGTAGAGAATTTGCTTACATTGAACGACATGATCAACAATTCAATGGCCAAGTTTGCTGATATACAAAAGGGAATTTACGACACGCAATATGAGATCAGCGGTAAACCTCCAAAGCAGACCGATGAAGCAGAAGCACCTCGTCAGGCTATCAGTTTGATCGATTTGGATGATGAACCTTCGACCGGTCAACAAGCCCCTGCAAGCACTACATCCAAAGGAAACGTCCTTGATGAGCTCAGCGACATTTTTGGACAAAGTGCATCAATATCCCCACCTCAGCAACAACAACAACAACAACAACAACCAGCTCAGCAACAATCGCTCGATCCGCTTGCCTTCCTATCCTCGAATCCACCTGCTACCTCATCGTCACCATCACCTTTTGGCTTGCAGGCTTTGCCACCACCTCCTGCAGTTTCGCCAACTCTATCTTCATCATCTTTGGGTACACCAAGTGCCTCTGGAAGCATTCGTGAGCAACCATTCAACACGAGCCAAGAGAACGTAGCAGACAATGCTAGCAGCAACGCGATTAAACATGAGCCTAGTAAGTATAAAGAGCATACAAAAGATGGTTCTTTGTATTCATTGTCTTTTTCTTTCTAGTTGAATTGACCAATAAGAATGGCTTGCAAATCACTTTGGATATTGTGCAACTCGACACCATTTGGCGAATGAAGGCTTACTTTTCCAACCAATCTACAGCACCTATGGAGAATATGATGTTGCGATTGGCAGCACCAAGGGTAAGTAATAATGGAAGTTTGGTTTCGTTCTATTTCCTCACCGGATGCTGTTATAGTCGATGCAACTGAAGATGGAAGCTCAATCCTCGGATATGGTACCTCCAAAGTCAACCAAGTCAGTGATGCAAAACATTATCCTGAGTAACCCAAACAAGGTAAAAGAGAAGCTGAGTGCTGAGTGGGCAACGAATGGTTTATTAAATGGGAAGAACACTAGGAACCTCTACGATTGCGGTACAAGGTCACTTACCAACAATTTGGTGTGGATATGGAGCAATCAGGAGATTATCACGCCTGATAGAAATCAATAAATGGCTGTTGTAGATTAGGGACTTTGTGCTTTTCATTTCTCTTTCATATCACGTAGCCCAAAAGTAGCTTTAGTAGCAAACCATCATAGTGTAGATGTCGCATTTATGCATTGGGTACTCTATGCATCCGATCAAGAAGCCGTAATGGATTCCTCTACCATCACCACGCTGCTTGCTTTCCTACGGCAAGAAATGCATGTTGATGTTGAAACAAAATACAGCTTTTTTCATTTGTTGACAATCTCCTACACAAGGTTTCCCTAAAGTGACGTCTACATAATGTTCATCGGTTAACAATGTCGTTCTTTTATTACGCACGTGTAATCCCTGTAATAAGACGAGCGAGTCAGCTACTTTTTCGCTCCTTGTCTGTGAGAGATTAAATAGTAGAAAAGCCTATATCCCCGCATCGGCCTCTGATCATCACCATCGTTGGTTAGCTTTGAAATAAAGACTGCAGCAAATGGAGATGAAAACGGGAAAGCATTCAACGGACAAATAGGGGGTAAATGCTGTTGATTGACCTTGTCGACTTTTTACTATGAAGAGCCATATGCAGCACACGCATGCTATCATCATCGTAATCTATTCCTCGGATTGTGATAAAATGCAGGCATCTTTCCGAAAGCGTTGCTATCGGCAATGTGGGACAAAGCTTAGCAGCTTGTGCTTTTTTGGCTCTTTGCCGCCACAACTTGGCTTTATTTTATTTTAGGGCTGGTGTGACGGGAAGATGACAACATAGCAACGCAATCCCGTTCATCATCTCCCTGCTTACATCAGACTACATGCCTTGATGTGGATGAAAAAAGTAGGCCCTTTTAGTCTGAATATTGCGCATACAGTAATGCACGTGGTGTAGGTGGATAGTATAACCAATGTCTTTTGGTTTATGCCTTTCAGACGTAAATTTTGCATTGAATCGGAGCCCAAGTGCACGTATCGGCTCAACTGATGTCATGGTTACTAAATGGGTATTGGTTGCTACCCAACCCTAAAAGCCGGGCTACACAACGACGACATGACGATGACACAGGCTCATTATATAAAAGCATCAGCCATACAAAAGTTTCTTTTTCTTCTTCCACACTCTTCACATACACACCCAAACACATGTTTGATCAATTAAAAAACCTCATTCGTAATGGACGTCGTGCGTCACAGTCGTCATCAACAGAACGCAAGGTGCAACAGCAACAACTAGGCCCTGATCGATTGGAAGCTGTCGAGCGTCTCATAAAAGAAAGAAAAGCTACCAACAATGAAAAAACCAACAATGGGTCGCCTCATGAACATATCCAGCAACGATACCAACTATCCGACAAATTGGGCGAGTGAGTGTCCTTTTCTTGGAAGCAAGAATAGTTTTTGTGTACTGACCTTGTGCACACGCGTGTTTGTATTTGTGTATGTGCCTTCATTAGTGGTGCGTTTTCCAATGTTTACAAGGCAATGGATCGTGAAACCCAAGAGTGGGTAGCTATCAAGATTGTGCGCAAATTTGAATTGAGCCCTCACCAAGTAAGCAAACGAATGCGTTTGGTATACGTATATACATGGATGACTTATCTTTCGTTGTAGCGAGCCAATGTCCTTAAAGAAGTTCAAATCATGCGTACTGCACGTCATCCAACCGTGGTGCAGCTAAAGAGCTTTATGGAAACAAAAGAGGTAAAGTAACATGCATCACACGTAAAGAGAATGAAATTAAGCTTAACTATGGATTGCATCTGTAACAGCACTATTATTTGGTCATGGAATTCTGTGAGGGTGGTGAATTGTTTCATCAAATTGTACGCCTTACCTACTTTAGCGAAGACCTTGCTCGACATTGCATTCGTCAGGTAGCTGAAGGTATCCGATACTTGCATGAAGAGCGAGGCGTAGTACATCGGTAAGCGTTGTAATTTAAAATCAAGTTTACCTTTTATTGATGCGTATCCTATAGCGATATCAAACCCGAGAACTTGTTGTTTGAGCCAATTCCACATGTACCTCGAGTCAGCACACCACAACCATTATACCCTGGTGACGAAGATAAGGTGGACGAGGGCGAATTCATTGAAGGCGTGGGCGCGGGTACTATCGGACGAGTAAAAATCGCCGACTTTGGCTTAAGCAAAGTTGTATGGGATCAACAGACCAAAACACCATGCGGCACGGTTGGCTACACAGCACCTGAAATCGTTAAGGATGAACGATATTCCAAGTCGGTGGACATGTGGGCACTTGGATGTGTGCTATACACATTCCTTTGTGGCTTCCCACCGTTTTTCGATGAAAGCATTCCCGTTTTGACAGAAAAGGTTGCACGTGGTCAATACACTTTTCTCAGCCCATGGTGGGATCCTATTTCTGAACAAGCCAAGGATCTGGTACGAAACCTTCTTTGCATCGATCCAAAACAACGATACACCATTGATCAATTCCTCAATCATCCATGGATACTCAACGTATGTGATTGCTATGATACCTATCTCAATTTGGCACTAACTTTTGTTTGTATCATGTAGAAAAATGTGGTTACACCTGCTGTTGAGCGTGTGCAGACACCTCTTCTTAGCCCAGCTCCAGGTACACCCGATTTTAGACGCGATGTAGGCTTGTCATCAATGAAGCAAGTCTTTGATGTATCATACGCCGTCCATCGTATGGCTGAAGAACGCACACCTCGTCGCAAGGATCGTCGTCGTCAACTTATGGAAGATGAAAGTGACGGTATGAATGCCTCGAATCCTCGATGTGCATACGAAGATATGGCACAACACAGCAAAATGGCATCATCCGAAATGCCTAGCAACTCAATTCGATTCCAAAAGACAAAGCCTGTATTTGAGCTCAACATGGACAATGCAACCCTGCTGGGTCGACGAAAGAACCAACAAGAGGTTGAATGTTAAGCAAATAGCATTTAGAAAACTCTCCTTCTCATCCTTTATGTATATAATGAACCCCACCACACATATTGTACATTCATCACTTTTATATATTTTTCGAATCCACCATCATTCATATGTGTTCTCTTTGTCTTTAAAGAATGTCTGTTTCACAAGCCACTAGTCCCAGCTCCTTTGTCTCCTCCTTCAGTTCCTTATGAAGAACAAGTCAGTCGCCCCGAGCTCCAATTGGAAACAGCTTCTCAATGCTGGGGTAAGGATTCATAACAGCAACCGATCCATGGTAGAGGACTCGTATTCAACCTTTCTATAGGCAGTGCAGCAAACGAAGAAGCGTAAATCCAACAACGACAATGCACAGCATCGATCGAAGCGATCCAAAAAGACATCGTGAGTATAATACAATGCCAAAAGTGAGTAGCTTATTGACCAATGCTTTATTCTCATTTGTTATCTAGCGAGAAGTCTAGTGAAAAGTCTAGCGCACAGCAGCCAACAAAGAAGCAAGTCAATAAGGAGGAGCTATGGTTCGGCGAGGATATCGACGATGAATCATTCGCAAAGGCGTATGGTGTCACAAAGACGAAGACGGTGGATGGCACTCAGATGACCAAGGCGACACTGAAAGAAGCTATGGTGAAGCAGATGAATTCTGTTGAAGGCGACAAAGCAAAGTATGTTATATTCAATCATGGGATCATGCAAGTAAATGCTCATCGACATGTGTATTTGTGTAGAATGGGCAAGTTTGTGGCGATCGATTGTGAAATGGTGGGTGTCGGTGAAGGCGGCATTGCATCTGCACTAGCACGTGTGAGTTTGGTCAATTATCATGGTGCGGTGCTATTGGATACGTATGTCAAGCCTATGGAACGAGTGACGGATTATCGTACCTTTGTGAGTGGTATCGAACCAAAACATCTCAAAGATGGTAAGAATGGGAACACACGTTGAAAGGAAAAGGATTGGTCTAACATGTCCTTCTTTAGCTATAACGTTCCAAGAAGCACAAAAATTGGTGAACGACATTATCAAAGATCGAATCCTTGTTGGTCATGCCGTGTACAACGATTTGGAAGTACTTATGCTTCCCCATCCCAAGCTCATGATTCGTGATACTTCTCGATACAAGCCTTTCAAGGAACTTGCCAAGGGAAGGACGCCTGGTCTTCGAATGCTTGTTGAAAAGGTGTTGAATATCGATATCCAAAAGGGCAGCCATTCTTCCGTTGAAGACGCTCGATTTACGATGATGTTGTATCGCAAAGTGAAGGACGATTGGGAAAAGCACCTTGGATCACGCATTGGTCTCAAGATGAAGGCTATGGCAAAGAAATTGGAAAAGAAGGATGCGAAGCGCAGCAAGAAATAGTAACAACATACCCCTCATTCCTACCAAACACACAATAGCAATAACAATCCACTGGCATCATTCCTCCTCTGAATTACAATCATTATTCATCCTTGTTTATAAAAAAGACATTCATCATCTGCTCCTTCATCGAAAGATGGTTACATATCATGAGCTTTGTGAAAGTTTTCGCCTGCATATAAAGAGCTACCACCAAGCTGTTCTTCAATGCGTAACATTTGATTGTATTTAGCGAGACGCTCTGAGCGACAAGGAGCACCTGTCTTAATATGCCCTGTGCGTAGACCAACAACGAGATCACCAATGGTAGTATCTTCTGTTTCACCCGAGCGATGAGAAACCATGACACCCCATCCTGCATTTTGGGCATCCTTGGCAGCTTGAATGCTTTCAGTGAGCGAACCAATTTGATTCACCTTGAGGAGCAAGGCATTACATGCCTTCTTTTCAATAGCAGTGGCAATACGTTCGGGATTGGTGACTAATAAATCATCACCAACCAGTTCTTGTTTACATGTCGATTCGAATTGAGTCCAATTGTCCCAATCATCTTGATCAAAAGGGTCTTCAAACAAAACGATGGGGTACTTTTCGGCGTATGACTTGTATAGATCACCTAGCTGTTTACCGGTGAGATGTGATGATGGATCCGATTTGGGGTTCTTGAAATCCAAGTCGTATTTGCCATCTTTGAAGAATTCGGATGCAGCCGCATCCATGCCGATCTTGATCTTGCCTGTGTAACCAGCCTTGTCAATAGCAGTAACCAGCAAATCAAGGCCCTCTTTGGCATCTTGGATATTAGGAGCAAACCCGCCTTCATCACCAACATTGGTAGCATCTTGGCCATATTGACTCTTTATCACGTTCTTGAGATGGTGATAGGTTTCGGTCCCCATTTTCATCGCTTCCGTAAACGACTTTGCACCCGTGGGCATGATCATAAATTCTTGCATTGCCAGCTTATTGCCTGCATGTTCTCCACCATTGATCACATTAAAAGCGGGTACAGGCATCACAAATGGCTTTTTGGATCCTGCAAGATCAGCCAAATGTACATACAATGGGACATTCTTTTCACCTGCACCTGCTTTGGCAACCGCAAGTGACACGCCCAAAATGGCATTTGCACCTAGCTTGCTTTTATTTTTGGTGCCATCAAGTTTGATCATCATTTCATCCACCGCCTTTTGATCAACCACCGAAAGTTTGGATTCAATCAATGCGGGCCCAATGATCTTGTTGACGTTCTCCACAGCTTTCAAGACACCTAATAATAACGTATGTGAGGATGATGACGCCAATGTTGGAGTTCCGAAGATGTCAAAAACGTCAACGAACCCTTGCCCATATAATCGGCTTTGATACCATCACGAAGTTCAAGCGCTTCGTGGACTCCTGTAGATGCACCAGAAGGCACAGCTGCACGAAAAACGCCTTTGGCAGTTGTTACTTCGACCTCCACAGTGGGGTTGCCACGTGAATCAAAGATTTGACGTCCATGAACGTTGCTAACGGTTGCCATGGTTGCTGCTGTGAAAGAAAAAAAGAGAGAGAAAAACCACGTATATGCATGGGTGTAGTCATAGAGTGTGATTTTTTGGTCATTGAGGTACCCTTGATGTAGCACCCTGGCTCTAGCTAGTAAGAGCAAAAATGACTATGCTCTATCATGGAAAGTCTCAGCGAATGTCGACTGCAATAAAAGTCTCCCACCACAAGGGCAAAACTTAAATAGGCTTTTGAGGTTTCTTTGTTTTACTACTAACCACACCAAGGTTTTAGTAACCTTTGAGAAATGGTATTCTTCAAGGACAAAATCACACCACGTAGCACTCAAGGACCATCTTGCAGGCTCAAGCCATTCACCGGTGGTAGTTTTATCGTCATCACCTTTGGATTACAAATGCACGATTTCATCTACAGGGTTTTTACGTGTATGGCTTAGTGAGTTGGGATTACCTATAAATACACAGCCACAATGCAACAAGGGCACCAAGTGGTGGTGCATGGTAATTGGATTAAGGAATTAAAGAGATTCGAGGAGAAACAAACAAAAAAAGGCGTGTACATGATCCCCACATGGCTGCTTCCTTTCTTGCAGATCTTTTCTCCTGAGCATGGCTAATTTGCATAGTAAGCAAGAATGACCATAAATGACAAAGTTGATAGCTCGCAAAATTAAATCTTATGCAATACAGCAATGAATCTTGATCCCACATCCTTCTTCTCAATCACATGAGCGTGTTCATCTTTTACCCCGATTGATTATTGTTGTGTGTCAAGTGTACAAACATGCCATGAAACTTTTTTCAGATAAATGTGGAAAAGACTACGGAGAAAGGAAAGGGGGGACTGTGAGCAGGAGCTATACGAGGTGTTACTTTTTGGTTGCTCTTTAGCAAAGGAAGAACGGAGATGGATGGGATGATGGAATAGATAAGGAGTGAGAGAGTGATCCACAAAGAGGTGGTTGTAATGTGCATATTTGTGTACGTGTGTGTGGTGTGTGTGTGGAATTGTAGGTGATGTACATTGATCTAAGCAAGCAAGCAGCAGTGGTATCATGACGATGGTCGAAACCGCTTCAATGCCGGTTCAGCTGCTTCTGGTGATGTTGTTGTTGTTGTCTCTGGTCGTTGAGAATCCATAATTAAGGATCGCAGAACCTTGTTCTGTAAAGATAATATTAGTACACCCACACATACGTAAATGCATAAATGCGCATATGCTTACTTCAACTTGCAGGTCATGAACTTGTGATTGAAGAGCATCCTTTTGTTGAAATACGGCTTGTAATTGTGCCTTGAGTGCTCTGTTTTCTTGTTCAAGACGATCCCATGGTTGTTGTTGTTGCTTTGGATATGAGGAGGAGGAGGTGTTATGATGATGTTGTTGATGAGAAGGAGGTAATGGAGGGGATGAAGGTGTATGGAGAGGTGGCAGTCGCAAGGGGTTGGGCGCAGCAGCTGTAGAAGATGAAGATGAGGGTGAAGTTGATGTTGGAAGTACGCCCGTTGATGAAGGTGAGTGTGAAGGTGGTGAGGAGATTGGTGTGGAGGAGTTAGATGCAGGGTGTTGTTGTTGTTGTAGTTGTTGGTATTGGTATTGTTGGTGATGTTGATGATGGTGAGGAGGTAAGGGATAAGACGGCGGTTGGTCGGGTAGTGGCTGGGATGCTGGATGAGCAATGTGTAATTGGGGTATGGGGCGGCGTGGCGTAGAAGCGCCACGGCTACGTTCAACGGCATTTACTTTTTTGGAGTGGTGCACAGCGCTCGTGCAAGCATTACCTCCCTCCGCACGTTGATGTCGATTCAATGCATCCAAACGAGCAAAGGGTCGTGAACAACGTTTACACACATAAGGTCTTTCACCAGTGTGTAGCTTTCTATGTCTTTTAAGATCATGTTGTCTTCGAAAGTGATGTTGACAAATGTCACACTGCAAGATAATTAGTGTCATTGAATTTTCCATGTGCCATGTATCCTTTTTGTAAGTACTTTACCTGGTAAGGCTTTTCAGAGGAATGCGTGGCGAGATGCGACTTGAGATTGTGTGGTCGGCTGAAAGTCTGGTCGCACTCGTGACACGCGTAGAGTTTCTCCGTTGTTGCACTGGGCTGATTGAGGTTCGCATGCCCTTGTTTGCTGTTGTTGCCTTTGCCACTAGTACCTTCCTTGTTGCTTCGTTCATGATGTTGTAAAGGTGGTCGACCACTAACACCAGGGCTTGGCAATGTTAATGCAGCTTCATTTGCAGAGGTTGTTGTTGTATTTGTGGTGGCTGTGCTATGTTTGAGTTGCTCTGATAACGGAAGGATGCTTGAAAAGGCACCTGCAGGGGTGACGGGTGTAGGCAAAAAATCGTGCTCATCGTCGTCGCTATTTAATAGTGCAGGAATAGATTGATCACGCTTAGATGTATGTGGTGGATCGGTACGTGATGGAGGAGGTGGGTATGCTGTTGAGTATGGCGGTGAGGATGGATGATGATGGAAATGGTGGCGAGCATATTGTGAACCTGCTGAAGAGGTGATGTTGTTGTTATTACTACTTGTAGTGGTTGTAGTAGTAGTAGTTGTGGTAGAGTCAACAATGTTATGTGTCATCATACTATGGTGGTGGAGGTGTGAGAGAATGAGAGAGAGAAAGGGATCCAAAAAGAAGAAATGAGTGCCTGCTGAGTGAGGCGAGGTATTAATATTCGGCGTGGAAGAAAGGGACCAAGTAGGGGCAAGACACACAGAAGGCAAAAAGATATTTTTGGGCTGTGATGCTGCCTCTTTTTACAATTGGGAGCCCGATGAACCTGCTGGTGCCACCATCGCATAATTAACCACTGTGCCTCCTCTCAAGCGCCAAGACCATTATATCCTATCAAACAATCACCCACCATGAGCGGTAAAAACCCCCATCCATTGCCTAAAAATTCAATAGATTACTAGTGACAAGCGAGGGGTGATACAAAGGAGTACTTCTTTTTTTACGACAGCAGCAAAGCAGCCGCAGGGCCATTCTTCTGAGACTTGGATAAGCGTGTGGTGCTATAAATGGGGCCAACATGCGTGGGCTATCCTATCAAAGCCTCCCAATACCCCTTCCCCTTGTAGTGCTCCCATGGTAAAAATCTACTTTTCTCAGCATGTGTCTAATCTACTCTGCGTCAGCTATGTGTATATGTATGTGCGTATGTGTGTGTGTGCGTGCTTGTGTGTGGCTTTTGAATAGCGAGGCGCCACAGTACGCATGAGCGACCCAATCATGTTGTTTCCAGGCTTGATTACGCCATGAGTGTAACACCTGTGTTTGTAGTAGGGGAGTTTGCTGATTTCTTTTTTTGGAAGACTACCTTGTTATAGCAATTCGCAGAACAGTAAAAATACGGCATTTCATCGGCAGCACATGTTTGCGGATCTGTGTGATGCACACACAGCAGCCGCTTACCCGACTTGAGGTAACCAAACCCTTTCATCTACTGCTTTTGAATAATTTGCTGATGTTGATGTGGCTGTGTTGTGTTCCCATGGCTGGAAAATGATAGTAGAAAAGAAAAGGAGCATGATTTCTTTCAATGACGCAATGGGATTCATTGACTCGGGATGTTAAAATGGGCAAGGACACGGCAACAAACAGCCGAGTCTGGAACCGGGGTAGATTACAGCATTAGAATGATGTCGGTTGCCATTGATCCATATCACTGTTTCTCATATTTTCACACAATGTGATACTAGGTCCATGTCCTTGGTTCATTTAATGTAAGGAATGATGGTTGTTATTCCAAAGACAACCAACAAGGTGCATCATGTTGGGCTAAAGTAAGATTGATGATGTGGCTGAACGGTTGAAAAGTGGCAATAAAAGTAGCACGGACACACATTTAATGCATTTGACAGGGCATGGATACGGCGAACAAATGCTACTAATGACGATATCAGCAAGTAGCACAACAACATGGATACCATGGATACCAATGTATGGGAGTATACATACATCACGTGTTACTGAATCGATTACATGCAAAGCATGGTTGCAGCATCTCGTCTGCATTTCGCAGCCACGCACCACCCCGCCGCCCGCCGCACATAATCCTCTCCCACCCTTGCTTGCCTCTTTCCTTTTTACCCAACAACCCCACACTTTATGACTTCCACTTCACAGCAGCCTGTCAACTCTCCACATACTTCCAAAGACGACATTGCTTTTCCACCTGACTCATACACGGTTCAATTGGGTGACTCATTTACTTCAAGGCCTTCAAAAAGAACTCCCTCCTATTACAGCTTCAAATGTACGATAAACGTCTTCCTCAATGCCAACCCAACTTGCTCATTTCCCTCTTGTTAACTAGTCAACTCGGGAGGAGATGACCGTAGTACATCAAACCGCAAGGTCTCACTCTCCAAGGTGAACGATGACTCGTATACAGTAGAATATGCCCCATTAGAGGTAAGGTGTTTCTTGTTGGTGTGTGTGTGTGTGTATGCTCATTCAGTATACTAACTTGTAGTAGAATGCCAATGACAATACCGAAATGACCTTTGACGCTATACCCGGCAGTGTTCAAGAACTCGACTGTGTGCTTGTTTTTGATGAAGAGACCAAGGCAAGTAGTAGTGTTGATGATGTATGGTTGGGTATCCAATTGATGCTTACAAGGCCTGTAGACCTTCACACTTGAACGCCCCTTGATGAAGTTTACCTTACGCAATCTACGGAGGAAAAGGGCAGCGCTGGCCGTGCCTACACCATCATCAACACCTTCCAAACCCGCCAAACGACAAAAGAAATCAACAAAAGGCAGCAGCGTTGCTGGTGGGAAAGATAAGAAATCAGGCAGCCATCGCAATGCAAGTGCTACGACTACTTCCACTACGACTGCTACCAAGACAACAGGCGACAATACCAATCGTGCAGGAGAACAACGAAGGTCGAGTGTGGATGATGCGGATCTTATTTCCAAAGACATCGATGCTGTATGGGATGATGTTTTGGGTGACGACGACGATGATGACGATGACGATAACAATGATGAGCGAGGGCAATCATCCAAGACTATGACAGCAGCATCATCACCTGGTGTCTCGGATACGGATACATTTGAAGAAGTCATTGTGCATGAAACAACACCCACTACGAATCGACGTAAAATCAAAATGGCATCTCAACCTATTCGACGACCTGATTCACCACGGCGTGAGTTTGCTGGCAAAACCTATTCACCAGCAACAGCTGCTGCAGCAGCGGCAGCATCTCAACGACGTGTATCAGTATCATCCGATGGGTCTGATGACGATGACGATGATGGATCTTCCAGTGGATCTTCTTCCAGCAGCAGTGGCAGCAGCAGTGGCAGTAGCAGTGGATCAGAATCAGGGAGCTCAGAATCGGATAGCAGCGATGATGAAGATATGACTGATCTCATTGAAAATGTGGAGCGTGGTATGGATGAGACCTCAGCACCTGCTTCACCAGCCCATCAGTTTGCTACCACTAGTACGCCAGGCGCATTTGAAGCTTCTCCTTATACCTCATCACCTGCAACAGCTCCTAGATCTACACCAGCTCGTAACGGTGGTCCAGTCTCATTACGTGCACTCTTTGGTAAGATATCAAATTCCAATATCCAATGTTGCTTGTCCTGCTGATCATGTATGTATACAATAGATGATCCAAATCAACAAGATGATGAAAGTATCACCAGCTCAGATAGTGATTCTTCGGATAACAATTGATTCAATACACGATCGGTTCAACAAATCCCTCCTTGTTCTTTCTATGTGGAATGATAGGACGCAAATGGAAACGGGCAAAAGATTATGAATTACATTACCCCTGAGGAGGGGATGATGGGCGTTTGTTGAATGGTGGAGAGATGACTTGAATATCCTGGAAAAGAGCGCGCACCTATACACTTTTGTTATTTACGTTATATCCTTACCCAACGCCGTACACAAACAAGTCCCTTACAACCCCGTTTTCCTTTTTGAAGCATGTCCTTGGAGCCAAACAAGTTCTTTCCGCGGAGATCACAAGTTATTTATGTTTTGATGATGATCGCGTCATTGGAAGGATATCCACACAACAAACAGCTGGGACATTTTAGAAATAGATCTTCAAAGAACAAATATTTGATGAATGAGAATCACTGCAATTGAGATGATATTATTACTTTGCACATGCTGATGAGGATGAATTAAGATACTGAGACACTGGCATATCAGAAAGGGTGGAATGAGTATTGCGGGGGAAGGATAAAGGGTATATAGATAGAGATGATGTATGTATAGGTGGCGGGGTAGATGGGATGGGATGGGTGGGTAATGTGTATCTTTTTTACTTTCTAATATGAGTACACATCGTCAGCAACAAAAGTACGGAATCGCTTGTTAGGATTATCAAGTAAATCGTCATCATCGTCACCTTCGAAATCATCATCCCACTTTCGCTTGCTGCTGCTAGATAAAATATCATGCTGCATACTAGCTGAGTAAGATGTGCAATCGGAAGTGAACCATGGATCATATTGTGTTGCTTCAACAAAGCCATGCTCTTGAGGAGCAGCCAAGTAGTCCCAATGAGAGGCTGTTGTTGTTGCTGGTGGTGGTGGAGGTGGTACCATAGTTGATGATGATTGCCAGGGAAGGTATTCATTGGTTGATTTTGGGGTGGTAGCTGTTGACGATGTTGCTTCAGTTTCTGAAGCAGCCGAGGATGTCAAGGATGAACATGATGATGAGGATGAATTGTTGTTTGATGAGTTGTTGTTGTTGTTGTTGGTTGACGAAAGGAATTCGGAGGGATCTTCGGCAAATAACGGATACACTAGATCCATGATCTTGTATTTGAGAGCCAAGTCCTTGGCACGTTGGTATGTAATCCTATTATCAGTGATAAACAAAGAAGGTAAGCATGATGGATTATGTATACAACTACACAAAAGCACACTTACCAAACGCCTTTAAGATGCATAGCACCAACACGAACCACGAGACGACCTTTTTCATTCTTGAGGATTCCATCACGCTTGCCACGGGACATGCCCACGACATTGAGCAGCTTTGTACCATTGATCATGTCATTGTCTGAGATAGAACACACGTGTCAACATCCGACGTTTGTGAAAAAAGCACTTCACCAAATCGAACGCTGTGATTCTTACCTTGACGGCGGGTGACACAAACGCTATTTACATCCACCTGATAGCATAGAGTGCATTGATCTTCCCAAACAGTGGTAGTAAGCTTTGGCTTAGGAACCATAACCGGTGGTAGTGCAGCGGGTGGCGGTAAAGTTTGTGGTGGAGACATCATTGTAGGCCACATGGCGGGAGGAGCAGCATGCTGCTGATGATAGTATGGTTGAAAGACGTGGTGATCTTGGGGATGGTAATGATGATGTGTCATAGGAGGAGAGTAAAATGGTTGTGGGTATGGCTGTTGATGATAGAGAGAGTCCATGGTAGATGGTATGTGTATATATGCGCGTGTATAAAAGTGTGCAGGAGAATCCGTGCGTGTCAACTATTGCAGAAATAAAATCCATAATCAGCCATGGGTACAAGAAAGAGGCATTTGAGCGAGGCACATACACACACATCTATGTGTGTATGTGTGTTTGATGACTTACGTTGCTGAAACAAAAAAGACACAAGTGTTTGTGGAAAAGAGAGCAAAGAGGAAAAAAAAGAGAGGCAAACTCGGCTCTTATCAATGGTGTGCTCTCGAATGGAAGGCGGGGAAAGAAAAAAAAGTGCAAGCTTAGATGAGTGGGTGGCAAAAAGTGCCTCGCCAAGGGATGACAGGAGGTGAACGTTTTGGAAAGGCTGAAAGACAAAAAAACCTGTGATCCGTAATGTTTACTATTTGGAGCGGGTGCTACAGTGAAGCGAGCAGATGACAAGAAGCAACACCTGCATGTATCATCATGGATTAGTCTAAATTGCTTGTTTCTTGTAGTCTTGACACATACACAACAAGGCACAACAACAACAACAGAAGCACTGTATCGATTCCATAGCCATGAATGTAGAGTAAAAAGCGCGCGCTTTCTTTGAATTTTCCGACCGAATGTGTCCAAGACTCGCCCCTGAGAGCCATTTTGGTAAAAACGACAAGAAAATCAGAGCAAGGCGTATATGGGCGCAGGTGACCCCATTTTGCCGTATGTGTCGATAGCTTATACGTTGGCTCTTGGCATGATCAATGGGATGATGAACCGCCTCCCAAGTGAACTTTAAATCGTCAATCAATCCCTCTCTATGCCACCTCCTTCTCTCACAGGGCAAGTCCTTGAGATGTGTGTGGGTATTATAACACGACACATTCTGTTTCAATACTTCTCGTTGTTTGGCACCGTGTTCGTTTGCACACACAAACCCCCTTTCAACCCCGTCCCCTGATCAAGGGGAGCTTGTGTGCGCTCAAAAAAAGATAGAGAGGGGGGACAAGCACACACACAACATCGTCATCGCTGTCATTACAGCTCCGTAATTCGTTTCATATTCGACTCCACTCTCGGTATTGGAGCACTTTGTATCCGACACCTACTTTTCTCTACTCGTCATGCAGGGCCACATTTAAGGTTTTTGGGGGTGCTTAGGTTATGGCTTCTCTCTAGCGGCTGATGGACGATCTCTTACCCAAAAGAAACATCTTAAGCTCTTGTTTCTCCACCCCTTTGTATTTCCCCTTGTACATCCCCTTGTACCTCTCCTTCGTTTTCTTTAGCCTACTGACTTGAGTGATCGTCTCTTTTTTTCCCTTCTCCTTTCTTTGGCGTTATACAATCATAATCATCGTCTTGTGAAGATATAGTACTTTGTATATTTGTAATGGCATCGTTGATGGTGATACAGTAGTCTTGGCCAACAAGACCATCATCAGATGTCCGCCCTCGGAATGATTGTTAATCGATGGTCCAAACCTCTTTCACCCCCATGTCGGTCTTACCCAGATTTTGGTAATTGTTGCAAAATACGGTGGCTGATACACTCGGAATACTTGGAATGCTTTTCCACATGTGCCTTCTTTTTGAATGTTTTGAAAAAAGTGGTACAGGCGCAATACACAAGGAAGCAAATGCTACGCACTCAAAACAATGATTGTCTGATACAATGTATGCTATCATCTCTTGTATGAAACGACAAGTAATAAGAAAATGGAAAACGGGTTCGGATTGTTGCACCCGCATCCTCCGGTGTTGGTGCTTGGTGGAGGTGAATGCGGCTGATCCTATCTGTTGGTTTTTCATGGCTTCCTCCTCTCCCCCCAAAAAAGAAATCCCTCCGCTAAAGTGTAATCGTAATCCTGTTTATCTAACACACACACACACATCACGTATACACACACTAGTAGTGAAAGGACATATTACAATAGGGAAAACAACCGCATATATGAAAAAATCGGTCAGCTGAAAGTCTTTTGGCTCGTGACACAATGTGTAACACGCAAGTCAAAATATTGTGGCAAGCGTATCGATGTTGAACACCGCCGTTTGTCTCAACAAAGATGGTGGCGCGCATGGTTGTCGGGCAACAGAACATGTCGGCCATGCGCAAACTTTGAATCCAGTCATCACAGACCCGACAAAGCATTACTCAATGCATGTTTTTTTTGAGACAAGCGTAAATCTCTTTTGCGTGTATGATCTCACGTGATCATCGCAAATCACGGCAATGGCTTCTATCACAGGCAAAGGCATGTACATGTTATATAGGATGGTGATGATCATATGAAGTTTAATAGTAGGCGATGTGTTTTTTAAAGTCAAAAAGGAGGAGATAAATGAGATAATGATATAAGGATGTAAATGATAAAGGTGAAAAAATGTGTGTATGTGTGAAGGAAGGTAAATCAAAAAGGAAGTATGGAAGAGAATTGGTCGTAGCTAATTGACTTGTTGTGGGACTTGAGTTGGATGATGATGATGATGATGTTCTTGATGGCGTAAAAGATACTTGCTCATGCGTTTGGGATAAAATGGACGTTGATGAACGTGATCCCTCTCCAAACGAGAAACATGATGCTTGCCTTCACAACACATACGCACATCCTCCAATCCATCATCGCTATCGTCATCAGGGTCATCTTGTCGTTGATGAAGATGAGGCGTGACAGCATGTTCAGCCTTGAAAATACGTTGTATGCTCTGTTTTCGAGGTACACTTCCATTGCTGCTTGTCACCAACGATCCACGACCTCCATTCTTCAATTCTTCATTATCACCACGGGACGCCAAATAAGTCAATGCATCGATCCATACTTGATGTTGTGCCATGGTAGGAGCAGTGAACTTGATAACACGTCCATCCGTTTTGACAGCAATGCTTACATTGGGGACACCAGGTAGAGGAGGTTGTGTTTGATCTGGCACAGCTTGAACACCTTCGATTAAAGCTACATAGGTATTTGTTGGTACATAGCTGGTGATTTGGGTTGTATGCATATACTTACCACTTTTTGTCTTAATGTCGCTACCTTGTGTACCAGGCGCTTTGGTGCTCCAATACAATGTGCGCGTATAGGGATGTATCCAAAAGTAACGTTGATGACGGTGATCCGAAAGCCCACCCCCTACAGCTTTACGCGTGTATTTCCACATCCAGTCACCAATCATTGTTTGGGTGATTAAGCCAATTTGCCCTTCATTGCGTAAAGAGGTTGTTTCATAAGCTGAAGATCCAATAGATGCTCGATTCTCAGTCGCAGAGAGACTTGAAGTATTTGATGAGGGTCGTACACGTGCAGGTGACTTGCCCTTGTCGCTCTTATTGACTCGATCCAAAAGGTGATCAGGTGGTGGACTCAAGGGTCGTGCTGGTGCATGTTGATCATCCTTGATTGTAACATCATTATCGGTTTTGGCCTTGGCTACAGCAGCAGCAACAGCAGCTGAAATCATGGCATCAGTTTCCTCTTTGGTGTAAAGTTGTGGTTTGTCGGCAGCAACAACAACAGCAGCAGCAGGAGGTAAGTCTTTGGCTGATGTTGCATCTGATGCAGGTTGCTCTTCAATCTTTTCGGGTGAATCATCCATCTCCATCTCACTTTTCTCATCATCTTGATGCGTGGTGGTGTTGCTGTTCCCAGTCCATCTACCAAAAGTGGCAGCAGCAAGTGCACCAAGTCCTGCAGCAATCCCGTTTTGCTGTATAGCTCCCGAAGACTTTTCTTCATCCGTTTGCATAGATGCATCCATTGTGTCGATTGGATCACATTGAATAGATTCATCGATCATGTTGCCATTATTACGTGAAGAAGAGGCATCCATTCCTTGATTGTCATGTGGATCAGGATATTGCACATCTCTGTCAATAGCCGACACGGGCTCCATTTGTATAGCTTGATCAATAACAAAAGGTGCCACGCATTGTGATTCGGCATCGATGACCTCAGGCCCATAAAATTGGGTATCTCGATCTTGGGTATCAGCTGGTGTGATTTCAAAGCCGGGTATATTCTGCTCACTCAATTGAGATACTTCGGTCTGTACGGCTGCTTCCTATAATTGAAGGGTAAGTCTACTATATAGTTGGCTATGTTGTATCAATGATGATATTACCTTGACATCCATTTTGACACCTTTGGGTATGTTGGCAGCATCAAGTTCATCACCCAATGATCGAAGGCCATCATTGTCGTTGTTGCTAGGTGACGGTGGCTCCAAAACAACCTTTGGTGTGGTGGTGGTGGTGGTTTGCTGTTGCTGACTTTTAGCGAGCTCGGTTTCCAAGGAGGTGAACCCTGCTGCTGTTGCACCTGCTGCTGCTGCTGCTGCTGAAGAAGAAAGTCCCATATTGCCATTGGTATCATCATCATCATCATTTTCATCCGTATTCCAGCTAAAGTCATCATCACTGGTCTCTCCCAAATGGCGTTTATGCAAGCGGTCTTCATCGGAAGCATCAGGATGCATACGTGCATTGGTAGTAGTGGTCATACGAGCTTTGCTTACAGGTGCACGACGCTTATTGGGTTTGCGTAATCGCCGAGATGATGATCCACCCGAATCAGGTCCATTACCACTGCTGGAGCTCTTACTTGGATAATCCGTCCATAGTCGTGGATCGTTTTCAAGCTGCTCAATTCGTTCTTGTGCTTCACTCAATAACTTTTTGAATTCAAACTTCTCCGTTTTCTCCTTGCGAAAATTGGAACGTAGATTGGATACAAGGCGATGCGCATGTGCAAGTGACGTTTTGAGTGTCTCCACTTCGAGAGCGTGATTACGAGTTGATGATGATGGATTTGGAGAAGGAGAAGGTGATGTTCTCGTACCTGAAGCAGCATCTTTCTCCTTGACGAGTGTCGGCTCATTGCTTGTGTGCTCCTCATTATTATCGGATACTGATCCAGAAATTGCTCCAAGGTCTGAATGGCTACGTCTTCCAATTCTGGATTGTGCTTTTGCGATGGCGAGTTCTGACGACATTGCTTCGATTTGTTTTGCATGATCGGCCTTTTCCCTTTGTAGCGTTGCAGCATGTCGACGTACAGTTGCCATATCATGTTCATGCCGTTGTTTCATCTCCTCAATTGTTGTAGATAATTTCTCCTCACGATCACGCATGTGCTCAATCTCAGTCGTCAGCTCATCCATATGCTCCACCATGCGCTTTTGCTCTGCATTTGCCTTATTAAGACTTTGCTGCAGCTGTGTAACACTGATTGTCAACTCCTGCTTGGCAAGCTCCAAATTCCAAGTCTCCTCTTTGAGCTTCTCTGCACACACGAGTATTAGTTTCTTTTACAGATTCTCTCTCACTCTCACACACACATTAGTTGCATACCTTCATTTTCTTCCCGAAGTCGCAGCTGTTTAGCCAAAGACTCAGCAGCCCGTTCAAGATCAGCCTTTTGAGCCTGTAACGCCTTAAGCTCATCCCCTTTCTCATGTAATAAAGCTTGCATCCTTCTCACTTCAGTCAACAATCCATGACCAATCTCAGTAGCAAATTCGATGTTGTTGTTGCGTCGTTCTGTATTGGGGACTTTGGAGCGTCGTTTTGTGGGGGTTGACCCTGATGGCGGTGGTGGAAGTGATAAAAGAGAAGACGAGTCATTTCCTTGCTGCTGAGGTGAAGGTGGAAGCATATTCGACGTCGATGGACTGGGAAGTGTATCGAGACCTGACGATGATGTTGTAGGTCGAGACGCAAGCTGTCAAGGCAACGAGAAAAAAAGAACGTTAAAAGAGAAAAAGAAAGAAAGAAAATTCCCCTTCATCCCTGATACCCTTCTTACTTTGTCCTTCCGATGATGATGATGATGATGATGAGTACTATTGCTGCTGCTACTGATATTAGGTGTATGTTGCTGCTGCTGCTGCTGCTGCTGCTGCTGCTGATAATTACGAATGTCACGTTCCAACTTTTGTAACTTTTCAAGTGTTGATGGTGATAATCCTTCTTGATAGTCATTGCCTTCTCCTCCTTCGAATCCTCCTACATCCCCTCTTTCATTCGACGTGCTGGTCATAGGTGGATGATGCAAGGGTGCTGTTGATGATGATGCTTCTTCTGGTTGTTGCTGCTGCTGTTGTTCTTGTCGATCCATCTCCTCGAGTCGCTCTTTAAGCCGTGCAATTTGACGTGAAAGCACGCTTCTACCAATACCACTTGTTGAATCCTGAAGTTGCTGCTCCTTTTCAGTTATCTGCTGCTCGACCTCTCGCCTTAGTTGTTGCATAGCTTCAGGTGTCGATGACGACGATGACGGTGTGGGCAACATGCTGTTGTCTGACATGGAGGAAGAATGTACTGTACACTGTTTAGAATGCCTTGTTGAATTGGACACAATGAAGAGAATAAAAGTACCAGTGAATGACGGTATCGATTGCCGTGTCAATGGCTATTGTTGTTGTACTTCTTGTTATGGTTGTTGTTATGCCTTCGTGTTCTCGTGACAAGGCAACCAACGTGCGTTTCCAAGCGCGACTTCAGTACAACACGAGGAAGAGAGATAAACACGAAACGATGCTTCCAAAAAAGCCAAGGTGTTTTGTATGGGAGAGAAAAAGAAAAGAGAGAGAGATGGAGGCTATGGGAGAGGGAGACTTTACCATATCATTGTTATTCATGTGACCCTGTTATCGATGCACGCACAACACACACATCACACACAGACATACACACGCACGCGCTACGCTATTAGGCATATGTTGACAATGTAACTTTAAATGTCCATTCCTGATGTGTCCATATCATGGCTCATTCCACTTTTACTGCTTTGTATTGATAACTTCTTTCATGATCGTTTCTTGCTTCATCATGCATTGATTGACGTTGTACGGCTTGGCGTATGGCGGTCGCTCATTCAAATTCTCACTTGTCCTTATGCGCGTTAATACACGACCTGCAGCATGGCGTGGGGGTTTAGTTACATGCAAGATTGATGGTCTGGAAACAAATCATCCGTATCATAAGCATCCCTTTCTACATTTCAATCAATTGCCTTGTCGGTGTACCCCGGATTTTCCACATTTCTCTTCTTCTTTATCATCCTCCTCCATATTGCTCTTGAAGAATTGCAATCAATGCTAGCATTAAATAGTATTATTCTTCATCCATGATGCATCTCTTTAACCATTTTGTCTTGCATACCCGAATGCATGATACAAGATGATGGATTCTCACACACCTTCACACACGCATGGCATTATTCCCAACAGACACGTCAAAGGATTATTCGCCGCACCAATGATGAACAAGATCCCGCTTCCGCCCTGTGAGCTGCATTAAGTTGTCAACGACTCAGCATCTAAGGTCGAATATCCCGACTGTCTCACATTGCTGTGGTGTGCGACTTTGTCAAAAAGGGGACTGAAAGTCATGCATTCATATAAGGAAAGATAACGAACATATGCTCTTGCCAGGCAAAATCAAGGAGTAGCTTTTATCCCTTTTTAGATTACCTCCTGTGATAATAAAATGTGGTTCCTCCTCTTGTCGTCATCATTGTGTACGTGTAGTATTATAGAAGTCATATGGCTTATGATCATTTAAATGTCACTTTTGCACGCGATGATGATGATGGATGTCGTCTTTTGTACATTACGGTGCAATTGATATGAGCAAATGAGTGCAAGAATGAACGATGGTTTCACCCTGCACGCTTAATTAATGCAGAGCACATTGACCATATCATTAGTGTTATTTACAGCAACAGCTCTATGTATAGTATCATCCAGTTTTATTCTGTCACCATCATCATCATAATCCAAATATGCACCGTTCCCGCCATTAAGACCCTCGCTTACTTTCTCCTCACGCTAAAGAGCTGTACGCTATCACCCACCCCCCTATTCATCACCTGAAAGAGGACGAGAGCGAGAGAGAGAAAAACGGCCCGTGTTGCCAACAAAGGATGCTATCGCATCTCCTTGACGAGTACAAACCGACTTTCCTATTGGCGAGCGGGCTTGGGAGATAAACATGTGCAATCTCCTTTTTTGCTGGTCACGTAAAACGTACATAGTAGCCGATATCTATTTGGGATGATACGCTTGGATTGGGTGTAAGCAAAGAATGAGGCGGCATTTATGCGGCTATAGAAGCATTCATGTGTGTCCTGCACATGGCGTAAAGGTTATAGTGGTGGAGGGAGTAGTAGTAGTAGTGGTAGTAGTACATATGGCAGAAGCTGTGAACAGACGACAATATGCATTTACCTAGTTCTCCTGCAGTGTACTGAATAGTGCATATGAGGAGGTTGGCGCGCTATATATATCAAGGAGACAAGGGTAAATGATTGTTTTGAGCGATCTCGTGCACAGGCAGATCGCGTTGTCGGGTGAGAGAGAGCGATAGAGAGTAGTAATAAATGATGGTTGGTGTGACAAAAACCTTGTGGCACCTAATTCTTTTTGGATGCATCCAGGTTCCGCTTGAGGGAATGTAAGATATCCATGCATGAATAAAAAGGAACATCATACGCACAATGCTTGTCCTCATATGCTCAGCATGCCAAGACCCCAAAATGACAATGATTTAATGGGCAAGTAAGATGATGCTTTTAATGAATCATTCAATGGGTAAGAAGGATGTGAATGTTATTAGCAAAAAGTGGTCGTTGTCGTTGTCGTTGTCGTCGTCAATATCATCCCTTGTATTGGGCTTACCAACAAATCACATGTGCCACCTATCACATTGGAACCTAATCCAGTGTTGTGCAAAAAGCGACATGCCAATATGTTGATCCCACCAAAAAGTCCGTTCTCGAGGGCGTTGATGCTTGTCTGTATTGGCGAAATGAACTTGGGTGACACAGCAGCTCAGTTGTAAAAAAAAGTGCATTCATCCTCTGCAGTAATATCGCTTTCCCTTCTCCACCCCTACTTTTCGTGCTTATTCAACTCTTCTCGTCTCTCTCTCTTTTTCTCTTTTTTATCTCTCTTCCCTTCTTTTCCTCTCAAGCTTATTCCTCATTGCAATCGCCCTCCAGATCTTGCCACCGATTGCGATCTATATGACACTGACTTGCGCTCTATCATCATCAACCTGATTACCACCTTCTTTCTATTGACTCACTATACACCATAATCCGTTAATTGACCACCTTCACCGCCATACCACTTCCAATCATCTCCACGATTCGTCAAACAGAAGAACAGTAGGTGTATTCTACTTGTAAGCGAACGCTATCTAATCCTGCTTTGTAGATATGGGTCAACTGTTATCGAGTTTGAATCTTCGAGGTGGCGATACAGTGGTGCCTGATCTTGGCTTTGATATTGAAAGTGAGTGATCACAAAGTGTGCTTAGCAATGTGGGCTGAGCATCATGAAGGAGAGAGAGCGAGAGACTCTAACAAGGATCATCATTGTTAGATGCAAGGCCTTCAGCTGAAGAATCAGAACTCTATAATCAACTTTCTATTCTCTTGGTTCAACCTGCACCTGATTTATTGGGATCATTACGCTCATATCGGTCAGCATCTGAATTAATTCGGGAGGCGATTGCTTCACCTACAACTGAAAACGAGAACAGAGCATGGGATGCAGTCTTGCCAACCGTTGACATGCTACGCGACTTTTACGAATATGCATCGGAATTGGGTAAGTTTGAGCCAACCAAAACACTTTGTATCTTGTTGACAATAGAGTTCAATTCAATAGAGGAAAACATACCACGACTATTGGATGTCCTTTGCCAAGGAGATGTCAACAAGAATCTTGAAAAGCATCAGGGATTGACGCGATTATTTGCTGACATTCTTGATTTTGTCTTTGAATTCGATTTCCTCAAGGTAGGCATGGATACGTGAGTTATCGAGACAAAGCAAACTAATAAACAAACATAGATGCGTAATCCAACTTTGCAAAATGACTTTTCCTACTATCGACGTATGTTACAACGCGGCCGATATTCGAGATCGGCAGATGAATCCATGTCAGATCTACGGAGTGCTATGTTGGAGGACGACCAAGCGAATCGCATGTCATTGTTCATTGCTTATCCCACACCAATGTTACGACGATTGATTGATACAACGACCGAGTATGTCACAAGGAATCGACTACAAAAGAGTGTTGGAAGTTGCCTTACAGCTTTATGGTCTACATGTTATCACACAGTGAACAAAAGAAGGTAAGGAGGGTTGTTGAGAAATGCGTGTGCATTCATCATATTCACTTGGAATGTAATAGATCTCCACAGCCATCCGCAAACGTGTCATCATTTTGCCTCAAGGTCATGGTTGTTTCCATTATCCTCTATGATCATATCGATTCCCATGGTGCATTCACTAAAAGCTCACCCATCAATGTAAGAGATCAGCTGATTAATATAAACAAAGCCAAGCTGTTGAGACTCATTTTTTCACGATGTTTGCTTTGCAGATCAAACATTCTGTAAAAATAATCCAATCTGTTCCCGATGCAAGCACCGAATCCAGTACTTCCAATCTCATGTCAGCTCTTCGTTATAATTCCAAACACCTCAACGACGATTCAACACCCAAGAGCATAAGGAATTCTGTCATGGCTGCATAATCCTCCCCCACCCACACATCATCCTACTATCTTACTTTTAGCTCCTCTCTCTCCCAAACCCACCAACTCTCTCACACACTCACACACTCACTCATATATATTATATATACACGTTTGCAAACATACACGTAAAAAAGAAGCGTGTTCACATTCTAGTCGATCCATCTCATTCATATTGTTTGTTTTTAATGTCGTGAATCTTGCTTTTTCCTTGAGTCAAATCGGCGCTTTATGTATGTGTGCTTTTGTTCTAATGGATGATATTTACATTCTTTCACCCTTCTTGATCGTTCGACCTTACAATTGCACGCCGCTAGAGTGTCCACCATGATGCATCACCATGACGACAGGTAACAGCATCCCATCTTTTCATCACTGCGTATCGCGTGCAGCAAATTAGTCTGATAAGAAATACAACTTACAGCATCAATGAGGTCACACCGATACCTGCGGATACCAAAAAAGCATACAATGGTGAAAAACCATTAGAACCTTCCTCAACAGCAACATCGAGCACATGTGCCAATAGCAATGGTCCTGACATGCTAAGCGACGCTGATGGTGAAAAACATTTGGCCCATCAATCATATCTACGATCCTATGGTCGACCCGACGTACGGCGAGAGCCGAGACGTTTTCTTGGATGGACATTGGCACGATGGCTACTACTAATAACTACTTCACTGGTATGAAAGACACATGATCCAACGAAGATGTAACCCATTTAATAACAATGAAACCTTGTTAGCTGATGCTTTACGGTCTCCTTTTTATGATCGGATGCTTGGTGACTTATGCCAAAGGTAAACAATGAACTTTGTTGTATATCAATTCTCATTGACTGAGCTTGTAAAAAGGATATTATCGTGCCATCGTCATCATCATTGCCGATCGTGAGATACTCGATATGACTTTTGCAGCATCTGTGCTATGTGTGTTCACCTCATGCGTTGGATTAGCGGGTGTTTGGCGCAAAGATCGGCGGATCTTAGGTATATACGCATTATTACTCTGGCCATGTTTTGCTTTGATTGCTGCTGTGGGGTATCTATCATACAAAGCCGACACCTGGAATCTAAGAGCCCAACTTGGTACACGATGGCGTCACGAATTTACAGATCAAGATCATATTGCTCTGCAAGATAATGTAAGCATTATCCCTTAAAATCAACCCGCTCCCCCACACCCATGTTGACATTGATGAATGAATAGCTTCATTGTTGTGGTTTCGAGAATCCATCCGATCATGCGACATACTATGACCGGTGTTTTACCGAATCCCTCCTTCCAGGATGTAGTTACAAGTTTTACTTGTTTGAGCATGATTTCCTTGTCAAGGCCTGGACGACTACTTTTGCGCTTGTTCCTATACATGTTATTGTCATCATCATATCACTGCTGTGCTCAAATCATGTTGATCACTTATTTGGCAGCCGATCACGACCGCCAATTGCCTATCTTGGTCGTTTCCATGACTGGAGAGAATGGGAAAAGGAACAAGATAAATTTAAGCAAGAGAAGCTTCAAGCATCACCCAAGCCCATAGAAGATACAGCTATAACAAACACGGCTCGATCCACAGGCACCTTACAAGCTACACCTCGACACTCATACTTCCCACCTTGTTGAATACATAAAACTTCTCCTTGCCCTTGTCCTCCTTTGTACTCCCTTTATGCGTTCAACACTTTTGTATCCATCATTGGGTAAATACATACATAATTACTTCTTCCTCCTGTTCATGGGATCAGAAGGAGTGTGTTTAATGATGAAAACGCCTACTACTGCTGCTTAACTAGCTTCTCCTTGTATCTTGTTCTCCCAGAAAGGATTCACGTTACTCCTTTTCGGTGCCTAAAGAAAACGCGACACGCACGACTTGGTAATCCCAAAAAAAATCAACATGCGTCTTTGTACGTTCTGGGCTCTCTTTTTTTTATCTCTTTCCTTCGAGACACGCACACGCACACTCACACTCACACTCACCCATAACCCATACGCCTACTTGTGGGATTCAACACATACATTTTCAACAAGACTGGTACGTTCCAACCGAGATATGGCATTCACCCACAAAAGGGGAGGGATCTCAATGCGATAGTTTTTGGTCTCTCGAAAGGCATTGAGGACTCTTTCATCTGTGCCGAATGCTGTCTCTGTTTCATCCTGACGACCCATGGTTTATTGATTACGACTTTTCTTGCAGCAGTAGCAAAACTAGATAGTCAGCAGCCGGAAAAATGATGCTTTATAAGCTAGTTGTGCTTGGCGACGGTGGTGTTGGCAAGGTAATGTAATCTCCCTCTAATCTCCTTGTTTTCAACTCACACTTTTATCATAGACTGCATTGACCATCCAGGTAAGATAAGCAAGCACTCTCTCCAATGTTTATGGGATTAACATGTTTACTCGTTAAAAGCTCTGTTTGAATCATTTTGTTGGTAAGCTTACATAAAGGGGGAAACAATCAGCACGCATGGATCTCATCATTTTTCATTGTAGAGGTAAGAAACACAAGCTTGGATATCTTGCTCAGGGATGGACAATTGAGTTGATCCTTTGTAGACATACGATCCCACCATCGAGGATTCTTATCGAAAGCAAGTCGTCATTGATGATCAACCTTGTGTACTTGAAGTATTGGATACGGCCGGTCAGGGTAAGTGATTGGGTTGGATATCAAAGGTCACGTGTTTGCAGAGAGCTAATCATCATAAAAAGAGGAGTACACGGCTTTGCGTGACCAATGGATTCGTGATGGTGAAGGCTTTTTACTCGTGTATTCCATCACAGCTCGCTCTACCTTTGAACGCATTGAACGATTCCGTGAGCAAATCTTTCGAGTCAAGGATATTGATAATGTCCCAATGATGCTTGTTGGCAACAAGTGCGATCGTGTCACTGAACGTGAGGTCACCCGAGAAGAAGGCATGATGATGGCAAGACGACTTGCATGCGACTTTATCGAGACATCTGCAAAGACCTGTGTCAATGTTGAACGTTCCTTTTATCAAGTTGTCAAGATCATTCGTGCTCAACGTGAAGGTCTCAATCCTGGTCCCAAGGGTAAAAATAAGAAGGAAAAGAAAACCAAGTGCTTGATATTGTAAGATACCCATTTAATAATGAATTTATCATCCGTGTCTCTCTACTCTTGTTATCCATGTTGGTATTATGTATGCCCAATAAGAAGCATAGGCTGTTTTAAAGGATAGGGATTGTGATGTGCACCTTGTAGGCAATGGTTCTTCATTCATGTATGCTTTGCATGGGTCTACCCCTATACTACGACTACACAGCTATGCTCTCCAACGAATTCATTGTTTCAACCCCCCCTTCCCAAATCAAAGCTTCGTTTTCATTATAAAGATAGTCCCCTCAAAGTCATTGGGCAAAGAGGCATGCTTTATCATCAACAGCATTATTCCTCATCAATAGCAAAGGATTGTGATCTCCAAAATTTATTGTCTAAATCCGCAAAGTCATTTCGCACGCGACAACACGCTCTCTCTTTTCTTTTCCCATTCCTTCAACACCATGAATCCGGCAGCGTCCGCGTCCGCGTCTCCGGCCAGTTATTATGAAGAAGACGTGCTTTATGAAGTTGAAAGCATAAAGGATATGCAGACTCTCGAAAGTGGGCAAAAGCTATTCCTCATCAAGTGGAAGAACTATGACGATAGGTGGTATGTATAGAGACATGAGGCTATTGATCCGATCCACTCAACATTGTTTTGTAATAGAGTATGTATTTGGACGAAATGGGTAAAAGACAACAGTGCACTGACAGATCACTAGCGAGAATACATGGGAACCTGAAGAGAACCTCAATTGTCCAGATCTCCTTGAGCAGTTTTTGGCTCAACACGCCCAATCGCGATCTCGTAAACGATCACCTTCAGCTTCGAAACGCCGGCGAACTACGACGCAACCAGCAGCCTCACAGCCAACAAAGCGCGCCGTTGCAGGGACATTGACCGAGAAAGCAGCGAGTGAAGGGGTATCAGCGCATGAATCAAAGCGAGTTCGCAAGGAAGCACCAACCAAACCTGCATCGACAAAGAAGAAGGCTCCTGTTGATAAAGATAAGCAATCAAAAGGAAAAGCGCAAGCAAATACCTTTGAAGCAGCTTCTTCCACTCAGCAACAACAGCAACATTCCTCACTTTCGATGTCGCCCAATGTACAATTACAAACAGATGTCATCAGAACGAATCAGCTTGAATCAACAAAGAACCCATCATTGATGAAAGGAGATGAGCCAGCCACTGTACAGCAACCCAATACCCAGCTCGAATCAACAAAGAATCCATCGTCGATGAAAGTGGATGAATCAACCACTATTCAGCAATCTAATGGCCAATCGTCAACATCATCATTGAAAGGAAATGAGACAACCACTATCCAGCAACCTCATAGCCAGCCATCAACAGTGAAAGGGAATGAGACAACCACCACTATACAGCAACCTAATAGCCAGCCGTCAACAAAACATCCATCATCAGTGAAAGGAGGTGAGACGGCCACTAGTATCCAGCAACCTAATAGCCAGCCATCAACAAGGAAAGGAGATGAGACAACTACCACCATACAACAGCTTAATAACCAGTCATCAGCAAAACATCCAGCATCGAACAAAGGATACATAAAGACAGCGAATGAAACAACAAAGAGTCAACCCATATCAAGCATCGAGCACAAACTTCCACAAAAGCCAACCGCACAATCATCACCAAAGCCGAGTATATATATGAATCCAATCCGACCCAAGACACCCACGCCTCCAGTATCCCCAACACCACAAAAGACTCAACTTCCATCAGCAAAACCTTCCAATTTGTCGTCATCCAATATGCCGCATCCTCAGAAACCTTCATTAATGCCGAGTACACCTGCAAAAGTAAGTACATCTTCCACTCGCTAACAAACGTTTGTCGCGAATTAATTTTGATATCCTTTTTCTATCTAGAGGCCCTTGTCAAGAGAAAGCTCTCCTACACCAGAAGAAAGAATTGGATCTATCAAGCGTCCCAACCGATCAGCTCGTAAGATTTATTACATACATTATCCATTTGACATTGCAATTGACCATTGTATCCATACAGCTCCTAGGCATGCCAATCCCAGCTTCCTTGATGAATTGGTCAGCAAAGTCAGCAATCAACCAATTCCACAAGCATCCTATACTAGACCTATCAGTAGTAAGTTCACACACACACACAGCTTGATCATATAACAGAACGCCTCTGATATCATTATTTATAGCACCATCAGGCGAATCAACACGACATGGATCAACGAGTCCTTCCCTCAAAAGACGAACTCTTCCATCTCAACAATCATCACGACCTATACGAGATCCTCGCCTTGCACAACAACAGGGACAACCTATCAGCAGCTCATCTGGTCTTCAAATGTTGCCTCCTCCTACTGATCCACTCTCTTGGCTGGGCACGATATGCAGAGCGGACGATACGGCAGTTGAAGTAAGGCTTTCTTCGATTACGGGTCGATGTCCAGAGAAATCTCGTATACGGGAGCTCCTAAGAAATGCAAAAAGGGAATACAATGACAACAAAAAGCTGATGATCACCGCAATGATCAGTTTGAGCATCCTGAAACGGTTCTATGAAAATCGAGTGCCGAATCTTGTCGATATTCAACCACAATCCACTTCTCGATATCGCTATGACAAATTTCACAAGTTTCTCAAGCTCAATAGTGTGGTACGTATTATGGTGGTGATGATGATGGTGACCAAACTTGGGTTCTCACAGGGTATAAAGGCAGGATTAATACAACTCGACAAACACAAAGAGGAGATCTTAGCAGTATTACCACATACAGCGGATATTGCAGAGTTGTTCTCGCTTGAAAGTTGGAGCTCTTCAAATATGCTTCTTATTTATTTGGATCAAATGCCCGCACAACCCCCACCGGTACAAAAGCATCTTGATCTTTTACAAAGAGATCAGCTATTTCAGAGAGCAAGGAAATCATTTGACTGGCATTTATTGGCAAGCGCCCTTAAGTTTCCACCCCAGGTAAATTGTCTTTTATGGAAGAAATCAAATTTCGCATTGCTAATAAGAATCATCCTACATAGCTGTTACAAAGGATCACGCCCTTTACCAGTGTTGATATCTATGGCGATTCCCGCTGGGCTGAATCATTAAGGCACGCTCATCGTTTATATGCATCCAAGAGCAATCTTGCAAGAAACAAAGAACATATCATCTTGGTAAGATACTTTGATAACCCATTTGCAGGCATCATCTTATGTATACAAATGTGTAGTTTGATCGGCATAATGACGTCCAATTCAAAAGCAAAAACCTACTAAAGCTGAAACGTGGACCTCGACCTCCAACGTTCTGGGAATACGGAAGCAGCGATATACATGATGAACGTATTTTACCACCAGCACTCCTATTTCCACGCTATTGCGGTAAGATACAAGCATGCTCTCTTTGGTATCCATTACTGATGCCCGCATCCCCGTATGCATAGGTGGCTTTGTTACTACCGATATACGCAACATGATGGAGGATCCTAAGATTATCGAGCGTATTGCAAAAGCCGTGACAACAGTAAGGATGATAAAAGCTATAGGATGGATGGACACGATGGATTTACAGATTGCTCTTCTAGTTGAACAGGATCTCTGCCACTGGTGAATGGTCGTTTGTGTTGAAGTATGATATCCTTGAACAAATGGTGAATGATGCAAAAGGGGCTGCAAGCGCTCGAAAGTAAGTTTGATGCAATATGGATTGCTACTTTGACTCTTATGCATTACTCTACCTAGGATTGAGAGTGCAATGATTGAATTAGCAGTGGTCCCCACCGAATACAATATCACCTTCGTGCAAGATTATGGAGAACAGGTATGCATCTCGCATCAACAATCTGCCTTTTAGCTTACATCAATTACTTTTAATAGTCTTCATTGCCTAATGACTCGAGCGACGCTACGATCCAATTGATGGAAGGCCTTGTACGGTCCTATTGCACACAAGTGGAGAATTTTGTGTTGGTTGATGATATTGGCTCTATGACGAATACCGAGTTTGCTGTAATTGACAGCTGCAAGTCATCGGATATTCTAGAAAAGTATAGTATATACCCAATACCAAGCGATGAGCAGCAACAATAAAGAGCAATGTACATATCTGGCATGTGTTGGACAAGCACGTGGAGGACAAACTAAGCTAAAGAGCTATTTGCCGGGTTGTGGTGACACAGTGCCTGATTTATGAAAAGATGAACGCCGCGCCGCCCGCCCCCCAAAGCGAGTGTCAACCTCTTCTTCTGTCTTCCATTACTTTTCCCCCGTTCCTTTCCTTTTCCATGAGCAATGTCATCGTCCGCTGATAATTCGATATGGCGACTAAACTATAACAACACTAGTCCCTTCAGCAAATCATGGAGCATTGCTTTGATATGCATTTACGCTTTGATTGTCGCTGTATCGCTGGTTGTCTCTTACGTTATCAATCGCACATACGAATCATGTTACAGCACTTATGACAAGACGTACGATGCTGAACGATGCAATGCAACTCAACTATCCATTGGACAACGTTTATATTCTGCCAAATTTGCTTATTCAATCATGAATCCATTTAACTATACACAACAGCCCCTCTCATGCACACCCAACATGGATGATGGCACTACCCTTGTTTTTTATACAACCCCTTTTATACCCGAGCTGAAGTATAATATCACCGTCAACTGCCAAGACGGTCTCAACATGTCCCTGGTGGATCACACTCTATGGTCCATGAACCTCATTGTGCGCGATTGGACAAACACGATCCGTGACAACTACCGCTGTACTCGACAACACACTCTTTGCTGCACCGACACAACCAACACAACATGCGCATACGATTGCTCATCGTCTTCCGATGCCGAGGACATTGTGGCACTCCAAATCAAGAACCCACAGACAACGACCTTTAATATATACTCTGCGTCCCATCAATGCCATACAGACTTGACACAAAACATGACCAGTGAACTAGCTACTATGATTCAAGAGGATATTCCATCCATCGACATCCAGGCACCTTTTCAATGCCGCGTGTGCTCGAATCTTGATAGGGAAGGATGGGCTCTCTTTTGGCTGATGGTGGTGGGATGCATATCCATCGTCTCTTTTGGTCTACGGGTGATAACTGTCATTGCAAAGTTCATTTTTGTGGGAAGATTGGAAGATTCAGCTCGACAATCTAGAGTACTTGGCGATTTGGAGCTCGCTCGAATGCAGCAACAACAACAACAACAATCATCTTTTGGACAGCAACAAGGCTCAAAGAACGAAGACGATTATTCGTCTACCTCCATGCTACTTAAATCCTCTTAGAATACCTGCTATTTATCATTCTACTTTATACGATAATCAATATACTGGATTGGTTTATGTAATGGATATGGATACTTCTCTGTTCTTCAACCTTTCTGCAAGAGAATGAATATGTATGGGATAACGTATGTGTGAAAATAAGGGAGGAGAGGAACATAAAGGTAGAAGTTGGTCGTAATGATCACAAAGAGATGCACCATTGGAATACTCTACATCTTGGCTTGCTCATCACCTTAATGGGTTGTCCATTTGTTTCATTCATGCGAGTAGCTGTGTAACTCAGCTTGTTTTTGATCCATCTAGTCATCGAATTCTTGGTATGTTTTCCAAAGAGAGCTTTTTATTCGATCCCATGCTATAAATTACCCACTTGCCCCCATTATGAAGATGGTTTCCAAGCTGTGGAAAAAGATGAGGTGACTATCGGCATCTTTTGGTTCCATGGTAACCCTGTTTTGAGTCAACAACGACGCAACACTCGCCTACAAAATTACCAAGCATCATAGGTGACCAAATAAGAAGTGCTCATACCACCAACATGAAACGTAGTACACAATAGCACCAATTGCTCATTGATCCAACCTACGTGAGATTCTACTAACTTACCTTTAGATCACAAAGTTCAGCCAACTGTTACCTTGGCAACGTGTTTTGAAACATGTGTAAAGACAAGAGTGTGCGTATTTAAAAAAAAGACAAGTTTATTTATGATGATACTAATACTAATACTATAAAGAAGCAGCTGTTGGTTTCCTTGAGGCAAAAGCCCAAGTACTTACAGGGATGACCACGAGAAGGTCGCTGCTCAACCATCCCGCCCATACTGCAACACCAACAACAGAACAACCAGAGCACACCTTACCCAATGCCTACAAGTGCACCAACAATTGGCAGTGCCATCCAACATCAAAGATCCCATATCATGGCTACTCAATCAACTCCCGACATCAAAGCCCAAATCATTGGAGAGATGCCAATACTGGATAAAACAATGGCCATTACTTTGTACGCTATTACAACAAATGGACAACATACAACACAATACCATCCAACAACACGACAACACACAACAATCACACGGCCAATCCCTCATCCAATGGCTCGAAAAGGATACATCAACAGGAGATCATCATGGATCCCAAACATCTGCTACCTCGTAGAACCCATTTTCCTTCTCTTCTTTGCTTTTTGTTTTCTCTCTTTTCCTTTCTTCCACTCATCCTATGTAGCTCTTTTCCTCCACATCCTCCATTTAGGATAGCCTAGCCCCACAGAACCTTTGTAAACACCCCATCCACGATTGAAACTTGTTGATCCCCACATACCTTAACATAGTAACCCCCACATCATACATCTTTATCCACCACCTTTTTCCTGTTGCACAGCAGGTTTTTTAGCACACTAGCACTCTGGATCGGGCGAGGGCAATAGCTGATATCAGCACGTGCTCATTTCGTCGCCATAATAAACTTGTCTTGAAGCTCAACCATCCCCACCTCTACCTGTGGGCACCAATATCAGGTCGACAAGGTGCAGTGCTGGGGACACCGCTTGTACCTTTTTTGAAGACTGAGAGAAGTAGTTGGAGCCCCCTACAACTAAATCCCTCAAATCAGGTGCCGGGCCTTGACGCGCCAAAACCTCGTTGGGAAGGAAGGGTAAAGAAAAGAAAAGGAAAAAGGCGCTTGTTTTATAGCCGTTGCTGCGGATGGTTGCTGCGGCTGAAAAAGGACAAGTCACCCAAATTCCATATATGGGCTATGGCAGTCATTGTCTTCTTTATGGCGTGTTAGCTAAAGAGGTTATGATAAAGAGACATGCACAAAGACACACTTCTTGTACCTTGGGACATTGCTATATGGGGAAGGTACTAATGCGTGCACGGATCGTCAACAGCAAGCAGTGGTGGAGTTTTAGGTGATATCAATCGGAGACACTCAATGGATCCCTTTGTGTAAGGTACAACTTGAAGCATAGCATCATTGCAGCAAAGTATACCAATCATTCATGTGCATCACCTTTTCGATATAGGTGGAAGATTTTATGAATTGGGTCTTTTTTATGTATCCATGGCTGCTGTATATGAATAGATAGCAGGTTGGTATCCATGGCGGCGTTTCCTCTTTTACACAGCACCAACTCAACGCCTACTCCTCTTTTAGAGCACTCACTGATGCCGTTTCCATCGCAACAACAACAACAACGTCAACGATGAAAGCACAACCATGGAGCGTCTCAAACAAGGATCAGTGACCCATGTTGGCTCCTCATTGACCAAGAAAGTACTGCGATCCAACCATGATTGAAGCAACACAATAGGTATGTATGTGCAAACACTTCTTCCTGCTTCTATCATACGGCCATAATGATAACAAGATAGCGTTCATTCTACTTCACAAGATACAAGGCAAAAGGAGATGATACAAGGCGTATCTTACACTTCGACTTTTTACGTTGGATGATCCTATGGCAATGATCACAAAAAGTGTGTTTACATGGATGCTACTACTGGTAGTAATGGGTCGGCAAAAGCAATCATCGAGCACGCAAAATTGACGGCATAACGCAATTCACCAAGGAATTCTGGGCAATGATGGATGATGGAGGTATATCAAACAAGATGAAAGTGGTAAGTATTTTTACAAGGCATAGCGTGGTTGGATCTATCTTTCTATAGCAACAAGGACACAGTGACAAAATCAAGAGCACTTTGGGGCGAACGACTTGTTTATCCAACCATGGTCATCCTTTGCTCAGGCGAGATTCCAAGCATTGAAGCAACACTGATAGAGAATTGGATGATTCGACCTTGGTCAAAGGATGATGGTATCCATGATTGTATTATGTAGCTGTTAGCATGGTAGTGGTTATGGTTCTAGAAAGGATCAGAGTCTTAAAGAGAGTCAATAAAATGAGATCAGCATGCTGCTGCAATTAACTGGTGCGAATAGATCATTATTACACCATCTTGATACTGTGTGTAGGATGGATGATGATAAGTAAAAGGAATTTGCATTTTAAGCTTCACACATTTTTCACACACAAGGTACTTTCAGATCCTTTGATCGTCTTTGATTTATTGAGCATATCATGTTTAACACGAAAGAGATTCCATACGGGCATGCATAATGGATCCTCTCCCTGCCTGTCTATAGTGAGGTCCGCCTATGATAGCCTGCATGGAGCATGGCCGATTCTTATGCAAGGCCGCATGACATGTAGTAGCGTTAGCTGAAAGCTGTTAAAGGTAAGCGTGGTATGTTCATGCACTCATGTCACATCGTATCACACCCGCTCACTCTTTCTTGAACGTAGTTGATTAAGGCAAAAGCATCTCGAGACCATGAGATAAATGATCCAACCTCCTTTCAATCCAGAAGCCAACCAAGTGATCCACATCTTACACATGTGAGTCTATAGCGTGATACCCCTTCTAAGTATTATCTTGAATCCAATTTTCATTCAATGAAAAAGTCGAAGAATAGCGAATGGAAGCGTGGGTTTTTATCAAATAAATGTTATAAAGGTACAGCATTACAGGTGAATCACATAGAGTCAACAGGGGTACTTGTGTCATGCTATTCTTGGTTGCTGCGGTCATAAACATCCCTCATCCACTATTGCCAAAATAGCTGCTGCACGCATTGAGTCGAGTATTCCAAATAGTCCATGGCAGTAAAAACACATTCGTCAATGGCCATTCCAATCCATCATCGTCCTCAGCCGTATCCTTGTGATTGCGATCCATCCTTCCTGCTGGTGACGCATCAAATAGCCAAAGCAATATTCCAAGACTTCCCGCAACTGGAGTTGATGCATCCATCCATCATAAACATCGCAAGTTAATAATAAAGCGCCTCTGTGGCCATTGATGATATGCATCCTTTCCCATCCTGCTGTTGATCCATCTCTCTCGTAGCCATTTTCATCGCAGCTCAACAGGCGAAGGTTGCTTGTGTTGCGGTGCACTTGATAGCTGATATGGAATAATCCATTGGAATGCGTATGTATCAAAGCAAGTGCTACACGTAAACAAAGCTGCTTCCATACAATGGCTATCTGCTGTTCACGTAAAAAAGGCTGCAAGGCAAGTTGCTGCAAGTAAAGAAGACCGTTTGAGACAATGAAGACCTTGTTAATGGCAACTGCTGGAATGAATGCTGTTACGTTTGATTGTGGTCGACGAGTGTGCAAGAACGTGTGCTGTGTCAAGAGACTCGTGTGTTGTAGAGTGACAAAAAGGCTGTGTACACGCCATGGACTTGCCATTCAGTCAAAGACAATCGGATCAAGACAAGTGCAGGATTGACATGGTGGGTTGAAGAAGGTCAATCGTTCGCAGGTGGTAGTTGTATACTTGAATGGGTCAACAGTTGAGAATGGGAGGAAGAGCAAGATGCGGGAGGAGGAAGAAGAGGTGGAAATTAAATAGCCGGGACACCTCTTGTATGAATGCATGAACACTGTACATCAAACCTTGATATTGTGGTTGCCCCCTCTCGAACCTGAAGTTTTCACACAAGGTGCTCTTGGACATGCTGATCAACGCTATTCATTTAAAAACCACAGGCTTCATTGTGAAGATTTAAAATGCGGGGCGGCCCAAATGTAGGAGAGGCGATGAACTGCGGGAGCGTAAGAGTGGACGGCCCACCGCCCCGAAGTTGCCTGCTTCCAACTTGAAAATTGGTCAGAAGGGTGCTCCGAGCATGTTGATCAACTATTTTCTAATAAAAACCTCACGCCTCATTTGAAAATTTGGAATGGGTGCGTCCAAAAGTTTGAAAGACGGAGACATTCGCAGGGTCTGCGATTCATTAATTTTCATGTTTGCTCTTCCAGCGTAGCTCAGTCAAATCCGCTCGGATCAAGAAACTTGGATGATGGAAATGCTCGGCTGGAGCAGGAGAATCATTCACATGCATTGGTTTGGAAAACGATGGTGAATGGGAGGAATGGGCTATTAGCTCGCTATATATGGACTATTGTGGATAGCCATAAAGTATAATCCATCAATCCTTCCAGTCATGCAAAGTAGCTGTGTTACACGAACACGTCCCTCTGCATCTTTTGCTCTGCCAGGGTCCACCTACTTGACAATGAACGAAGACCACTCTTCATATAGCATCACGTTTACAAACATAAAGACGCCTGTATCTCCAAACTTTACAATGAAACGTGGGGTTTTTATTAGAGCAATGTGCTCGGCTTGGCCAACAGCACCTTGTGTGAAAGTTTCGCGTTCAATGTCGCAACTAGCCCAAAAAATATTTTTCGGTCGTCGTCGTCGAAGAGGTCGACCCCCAGATCCAGTTTGGCTGGTGGCGACATTGCGAAATCTGGGATTGGCAAGCTTGATCGTGAAACTGGCACCCAAGGTGCAGTTGACCAAGCCGAGCACATTGCTCTAATAAAAACCCCACGTTTCATTGTAAAGTTCGGAGATACAGGCGTCTTTATGTTTTTACTATGTTGTAAGCGTGATGCTATATTAGAAGTGGTCTTCGTTCAATGTCAAGTCGCTGGACCCTGGCAGAGCAAAAGATGCAGAGGGACCTCTTTGTGTAACTCAGCTACTTTGCATGACTGGAAAGATGGCAGGATGATACTGTATACTGTTGACAAAAGCCCGTACATTGCGAGCTAACAGCCATTTCTTCACAATAGCCACTGTTGTCCACTCTATGACATGTGAGCGATTCTCCTGCTTCAGACATTCATTTCCATGATTGGATTATGTTGATCCGAGTTGATTTGATGGTGTCGGCTGCATCAACGGAAGATGAAGAAATAAGTGGAAAACCGCGCGTGGTGGTTACACGGAACACGTCCTTGACAGGTTGCTACACAAATGGATGATGATGATGATTGCCTTTTGTGAAGGCACGTAAGTAAACAGCATCCAACCCTTGAAGATTGTCAAGGTATGCATCACGTTTGCATGTGAGAAGAAAGTCGAGCTGCATAAACCAATTTGTATATGTAAAAAGATACATATACATATTGAATGAGTCACGCCATCGAAGCAATGGAGGGATCTCTTCACTTTTCTCTTCTCGAAACAATGCAATACCACTCATATGTATTTTATCACAAAAGCCATGTACTTCTTGCATGACCGATAACCGGATACCTTTATTATTTGCATCTTCCGAACCAATAGTATGTAATCCACAAGCTAGCAACCTCCAACAAGCGTGTAATAAATAAACAATGCTTTATTTCATCTAGCTATCTTGCTACATTGGAACGGAACCATGTTCATACGCTCATGGTGATGGCGCCACGGATCGCAATTTGGCATACAGTACAAGGGAGACTTGCCCATTGTGATTTTAATGTTTTGATTGGCAATCCATGTACGTGTGGTGTGTAGGGAATAGTGTAAGCACCAATGATCGTTCAATGACGTTGATATGAGTTACTTGGTCTTGGTGACAATAGGATGTTGCAGCATCCAGGTTTGCGTAAACCTAGGAGCATTTGAAATGCAAATAACAAATGTTATTCAAGTTACTATACGAAAGCTTATTTATTGTATTGTAGCCGTAAATGCAAAAGACAAGCGTGCTACTAGATAACATTGGCGGATGAAGGAGATTGGGTGAACCTCATAGAATCAAAGCTGAAGATGGTAATTTCTTTGTTGTGGTGTTTTGATTTAGCTATTAAAGAAGATAGGATTGTTGCAAGAACGTTAATAATAAAAGATGAGGTGGGTGATGTTGCTATCCACTGCAACTTCACCTAGAATGATAAAGTAGCAGTTGATTGGTAAAAATTCACCAAGATAAAAAGAAGATGTGCTTTATTTTATACAACCTTGGACAACTCTTGGATCAACAGTAATGCGGTAGTTTGCTAATCAGAGGTATGAATCGACATGGCGAATCTTCTTAGAAAGTGGTGGTGACACAATGGTTGATGTTGCATCAATGCATCCCGAGTACTCCCCGACCAAAACCCCGCAATGCCTTCGTTCCTTAAAACCACCCGATGATGAGTCAAAGGAGCAAAGTACAAACATCATTCGATTTGCTAAGCCTCTTGTGCTAGTGCTCTCGTTAGAGGATAGCTATATATAATGTAGAGAGAATCAACCATCTCCCCTCAATCATTTACAACGCTATAGCTCTTGACACGATGATGGAAAATCAAATGTTTGACGTTTTCATTGCCGGTGCTGGTCCGGTTGGTTTATTTTTTGCATACCAGGTAGATGGAAGAATGCATTATTCATAGACGTGGACTCATGAGATTTCATCTAGATGCTTCGTATGGGGCATTCAGTTTATGTCTGCGATACCAAGCCAGGACCTACAGACCAGAGTAGGTCTAACCTTCTTACATCTCGGGCTTTGGAGATCCTTTCCATGCATGGTATTGCAGCCCAATTTCTTGAGGAATGTGTGGCTACCCAAGGCCTGCAGCTTATCCACAGGGGTAACAAGGTTGGATTTCTTGGTGCTCTTGATGGTGAACATACTTCTTTCCCTCATGGCACGTGTGTGGCTCAGGATAAAACGGAGGAGATTTTGATAAAGCTTGTGGAGACTCAGCAACCCGATTCGATACATTGGTGCACTAGATTTGTGAAACATGAAGCCGCTTCCGATTATGTTACTGTCACCGTTGAGAAGAATGACACAACAAAAACAATCAAGGCACGCTACCTCGTTGGCTGTGATGGAGTTCATTCGAGTGTTCGAAAGGGGGATGGCGGCTGGTCATTCGATGGCTACTCAATAGCCACTCCATTTGCTCTTGCCGATTGCAAACTTTCTGGTCGAGATGCCCACAAGATCAAGAACCAACGAACGAACACGTTTCTCGACGACGATGGATACGTTGACATATCGCCCCTTGGAAACGGTGAAGACATTGACTTTTTCCGTGTCAACTTTAATCTCTCGTCATTTGAGATTGCACCATCACGTGACACCACGCACGGACCATCGTGTCATCCAAAGGAAAGCATCACACTTGAAGAAATGCAAGCCATTGTATCAAGAAGGGCGGCGCCATGGGAAGTGATCCTGACAGAGCCAAAATGGATATCAGTGTTTCATATTAATCAACGCAAGGCAAATGGCTTTCGACGTGGTCGTGTCTTTTTGATGGGTGGTAAGTAAAGAGCTGTGGGTGTGTACGACGAGTGGTGCTATGATACGATGGACACTGATTTACGTATCATAAAGATGCTGCACATTGCTTTACACCTTTGGCTGGTCATGGACTTAATAATGGAATGCAGGATGGTATGGCTATCGATGGTCGTTTGCATGTGCATGGGAAAGATGGGTGCTCATTTATTTTCATCATAGCTCATAACCTTGCATGGAAGCTTTCTTTTGTTCTTAATGGTCTTTGTCCCGATCCAGAGAAGCTCTTAGACTCATACTCCACTGAGGTACACGCAACAAAAATAGATCTTTCATCACCAAGTACTAATAGTCATTTAAATTAGCGTGAGCCCATCATCAAAATGACAATGGATTATCTTGGGGAATGTATGAAGACGGGATTAGAAAAGCAAGGATCAATAAGGGGTATGGTACAAAGAAAGGCTGTAGGAACAATGACGATGTAAATATTTACCTCTTCAAGTAGCTGCCATTGGTCGCTTTTTCCTTTCTAGTCTTTGCAAAATTGGTTGGATAAACAAACTCATCATGTCATTTGTTCTACAGGTATGTAGTAAGGGAAGAGAAAAGGAACAACAGGCTTTATTTTTTATCGTTGACAAGGATTTGCTTTATCATAGACGATGATTTCCCTTGGAGCAAGTTCACCCGTTATATCCGAGCCATCATGCAACTTGATCAAGCCTGGAAAATTCATTCCCGACACCTCTTCCTTGAGACGACGTGTTGTTAAAAAATGCATTGAACGCAAGACTTTCCACGAGATATTGGGGACCAGCATATCGGAGACGAAGTACACTGCACTCTTCATTTGTACACGACCATCAAGTTATGATGCCTGCACATGGGTGGAAAGTTTTTGGATCAAGGCCAGCAAATGGCGTCGTGTCTTGCGTCCTATAATTGTTGAATCAACGTGGCATGCATACAGCAACACTCTTCCATCATTCGTATCATCCGATGATGAGTCTGATGCAACCAATGCATTCTGGCTTGAAAATAGCTTGGCATCTTCAGAATCCCTTACAGAGCGTGTTGGGCTTGGTAGTCATTTAAGTGGATCAAATCCTCCTGCAGCCGTTGTTCTCATCCGTCCTGATGGATACATTGCCAGTAGCACCCTCATTTATTCGGTAGACGATATTAATTTGACGTTTGACAAGTTCCGAGGGCCGCTATGCGGTTATTTTATCAAGTATAATGATGAATAAAAGTCAAGCGAAGGTTCTTAGCTTTTCATAGCAACCCACCCCATTTTTCATATTGAATGCCCAAAGTCAAATGTTGGTGGTCTTCACATGATGATGTCGGCTATGTACCGGATGGCATTACTTTTTAGGTTATGTGCTCGACTTTTAACTAGTAAAGAGGATAGCATACATGAACATGCATCTTGTGATTCATCATCATCATCATTAGGTATGTATTACATGTAGAGTCGATCACACAACTAGTACCTAATCATAATAATAGCTCATGCAAAAGGACGTAGACAAAACAACTGCAAAGGTTGAAAGAGAAGTGTGTATATGAAAACGCTATATCTTAAAGCGACTCTTACTCAAATACAAAGGATGCATTCATTATATCAACAAAGAGCAGGTTTATTGATCGAAGGATATTCATTATAGTATATGTGTAGCAATTACAGGCCATTTTATCTGGGATTCAAAGTATAGCTAGCTTAAGCAAGTTTGCTGGGAAACACGACTCATTAAGGCTCTGCTTCACTTTCCTCTTTTCGTGTGCCTTGGAAGCGACCGCCGACTTGCACATCAACTCCTTTTTTCAGAACGCTTTAATTGCACCATTCGGGTGGTGTTTGTCATGCGTAAGGCCAGCTCCGTAATGAAAAAGACCCTTATACCCGGAGGGACGACAACGGCAGCCAAGCCATCCTCGCCGGCACCAGCTCCCACCACCAGTAGTAACCGTTTCGCTGACACTCAACACGATTCCAACCAGCATCTACCTGAAGAATCTTCTTCTATCCACGACAGTGAGAAGCATCGACTTGCTAAAAAGGTGCCAGCCTTACCAGACACTTCCGATGGCGATCAATCTTCTCAGCAGGAATCAGCCACTGAATTGGGTGTCGACTTCCCTATCCTCCCTTCTACATCGACATTTACGCTTGGTGGAAGAGATGACCGAGGAGAGAAGCTGAAAAAGAAGGCCAAGAACTTTCTAGACGAACGACAAAAGACTAAATCAAGAGCACAAAGCTTATGGAGCTATATTGGTAAACAAGTGATATGGATATGGATATGGATATCGATCAGCTATACTCATTGGCCGATGTTGTAGACGCGACGAACACATTGGATCAAGCACGATTCTTCCAAGAAAACGCAGAGCAAATCTTCCATGTCGTCTATGAAACATGCATGCATCACATTGAAAAGATCAAACGTAAGGATGATGATACCAATGGATTGAAGGCAATGCATATTGATATATGTGTAACACTATTTAGAGAAGAGCGAACGACCTCAATCTTGGTCATCCAAAGAGCTTGTCAGCCTTCAGAAGAATTTGCTGCTTTTACGCAAGATGTTCCTTTATGTCCCAGAATTAATGCGAAATGGATGGCAGCGGAAGAATATCGGTGAGTGCTGAGTGGTTGGGAAATAGCGGAGAGTAATTTCTCATTGTTCTCCTGTCATTTATAGCAAAGCTGCTAAAGCACATCTTGGATCATGGCAACCACTTACGCTTACGTGCTCTTGGATTTCATTTGCTGTTGCTATGGCTTAATGATCAAGTTGTGGAGTATCCTGAATGCATGGAACTTTTCGCGAATGCCATTTCACTCGACCTTTTCATTTTGGATGACGTTCAACCCATTTCATCAACCACTTTCAACACTTCGAGCGAGAATCCCAATCCTCCAGAAGAGATCTCATCATCTCGATCGCATGGATTACACTTTGTTCGGAAGCTTGGAGAGAAGAATTCTGAAAGAGCATATGGCCAAGGTCTTACGCGCGATAGTCGCATCAAGATGTCACCATTAAAGCTGTATCAGACACTGATTTTTGGTGGGTGTTTTTCTACTTGACATTGGAATATTATACTTATACCAATTCTTAAGGTGATGATCAAGCGCCTTTATACCCAAACCCTGTACAGCCAACGTACAATGATTCGATCGTATTGCTTCATATTTTCCTATCCAATCTCGTTCGCCTAGCTTATGTCGCTGCTGGATCACCTCCTCCTCCTGACGATTATGAATACCCACCAGGCGACCATTTTGAAGCAGATGATGGCATTGCTACAGGCGTAGGCATCGATGCAGCCACAGCCAGCGCCAAGTTCCTATTTCGCATCTTTCGCACCTACTATCTTACAAAGTTTACACCTCAAATCGCCAAAGCTTTTCAAATGGAAGGAATTCCTTCAAAGGATGAAGGTGGGTTTATCAAGATGAAAAGGTTATTGTGTTCAAACCACTGATTGTTGAAATGCTTCATATCAGATTTCGGGTTTCCCACATGCCCTCCAAGTATACTGCGTACTGTGCTTCGTTTCTTAATTGGTTATTGCCTCGACAACAACGAAAGGCATCACACCACCCATTGGCCAAATATGCCTACAGCATCTGCTTCATCACCAGCGACTCCGATTCTGAAATCTATTGTTTTATCATCATACGAGACTCGAGAAATGCTACATGAGATGCTTCGACAGGCACTTCTTCTTCCATGCACGAATTCATCCTATCGAGACATTACACGTGGAGCCATCCATATATTAGGCGTTTGGATTTTGGGCAATGAGGATGAGCGACCTTCATTCTTGCGACGCACCGGAAGTTGGACAGCAATTCCTGGCAGCATCACTCGTTCTAGTAGCCTTGCATCAGTACCAACAGCAGCAAAAGCAGATAATGGAACGGTCTCAACATCATCATCGATCCATGATGAACATGATTATAAGCATGCTGATGCAAACCGATTCTTACGTCGCTATTTCTTGATGATTCGTGTGGTCTTTGAAAATCATTGGAAGCGAGCCATGGATCAAGGTTTCGATATTCAGGGCGTGGATTGGGATGGTGTTGTCAGCCTTTACAAGGATGCAATCAATGTCTATCGTGCAATTACAGTGACCCGTGGGGGCATTGATATGGAATGTGAAAGCTGGTAAGCTCCCTATTTGGGAAACATTTAGAGACGCAAGTAATGACATCTGGAGCGAAAATAGGGAATTGCTTTTACAATGCTTGTTGGATATCCAAACATGGTTCATGAGTCCACCCGACAAATGTGTTTGTATTCCTGTACCACATCTTGCAGAGGATTTGGCAGACTATATATGTGAGGTATGTGCTGATGGTGATGGTGGGGGAAATCATTCTCTAATATGGGAAGGTAGACATTGCTGCATGCATTTTCCAGAGCAAACTTGTCAAATATGGATTTGTGGAAAGATTTGAGAGCACAAATGGTTGCTACGATGGCATGGACATCAACACTTGGCCAATGGGTGGTATGTGTTTACTATTTACTTGCATGATGTGGAATGTTAATTTTTCTCGTACATAGAAAATCATGCATAAAATCACCAGGCTTTTGTCGGCTCGTTTATACAAAGTTGATTACGAATGTCAACCTTTAGAACACGTTACAGACGACAGCAACCGTGCCATACAGTATCATAGCAACTATGGAAATCGCCCTCGCTACAAAGTACGATCACGGCATTTGAGTATTCAAGCTGATTTACGATCCAATAAGCGTTCCACTGCAAGGCCATTATCTTCTGGAGGCAGCGATGGGCAACTTTTTGACACTGTTGCGGCTCAAGATAAGGTGTACACCACGGATAACGCCACCAGCAGTAAAACAACAGAGCACCCTAATGCTGAATCATCAGCTAGCAACGCCGTTATGATCATGCGCAACCTTAGCAACCTATCGCTTTCTGAAAAAGCCAGCTCATCCAAAACTTCGGATCGACGATCGGCTCATTTTGTGGATATTGATGAGAATCAAGGCATGTCATTCTCAGGTATTGATGAGGAAGCCAATGGCGGCAGCAGCAGCAGCAGCAGCCATGGTCGATCGGGAGGGAACAATATCAAATTTGGGATCAAAAATATCATTCCAGCACCATCATTCTCATCCAGCACAGCTCCAGCTACATCACCAACAGGACCACCTATGATTTCGACCACGCAAGCAAATAGCGGTTCATCATCTATTGGATCAGGCTCCCAAAAAAGAGGCAATAATACTCGACGCACTGTAAGCATTCATCAATTCGACACGTTATGGCAGGATTCAAGTAGCAAACTCCTGAATTTTGTTCATCATGGTCAACAGCAGCATGGTGATCCTTCAGAATCCAACCCACGCCCAACAACTCTGAGCGCATATGCCAAAGACGAGGATGATAGGAAATCTCGCCATGATATGGATAGGAAGAGTATAGCAAGCTCCATCGACCGCCTTGCAGTTGAGGATAGTGGCACATTGTCGAGCAAGGTAATTGAGAATGTTTCCCCTTCCTTTTTCATTCGAGCGACTCACATTGCCTATACAACATAGTCAATTAGGTCTTCGATATCCACCATAATGCCTCAAGGAGAAATGATTGCTTTGACAACAAGCGTGGTTGCCGTTAATGAAAAGCTTCCCAGTGCATTGGGCATTTTTCGAAGCAATGAGTTCCTCAACCTTTCAAGCATGGTTGCTGATGGCATGGCGATTCTTGAAATATGGAAGAACATGCTCTGTTCTATCGGTAATATCAATCAACTTGAGGTAATGGGAAGGGTCAATGAGTCGTATTACCATGTGGTTAAACCCTTGTTATAGGATCCACAAAACCACGCCGTTGCTATGTCATGCGTTGTCGAGATTTGGGATACGCTTTCTTGGGTAAAGTAAAAAGAGGATATGAGTAATCAGCTACTAAGGCAATCAACTTCCAGGTACGATCTCGGCAGCCTTTCCAAAATGTCACTCGACCAGCGCTTTATGAAATGGCCCCTTGGTTTTTACAAGCTACAGAGCTATCAGAGTATGTATGCAATCATAATGAATAACACCAAGTCTAACAAAGCGCAAACAGGAATTACGATATCGGACGTGCAGCGGCGTATGGGTGCTTGTGTCGGCTAGTGTCACAGAGGCCTGAGGAAAAAGTATCCATCAACTACTATGCTCACTTTTACAGAGCCATTCTGAAGGTATGTACATCAACAGTGATAAAGTAAATCCACTAACAACATTGTCTATCGTAGGGATTATCATCAAAGGATACGGCAATTACTGAATCTATCATGTGTAATTCTGGTCGCATATTTTCACGTTCGCTTCCAGGAGTGTATATCCTTATTCCACCTTTCATTGACGGGATCGAGAATATGGTAAGTCTGGATATGACAATATTGGTGATGATGGAAGTATACTGATCCACAATATTGTAGTTGCTTGAGGATGACACGGCCAAAGACGTGGAGGGAAATGTTAGGCGTGCATGTCTCACCATTTTGGGATCCCTTGTGCCCATCTCCAATCATCTGACGGATATAAAAATCAGCATCGAGGAAACGAATATTGACTGGATCAGTGGATTCAATGAGAGAGATTTCGCGTTTGCGGATGTAAGTATAATGACGACGATATTTGGAGAGTTTACAAGCTAATCATGATCGAAACATAGATCAAGATATGGCTGAAGAACTTGCTTTTACGACTTGTGAATGCTGATACCACCAAAGAAAAGCTCGAACGGGATACGGATGCGCATTGTATGCTTCTAGGTGCAATTTGTAGCCTTACTCTTGATGAGCTATTGCAATGTGACATGTAAGTGCATAATGGTGAATGCTTGTGGATATCCAGATTAATAACATCCCTTGGAAAAGGCCCCAGCACGACTTGATCTATGAAAGCATCCTCGCTATGGTCAATCATCTATATTGGAGCAACATTACGATCGTCAATAACGTGGTTGATTGTCTCAATACAATGGCGCAGATTTACACTGAAGATATTGATCCTGATGGGGTAAGGTAAACTATTTACATACATAGGCGCATTGCTAAACTTTATGTATCAGGTGATCGTACAAGAAGTGTTGACCAGAATCATTGATGCTCTCAACGTCCATCTCAAGTATTATGAGCACAATAGCAAGGATGGCCGAGGTTTCATCATCTCCAAGCTTTTCAGTTGTTTGCTTGAATGGCTTATGGTTATAGAGCCAATGATCCTTTCAGAGACCGAGTTGTGTCAGCTCGTGTTTGACGTGATTGAGTATGCCTTGCACACCTCTTCGGTAAGGATAAAGAAGGTGATAAGAAGGATAATTTTCATGCTTACCAATGGGTATACAGGAAGGAGGACCAGAGAAGCTTTTGCCACATCCACCACTCATGCGTTCGGCTACATCAAAAAAGAAGGAGCTCCCATTCAAATTCAAGCTCATCACTGAAAAACGACCTGCTCTCCACCACGAATACATCAGCGTTATTAGCGGATCGGATATCTCGGCGAGTGATCAGGGATACGTCAAGGTATGTGTATACATCTTTTTTATTGCATGGTGATCTAAAATCAATTGTATAGGAATCTGCTGAAGCAGTGCTCCTACATCTTTTGCATCATTTCAACAACTTTGCGCCACCTTATGGTCCTGCAACGATCCACAGCACAATCATTGGCCCTGGTGTTGCCACAGACGACAATAAGGAAGACATGCCAAAGTACCAATATTTCTCTTTCAACGACACGACCATTATCGCCTTTGTGGAGCTACCTGAGACCGAGACACATGGCCCAAAGGCTCGAATGATCATTCGTGATGTGACAGGGAGATACGTTTGGGATGCAGTAGCCAGCCCTTCTAAAGAATTGGAAATGTCCGAGTCGAGCAAGCACAAGCCTGATTCACCCAGCGGAGGAAAGACCAGTGATATCAAAGAAGAGGGCTTCAGCCTGAGACCCGGTGTGGAGGTGCAAAACACAATAACTGAATCTGTGGATCGGTAAGTAAGAATAAGAGTGATACCAATACATTGCGTTGACCAAAATTTAGATCGAGTCGACAAATGTTGCCGGATAAACTACATGAGCTCTTACACAAGTAAGGAACTTTTGCTGTTATTGCCTTCTTTGATTGTATATTGACTCGTTTTCTTCTAGGATTGGTGAGCAGAATCCCGATTGCGCTACCGATCTCAATAGTCCAATACCTCTTTCACAACTTCAAAATGACATGGTTGGTCGTTTCGATGAACAATTGAGTGATTTCCTCGAAGAAGAAGTCGACAATAACGAAAAACAAGAATCAGATGTGTATGTACCTTTCATATTGCACCGCATGTCATGTGATGCTGATTCCTATTATAGTGGTCTTTGGTATTCCAAGATGAACATTTTACGACGCAATGATGCCACCGATCGCAGCGATTCACTCCATACGCATCTCATAGCCAACTTTTCGATTCGAAAGGATCTCCTACCAGCATTTCCACATGAAGCAGAGAAATCACATGTTCCCTTTCAACAAAGCCGACTTTTGCTCAGCCATCTTGGATTTATCAACTATGAGCACCTCAAAGACAAGACATTCCAGATGCTTAACAAGACACCAGCTTTGTTTCGAGATTTGAGATTGTTGGATAGGAAGCAAGGGTAAGGGAGTATAGGTGATAATTTCAATGCATTTAGCTAACTAACGTGCATAGCCGAGAAACGATGAAAATTGCGGTGATTTACGTTGGCCCAGGTCAAGAGGACGAGCAGAGCATTTTGCATAACAACCATGGCAGCACCATGTACAACGCATTTGTCAATAGCCTTGGCTGGGAAATCGATATCGCTACTCACACTGGATACCTTGGTGGTCTTGAGCGCAACCTGACGAATGGCACACGCACCAATTACTATTGCTCTTCGACCTTGGAGATGATTTTCCACGATGTCACTAAAATGCCAACAGAGGCGGATGATCCGAAACAACTCAAGAAGGTAAAAGAAAGGTGGAAGGTTTATGTATAAAAGGTAATTAAGATTCGTCTATAGAAACGACATGTGGGCAACGACCACGTTCATATCGTATGGAACGAACACGATCGAGATTATCGGATTGGCACTATTGGTGGTGATTTTGGTAACGCGCAGATTGTGGTGAATCCTTTAACCAACGGCTTATTTGCCATACGCGTTTATCGAGATGAGAAGGTATGTAATAATGGCCTTGGCATTTTGACGTATCATTAACAAGCATGGTAGATTCCTTATTTCGGTCCTCTTTTCGATCGCATGGTTGTGTCGCAGGCGACGCTAGGCCCGCTTGTACGAGCAACGGCTATCAATGCATTCCGAGCATCCATTCATACCAACTACTATTCCTTTTACAAAACCGTATTCGCCCAGCGAGCCAACGATGTCAAGACGATTGCTAATCGGCATAAGGGTGCAACATGGTGAGTGGTTAATAGTGGGGTTGACAGCAAACACTTTGGACAGATCAATTGATTGAACATGGCTATAGGAGCTACGAGCAATTTATGGAGAAGATCTTCATGCCATACGACGAATAGATGTCTACCTTACACTTACTACAGTATATCACTATATATCATGCATATTGAACAAGTTCCTAATAATCTCACTTTTTTCCATCGAGCCGAGACCAAATCAGAGCACGTGTTGATGTGCAAGAATTGGGGGCGGCATTGCTAAATTTCCACATGGTTGATCACTTCTTTTGGTGGGTAACACCAGCTTGTCCTGAATTTTTAATTAGGTGCTTCCTTCTCCCATTTGCAACCTTTCAGCTCACCTTTCTTCCTCCATTTTTGCAACAAGGCAGCTCACGCTCTCTTTTTTCCCTTTTTACATATATCCATTCATTTTTATTATAACAAACCCATCACAATACCATCATCATGGCTACCCCATCAACGAATGAAGTGCTTTTCGTTGTCATCGTCGTTATTCTTTTCTTCTTTTTGCTCGGTGGCTGTGTCTATTGTATTTACAAGGCTACTGGTCCTCGCAAGAAACAGATGACTATTGAACAACAACAACAGCTTCAGCAACAACAGTACTATCAGCACATCACCGCCACACAGCTTGAATCATTGAGACCTCCCGAATTGGCAAAGCAGCTCAACAGCGATAAGCGACGATCGATCCTTGATAAGTTTATGGCACAGCCCACTGTCAATCGCCCCAGTTCCATGCGTGAGCCCTCTTTCTTACCAATGCATCAAAGCATAGCTGCACGCGATGCCCAAATCGCAGCTATGGTATCCAACCAACCGCCACCTCCTGCCTATGGCGATTATCGATCCTCGGTACGAGTTGATGTTCAGCATGCTGTTCGTGCACCAGACGAGAAACATTAGTTTTACTATATTTCCTCGCATCCAGTTCTTGAACATACAATTTCCAGCTCTTTTCTTTCGACCCGTTGTATCTACGAATATACATGTAATGATTAAACCTTGAACAGTAACGTGTATAAAGTGGGTGCTATGTCTGAAGATGCCTCTCTCAACATGCAAGCCAACTTATTGGCGATGTTTCAAGCGTGGAAAGGGATCATGAGCCTTGTCCTTGTATCATAAAACATGTTTTTTCTCTCATTGTTCTCGATGCTTTTATCACCTTTGGGACGCACAGCCACACCAGCAACTTTGATAGATTCAGGATTTAAGATTATCGGGAGATCCATCATCCTCATTCGATACGTAGTAAAAGTGATATTGTGTTACGTGCACCACCTTGCCCTCTTTGACGAAAAGTGCCTCGCATGCCACCAAGGAATGCAGCTATTGGACATATATTTCATGGTAGTGTGGTATACCCTATGAATCAACGCTTGCATAAATTGAGATTTCCAATACTTTACTTGAAATGAATACATTCAACGTTGTTTATCATGGGCAAGCTTGGTGGCTAGGTAATGGTGTCAATACTAGGCGAAAGACGTCAAGTGGCACGCACTCTGTAATGATGCTGGGCGTCAAATACCACCATCTTATGCAGACAACTCCCTTTCAGGTTACACATACAGTATGCAAACATCACAAGAAGGTCGTTCCATTCAATAAATGCTACGGTAGAGGGAATCAAATGCGCTTGCGTGTACATTGAAATAGCAAGATGGCATGGCTAGAAGCATCAACAGAAACTATACGCACTTTTCTCATGATCAAACACAAGTTGTATACCATACAATTACTCTTCACAAGTCATAATTGATTAGGGCAGTGGGATGTGGTGCATTACAATACATTGAATGATATACTGACATCTATATTCTCTATCAACTTTAAGGTTCACTATCCTTAGGAATGATATTCACAAAGACGTAACCCTCCTTTTCTAAAGCGTGTCGAAGATTGAGCATATCCATGATACGCGTGCTTTCATTGTCGCCATTCCACATGCCAACAACAGCTCCTCCACTGCCAGGGAATTTGGCGACGCATCGATGTTGTCGAGCAATTTCCACCATTCGCAAGTTGACGGCTCCCACTACATCATCACCATATGTCTTTCTTCGTTGTTCGAAATTGGCTGTCATAAGTTGAGCAAATTCGTGATGGTCGTGATCATACAGTGCCTTTCGTGCTTTATCAGTGAAAGATGCAAATGTCTTCATGGCATCAATGATCTATTGTTTTTCATGTCAATATCCAAGGAACATAAAACCCTACTTCCCCCCTACCCATACCTCTGGATCATTTGCCAAAAAGCGTTGTTTCACAGTGCTATGAACCTTGCCGGAATCTTCAGGATGGGCGACATAAGCAAGGAAAAGAGGTGGTACAAGAGAAAGGTCCAGTTGCTCGTATTTGCCATGCTTGTGCTTCTCCATATAGCTCTTTTCAAAGTCCATATACACCAAACCACCATAGGTCTACAAAGTATCATGGTCAATCCATGCGTCATGGCTTTGTGGTATTCGTTATACTCTACCTGAATCACACGATCTTGAAGACCCGCTGCAATACCAAGTTCATTTTGCTCAACTGAAAGAACCAATGATGCTTGCTCCTCAAGTGGAATTGTTGTCACGTTATAGAATTGAATCAGTGCCTTCCAAAATGCAGTAATGATAGCCGAAGAACCGGCAAGTCCCACTTGGCGAGGGATGTTGGTATCAAACATAACCCTGAAGCCTTGTCGCGTATTCAACTCGATGCCCTTGTCTCGACAATGTGTGTAGAACACCTTGCAGCACGCCAATAAAAGCCTATCTCCATTATCATAACCATCCTCTTGACACATTGCTGCTAGTGATGCGATCGTACTAAAGCGGCGTGGATCTGCTACGGGGTTGGACATGATGGTGATCTCTGTTGTTGGTTGTGGTAGCAAAGCGACCTCGGCCCAGAAATTGGAGATCAAAAGGGACATTGTTTTGCCTAATAACAAGGATGATGAATGATCCTGTAGTATTTGTATCCATGTCACTTACCATAAAATCCATCACTTGGGTTACCCATTAATCCAACACGTGCATAAGCCTTGACATGAATAGGATCCATGGCACAAGGTGTGCCTGCATCATCCAACCAATCAGCGAGATATTCATCAAAGGATAATTGCTCTTCCATAAAGCGAGCAGCAGCTGGTTTGTCGTCGACAATGATATGATCAGAAATCATCATGGCAAGTTCCTTTTCTTGATCGATGACGGACCATCCATCCAAATTAGAAACGTAAGATGGTAATGCTCCAAGTGCATTTGGCTGAAGTACAAGGCTGATCATGCGCTTTTCTTGTTCACCATTATAGAAGTAGAGAGCAGTCTTCTCCTGGGAAGTCTTCAAGAGCGAGGGCAACCAAGTATCATTGTCGTTGTACAAAAAGTCGGCCATCATGATTGTGGATACACCATCCCTGCAGTCCTTGACGCGATGTACAAACGTGATATCTGATATAGGCCCAGTGCTATATAAACCACATCCCTCCTTCAGTACCTGATCTAGTCCACTGACAACATTTTTCTCAAACTCATACCTGAATCCACAATTAAGAATGTTGGCCTTTGGAAAATCATGCCCTGTTGCCCATCGTTCATAGTTCTTGTAACTGTAATAGTCGTTGAGTAAAAACATCCATGCCATCGTGTGTATGTATGTACATACTTGTGAGCATTGGTGACGATATAAATGTTCTTGAAGAGAGCCTTGGCTTCGTCGAGCCACCAGGTCAATGCTGGCTTTCCCGATACAGGCAAGAGGGGTTTGGGTAAACCGTGCCATTGCAGGCACTGCGTAGAATAGGTATTCTATGCAAATGAGACGCTTCGGATGAGCCATGAACCCGTAATGAAATACAACTATACAAAAGGAGGGGTACCTTTATTTGTGATTCAAGGCATGTGGGGCGGGATGCACTCGCAAGGATGATGAGGGTGTCCATGACAGGAAAGGGAATAGAGAGTTTAACTACACAGCCGTTTGAGACACCGTTTCCCGCCTCGGGAAGAATCGTACAATTTCCTCATAAACAGCCCAAGAAATGGCCGAACTCAATGGTTTTCGTGCAAGTCGCAAGCTGATGCCATCAAAAAACCCGCGTAGACCATTTTCCTAATTGAGTATCCCAAAATCCCCATTAGACAAAGACGTGATTGATTCTTGTATCCTTTGTCGTCCTTACCATAAACACACGTTTGGCTGTTGACCATGTTGTCCTATACAACTTTCGATCCAATTGCATCCGAGTCTTGATCATGTCAAATGGTTGGGTAATACATGTTGCAGCTGTACCTGCCACTACCCCTGCACCGAGATTCACTGCCATGTTGGCTATTGGTACATCGCGACGTTCTTTCCACCCTATACCATGCGTTTAATCTTCCACTTCGTATTCAATAAACATTAACTTACCATTGGCAGTTGATTTGAACTTTTCATAAAAGAAGAGGTAGATACCAGCAAAAGGAGCATCTCGAATAAACGTAGCACCAAAACCAGCAAATAAGCCTATTCATGCTATTAAGTAATCCACAGCGCAACTATCTCTCTAACTTTGGCATGAATACCTCGTATGCCATCGGTTTGAATAATATGTCGGAATGCTTCAGATATACTCTTGTAATTATATAAATTGCTCTATAAGGAATTCTTTTAGTCAATCACGTTATTCTTCTTCGATACGCAATATGCATTAACATACCTCGTAGCGTACTTTGAGTACAGTGACAGGCATCATCATGTATCCTACCGAGCCACGTGCTGCTGCACCTGCCACCAAATTTTCCCACCTTTCTTCGCCGTGTCGAGCTCGTGATGACATGTATCGGTGCATAGTAGGTCGGGTTGCATTTAGCAAATGTCGGATTTCCGAAAGGGCCGCAAAGTACAATGCAGTACCAGGGACGTTTCTTTGTTGTCCAACAATAAACATACAAGCATTAAACCCTTATCCTTATCCTTATTGACTCTGGTTCGTTGTTTACTACCTGACAATGGTTGGCAATGTACCACGCCATAATCCACCTACGCCATTGGTCTTTATAATATCCCGTACAGTCCAGTATAATGTGCTATTCATCCAATTAGTCAATAAAGAAGCCTCTCTTCATATCAAAAAATGATACATACTTTCTATGGGGTGGTATTGTGATACCCGATCGCATGCTGTCATGTCGCGATTGTTGTAAACGGGTCTTGATCAAGTCGAGAGGCTGTAGCATGACACATGCCGACATGCCTGAAACGGCGCCGCCTGTTAAATGAGCTATCCGGTGGGGTTTATTGTGTTGTTGTGCCATGACGTGTGTATGTAGTATAGAAAGGAGGATATTTTGTGGTGGGTTGCGTAGGAGAGTCAAAGAGGTATAAGCGCACAGTGGAGGAGCGGAAATTTACTGCATGGGCGTCAAACATCAACAACTTTAGTTCCAGCACAGTCGTAAATGGAAGTATCAATAATACTCGGTATTCGGTTCTTTATGACTCATCTTTTTCTTTCAAGGCGCATGCTACTTTTATGGCTCATGCACTGCACAATCTCGGCAAAATGATTGGTTGTTTACATTACAAAGAACATCCACACAGCCTTGATCATAGGAACTCGGAACCGACATCCCCTTATAGTCGGCTTACACCTACACAACGAGTTTCCATGGCAACGGATGGGTTGCCTTAGCTGATGATTACTTCCTTTTAATATTGCCACTGGACAAAAGTGATTGGTTGTTATGAAAGAAAATGGAGGAGTGGGGGATAATGTTTTATTCCATCGTCATCATCATTTAGCAAAAGGGATTGACAGGATACATGTTGATAACGGGAGGTGATCGGTGACTATTGACTTCGAGTTTCACTTGTAAGGTGGTGAATATAGCCAAACGTTGAGAGCACAATGTATGGTCAAGAGGAGCAGCTCGTACAGACGTGATGGATTGTCCCATAGGTGCTGTTACATTGTTGGCCTTGCTTTTACCCTTATTCTTTGATTCCATGTCTTCACGTGATTTGATGTCAGTGGTTCGCATAGTGTCGCGTTGATAATGTCGTTTGAATTGGCTTTCCATATCCACAGGGACACCCCGTTCCCAATACAATACAAGGCTCGCGTCGTCGTTGCAGTAGTCATAGTTGTCAAGAGGATAATCTTGTGCAAATAATCGTCGCTGTAAGCCGTATTCATGCAAATACACATCAAAATGGTGCTCAGTCACTGCCATCACCACGGCGGTCTTGATGGTCTCCTTTTGCGTTCGGTTTAGATAGCGTGCTAGGTACAAGTGTCGACTCATTTCTTCTGCCACTTTGCTCATTTCTCTTCGATAGTTGCATGAATAAGCGATCATTTGGACAGTCTTCGTGCTGTAGCCACTGTTAGCTAAAAAATGGGTACATTGTATGAATACATGTATAATACATAATGGGTCATGATGGCTTACCCATTCCTTTGAGGGCATTATTCAATTGACGATGGACCAAGATATCAGCATAGCGACGAATCGGTGAAGTGAAATGCGTATACACCTGCTCATTCAATGCATAATGGAGGAATTTGGTGATGTCGAGAGCGCCTGAAGCAAAGTATTTTGCACGTTGCATTGGCTTGATAATCAACATGAGTAAAACTTGCTTGACGGGTCCATCGGGTATGTTTTCCAAAGATGCTTGCAATGCACCTGCACTTGATGCATCAATATGATAGCCATAGCTTTTAGCTTCCTCCACGAAAATGTCCTATTAGTAATAATGAGTGGACCTCTTCCTTCTGCCATTGATAATAAAAGAACATACCATGCGTCGAAGAATAGGTGGTGCATGTCGACGAAGCAATGCTTCCCTGTTGTAGGCTGAGCTAATCTTCTGGGCAACGTGGGTATTGGCAAGAAGCATGAATTCTTCAATGAGCTTGTTTGAGTCTTGAGCTTCGAAATTGGATACTGCAGTAGGCTCCCCTTCATCATCGAAATCGAATGTCAGCTTGACGGATTCAAGAGCAAGCGCGCCATTGGCAAATCTGCGTTTCCTCAAGTGACGAGCAAGAGCCATCAAATCTTTGATCGATGTTTCAATATCAGAAGCTTGATTGGGATCGACTAGTGAAGCTGATTGTGGCAGCTGACCACCTTCCAGTACTTGCTGAGCATCGTTGTAGGATAACTTGGCTCTCGAACTACCGCAAGTAATTACATTAATACGTATATAAAGGTGACATAGCATTTGATCATCATCAAACTTACCATACAACCGTCTTTCCAAACCAAGTTGAACGAATATTGGCTTCATCATCCATTTCCCATACAACTGAAAATGCCAACCTATAAAGAGGAGGTGAGATTGGTTTGCCCTATTGGATCCCCCAATGCAACTTACCGATCCTTTCCTGGGTTCAAGCTACACAACTCCTCTGCCAAAGTGACTGGAAGCATTGGTATAACGTCATTCACCAAATAAGTACTTGTTGCTCGCTCACGGGCCTCTGTATCTAATGGTGTATGTGCTGGGATAAAATAGGAGACATCTGCAATATGCACGCCAACTTGAAATCCTCCATCTTCAAGCCGTTTGATATGTAAGATGTCATCGAGATCTACAATATATAAAAGTATAAGATTGGGGGGGGGTCATCCATAGAACGTTATATAAGCTTACCTTTTGCGGTATCTGGATCAATGCTAAATGTAATATGAGACCGATAATCGGTACGTTTGCTGATCTCGTCTTCGGGTATAGTCCACGGTATCTTGGGTAAAGCATCACGAGCCACTGAAGGATATGGTTTCATTTTGATACCACTTCTTGCAAGAATGGCATCCGTTTCCACCTTCATGTCACCGACCATGCCAAGAACCTTCATAATCTTTCCTTTGGGACGTCGCTTGTAGATAGACCACTCGACCATCTTCGCCTATAAAATGGAATCATGGGTTAAGCTCATGTCACTCACTCGATACACAAGAAAACGAGATAGGTATACTTACCACCAACAAGGTAGATGTATAATAACTTTGCCGTGTCATGAAGTCTTGTGGGGCATCCTTCTCGTGAATCATGAGCAAAGGGGTACGTGTGTCGAGCGGTCGAAAGATGATCTTTGGTCTTTTCACATGTTGTGGAGGACTGTGATATAAGCCCTGGGAATCGTTGTAATTGCTGGTGTTTTGCTCAATTTGAAGATATCCAACAGTGACCCTTTCCTCAGGTTGATCCAATATTCCAATCACTTCACCAGCATATTTTGGCTTGGTCAAATCCTCATCATCTTGCTCCACTTGTTCTTCTTCAAACATGAACAACTCCATACCAGCCGGTGCTTCGACCATACGATAACTTCCATTTCCAGCACCAGACTTTCGTTGTTTCTCTTTGCGTTTGTTCCACACATCATCCACGTCCAAAAGTCGTACAGCAACAACATCCCCATCAAATGCTCGGTTGCGGAGTAATTCTCCACCAATGTAAACATCCTCATCAAGGTTTTCCACCGTAACATAGGAATCGTAGCGATTACGACGATTGATACGAAGCACACCACGATGGAGTTCGCCGATAGATACCTTTTCCTCCATATCTTCAATGCTTGGATAGGACTTGTAAATGGGTTGATACTGATCATCCGAATGCACTGCACCAGTGAATGCGGGTGCTATTGTAATGAATAAGCTTCTTGATCATTCAACATGATGTAGATGCATTTGTATCACTTACGTTTTTGAGAGCGATAGGTGGATCCATCCTTTGTGCGTTGTTGTAATTTTCCTTCATTCTTGTATTGGTTATAGTGATCGGTTGATGGGGTGCCAACGTAGGAAGGATACATGAAAGGTGATGCATTGACGCCATTGGGTGGTGGTGATGATATGGATGGAGATTGAATATGTTGTATAGCTGGTGATCCTTTACGGCGAATCGTCCTCACAAGTATGTCGTCAATGGAGATGTTACGTGAGTCTTTTCTTCCACGTGCCAAAAAGAATTCGTGTTTGATGATTTCATCCCCTTGATAAGATAATGACCCTGATGACACTGCTGGTGGTGGTGGTGGTGGTTGTTGTTGTAGTGGTGGTGGTGGTGGTGGTGATTGTATCACTGGATCAGGTATCAAACCGGTTGTTTTTGTTGCAGCCAAAGACGATGATGGCGTATCTTCTGGCGGTTCAGGAGACCACCCACTTCGTTCAAGATGATCGTGAGTTGTAGTAGTTGTTATCGGATTATCCAAGTGTGGGGTAGGAAAGTCGTTGTTGTCATCCCAGTCGTCGTTCCAAATACTGTTGGTGTCATCGCTATCCTTATGCAAAGAAGTATCTCGATTGCTGCTACTGCTGCTACTCATATTCCACCCAGAATCAAGTGAAGTATTCGTCCTCGTGTTGTTTTGTGTATTGGATGGCGTTTCACGGTTCCACGACTGCCACTGGACACTAGCACCTTCAAGTCCTTGCTGCTGTTGTTGTTGATGAGGCTCCACTATTGACTGATTGCTTATCAACGGTGATCGTTGTCTCCATGTCCCCGTTGGTGATACGCTTCGAGTGCTACGTGTGCTTGGAGTGCCTGGTGATGTCGAGGGAGAGCTGCGCGGTGCATTGAAGTTGGATGGCGAGTGTCGGTGGTATCCCGGATTGCTAGGTCTTGATCGCCAGTTGGAATTCGTTCTTCGACCCTATAAAATAAAGCCCAGTTAGTGTGGTGTCAAGAGGATTGCCAATGGAAGTCTTTACGTTGTTGTGGGGAAAGCTCATTTTGCAATGGGAACGGAACCAACAAGTGTTTGACACAAGTCAAGTCCGGAACGCGTATTTCCAATGCTGTTATTATCCCCTCTTTATGTTGCCGTTATTTGATGTTAAATGACGTGTTTTCTTCCAATCAATAAAGATGCTGTTGCAAATTCATGCATATGCCATGTCTAGTTTGATCAAATGATTCTTTATATAGTGCAAGAAGGATGATAAAATGACGATGGATGGGGAATTGTAATGAGATGGTGCAGATTATCTAGTTGGTTTTGGCCTTGGGATGACGAACAAGAGGACCCAAGACGTACTTGTTGCCAAGAAGAATGACAGCAATGATCAAATGGCCCAAAAAGTACACATTCTTGTATGCAATCCATGCCTTTCCAAGCTTGAGGAGGTCAAACTGAATAATAGAATAATACAATGTAGCGCAGCATGTCATCCAGCTGACAATTTTCCATGCATAGTACGCAATGGGATTCTTGGCCGTGTAAGGCTGAACAAGGGGTAAAAGACGTTTGCGCAAGACACCTTCGCACATGACACAGAGGAACTCGGATAAAAATGTTGTAAAGTATGCGATATGGAAGCCATGCCAGATAGCGAGGAATGCCAAAGCGCCCACTTGTGAAAGCAACTTGTTGTTCAAAAATCGTAGTCGCTTGAAGACATAGTACTTGGTCCACAAGTTGGTATTAATGTTGAAAGCACCAATCACGTGATCAATCGAAGTAGCGGTTTCAAATTGACTGGGGATTGCATTGGCAAGGCCACCGTAAAGCGAATTACCCTCGCCATCACGACCATCATATGAAATACCAAAGTAAGCAGAGGCACCTAACATAGCTCATCCCATAAGCACTATTATCCTTCTCTTTATACAATCATTACCCCTTACCTTCAGTCAACATCCACACGCCAATGTACTTGTTGTAGACGAACTTGCCGGTAACCATCATAATCCATACACGCTTCAAAAAGCATAGCGATGCATATTCCTCGGTCAACAAATAGGATGTAGGATACATTGCACCAATACCCTGTTGCAATACGAGATAGGTGATGGCCAAACCAACGCACTTGAATACATAACGCATTTGGGCCTTTTCAGCTTCTTCTTGATCATTCACGGTTTCATTGGTGATAAAAGGTGAGGATGCCAACCAACGACGATAAAGCGAGAAGGAGAATTGAGGACCAACCAAGAAAGCGGATGGATAATAGCAGTAACCCAAGACTTGAATGAACTCTGGAAGCTCCTCCAAAGGAGTATCAGCCGAGAATGACAATGGCAACTGGCTAGGGGGCTTCTTTTCGGCGGTGGGCCGAATATTGGTCGCATGATCGCTGGCTTGTTCAGCTTTACGAGTGGGTTCAGGACCTTCCACGGGTACCTTGGATACGGCTCCATCTTGGTAATCAAAGCTGAAACCCATTAAACGCAAGCAAAGAATGCATTGTGGCATGGTCCATGTAACATCATAATCGTCGGTGGCAGTGAAATAATAGGCTCCCAAGAGATAGATGCTGTTAAAGATCCATACGCCGGCTGTACCCAACTTTCGGTTTCCTTGACGATTGGCGAGATACATGATACCATAGCTGACCGACACCGTAAGCAACGAATGATAGATATCAGATCCATTGAAAAAGAGTGATAAACCAAGACCTGTCAATAGGATAAAAAGGTTCCGCTCACTGACAGTTGCTGCACTAATGGGGCCCTTGAGTTCACGAGTCAAGTACATTTGCTTGTACATGCGAGCAATAGGATAGGCGAGCCCGATGGTCATGAGCAAGCGCAACGTCGGCTCTGGAATGCCGGTCGCCCAGGCAATTGGCTCGGTGATAAAGGACATGACGGTATGGAAGAAGAAGAGCACCCCAACCTCTGGGCCTATTCCAGCCACACACCGACACATTATTCATGGATCGCCTTTAATACAGTCACATCAAGAACCACTTTTCAGGGGAGTTGCAACTTTGGAAATGTATAACTTTTATATTATGATTCGAGAGCAGTCATTTGATCTAAAGCAGTTCTTACTCTATCTCTCACATCTCGAGAAGAATCCTTTTCCATCACTCGTAATTGTTGCTCCACACCAAGCGCTCGTAGTCGATTCACTCGTTCGGCCAATGCTGTTGCAGGAATGTCAGCGAAATCTTTCCCAAATAAGCTTTTTTTTCTATCCCAGCATTTACCATCTTCATCATCGTCACATGTGATCCACGTCCAGTTGATAATACACCATACTGCTGCAACTCGAATATTGGGGGCGGGATGAGACTTTAAATAAAGTACTTTGGTTAGTATAACATACGATAATTTCTTGATCACAACTTACCAAATGCGATGCCACGCTGTTGACAATGTTGGGTCGACTCATTAAAAGCCTTCTTGGTTCCTCGTAGCTGCTTGACATGTTTGTTATAATGTAAAGTGCAGGCTCCAAAATCTATTATCAGAATAATCAGTACCAAATGCCATCCTCCTATCTCTGTTCTTACTTACGGATGCCATTGTGCTGCTATCTTCTCCTTCCAGCCCCATGTTGGATGTCACTTGCAGCTTGCTCTCCAATACATCAAGCAGATCATCTTTGCCGATCCCATCAATCACGTGCTCAACATCCTATTCATCATCCTTTGTGAGCTACAATCAACACTTTTTATCATAGCCGTGCCTTACCTCTTGTTGTCCACACACCAAATTCCTCACAATCTCCAATGCTTGTTCTTGGATTCCCATATCTGGTTCATGCAACAGCTCGATCAAAGTATCATATGTCAATGATTTCATTACAGCCTTCTTTGCTTGTAGATCCGCCTTGTATAATAAACTATTCAATGCCCACACGCCATTAAGCTGTAGTTTGGGATCATCCGACTTGGCATATTCAACGAAGCGATCAATAGCACCAGCATCAATCACATTCTAAGATTGCTATAATCAATAATCCATGCTGCAACTCAACACATCACTTTGGCTATTTACCTTTTTCATGGGTGAAAAGTCCAAGGTAAGATTACAAAGGGCGCCACATGCAGCTGCCTGGATCACGGTGGATTCATCATACAAGAGCTTCAACAACGGCGTGGCCACACCTGCATCCACGAGACTTGTCCTTAAATTGCTCACGCTTCGTGATAGCGACTTTGCACATTGACATGCTGCCAACCTGACGTGTGGATATTTGCTTTGTAATGCCGAGACAACGTGAGGAAGTACCTTGGAATCAATTGCCTATGCCACCATCCTTTTGTAAACATATGATCCAACTCGATCCCTCTATCCATTAACTCACTTGTGTTCGACATTCTTCCTTCAATAACGATGCTGCTGCAATGGCAATAAGCGAATTCTATAATAACAAAAAGCATTGAGTCGACCCAATTTCCTTTCTTTGCACCGCCATGATCTCTATACCTCACGAATCTTTTCCTTGCGTTTAGCAACGCTTCCAACACCTGGAACACCGATTCGTTCTTTGGAATCTTCTTCATTCTCTTTGGTGGAGGCACTCGACAACAATTCTGCCAACTTTGAAATCGCATCCGCGTCATAAGCAGCCTTTTGCATATCCTCGCTATCCTTGACCAAATCTGCCAACACCAAAGGAGCACGTTCTTGGATATCGCCTGATGGATCTTTCAAGAGTTTGACTAAAGCTGGTAGCACCACAAGGACAATCTCATTAAAGGGCTCGGTAAATACACCAGTGCGATAAAGATTGGTCAAGCTATATTGCATCAATGAGCATACTACAAATAACCCATACAAAATGACCTTTCTTACCATGTTGCAGCAATCAAACGCATGTTGGGGCACCTATCCTTCACGAAATCCAGCATGGTAGCAGTAGTGAGCTGATTTGAGTCAAAGGCTATACATAATTGAATATGAGTTCCATGGCTGATGGTACACCAACGTCACTTACGCTTTGCATGAATGATGATTTCGCCCAATTCACTGTTTTCTCGACATAATGTGGCCAAAGCGTCCAATGCAGCTTCTTGAGCCTAGGATACAAAGTGTTGTTTTAGAATTGTTCTTTTGATTGATCCTCACTTGTTTACCTTGATATGGCCTGAATGTAAAAGATTGACGAGAGGTGGAATGACACCAGCAGAAGCCAATTGGACTTGTTGTTCTTGGGTGTCACAGCATTTGGCAACAACGGCTGCAGTGAATTCGGCAATCATCCCAAACGATAAACTCTCCGATGTAGCGCTGGGTCGACCTTGTTGGCACAAGTACGATGAGGTGGCATCCAAAAGTGTGACCAGATCTGCAATGTGTCTTTCCTGCATAAACAACGGAATATAAGCTACACAGCGTCTTTATTCGTTCATGCAATCGGCGATCCAGCGGGGGATAAATGCGGGTACACGTGTGTGCGTGTGTGTGCGTACGTGTTGTGTCTATTGTGTCTCTGGATGGATCGCTCTCATCACTTACCATAAAGATATCATCCTTGGGCGTCTTTGGACAAGCGAAAATCGACTTCAATGCACGTGTCACTGCCTCCAGCAATTTACGCTTTTCTCGAATGGCATCCATCGTAGGCAAGTCGCGTCGCAAGCTGAGTACATCCAATAAAGGCCCAATAGCACCGTGGGAGATCACCACTGATACATTCTCATCCTTGCCTACAATCGATTCATGTCAGTATACATCATCATAGAGATGTCATATTAACTTGCCATGTGCTATGCTGCCGAGAACAGTGGCCGTTTGAATCTTGAGATCGTAGGATGTTGTATCAGGAAGCGTGAGATAGTCAACAAGTCTGCGTCAAGTGAAAACGATGCCAATGAGTACACGAGGCCATTCGAAGCAAGTGAAAGAAGAGGGAGACGAAACAAAGAACACTCATGAACCCATACTTTTGTACAACACCCAGCTTTATGTAGAGATCCTTCTTAGTCTTGTTGCCAATGACCGAGTTTTTAATAAAGCGAAGGGCTTTTAGTCGTTTGTTGTCATCAGTGGAAGTGAGGTCTTTAATCGATTCTTCGTATTTGGACGTGGTCATTCTGCGATCGGGATTTTAGAACAAAGTGAAAAGGGAAGCGGAATAAAGAAGAAGCTCAAAAAGCGCCCGCACAAAGAGCCCACACCACCCACTGGATGAGGGATGGTTCCAGTCACGTTATGCAACACCTTCCCAACATGAAAAGAGTTGGCGTGCATTGCTTGTAGTAACTTCAATCTATGATACCCATCATCAATTATTGGATGTCGGCTATGTATTCATTCATGTCTTTTTCTTACCACTTGATCCAAAGAGATCTCCTTGATACGCGCTATTTCTCTTGCTGCCATCATAAGATTAGCCGGCTCATTGTCCACACCCTTTTCCGGTCCAAGAGCTGGCGCATCCGATTCAAGTAAAAGGTTGGAAAGCGGCACATTCTTGACGAGAGTTTGCTTTTGAGGTGATCGGACAACAATGGGCGCTATCGAAAAGTAGTAGCTAATGATAATGATGCATAAGGATGACCCATTCCGTACGTACACAAGAAGAGCTTCTATGCACTTACCCTGCCTCGACAGCTTTCTTTGTATACGATGCTCTATTATGTACCCATAGATGATTAGCTATGTTGTCAATAGAATAAACCATTGTATTTCCATACCTGCCATCAAACGCATGCATGATCACCTTGGTCGCCTTGCATTCATACAAGATATCCAATGCGTGGTGCCCAGCAGACCTATTTTACACGTCAATGACAACCCCCCTCGCAGCACGTTTAGTTCCTTGCCTACCTCGAATGCACATTGACAGGAAGATTAGCTTCCATGGCCATTTGCACCTGCCGTTTGAAAATGGCGCGCTGCATGTCCTTGATCTCATCTTGGGTCTGATTCCCATTGTTGTTGGCAAGGATACGAGGCGTGAAATCCAATCCCACTTGATAATGATACGATTAGCCACACCTTCGTTCGCGTATGACAAAGAGAGCATACCTTCACCTATACAGCATATCTCTTTGTGTTGGATGGCATCTTGCAGCAATGGCTCAAACGTCTCAAAATCATTCCAACTGACTGATCGCTCCTCGTTGTTATCATCGCATTGAACAGGATGAAGACCCCTGGCAGGCCAAATGAAATTGTTGGATGCTGATGCAATCTCGAAAATGTCATGCGCGTCGTGGATTGATTCTGATACGGCAACAATATGCTGGATGGAGGCGTTCTTGGCATGATTTATCATCGTATCCAGGGTAGGTTTATCACCAGATGGCGTGTTGTCACGTGGAAAGTTGCTGTAGTTGATATGCGCATGAACATCAATCATGATTGTTGCACTTGGAGAAAAGAGAAAGAGAACAAATGGTGCATGGATCTTGCAGCAGCAAAATGAAAGGGTTTATGCAGTCACGAGGCCAAGGTAGCTTTCTTCCTTTTTGACGACTATGGTATCATTGTTGACTTTCTTTGTTAACAGAAGGTTGATACGCCCTTTATAGTAGCTGCTCCTCTTCTAACTAAGCAGACCTTGAACTTTCATACCAACCCCTCTCCCCCCCCATCAACCCTAATCATCGTCTTCACCATAAAGTACGCGTCGAGGTCCATTTTTCATAACGTGAAATAAAAACGTATGCTTAAAGTTAAATTTTTAATGCAAGCGCATCTGCATTGATTGTCTTGATGTTCTGCAGGAACCAGCACTCGCATGAAAATGTCGACTGTTTATGGATAGCTCCCACCCCCCACAAAGCATTTGTCCAACCCGACCCCAACATTTTCATTTTCTACTGCTCTCGCCAATCATCTTGATCTTAGTAATACAACGCATGTGCAAACCCTTTATGATTTCGTTGTTATATTTCTATGGCATCACTTTGGCTCTATAATCCACTTGCCTAAAATACGTCTGCCAGGATAAAGAGTAGCGTGATTACGGCACCTCTTTTACCCTCCCTTTAGTGCTCAGATCTTAAACATTGATTGCCGGTTGATTGGTTTCACACCTTATGCACATAGCTGTCAATCTTTACATCATTAACATCAATGTGATCTTTGTGGATTCGATGCCCCTTCTCATTCAAAACATAAGACGTGTACATAAAACAACATTTTCAAGTCAAATGCATACCAAACATGGTTCTTTATTTTGAGCTAGTCCAAATGACAGGGACTCAGGAAGAATGGTAAATGGGCGGTGTTTTGACGGGAGTATCTACCAACGTTCCGGAATGATGACAAGTTACACAATGAATGAAGGCTTGCTTCTTATGGTAAATCAGCTTTGCATGTGCTTGTGATCTGATATTGGCGTTGTATGAACCAACGTCTCCGAAAAAAGACTCACAAGGGATGGTCTAATTGCTATGTAGAGTATGTGTGAGAGTTGCCGAGCTCGTTTCTCCGCGATTGCGCGCAGATCTTACCTGCAAGAAGCCGTATTCTTCATTGACGGTAAAAGTAGAAGCTACTTTAGCTTTATGCATGTTAGCTGTACGATCTCACAACATGCCAATCATTTGTCCCAGGGACTCACCACCGTCATTTTCTCCCCAGCTACAATGACAACCCATCACCTTGCATGATGTTGGTATATAAATCAAACAATGAGCTGGGTACCATTACTACTACTATCACGTAGTAATGGTATAAGCACTAACATTGTAAAATGCTGAAGCGATCTTGCCACCAGTCAACGTAAGCATTATTAATAAGGTGGATGTGCCCAATGTGTGTGTGGCTGATCTCATTCGCTTGGAAGAATACGGAACCGCTGATAAATTTTATCTCGGGGATAAGCGAAAGGATTGTCCACATTGATCTAATGCTTCCATAGCGTGGGATTATAGTTGTGTTAGTGCTACATTTCGACTCGCGGATATATTACCTGTATTACCCACGATAAGCATGCACCTGTCAAACTCTCGTTTATCAACACCAACATCGGGTGATGGATAAGGAACATCCATGCTGTGAAAGAAAAGAAAATCTGAACGTAGCGGAATCACAACGTCGTAACGAGGTTGTTTTCCTCCACCAAACACCTCTTTGAAATAAAGTCAGATCACCCAATTATACGCACGATACGTCAGCTACCATAGCGTAATTCAATAAGGTATCACGGGTGCACCATTCAGCATTCAAAGCGATCCTTTTGTATTTTTGACGTCTTCCGATGACATACATTTTACTCACTACAGCGCTCTTTTTGCTGTTTGCTTTGGTGTAAAATTGAAACTGATGATTTAAACGTGTCAATAGCGCGTGCATAATAGGTCAAAACGTGGATGTGTGGAGTTGTTCGAATCGAAGGTTTCATGTTTCAGATCAAAAGCCGTACATCCGCATCCTTCCATTACGTATCAAAAGTAACTTGATGTGCATAAAAATAATGCTAGGTGACAAAGACATTGGGGTAGTAACATCAAATTTGGTATCAAATACATCCAAATGTCACCTTTGAAAGTGCAGCAAGTGCGCGCAATTAAAGATACTAGATCCACAAAGATATGGCTACATTCCCAAATTGCTGGTCCGTGTGATGGGTAAACAATTGCAACACCATCCATGTGCCGTGTTGTGTTGCACATCTAGGAAGAGATAGTGTGTGAGCGTGCGTGGTTACCTTATAGCAACTTGTAATCCAACAACATCCAATAACATAAATGAGATACTAGTAGTCTTGTTTATTTGATGCTGATACTTTTCTTTTGGGACGTTCCTTGCTGCGAACGGGTATCCGGAGACCTTGTCTATTAAGGTGGAGGGCCAATTCGCTTGATTCTTTAGGAGCTTGTGTGAGCCTGGAACATAGAATTTTACGTTGCATTCTTTTTGTTACCTCGCATGCCTGGAAACAACTTTGCTGGATATACCGTAAAGGGATCAGAATAAGATTCTGCAAGGACTTTGTCGCTCCTAGTAGCAGGTAAAAAGGTGTGTGGTAATCATACGAGAATGGTTAGCATCGATATCAATCCAGAGATCGTTTCCAGTAGGACAATGGGACACAAGAAAAAAAAAACGCAAACGGCGGAGCCCACATACACACATGAACACACACACACATACACGTACCTTCCAAGAGAAAACAGCGTAAACTGTAAACGAAATTGCCCAACGAGTCGTACACTTAGGTCTGGAAATGCAAAGTACATTGATCGATGTTTGTAGAGGTCTGTGTATATTGATGGCGAGCTGACAAGGGAGCCTACGAGTACCGCAACCGAAGACAAGGCGGGTGTGTTGTTGGATTCTTCTTTTGCTATCGTGGCGGATGGTGCTATTGTCGCTGGAAGGGATGTTGCTGGTGTTATGATACTGGAAGATGATGATGCAAAAGTCTGATGATGTCCCATGTTGCCTTGACATGAGAGCTCGCTTTGTAGGCTATCTGCCAAATGAGGGTGTAGAACGTGTTCATAGACCTGTGAAAAGTCAACCGAACATAGTCGTACGTGCAAGATGAAAAAGAGGTTTTCAGGAGCCCTAGAGAAATGAAAAAAGAGCTTGGTTGGTCATTTTTAGCACACTTGGGTGCAGATCAGCTTCTTGCTGATGATGACAAGTGGTTAAAGAAAAACAAAGATATAAAAAACTTACTCTGGATCCACTAGCTCGCCTTGTGCGTCGTACACATGAAGTTGCACCACAGGGACAGGATCCATGGGTCTTCTATCACTCGTACTAAAGCCACATGCACGACACTGTAATGGCTGCTCCACAATGGTTAAATGATACGACCTTTGTATATAAGAGAGATTAGTGAGACGTATACACAGTATCTCTTTAACATAGATTACCATGATGTGTACATTGCTGTATTGGGATTAGAAGGAAAGAGACGCGGCATATCCATGGGCGCTTCACGCATCAATTCACGCACACGATCGCTTCTCTTAATCTTCATACTATTCGACCGATAGCCTGCAACGGGGTTACCATAGTGATGTGAAGAATCCGTGTAGGCAAAAGGAGAAGAACAATCACCTGCCATCACGGAGGAGGAGGCAGTAGAATGTTCATCAACGTGTTGAGCGAAATATGGCTGAGAAGAAAGGTGACAAGGCGTTTGCTGTGTGATGTCGTGGGCTGTGTTGTCGATGTTTGTTGTGGAGGTGGTATGGGAATCCAGCCCATAGTCTGCGGATGATACCAATGATGGCTCTTGTTGTGTTGTTGTTGATTGGGGACCATGTGTGGAAGAAGTAGATGAGGAAGGGGAGATGTTAATGAAAGGATAATATGATGAATTTGAACGATCGGCCATGGAATAAAAAAGAAAAAGAAAGGCACGATAACGGCAAAGAAGAGAGAAAGAGGAATAAAATAGGCGGGGAACACGAGACATCCGAAATACTAGCGCGTGTGTGGGGATAAAATGACAGCCAAGACATGAGCAACAGCAAAAAATGCGTGCAGTGATCACTGTGTAGCGGCGACAAACAACTGTGTTGTGTCCCTTTTGGGATGAGCCTAATGTTCGGGAGGAATTAAGTTACCCTTACTCGTTGCCGTCCCATTCCACATACGATGAGACACCCGCTTCTTCCATCCCATCATCCCTTCCAATCGTCTAAATAGAAACCCACGTACACAACAAGAACTTTTATGATTGGAAAGCATCCACCATGACGTAGAACTTGCAGTAGAAAATCCATTTTGCCATAAGAAATAACAACAACAATGAATGGTTCATTCTCTTTGTATGGTCACCTTTGTTGTCTTTTAATCCACATCCACCATTACACCATGTAAAACCTGTTGCATGTGCCAATCCCTCTCTTCCGAATTCCTGGTAGCGGTAGCAACGCCGCTCATCCGCCAAACCCCCCATTCCGATCTTAGCGTACAGCAACCCTCTCCCCCCGTTTGGTGTTTGTGTCGCCGTTCACGGCCTCAAGCCATCATTTCCCCCATCCATCTGCATATTAAACTGACACCTTCAATCGAAACAAAGAAAAATGGAAAAAGCTAAATAGCTCATGAGTGTCAAGTAATGCAGCTTTTGATTACCAAGGAATGAGTCAGCAAGGCTTTGCTATGTATCAAGCCTGATGTAACATCGCTTCCATATGAGTGACGTGGGATTAAGCATTATCAATCAAGGTTAGCGAGAAGACGAATATAGGACGTATTTTCACAAAGGGAGATGTAACAGAAGCTCTTTTTTTGGACGTTTGCAGATAACATGCACTAGGTATTTAAGTAAGTTTGATCCTGTAGCTCTCCTTTGTGCGAGATCTTGTTGTCGTAGTAGTGATATCAAGAGGAGAGTGAGCATCATAAGCCAAGTAGCATCGTATAGCTTCAAGTGCTATGGCACGCTATCCACGATATAGAGAAATTTGGCTTCTTTGTGATACAGTTGAGGAGGATCTAGCTCTTGAAGATCCCCAACGACAATGAACAACTTTAATTCCACGCCACAATACATAAAAGCATTCCTTCGTTGATGGAGCACTGGATGATAAGCAGTATGAACAAGTTTATATAGGCAAATGAAGTATCCTTCTACAAAAAAAAACAAAGACCACCACTAAAGCAATGCTCCTTGTGGAAATCGTCGACGGCTAGGGGTGTCCACCTGATATTCCAGAATTGCGTTATCAACACCTATTGCCAATCATTCGTCAACATACATATCCCGACAAGGTTTATTCATCCAAGCCCATCTCCACTCTTACCAACAAACAGCTTTTGGCTATCTTGTGAAAAGGTTAAGCCTGTAATTGGTGTGTCTTGTTCAGCTGGTCCCACTCGTATTGTTTGCTGTGCATCGAATGTGCGAGCATCCACAATATGAACATGCGATACATGCTACCAACAATGCTGCACGTGAGAATGGATTGCATGAGGATGCATATGATTTTGAATTTACCTCTGTGTATGCGAGTAAATCCACAGCTCTCGTTTTGGAAAATGCCACACATCGCGCTGCACCCTTGGTGATAGAGGGCTATTGAAAAAGTGGATAAGCTCACACATACCCAATAATGGCTTGCATCATCATCATCATCATCATACGTACATTGCCAACACCCTTGAAGCAATACAATGGATCACGATGACGAATATCCCACACATGCACCGTGCCATCTTGACTAGCCACAGCAAACTTATCCGAGTTGGCAGTCCACGATACGGAAAAGTTGGCATCTCTGGATGCTGACATGGTCGCCACGCGTTCATATCGTCCACTGGATGTGATAGAAAACAAATGCACCTTCTTGTCGTCGCCAACTACAATCATCTTGCGTCCATCAGGGCTGACCGATGCTATGAGGATGATGATGATCCTATTAGATCATATCCATTCAAGACATACACACACGCACACACACGTATCCCACTTACTATGATTGACTGCCACCGAAAACTCCAATGTTTGTAATAGCCGTAAATGAGGAACCGTGAATATCCGAATACTGGCGTCATTATTCGAAACAATGAGACGGATTTCGTCACGCACTCGAGAGAAACATAAGCCGTTGTTGATGGTATTGTTGGGGGATGTGGTAATGGCTCTACCCATCGGGAACAACATGAGCTCATGACGACATCGACGTGTGCGTTCTTGTAGCTTACATTTTGTAATCGGAATGAAGATCCTTCAACGTCAAGTCGCTTCGTTGACCACCAGCTGCCCAATAGCCAAAGCTGCATGAATGGTTGTGAGAAAGAAAGAAAGAGCGGGGTATTTTATTTTCTTCCTCTCACTTACCCTGTTGCCATGCACGTCGGTTGATAACCCAGAGCTTTGACTAGGAAACGCCGTCGGCCCGTGCGTGTATCGTACTACGTACCCAAAAGTATCACTAGGTTAGCATTGCCCATTGTGCTTGTTAGGGTTGCATGAAAAACACTTGCTCGAAATATATCTTGTTCGACTGGAACAATCAATTCGTCTTTATACTCTGGATCAGGTGGTTGCAAAACTAAGTCTCGTAATTGCCTATGCTCGTATTGTGTCATGAGTGACGTATTAAGTCTATCGATTGTTGTTTGTGTGTTTGTGTACCAGTGATGCAAGGTAACCCGCTGATCATGGATTTGTGGCTCTGGCTTGATAAATTTCGAAATGGAATCGCTGCATAATGAAAATGAGTCTTCCCTTCCTTTTCTATTAGCCTTTTGGCTTACTTTGTGATATCAGTAGATTCAACAATGGTCATGATCGATTGTTGCAAAAGGGAGGGAAAGAAAAAGTGGGAAAAGAGTAGAATCATTGAAGGTGCGGATCATTTCCAAGGTTTTAGATCGGTGGCACAAAAATCAGATTAAGCCATGAAACCCTTGGGTCATTGTTCACACCTATTGTCAGGGACCTCACTGTCAATCTCCATAGGGTGTGCATTGTTTATTGTGAGACATTCGATATTGTAAATGCTATTGTCTATCACGCTTCCACGTCCGTGGCCCATCCAAAAGCACGATGGACCGCTTTTTGCCATCCGCTGTATAGCTCTTTTCGTTTGTCTGCATCAATTTGGGATGTAAACAATGTGCGATTTTCAGTGTTGACATTATCAAGTGCATGTACATCTTTCCATACACCAACAGCGAGCCCAGCTGCAATAGCAGAGCCGAGTGCAGTTGTTTCACGCATAGCTGGACGATCCACTTGGATGCCAAGAATATCGGATTGGATTTGCATAGCGAGATCAGAGTTGGACATGCCTCCGTCAACCTTGAGTGAACGTAAAGGGGTACCCGCATCCTCATTCATTGCATCAAGAATAGCTTTTGATTGATAACATGCAGCTTCAAGTGTGGCACGTGCAATGTGTGAACGCGTGGTGAATTGTGTGATACCACAAATGGTACCTCGTGCATCAGGTCGCCAATAAGGTGCAAACAAACCAGTAAAAGCCGTGACAAAGTAAACACCCGCTGTATCAGGAACTTGAGATGCCAATGTGTTGACTTCTTTGGCGTCTGAAATCAATCCCAAATTGTCACGTAGCCATTGAATGGATGATCCTGCCACAGCCACGGACCCCTCTAATGCATATACAGGTGCCTCGTCTCCAAGTTGATATGCAATAGTGGTCAACAAACCATTCTTGGAAGATACAGGCTGTGATCCCGTGTTGAATAACATAAAGCATCCCGTGCCATACGTGTTTTTGGCCTCGCCTTGGTTAAAGCATTTTTGTCCCACCAATGCCGCTTGCTGATCACCAAGACAACCTGCAATCGGTATCCCTTTTAGGCAACCATTTGCCACTTTTCCATACACTTTGGATGATGATGTAATCTTGGCAAGCTGAATTCCTTCGAAACCAAAGAAACTAGGTGATGTAAGCATATGCATCATTATTATAGAGAGCAACATGATGATCCTTACCGAATAGCTTCATCACTCCATTGCAAAGTGTGGATATCCATGAGCATGGTTCGACTTGCATTGGTAACATCAGTTACTAGAATACCACCATTTGCTCCACCTGTTAAATGCTGTGATAGAAAAAAAAAAAGAAAAAGAAATGAGTAGGGATGTTGCATATAGATGTGCATAGCGTACATAGATAAGCCAAGTATCAACGGTGCTGAAACGCAAACGTCCTTGAGCCAATGCCTCCTTGACACGGGGTACATGATCGAGCATCCATCTTAGCTTGACTGCTGAAAAATAGGTGGTCAGGGGTAAACCACAGATGGATTGTAAAGCCTTTACGCCTTTGTCCGATTTTGCCGAAAGTGCCTGCACTGTGCCAGCGGTACGACCATCACTCCATACAATAGCCGGGTATAGCGGCTCACCGGTTTCGGTATCCCATGCAATCGTTGTCTCTCGTTGATTGGTTATGCCGATACATGCGATGTCTGATGCTTTGTAGCCATCGGGTAAGGATTCAAGCTTACGCACAGCGTGTTCGACACATGTTTGTGCTGTTGCCAAGAGATCGTGTGGATCGTGTTCCACCCACCTGGTTCGTTGTCGGTAAGCAGGATTGTCCGAATAATGTTAAATCATCACACACAAGCACACTCCAAAGGTTGGTTCAAAGGAGAGGAAAATCTTCTGTGGTGGTGGTGCTGATGTGGGTGACCTGACTTTTTATAGTATATCTCTTACCCTGGATGCGGGTAGTGTTGCTCAAACTCCATTTGATGGTAGGTGACAATAGAACCACGCTCATCAAAGATGACAAAGCGAGTTGAGGTTGTTCCTTGATCGATAGCTCCAACAAGTCGTCGAGTCATTTTAGAGATAAGGTGAAACGAGGAAAAGAAAGAAAAGAATGGAATGAGGGGAAAAAAACGTTCTCATATGCAAAATTGATCAAAGCTCACATGATCCTCATGTAACACACGCCCAAGCAACCCTGCCGGGGAATACCCACGGAGAAAAGCATATATTCTTTTGTTCCGTATACCAATCATCTATGGAGAATAAATATTGTATTGTTGTATCGACAAAAGCTATGTATCCTATTCGTGAAGAGCATTACAAATCTCAGGACGACAATGACTTGTGAAACCGGCTTGTTCGGATTCTACTTGAAGTGTTGAATGATGTACACCAAATTGATCGCACACAACGCGTTGACCTCGTGCGAGGATCTCATCATAGCTAAGATCGGCATCTCGGGATACAGTAATGTGTGCTGTCAAAGAACTTTTGCCAGGTGACAAGGTCCACACGTGAAGGTCATGTACAGCTACTACGCCGGGGATATCTTGCAAGGATCGTTTGATAGCATCAAGTTCAATATGACCAGGAGTGCCTTCCATCAAAACACCAAGCGAATCGCGCACCAAGTGGTATGTGGTGTATAAAACGAGAAGCGAAAAGATGAACGTACAAATAGGATCAACGATTGTCAATGATGGCTTGAAGATAAGAATGATGGATGAAACGAGGACACCTGCATAGGTAAGAAATTCAAGTCAGCCTCCTCCATTCCATAGTAATTTGTTACACAAGCCTCTGCCACGTTACCAATGGAAGCCAAAAGATCTCCAATGACATGTAGTGCAGCTGCACGGAGGTTGATGTTGGCTTCCTAAAACACCCGTGAGTGAGTGAGTGAGTTGCCATGGTGACAATAAAATCGCATCATACGTACTCTATGTGGGACACCATTTCCATTTCCATTTCCATTTGAATGATCATGCTCCTCTTCGTCGTCGTGGCTATGGCTGTGACCATGGTCGTGATCATGTCCATGTCCATGGTGGTGACCGCCAAGTACATAAGCCAACCTATAGTAGTTAAGCACAAGGCGGCACATTAGCAAAAGAAGAAAAATGGTATCCATGTCAAACTTACACAATGTTGATAACCACGCCAATGGCAGCAGTAACACACATCTACAAGCTTAATTGAGTAAAATGGAAAGAATAAAAGTTTCTTCGCTACTTACCAATTTGGCATCGATATGTTGTGGGTTCTTGACACGTTCGATAGCTTCTCTTACCAAGAAAGCTGTCAAGATCCAAATGGTGAAAACTGATACCAATGCTGCAATAACCTCGGCACGATGGAAGCCAAATGTGTGTCCTGGGATAATAAAGTTTATGCAGCAATTAGCATAAAACCCGCAATGTCATCTCCCAGATCACACTTACGTTTCGTCGCCGGCTTTTCAGCAAGATAGATGGCAGCAAGTGCAACGATAAAACTAGCCACGTCGGAAAGTAGATGGAAGGCATCTGACATCAAGGCTATCCAGATCACCCACCATGTATGAGTTATCTATATCCCCTTACTGCTTTATCGATCGATCTCTTACCCAAAGAGTTTGCAAAATAACCAGCAATCAATTCACCAGTAAAGAACAACAACGCAAGCACTGTTGCGAATACAAGTTTTCGTTTTGTCGATTGTTGGGCATTGTTGTCCTTGTTGGAGACATTGGCACATTGGGAGTTTACATAGGTGTAGGAAACAACCGATCCAGCACGAGCTCGAGTGGGTCGAGTGTTGACATGCTCAGTTGAAGGTATCAACGGTGTGTTCTCGTTGGCTTCCGGAGAGACCATGGATATAGTTCGGGAGAAAATTGGAAAAAGTGTGAAAAGAGTGTGTGTGTATTGATAAGAAAAAAGAGACAAAAAGATGGATGTCTCAAGTCGGAAGGGAGGTAGGGCCTATTATAGAATGGGTTGCCAAGTGACTCGGAATTTGTTGGTGGTCCTTCCCTTTGTCTTGGTTCATTCACCTTCTTAACACTTTACCCCTCCCTCAAAACAAATGTCCTTTCTCAATCGTGTCTGGTCCTTGACTCGCTCTCGTGTCGCTCCTCAATTGGCCAATGTCGCCATGCGTCCTGCAATTCAGTCACCATTGTCTGGATCTGGCTTGTCAACAATGTAAGCAAGATCGATCTTGTGTGTGTGTGTGTGTGTGTGTTTTGCTTATCTACACAACACCCCCAACCCTTCTTCTTTATCGACTAACGAGTGCCATGTATTCAGGTTCCCTGGTATGGGATGGAGCAATCCTTTGGCATCACAAATGCGTTTCGTCACTTATGGCAACACCTTTCAACCATCCAACCTCGTTCGTAAAAGACGCCATGGTTTCCTTGCCCGTATGACTAGAAAGAATGGCCGCCGTGTGATTGCTAGAAGACGTGCCAAGGGTAGAAGAAATCTTTCTCATTAACATTCACACTACTCTTCACATCTTTGCAACCCTCTCTCAAGATTGTTTCATCTGTACATTATCATCGACAACCACCCCCCATCCAACATTGATAAAACGCCAATCGCACAATTAGACTCTATTATTATTATTATGTGGTTCTATACTACAATCTCTGCTCGATTCAATGCATTGTATATGATCTTTGATATGCCTTGTTGTGGGTTACGAAGTTCCTCCGCCAAATGTCGACGAAATGCACGCCCCTGATATCCATGGAATAAACTTGCTAGTGGTTTGGTGAGGATGGTCATTGGTGGTAATCTTGCTGCTTTGGATGTATGCACTGGATGAGAAGGTAATTGCTCGACATATTCTAGAAGATGGCGTATGAGTGTGAGTGTATAATGTGATTTAGACCCCTTTCTCGTTACTTTACCGATATAGTCATTAATGATGGTCCCAATGGGTTTCAACTCATGCGATGGGATGTCATGTATAACTACAATAAAAATGTCATTATCTATCCATCAATGCTTTCTATTATTGTGGGTCGTACCTTGGTCTAATTGCTGCAAGAATAATGGATGGTCCATCACTACATCCATGGCTATGTGAGTGAATTGTGCTCGTAAACACTGAGATAAAGCTTACCTTTCCTCCCAATCATACATCCATCCAGGCGATTCAGCACTTGTTTAACCTTGTCAGCCTCAGTAAACCCGCCATTGATTGAAATTGGTATATCAGGGAATGCATCAGCAAGTTGGAAGACACGATCATAATCAAGAGGAGGAATAGACCGATTTTGTTTGGGAGATAAACCACGCAATATACATTTACGTGCATGGACAATGAGATGTGGCATTGTATTGCTCTTGTAGATGGTATCGACCTACATGACAATGAATACCTTTTACAATGAAGCATCATGAGTGACTTACAAAGTTGTGCAAGAAATCAAATGAATCGAGATGATCCACACCAAGACGACATTTGACAGTGACAGGAATAGAAACAGCTTGCTGCATTGATCGCACAATCTCGGCAACCACGTTGGGTGTCTTCATGAGGACAGCACCAAATTGACCATGTTGTACGGCCTTGCTGGGACATCCCACATTGATATTGATCTCGCTATAGCCTTGCTCTTCCAATATCGTCGCTGCCCTGGTCATTTCTTTGGGGTCAGATCCACCCAGCTGGACAACAACATTCCTTCGTGGCGGTCCAATCAACGAATGGAGTCTGTGGGCATGCTCAATGATGGCTCTTGAAAAGTGCATTTCGGTGTAGTAGGCATAGCGTGCTCCGGAAATGAGGTGTAGCAACTCGAGGAAATGCTGCAATGAGGTACCGACATGGGTGTTAGCAAACGAGATCCAATGACAGCTCCAGGTTGCAATAGCAACAAAGCTTACCGGTGTGGAGATATCAACCATAGGGGCTACACTCACAGGAAGATGCAGCCGCTGTTGCCCTTGGAAACGGCTCTGGGTGCTTAGCAACCTTCGACTGGTGGTCTGCAGAGTGCGGTGGGCAAGATGCTTCATGAAAAAGAAAACGACAACGACGCACAGACCAACGGCTTTTCGGTGAAAAATCGCTGGATGAGAATACCAGCAGGAGCAAATCATACCTTGCATAGGATAGAATAGTTGGATACTTTTATATATTGAAAGCATGATTTTCAACTAAATCGTTTCTTCTTGAAAAGCTGATGAGAGGTGTCCCTTTGGGTGGTATATGGAGAATAGTGATGTTCTGTAAGCACAACGTATCAAATCCATTCAGCGTTAAGGATCGATTGTGGGGATATAAGTAAACGAATCAATAGTTGCAAACAAGCTCGTCGTTACATTGAGCAATGGCATCCAGCATTACTTAGTGGCCTTAAGGTAGGCTATGGAGTTCAAAAGATTAGCACCTATGCCTATTTAACACAATCAAAGCTAATCTTGCCTTGCCAACAAATAGCCCCGTGTATATAGATTTCAATTCAAGGATTGTATTGGTAATAAAGTCGATGCATACGGATCATACATGTATTTCGAGAAAGGATGGTTGTCTACTCTACTGTGTTACTATGCATAAATGGAGCAGCGAGAGTCACGAAATTACAGCACTTCTTTTTCTTCAGCTTGACACTTGATCATGGCGAACGAATCGACGGCACAGCAGCAGGATAACAGCTTCCTCTTGAATCTGCTTGCAATGTGTACCAACAATAATAATACACCCCAAACGGTAAGCCAATGATAGGAAAAGAAGGCTTGTTGTACTTGGACGATCAAGGTTGACCGGGGTCCTTTAGTCTACATCGAACGTTACTCTTCCAACACCATCGCGATCGTGGTTCTTTGATATGAATACTGAAAGCAAGGTGCCAGCTCCAGTGCCAGCTACGAGTTCTATACCTCAACAGAAGCCAACAGCAGAGTTTGAGTCTTCACAGCCCAACCAAACCGTGCCAGCGTCTATCACTACACCTTTACCATCACCGCCCAGCTCTTTTCATTCTTCGACACCGCCATACATGAAACCGGACCATCCGCAACCACACCCTCGGATGAATAACCAACAAAAATGGCAAAAGAAGCGCAAGGGCAACTTTCAAAACAGGCATCATGTAAAGGAATAGGGGAGATGGATATGCTTTTATTGTGTATCTCATTCATTGTTCGTGTTAGACTGCTGGTGAATCAACGCATGGCTCGAATAGAAATGATTTCAATGGTTACGACTCATCATCTAAGGTACAATGTCATACTTGGATCCAACGTATCAAAAAATACTCAACGCGCCGCCCACACATCTTATCTTTTTTTAGAAACGTCAAAGATACGAAGCATCTCCAGCACATACCTCGTCGGCTAGCATGAGCCCTATGTCGTCTATACCAACATCATCAGCATCTAAAAGTTCTCAATTCAATAATGAACGCTTGTATAATACGCCACGTGATCCACGACAACGACATCCTCATGCTCAACGAGAGAGATTTATGGATATTAGACAACCACATCCTTCCACATCCGCATCCACATCAATACAAGGGTCACGATATTCTTCCCCAGAACAACGTAAAACGACCAATGTTGTACATAAGGTATGTGTATAGTGAGAAATGGATGGCGATGGATCACTGACATTTGTATCGAATAGCCTGAGAACGGCTCTGCTGAAAGTGAAGAACCTTTGTGCTCGTTTATTTCCGTTGGTAATTGTAACAAGGTAATGAGGTGATTTTGGGGCTTTGGACTTTACACAGATCCTGATTATTGGATAGTCGAATTGCCCTTTTCGCCATGAAGGAGACACCATTCAATTGGTATGCCGCCATTTCAAAACGAATTCATGCAGCAAAGGAGCTGAGTGCACTTTCCTCCATGTAAGTAAAGGATACATCATTGAAAGGGGGATACTCATGTATGCATGATTAGGACTTGAGCGCAGAGCCATGTCGATTCTTCCATTTGGGCAACTGCAAGTTGGGTGATAGATGTCCATATTCTCATGAAACGCCTTTGACACGAGAGCTGCTTGTTCGATTGCGCTCCCTTACAGAGAACTGCAAATACTATCATGAAAAAGGATACTGCACCAACGGTGACGAATGCCTATTCATCCATTAAACCTGCATGTTTGGTGATGAGATATATTTATACATGAATGAGGAGCGTGATTTATTGGTTATAAATGTGTGGAATCAGAGTGCTCTCCCCTTTTGCTTGCTCCATCGATCATTTTGTTGTGGTTGTGTAGCGGGTATTGGATCACATCATCCTGCTGCAGCTTTGATCTGCTACTGTGAAATGAAATCGAGAAAGAAAATGACAAAGGAAAAAATGACATTGATCGACTTGGTTCATTTGTGGAACATTTGCCAAAATGAGCCTGTTACCTAGTGCTTGTGGATGGTGTACCTGTAAAGGTGCTTTGTAGCCATAGGCTGTGTAAGCACAACACGATCAATATTCAATGCAAGAGATAAACATGCATGGATTGTCATATGATACAGGGAACATTTTATTAGTTGTCTTTAGCAAACCCACGCATGAATTAGAGCTTAATGCGAGTACGTGAGCAAAAGCGTAATAGCAAGAGAAGCGAATACCACATGGATTTTCTTGTCAGCAATCTGCAGTGTTTCGGATGCAGATCCACTGGAAGGAGGCAAAGAGGAGCTAGTTGTTGGTTGAGCTGTTGATGATGCAGATGGCAATTTCGAGCTACTCTGCGCCATTGTGGAAGAGGCAGCTGCTGTGGTGGCTCTATCAAAATCGCAATGGTGTTAAAAATGATACTAGTGGTGTCTCGTATCCAGGCAACTACTCACGGGCTATTTGCTTTGGCAACACCACAATAATTCTCAACGACACCTGCTTGTGTCGCTCGTGCTGGATCATTCGGGCAGCTATTATCCCAGCATTGGAGTTTTACTCTATTCCACTTGCACAAGCACGCAAAGTCTAAACAAAAAGAGATGGCCAATGTCAACATTAAAAGACCAAAGGAAAGAGTGCTTGTACAAGTAAAACATACCATCACTCTTGCACGTCTTCAAGTAATTATCCTCGTTTTTCAAGCATTGAGAGAAGCTATTGGGTGCATGTCAATAAACCTTTTGTCGTACAAGATAGAAATGGATGATGCATGAAAGAGGTAACGTACACTTGTTGATCGGTACAACCAGCAGGAGCCTGTCCAAGTACCACGATGCACTTGAGCGCCAATACCACCGTACAACACACAAATACGAGAGAACGCATGATTAGGAATGGTGAGTAGCAAATGTCATAACCCAGATCAATTTATAAAGAGGTTTTGTATCCTGTTTTAGGGGATGTCGCCCAAAGTTGAACCGAGCCAACCAACCCTGGCTGGGACGGAGATACGAAAAAAGGAGCACACCTACATGTTGCATTCTGTTTTACCTATCGACGGCTGCCATAGTCTCATTTTATGTCAAGACAACTATACATTAAAAGGCCTGCTACTACTATCCACCATCATGTCGTGCCAAAATCCACATTCTCCATCATTGCTACAAGAATAAAAGCAAACCAAACAAGGAAATAAATGTGCTGTAAGGAAAAAGCAGTTACACTCCTAAAGGAGATGTTGCGTTTATAACAACAAGGGTTATCAGCTAAAGTACATGTTGGGGATAATGAAGAAAAGAAATCACAGCTTGCTTTGCTGAGCTTTGCGTTTAGCCTCCCGCTTCTTCTCGGCTTCCCCTATTTGAATGTTGTGGGTCAGCAAATCATCGTTTCCTTTCCCCATCCGATATACACTTAAAGAGGGTGGTTCACTACTTACGCACAAACCGCATTACGCTGTCAATAGAGTCTTGGCTTGTGTTTCGTTCTTGCAATTTGATCATTTCTTGCTCGTTCACCTTCAAAAGGAATTCTTGATCCGGATCACGTGTAAGCTTCTTGGTAACAGCAAGGGCTTCTCCAGAGAATTTAGCGGTCTCTTCAGCAGCAGCGAGCACCTACATACATGTTGACATGATGAATACCTCCCATATCCAAAACAAAGACCCCACAACCATCACCTACCTGTTCACGGAATCCTTCAACGGGGAAGATGCGTGCTACCATATTGGCAGCAGCGAATTCTTCCACTGTAAGAGTCTTGCCCATGAGCTGCATCGTAATTCGTCATGTGATGAGTAAGAGTGACGCTATACAACAACAGCAAAAGCTTACCAGCATTTCATTTGCCTTTGAAGGGCCCATGATTCTTGGGAACAAAGCGGATGAACATCCCTCGGCAGCAAAGCCTGCATGATTTTGGTTTTTTTTGCATAAGCATAAATGATGATTGTACAACATGAATAAAAGAGATGATGTCATACCCAATTTCATGAATGGTGTGGTAAAGTTGGCATTCGAAGCAGCATAAACAACATCACAAAGTGCCAATGTGGTAACGGCAAATCCATAAGCAGGTCCTGCATTAAACTTTAGTACACAGCAAGGTCACACAAACCATCCTCGAGACTACTACTTACCATTGACAGCTGCAATCAATAGCTTTGGGAATAGAATAAGCTCATCGACCAATGATCTAAGAGTATGGCTTAATATGTATACATGCGATGTTTTTTCATTGTATGGATGATACGTACTTTACAACCTTGCGACGTTCCTTGTTCTTTGCGATACCTTCTGGAGAGAAATCAGGGGGTTGAAGTTGTACGCCAGAGCTGTAGAAGCGTCCACGACCTGTGAGCACCACAAGCTTGACTTCATTAGCCTGTTTAGCCCATTGTAATGCTGATAACCAATCCTACATCCACAACGCGTTCTTTAGTACTTGGCATATCGAAGTGAGACAGCTTGTATAGCTTACCTGGTATGCTTCTGGGGAGAAAGAGTTGAGAACCTTTGGGCGATTGAAGGCGATCTCGGTAACGCCACTGGGGAAGACGGTGATTTCAAGGGTGTCGAATGAAGGAGGAGCCATGGAGCAAGTTGTAAATGGAGATCAAGGTACGGAATCCCCACGTTCTTTAAAGGCGAAGGAGGCTGAAGCTAGGGCTAAATTGGCATTAGTCAGGCACCTCTTGCGCGGGAAATCTTTCTTACGGCATTAAAAACTCACACATCCTAAAGGCGTTTGTCATCCTTCCCATCGTATGTCTTTGTATCATTACTAAAGAAGAATGGCTATTGTTCTTTGATAGAATCACTGATTGGTTTATTCTCCATGCAAATAGTAAATGAATGTGTAGCTAACGAGAACGAGATAATGAATCAATCCTGTGTGGCTCGTCGTCGTTTCTTTCCCAGGCTAAGCTTGTTGCGCTTGCTATTGGTTGGCTTTGATACCAATTCAACATCGTCGGCTATATTCGATGATATCTCTTTGAGGGCTGCTTCGTTCAATGTAATCGGTTTTTTGTCCACATCTTCGTCATGAGTAGCATCGTCGCATAAGATGAGCGTTGAGATTCGGTGACGGGTCGGTGCCTTCATACTTTGTTTGCTGTCATTGTCTTTGTGGGTATTATCGTTTGCATGATGCTCTTTGTTCTTTGATGAGGATGATTGATTCGGTGGTGTTGATGCCATTGTTGGTTTCTTTGTTGTCTTTGACTCCTGAGCGTCATGGGCGTTCGTAATGGATGACTTGACAGCATTCTTCTCTCGTACTTTGCTGACCAATGATGACTGATGTTTAGTGGGAGGAGGAGAAATAAGGTCTTTTGCTGGTTTGATGTTGATGGTTTTGAATACGATGGGCGATGGTTGTCGTTCACGGATTGGAGTCTTGTCGCTGACGTTGCTTTTTGAGGATGGTGATGATGATGTTAGTGATGGTGATGAAGATGAAGATGGTGGAGGTGGTGTTAATGAAGATGGTGGAGGTGATGATGAAGATGGTGGTGGTGGTGGTGGTGAGGTTGATGATGATAACGATGATGATGCAAGTTGATTCATGTTGGTATGATTGGGTACAGAGGACGTTGAAGCATGTTGAGAATTATCTTGTGTACTTGATTGGGACATGGGAGAAGAAACACGACGTCGTTTTTTGCTGGAGAGTGAAAGTCGACTTTTCTTGCTTTGGCTCATCTCCTGTTGATCGTATTCTTGCAATGCCGTCTCCTCTTCCTCATCTTTTTGGGTTTCTTCCCAGACCTTGGGTGGTTCATCCTCATCGTCAAGCTATAATAAAGCAAATCAATATTATGCACGTGATATGGAATACAAAATCTTACCGTTGTGGACTGTTCTCCAGTGGCATATCGTGCTGTGTGTTCCTTTGCACGAATAGCAAATCGTGGATAATCGAGCTTGTATTCACGAGCCTATAAGAGCAAATGTTAATACATGCTTCTTGATGGTATACACAAATCCCTTCCCTCCCTCCCTCCCTTACAATATCAGCATCCAAAGGATCGTCAGGATTAGGTGAAGAAAGCAAAGCACGCAATGAAATGAGGAGTGTTGATAGGTTGAGTGAAGGCTTCCATGCACCCGCTTCACCTGTTTTCAACATGTCTGCGCAAATCCTGCCACTTTCATCGATGTTTGGATGGTAGATCTTGGTCCTGAATCGCATCTGAGGTGGGTCAAATGGATAGTTGTCAGGTATATTGATGGCTATCTGGAATCTGCCATTCTCATAAGGTGTATCAGGTGGTCCATCGATATCTTTTGAAAGGATAAAGTCAATATGGTATTATGCTTATGGATGATAGCCTTGCTATGGTGGGTGCTTACATGCTTCTAGCTGCGCAATGTTGCTGTCGTCGACTGGATAACATGTAAAGCCGGAAACCGGATCTCCTTCAAGATCGGCTTTTTTGAATGCATGTGAGACGAATGAACTCTGTGAGATTGTAGCTATTATGTACCTAGTTCCTTCCGTAGTCGTGCCAGAGCAATGCGTTGCATGGGACTTTTTGGGGGGCGGGAGAGTGGAACAAAGAGCAGCGCGTGAATCTGAGAATTCATAAATACCAGCTTTATTGTTCAGCGGGATGCTGATGGATAGGCACGTGATATGTCTACTTTATGGTCTTCTTCTACAACACGCTTTCCTAGTTGCTGCTTTTCTTCTGATAAACGAGTTGCAACATTGATAAAGTCTTCCACTGCTTGCTCGTCGATTTGATGATGCAATACAATACGCGTTACAGTGCCTTCGTCACGTCCAATGATAATCTTCTTCTCTTCAAGGGCATCAGCAAGCTCGTTCACCGTGACCCAAGGCGCCGTATCAAGGAAGATCATATTTGTATCACAGGGAAGTAGAATACGCATACCCAATGTCTCGAGGTGATTTGCAAGTCGCGATGTCAATCGATGTGTCTCTGGCATAGTAGGAACAATAGTGTCGATGCAATGATGTGCTACAGCAGCCAATAAACCAGCCTGTCTCCATCCACCACCAAGAAGCTTTCTTACATGTCGAGCTCTTTTGATACGATCACGTGATCCAACCACAAGAGAGCCAACGGGTGCACCAACGCCCTTGGAAACGCATACAGAGATTGTATCAAAGAGCTGCCCGTATTCGCTTAGTGGTATTCCTGTGGCCTGGCTTGCATTCCATAAACGTGCACCATCAAGATGAAGAAGCAAATCCTTGTTACGGGCCAATGTATGAATCCGTTCCATCTCTTCCAAAGGCATAATGGCACCATTCAATGTATTTTCCAAAGCAATGACTATGATGATACAATAGGATGAATAAAATACAACAGAGATTAAGGTGATCATCACATACCACGTGTTGGAGCACCACATAGATCATCCATGTTTAGATTGTAGTCAATTTCCTCAGCTGTCAGATATACATTGTTCTTAGGCATCGTCGGGGTCAAAGCAGCTTGAGAATTGTAGGCTGTATATTTCATCATGTCAGCTATTGTCATCCAATCCGTGCCTGGATACACATATGTCATTACCCAATCCACCACATTCATAGTTGTAAATATGCGACCGGGCATCACATAACACTGAGTGAGGAGGCTGCGTCAACAGCGTACGAAGTCCAAGTTGGTTGGTCATAGTTCCACTGGCACAAAAGAGGGCAGCCTCGTGGCCAAGTAGCTTAGCAACGTGTTGTTCAAGGTCATTGATACTGTCATCGGCCTGTATAAAGCATGGAGTTAGTCTTCCAAGTGGGAATGAAGGGTGGGGTGGGCATGCTTGACCTACACCAAACACATCGTCTTTGCGTGATGCGCGCTTCATAATGTCGAACATGTCGTCAGTGACCTCGGTTGCTGTGTCGCTGGTCATGTCATACACAGCAGGCTTGTTCTTGGTGATGCTGGTGCTGGTGGCAAACGAACGACGTGTCGTGGATGCTCGTGCAGCAGTTGTCAACAAACGTCGCGTGAACATTGCGGAAAGAAACAAGCGTGAGAAGCGACAATATGTCTATCCACTGGGTTTATACATAAAAATTATATAGACTCTATATGCTACATCGATAATAAAAGACAAGGTTCATGCAAAAGTATTTATGAGTGGCTGCATTGACCACCTTATTCATTGCTTTGTGGGGGGAGGAGGTCATCGGAAATACATATTTTATATACACGCATCAATATGGATGATCTATTACTGCACGTATGTCAAGTTATCTATGCACCGGATATTGCCGGTATTCAATTGTTTTCTTTCGGAAGCAACCCCGTTTATTACATGTATGCGATATAGTTCGGCATTGTTTTTCTCAACATGCTGGGGAAGATGAAAGCTGTAAAATTAGCACACATCCCTTATTCAGCAAATGCGCTGTTGTTGGCTATATGTTGTGCCTCTGTTGAAAGCCAGCAACACAATCATCCTTCTTCTTGGCACTCTCCCCTCTCCCACAAAAGATACAAGCAATATTCTTCTTTGACCATTTGGGTGTAATACATAGACGCGTTATCGCCTTTTGCGTTTCATTGAATAATCGGGGTTATCAACAAGGGGGACAAGGGGAAAGAGATAAAAAGAAATGGAGGAAGACTTCCAACGGAAGCGGCGCTGTTGGTTGCTGCTGTATACATACGTTGCATATCTTTCACGTCGTACTTTCCGCCCATGCTGCACTAAACCGTAAATGACACACTGCAACACCAAACCCGAAAGCAACTAGTGTGTGTTGAGTCCAAAAGGGACTTTTAGCAGTAAAAGGTTAAATAACGGTAGAGCCACACATGAATGCACTAAAAGCATAGTTCAAGAAGTGTATAGATCAAGAAATACCCTTGCCATTGATATGAAAGTGGTAAACTTGCAAAGTTGTTTCTCGTTACAAGCAAGGTGGAGAAATTTCGTTTTTTGCACAAAAGCAGATACGTAGCACGATGCAAGTACCACAATGGATTTTTGCATAATTGGACTCCAAATTGCCGTTTGCAGGCGTTTTTGTATGAGGCAAAAACGAGTTGGGAGAATCTTTGGTTAGCTCGATCATACGATTGGAGAAACAATGCTGCCCAACAACACCACCTTTATGCGGAGAGAAGAAGAACGCGTGAGCTGCTGCTGCTGCCCATTGTTTTTATATGACTCCGTTTAAAACACGATCAGCCAACCATCACGATTGCTTGGAAGCCACCTAATCCAAGATAGAGGACGTATAGTGTTAATCGACGTGAAGGGAGAAAAAGTGTCGTAGATCAGATTACACAGGCGAAATTCTGTACTATGCTGACGGCGATTGTGTGGCATGCATCCATGTGAATAAGGACCAAGTGCGGAGGGTATACGTCCTCGTGGTCGACCCTTTGACAAGATTCGCGGTCTCTATAAATAATTTGCTCATAGAATTCCAACATAGAATGGGGATGTGTATATACCCATTGCAAATAAAGCACCACTTTCATCTCTACAAAGAGCAAATAGATGTAGGGCAGCTGACTGTAGCATGTTACCAATGGATGCTTGAAAATAGCTATGACAGTAAAAAAAGCACAAACATTGGCTCGGTGGCCTGGACAACGAAAAAGGGAACAATTCAATGTTCGTCGATGCGGACAAAACGTATTGTACAACATGCTCATGTCGTACAACTGAAACTCTCATTTCCTTTTAAAAGAGGACATGGCTTCTTCCAAACATCGTCTCTTCTCTTTATCCACCCCTCATTCCTTTGAAAACACACATTAATCCCTCCTTAATCATTACACCATGAAGTTCTCCATCATCGCCTCCGTTGCTGCCTTTGTCGCCACCGTTTCCGCTCAGGGCATCTCTGTCATCAACCCCACCCTTGGTGTATGTATATAAACGCGTACATGTTTATTCATGTCGTTGAAAGCTAATCCATTGTTTTCCTTTGTACAGGCTGTCTGGACCACTGGCACCACCCAATCCATCACCTGGTAAGTGCTTTTGTTCATCCATTGTGATGCTTTTCAACTAACCAATTCTTGTTTTTTAGGACTGTCACCAACGCCACCAAGGTCACTGGCATCAACTTGAGACAAGGTGGTTCTACCAACTTGGACAGCGTCTACACTATTAGCAACGCCGAAATCGATGCTAGCGCTGCCAAGTATGACTGGAACATCCAAAATGATACCCCCACTGGTGCTGATTGTAAGTGTACAAGATGGGTGATAAGATTGGGATATCATAGCTAAACGTGTATATAGACTCTGTTGAGGTTGTCACTGATGCTGGTGCTTCGTACTCGCCTTACTTCACCATCTTGGCTGGTAACGGTGCCGCTCAATCCTCTGGCGCTGCTCAATCCTCTGGCTCTGCTCAATCCTCTGGTGCCAGCAAGGCCTCTGGTTCTTCTGCTTCTGCCACTGGCTCTGCTTCCGCTTCTGGTGATAAGCCCGAGAGCTCTGACAATGCTGAAGGTGCTGCTACCAGCATGAAGGCCAATGTCATCCTTGGTGCTGCTGCTGGTGCCGCTGCCCTTGCTCTCATCTAAACATCTTTTCCCCCCGAACAACACCCTTTAGAGTGAAAATCTTCGTTGTATCATTCCACCTTCCTTATTACACATACAATTCGCGTCCATTTTACTTTTAATAATGATTGGAGTCAAGTCGCACAACAATACGTTGTGATGTCTGCTTCTTTGTTTCTTTTGTTCTGTACAATTATCAGGGTTGATGATGATGATGATGATACAAAGTCAGCGAGGTGGGAAAAGTTGTTGTTTCTCATGTCGGATGATGATGGAGGGTATCTAGGATTACAAAAGGATAAAATGTTGTCGATGGTTGTTGTTGTTGTTGTTGTTGTCATCTTGGCTCATTCCTCCCTTCCTCAATGTAAAATGTACGTGCGTGAATGCATTGGTTGGATATGTGTGTGGGTGTGTATGCGTGTAATATTCATGTACGAATTTGTGTCGCGGGTTTTTTCATACAGGACGCCAGCATCCTTTGCAGCTTGCTCCGATGTTCAAGTGGTCGGGACGAATCACGTTTTGGCTGAGAGAGAAAGAGACAGCTTTAGACAAAAAAGCTAATCATATTCACGTTACACACACAATTTACCTTTGCAATCGGACAATTGGTAGGGATGCATCTGCTTGCAGATTGGCGGCATTTGTCGTGGCAAATCAAGGCACATGCTATAATACATAACACACACAACGTTAACATCTCATCTTCATCATTCGTATAGAGCCTTTACCTTCACAATAGATTGCATGGCGCTTAACGTGATCCAGGCATACTTTGCATGTCACAGCTATCGTTATGGGCGATGATGTGAATCAATACTGCTGCACTTCCACCATCCAAAACGGATCCATCAATCAGCTTACCTTTTCCAAAAGATGTCTTTACAAACAAATGATCCCTTGGTGTCTCTTTTTTCACATAAGGAGAAGGTGATCGCTGCATATTCAGTGCCGGATTCGTCCGCATGTACTCAAAGATCAGAGAGATGTCAATGTCGTCATCCTGCTGATGATGGGTATTGGGTGTTTTGATAGCTGATGGTGAAGGACAAGATGACGGGCGAGCGATAGCTGAAGGTGAAGGTGATGGCGATGGTGTAGGTGATGGTGAAGGGCGACTGATCATGGTGTTTGATACCCATGGATGACACATGAGTTCCTCAGCTGTGGGTCGTTCGAGCGGGTCTTTCCGAAAGCAAACTAGTAATAGATCAAGTAGTGGCTGTACAATCATCTCTTAGTATCATCAGCGACAATAATAATACATCCCCCATGTAAAACATACCTCTGAAATCCCATCAGGAATAGGAGGATGGTCGTCTTCAACGATATGGTATAATGTTGACATGGCAAACATGCCGGCATAAGGTGGTCTTCCTGTAAGCATCTCAATGATAGTACAGCCGAGTGACCAGATATCCGATTTGGTTGATGCCCCTTGTAATTCAATCACTTCAGGTGCCATCCAATTAGGTGTGCCTGCAGGTGCCCCCATATCATCTTGTTTCACTCTCAAATTCAAGGAAACACCAAAATCGGTAAGCTTGACATCCCCAGTCTTGGTGGTCAGAATATTGGCTGCTTTCAAATCACAATGTACAACCTAGAATAAGGAGGCGTTAGGGGCCGGGTGGGGAGAGAAGGGAGAAGAACCACTTTCATACGTACCGCGTGCTGATGCAGATATGCAAGGCCACAAAGGATTTGGTAGGTATATGAAGCAACCAACTTTTCGGGTAAACTCCCAAAGGCTTTGAGCGAAGATAACAACGATCCATTCTCAACGTATCTAAAGATATCATCCTTGAGCTTTCAAAGACATACAACACGCGTTGCTCGATTTGAAGCTTACTCGAGTAAAATGTTGAGATAGGTATCATCCCTTACTGATCCAAGGTATCGCACAATATTAGGGCTCTCCATGTCTTTCAATAGATCGACCTCTTGCTATAAAAATGAAAAAGAGCGTTAGTGATCCATAAGGCATCCCTTTGACATTTCCAGTACTTGCCATAATTTCATGGTCAACCCCGACATCTTCCAGTTTGATGCGCTTGATGGCTACGACTTCTCCTGTTTGCACATCCAAAGCCCTGTCATACCAAATAAGAGTCTATCCTTGAAACCCTTTTTTGCTCTCCTTCATCTTCATCATCTCCCATTTGTAGTATGCATACCTATACACAGCTCCAAACTGTCCCTTGCCAATGCAGTTGCCTAGTTGCTAAAGAAGAAGGAAAACCAAAATGTCAATTCATCTTTCCTTTTTGCCAAAACCATAAAAAGATACTTACATAGCATGATATCATGTTACTGCTTTCATTCTTCATTGTAATTTTGACTTGCTCTTTGTTGTGCTTGTCGGCGTCAGCAATGCATTCGGTGCTTATGCGCTGTTTGAGGACTTCATGGCTTCTGTGTTGTCGATGATTGTTGATATGAGCTCGTGTGCGTGTGCGTTCAAGGCGTGGGGTTGATACAGTGAGCAGGGGATAAATCGATCCATTGTTCTTTACGCGATCACCCTGCATGGCATGTTCCACGTGTTCAATGTCTGTGTCCTGATGTCCCTGATGACTGCTTTGTTGATTGTGAAAGAGGGGTCGCTTTTGATGATCATGGTGGTGGTGATGATGTCGACGCCGCTGAGCTAACGTGCTGTAGCCACTATCCATGGTAGGTGGTCGTTGGTCGACTGATTCCTGATCCAAACTTGTTTTCTCATAGCGATACTCATCGAATGATGCAATGGATAAAGGTGATGGGCATGGACTCGGTTTCTTGTTACTGTGTCTTGCCAAAGTCAAAATAGTATTGATAACCTTGAATGATATGTATGTAATGCATCATGTGTGAGTTGATCCGTGCGTAAAGGACCCATTTTTTTCCCGCCATCACCTACAGCACCCATGTCTTTGGCTTCGTAAAGATCAACGGTTTGAAAGAGTTCAGATGGCTGCAAGCCGAGCTATAAATAAGATAAGGAAATGAGAGAAAGGACAAAGGACGACGATGATGATGATGATGAAAGAAAGAGAGATCTTTTTGTACCTCGCATGCCCCTTGAAGGAACAAACTGATATTGGCCATCTAATAGGGATTAGCTTCATTGTTTCTTTTTGATGATAATAAAACACCCGTCTCCCTCTCCTCCTCATCATCAGTTCTCCTTGCCTTGACAAATGCAATGTTTTTGTGTCCTATGCTCTTGATCGTACCCGGCTTAAGTACATTCACCAATCTACAATATCAGGAGATAGGGAGACATACATAGGATAGAATAAGCACCTTTACTGTTGTTGTTGCTCTTATAATAAAGAAGAGAGAGACCCACATACTTGCAAAGCAAAACACCATCCTGCAATTCTTTATGGAGATTGGTCGAGCCGAGTTGTATCCCCAATGTTGTCTCCAAGTAGTGTTTGGCTGCATACTGATCGCTTCGCTGCTGTTGTTCACGCAGTTGGACGCATAGTCGATCGGTTCCACTGGGATGTCGCTTGTACATTGCAAACTTCAACGCTGAGAAATGAACTGTAAGAGTGGGCCAGTGAATGGAGGAAAGAAGAGTAGCGGACAGAGACCAAAAAAAAGATACCGGGAGAATAGTAAAGTGAATGCCAAGCGTGTGTGTGTCTGTCTATGTGTGATGTGGTGTACATGCGCGTGTGCTTGGATGTGAATTGTTATGCAGTTGCCATATCTGGATATGACTTGATACCTTTAGCAACCTCACATAACGTGCCGAGGACAACATTGTCATTGATGCACTCTTGTGTGCCCATCTTTCCATTTAAGTGGTTTTTGTAAACATGGCGCTATTAACAACAGCATGATCTCATCCACATCATTCGATCCATCACTTTTTGCATGAACGATCTTGAGCTGTTTCATGGACCTCGAATCATTTGCATCAGCATACGAATGGATATCAAACATAAAAGGTGATGGTGATCATTGTTATTGCATGGTGGTCGCTTATAAAGTAAGCAGAGTACATTAATGCAATCGCACAAGACATGCGGCAAATAGTAATCCCGCACTATGCTTGTGTCACTTTGACAGCAATCATACTATAGGGTCGTTATCCATGATCAAATAAAGAGTGGCACATCTTCAAGTGGTATTGTAATTAAGGCAATGTAGTATTGAATGAGCAAGAAGACAATGATACAAGTGCTTGATGAATAGGGGCCATGTAGCCAACAAGGACATCAACTATGATTCGAAACCAAAGGGGGGTGGATATGATCCAGTCACGACGGGCAAAGGCTGAAACATGTAGTTTGCATCCTTGCAAACACCACCCATCAACCCGCACACACACACACGCTCCTCTTTCCCTTTCCCCCTTTTTTCTCTTCTCCGTTATTCAGTGGACCACCATATGAAATACCTTTTCATTTCGGTACCAGCGCTCGGCAATAAGCAAAATACGTTCCTCAACATCCGCGGCAAACTCAGCGAGTTTCATGCTTTGACTTACGCCTTCAACGTTCCTGAGTTCAAGGTAATCCCCACCCATTCTACCCTAATGACCTCCATTGCCAAGTCAAACCAACTCATGTCGCGCATATAAAGATAGGAACATTGGATGCATTGGTGCTCTTGTCAGACGACCTTGCTAAATACGACACCGCCTTTGAACAAACCGTCAACAAGTTGGCCGACATCCTAACGAATCTTGTCAAGAGCGATAGCACGAATGGACACGTATCGGAATACATGCTTGTGAATGATAGTAGGTATTCCATGCTTGAGATTGATATCCTAAAGTGCTCATGCTATGATATAACGTGTGTGGATAGAGCCCATAGAAGAGTACATCAGCACCTTTCAATGGAATAGCATGAAGTACCGCACCGATAAATCGCTTCAAGAAACCACGGCAACCCTCAATCAAGTACGTAAAGCATAAAAAAAGGATATTGGTATGTCTATGTGCATGGCTAACACGTCAAGAACTTTTTTATAGGAAGTAACATCGATTGACACGGTCATGAAGAACAAGATGAATGCTTACAGCCAAAACCGAAATGCACTCCAGTCACTTCAACGCAAGCAAACGTGAGTTGTTATTCTTATGAATAGACATCTTGAATGATAAGGGCTCATTTTCATTGGGTACATGCGTATTTTAGTGGAAATCTTTCTGTGAAAAGCTTGAATGGGATCGTCAAGAAAGAGCAGTGTGTCTTGAATTCAGAGTACTTGACAACCCTCTTTGTAGCCGTACCAAAGTAAGTCTCTTAACACGTTTCGTTAAGCGTGATTCAACTTCTCATTCACTCATGTTCTCTAGAACTGCATACAAGCAATGGCTGAACAAGTACGAGACGCTTACTTCTATGGTGGTTCCTCGATCATCAGTGTAAGTCCATGACAATGAATCAGGATACGATGCTGTATGTTAACTATGATCATCTATAGCAAGATTGCCGAGGATGACGAATACGGCCTCTTTTCAGTAACATTGTTTCAACGTGTCGCGGATGAATTTGTACACAAGGCGAGGGAGGAACGGTAAGTGGATTGATGTTTGGCGGTAGGGAAGATCAGCTGGAACAAGATCTAATATGAGCCAACCAAGCTTTATTGTACGTGATTTCAAGTATGACGAGGATGCACTTCAGAAGCAAAAGCATGAATTGGATGAAACAGTTGCCGTCGAAAAGGAACAACAAATGGAGCTCTTCCGCTTAGCACGCACAAATTTTGGCGAGGTATTTGCATCATGGATCCATCTCAAGGCTCTTCGCGTGTTTGTCGAATCCGTATTGCGTTATGGTCTTCCTCCTGATTTTACAGCCGTTACAATCAGCGTAAGTCTTTTGATGTTGCTGGTGGAGATACATAGATTAATCAAAGAGGATTGTCATTTAGGCAAAACCAAAGTATGAGGAAAAAGTGGATGCTGCATTACTTGCCCAATATGGACGGCTTGGTGGTGTACATGGTCAAGCAGCTAAACAAGGCAATGAGGATCCCAACCATGAAGAGCTCTTGGATCATGACTTACAGACCGTCAATGACAGCAGCTACAGACCCTATGTGGAATTTCATTTGCAGTTTGATACGGAGCGTGCGTGATCACCCAACTTGTAAAATAAATGATTGTGTTATTCCTCGTGTTTCAGACGATGAAAGTGTGTGTATCTCATAATTATGTCTCACATAATTGGCATATTGCAGGGGTATCATCAACCACGCATTGATTAAATACGACATCATTGTTTCATGCATTGACTCCATTTCTTTGTTTTCTTGTCATATAATCCACCCACATCATGTATCGTCTTAGCCGAAGTTTCAAGAAGTGTGGCAAACCTCTAAAGATGCAGCGCGCATTTATGCAAGAAGGCACTGAAGGTGCTACAACGAGAACAAAAGATTGGGGTGATAAGGAAAGAGCAGCTGAAAACGTTTGGGCAAAGCATGCTGTGAGTTCTTTTGCGTTGTTCACTGGTAGTAAAGACAACTAACTCTTGATCACATACGTAAAAGGATTCTGAAAAGCTCAAAGCTCTCCGAAATCTCCTTGAGGAACAAAAGAAGACCACGGATGCTATCAAACAGGAGCTGGATAAAATTACCGAAAAGACATCAAAATAATTGCAAGGAATGGAACATCGCAGCCGGGGACTTTGACTATTGAGAAACATGAATAAACAATTAGTTCAACATACTTCGTTGACTTAGCGAAAACTTACCATCTCCGCACTGGCGGGCTTTCGCCCGACCCACTGGTCTAGGTGGGCCTAAAGTATTGGAACAAACTTGTTGGGAGACTTGAGGTTAGTCAATTGGTGCCGCCAACAAGCTTCGATTGTAACGAATGGCAAGGGACCAAGGAGCTAAATACACAAGGTCAATATAAAACAGTTGATGTGATGATAGAGAAATTAACCTTGGTTAAGAGAATGTGTGTGATGAGGGATATCAACTTTGAAAAGACTCCTGCTTTTATAGACAACACAAAAGGTACCTCCTTAACGATTGATCATCCTTGCATAACAATCTCGGTGATACACCATATCTGGACGGCACCCAGTGGGACCCGATCCACCGCTATACATCCCGACGAGGTATATACAACATTGAGGATATCACCAATTGCTGACGTATCTCTTTCTCATCTTTACCACTTAACCATGGGAGTCAAACAACTACACGCTATTGCTCGTCGTTTCCAAGCTTATCAGCAGCATGCTAACTTGGGAGCGCTCTTGGAGGAACGCGAAATCAACACCATAGTTGTTGACTTTTGCCCCACTTTTTATTATTTGCTTGCGAATCATGCGGTGAGAATTCTTCCTGGTCATTTACAAGGTATACACCAATAACCAAAAACATGCGTTATGATATTGACGTTCATAAACCATAGGTAACGGTGGGTATCGTCTGGTGCAACCAGACATGACCCAATTCGTTAATGATTGTATCGAGAGGATTCAAGCCCTTGTCGCCCCTCATCGTCGAGTCCTTCTTGTGCTAGATGGTGAAGCTCACCCTATTAAAAAAGAAACGCATATCAAAAGAGACTTGGAGGCTAAAAAAGCCTTCAGCCGGGCCAAAGCTGAGTATTCGCGATTGAATGGTAACATTGCAGGAAGTGAAGTATTTACCGCTAATGCTAGAAAATGGCTCAGATTCACGCCTGAAATTAAGGATGCGATTTGTCATGTAAGAGACTAACAAAACTCAATGATCTTATGCATACTTACAATTATGATCATAGGTGTTGGCCTTACAAGGTGTCCCTGAGACCATCTTCCCCATAAGCGACGATTTGCATGTGGTTCCTATCATGGAAAATAATCCTATCCACTTTATTGTTGCACCCTACGAGGCCGATGGTATGGTAGTAGCTTTAGCTGAGCTTTTAGGTAACGGAACAGCTATCATTTCTGTCGATGGAGATGTGCTTGTGTATGGCGGATGCCTTAATACTTTACGATTGATGAATGTCAGTTGGGAAACAGGCATGGTGAGTCGATATTGTATCAAGAGTCAGTTGCTAAACTCTTTAGGTTTACAACTTGAGGGTGATAATGATGATATGATTATGGCACAGAAATTATTACTTGTGTTGGCTTCAGTAAGTGGAAATGATTATGCTGAAAACATACCTACCTATTCTTTTGGGAAAATGCGGGAAAGGCTTTTGAATGGGCTGCAAGTGAATCGTACAGAATACTGGGATCAATCAATGTACACTATACAACAGAGGCTATTATCATCGTTCAACAATTTACCTGCTCATATACCTGAAAGAATGAAAAAGGCACTCGTGATGTATGCATGCCCACTAGCAGATATAACAAATAACAGGGGATGGTCACCACTACAAATTGGCTTTGAGTACAATGAACTTTTTACAATACTTGGAAATATGGAACATCTTCATGTATTAAGAGGACCATCAGAGACACAAGGAAATCGTTTCATATATGCTTATAATGTTCAACCTATACAAAGAGAAAACACAGCCCCAGAAAACACAAATGACTTGCGCCCACCGAGACAAAGGGTATATGCAGCAGCTGCAAGAGGACGTGGTAGAGGACGTGGTGGTAGAGGACGTGGTGGTAGAGGACGTGGTGGTAGAGGACGTGGTGCAGGAGGTGCAGCAGCACAAATTACTGTTTTCTCTGAGGATAATGCAACAGAGCATATTACTATATCTGCCAGAAGCAGAGCAATTCGTACATGGTCAATGGGTTTATATTCGTCGGTTTTATCAGCTGCAATGACTAGATCAATACCATTCAGCAGCAATAGTATTGCTCGATTTCAAGAGAATTTCGACCCTATTGAAGGACAAGCTCTAAATCATACTAGGGTTATATGCGATATCTTACACAACGAATCAAAGCAAATGTCATTTGTACGACAGGTAGCTTTTCAGATGGTTAACATAGCTTTAAGGCATCCTAAACATAGGCCTCTTAACGAACCTGAGAATTTGAATTTCTACAGAGAGTTTTTCTCTAATGATTCCCAGAAGATCTGGATATTTATCATCAATTGTGCTATGACACGTAATTATGCGTATCATAGAACAGGGGATCCATTATATGTCGATGTACCTTTTCACCCGTTTGAAACCGATAGAGCACAACAAGGCTTCGTTGGTATAGACAATCCAATGCAATATGCTGCACACGATGCTCATAACCCCGCACATCTTCGTAATCTCATCGATACGATGCACGATAAAGCTGATTTCAGAGACACCATGTTGCAAGCTCGTGCCATGTGGTACCAATACTACAGAAATAATAACATTGATCCACCAGTGCTACCAAATACCCAATACAGGCATAAAATGGTACAATCATTAGCACAGCAAATGGATACCAACTTTAAAGTGAACCTCATCACACATTTCATCTCAAGAACAGAGGCATTTATTGCAGCATACATGACTTATGTATCAGATGTTCCTAATGGATGGCCTGACCTACCAGAAACTCCAATGGAAGGGGTTAATACTCTCAATCACCGGCTTTACATTCTCATTCGAGAAGTCATAAACGATGAAGCTCCTCACGGGAATATCCAAAATCAAATCCAAAATATAATGGTAGAAACAAATACACAGCTTGATAATGATGTGATTGCTTCAGTAGCCACATTCATCACCTCCCAAAGAAATAAGAGGGTGCAAACAGGTAATGCTGTACCACTTACCTTTAATGAATTGAGTGATGCGTTAAAGGATTATGCTAAAAGACCCCGGGGATGGCCTACTCATGTTGGCTTACCACAATATGTACTTGCAAATGTTTTCTGCATTCCATGGATACAGAATGACGAGAGAACAGAGAATATAGTGAACGACGACGTATGTAGAGAGGTTCATGAGCAAGTGCTTGGTCTCCCACTTGGCATCCAACAGGATATAAGAGCCTTCATTAGAGATATTCGTGCGAATCTTCAAACGGCTGCTTTTGACTTTAAGATTGGTATTCGTACACAACGTATACCTCCAAACACCCCAGATGATTTGAGAAGCAGAAACATTCCACTTGATATTTTTGATTGCTTGGATTTACCACGACCAGACGTAAGAAATCGGTTAGCTCATATCTTTGTTGATGTTTTGGCAGTAAACCCACAATACATAGCATGGGAACAAGCTATGAATCAACAATGGAATCAAAGAATACAGCAGAGCATACAGGATTTTCAAGAAAAACTTAATCAGGTATTGCTAGACTGGGATAATGCCAACCAACAAATACAATTGGTTGTTGCACAACAGGATAACCGCCAACCAGAAATGTTAAGTCTTCATAATGATGAATTTGCAGCAGAGTGGCTACTCGCTGGAGGTAATGGCCTTAACCGACAACAACGAAAACAAAATATGTTGGTCTTACTTGAAAACTTTGATGAGATGGCAAAAAGATACATTCACGATATCGTAGTGGAAGAAACTACACGATGGTATTATGTGTGGAATACATGCAGGAATATCGTAATGGAGATACGTGATGTCTTATACAATGACACTGGCAATGAATTCTTAACGACAGTTGAAGCAATGCAAGATCGAATAATAGAATCGGAGGGAGAAATCAGGAATCAATGGGCAACGGAAATGAATACTTTCCAGACTCAGCTTAATCAGGTTAACGAAACCACTCAAGAACAATACAATGCTATCATCACTGAGATACCTCAGGTGTTACCTTTGGGTCCCAATGGTAACATTGATAACACCGTAGAAGGAGTACAACAGGAATATCAGTTTTGGACAGGGGTTATAAATCAAAGATATGATGGCTTTAATGTTTTCTGCAACCAAGTCCTACAACAAGTTCACACGACCATGGTAAACCAAACAACTAATCTATTACACGAAATGGAAGAATTGCATGGTGCTTTAGATGCTTACCTTGCTGATTTGGCAGAACAACCAGAAGATGGTGATGATGAAGAACAAGAGGCAGTTGAGCTTGATGAGCAGGCATCTGACATAGAGGATGAAGATGATATTATGCAGCGTGAAGATGATGATCCTCCGACAGACCAAGGCATTAATGGGTTCAGAACCTATGCTTTGATTCCAATGCTCGTTACGATGCTGCAAGGTTTCCCTGATCGATTGTCGTTTGCACTTTGCCCCAAGGCCAAAAGTGGGAATGTATGCATTCCTATCAACAGGGCGATTGGTAGAGATATACTTCAGCATGTAAACTACTTTGCACAAGGCATTCCCAATTATGCGAACCTTCAGCCACATATTCAATCACTACAGCAATGTGTTAACTATACCAGGCTTATAGGGTACAGTGAAACACCTTTTATGATACCACTTTCTACTCCCATAAGAGCAGCCGTTCATGACATCATTACGACTACCATCAACGACCTAATCATACCTCAACAAGTTATGCCTTATTACACGAATCTTCCCCATGGTGTTACAATAATTGATATTCATCAGCAAATGATTATGCTATTACATGCATCACATCAAGTTGCCCAGTTTGATGCTAACGGTGAGCTTGTGTTCCCTGATAACATACAAATCCAGGCATTATACGCTTCCCAGCTATATTGTGATCAGCTATTACTTATCCGCTCGCTGAGAGTAAGGACATTAATACGTTCACAAAAACTTCCAATGGGTGAGCCTGCGCTTGACAACCTTCATCATTGGGTACAACCCAATGCTCTTGATAACGAAGAGTATGTACGAATGACACGAATCTATATTGGTTATTACCAAAAGGACAGAGGGTTGTCTGTGGCAGACTTTAGAACAGCTTACATTCATAGTCATAATCGATTGTGTTGGGAAACATTAGTAACTGTGCAATACAATGCAAATAATCAACCTCAGCTTCCTGCCTCTGTAATGGGCCAGTATCTAGATCAATGGCAATCAGCAAATATCGCCATTCCACAAGCGCAACAGAGCAATGTTTGGAATCCATATCCTTTTTTCTTCAACCCTCAATATCAATCATTTGTTTCTGGAGAGGGTAATGTAACAGTCAAACACGGGAGATATTATAGAGAATTCAACAGAACAATCCAGGGAGTGAATATGGTATATCCACGATACACTATTGAACGCCTAATGACCGATGGAGTAAGGATACATATCGTTGTCAGAGATTGGATGAAAAGACTCACTCGTTCAAGAGGCGACCCTATCAAATACATACCAGAGGTTCGCAAATGTAGAAATCGAAAATTAGCACAAGACGAACAGCTTCGAGATGACTTGCCTGTTGATGTCAACAATGTCGACGTTGAACTTAATCAACGGGTCAATTTGATGCAACATCATGGCTTCACAGGTGTGGTAGGGGTTGATCTCGGTGAAACGTTTGCTGCAGGAACATTTTTCTTGCCACATGGTCCTGGTGTCGGAGTACAACACACGATCAAACGAAGTGAATTGTATGGATTGACCTTCACCAATAGAGGTATAATTGAAAGTGAGAAAAGAGCTAATCAAATTAACGAAATTGAGAGTACTATGTCGCAAGGAAGCACATACAGCAACATGGATAAATACTTGGTTTATATTAACAATTTCCAGAACGATAACAACGGCTTACAACTGAACAACTTTTATTCAAGGAAAACACTCATTCGTCGGCAGTGGTCAAATAGATTATCCATGAAAGCTGCTAAGGACAAGGCATGCACTCGCGTTCTTTCCATGGGAACCGCTTCGTTGAATGCACCCACACAGCAGCAATATCAGAACCAAGCTTTGATCAGGAGACAACAAAAAGCAGATTTCATGCAACTACAAACCTTGGAACAAGCTTTACCTTGGGAAGACGAAATGAATTTTATTGAAGATGTAACACAACAACGAGATCAATCTCAAATTCAAGCAAACGCAAGACGACAAGCACGTTTGATTCGAAGAGAAAACTTATCAACAGAAGAACAACAACAAAGACTTATCATACGACGTGAGAAAAGAAGACGCCAAAGACGTCGTCCTCAGCCAACTCGGATGGTTATAGCTCTCGGTATGGATGCGTTGACATCTGGCAATCATAGAAGGGGTGCGCCCGCCTCTATGGATATGAGCTTTGCGTCAAGTTTGGCTGAAATTGCTAAAGCCAGAAACCATTGGGTTGTCCGCTGTGATGAGTATCTAACATCTCAAAGATGTCCTCGCTGTGCAATGTTAAATAGGGTGACAAACCTCCATTATCTCCAAGTACAGGTTCCGGGAGCAGCACAACCAAGGGAATCAATCAGAATCCTTGTTTGTGATACATGTGAAAAGACCTATCATAGGGATGGATCAGCAGCACACAATATAGCAAACAATGCAATGGCTTTCCTACAATTTGGTCAAAGAATACCAGGCCATATTAGGAACTCTCGTCGTATACAAGGGGTCAATTATGATAATTGATCCATGATACTAATCTTTTCCATTCCTTAGCACATAGATATAGTTGCGTAAAGTACCGATATCACCAATCGAGGCTTTTTTTGTCTACGTATGCGTAAATAAAGAATGTTACATTGAATACTTAATTTCCAGTACATGAATCAAGTGTGTTAAGCATGATGTACACTTTATCGTTTACATCATTATACATATACGCATCCAATGCAGCCTTGGATGATTCTCATGTTGCCAATCTTTTACTCGACATGTTTCATCCTGTTTTGTTCCCTCTTCTGTTACCAACCACATATTGCAAAGGGTTTATTTACAATGAATCATACATACGAACACCAAAGTCGTCATGTAGATGTAACTCACACAATCTCGCTTGTCGTTTTAACATTCTCTCCTCCTTTCCATCAAGAAAACGTCACTGGTGTACATCTAAAACATATGAACTGGAATTATAGATACTAATCACGCTAAACCTGATCTTCATTCAACATAGACTTTATCAAAAAAAAATGGTAGAATACATAGACTCTATGGGTATCATCGGGTCATTGTGTCCTTGGTTGCTGTCGTCATAGAAATCTTCATGCAAGGTTCCAAATCAGCTCCAAATCAGCTGTTGCTTGATTTCACTCTAGTATTCCAGGATCATCCATGATTATAAACCGCCTTTCGTCAAAGAGCCTTCTTCTCAACAATACCATTCAATCCAACATCATCCACAGATGTAATCGCGTATCATGATGATTCTTTCTGATGATGACATGCTAAGTAATCAAAACGACTATCCAGGACTTCTTTCCACTGCGCTTGATTACATCCATCCATAGTCATTCCAAGGCCCACATGTTAATCAAAAGGCAATATGATCGCTTCTGATATGCATCCTTTTCCGTCTAGCTAATGGTCAATACCTTACTTAGTCATTCTTTGAAGCAGCTCAATCATTTTGCGATATATACCATGCATCGCAGGAGTTGCTTGTATTGATACATACATGATAATGGATATCAATGGCCGTCAGATATGGTATACTCCACACCAACCATCACGTCCTATGGTTCACGAACGATCCGCAATATTAGTTATCGTTCCTTGATCAGCAAACCCATCCATACTCTTCTATACCTTGCTCTGTGTGACTCATTATACAAATCTCCTGTGGTAGTGTGCTGTTGGATAATGGAGCGTGTCTTAGGTGTATGAAGAGGTGATGGTAATGATTACATGAAATAGGTGTTGTGTGATGGATAAAACTGATCAACATGCTGCTGCAATGTTACGCAAGAAAGACATCCCTTGGAAGTAGTTGCTCGTTATCACCAAGCTTGAAAAAGAAACCGAGCGCTAGTTTCTTTGCATGTTCGCTGCACGACGCGTAAAGAATGAATATTGTAGGGTGCCATGTACGTGCTGTCATCATTTAAGACCAAATCGTAGTGAAGAAGTTGCTGTGGATGTCATTGTCCAGTGGAGTGAAATGCAGATGAACAATCCAAAGGGCACAACACAAGTAGCTTGCTGAATAACCCACACACTATAATCAAAAAGGAGGTTGGCATACGTTGAAGAAGAGAACGAATCATTCACTATTTACCAAATGATAGCTTCATCCATAGAAATCCCAAATGACCAGAAGACATACAGCTTGCTGAATAGCCCGCATACTATAGTAAAAGGGAGGTTAGCAGGCGTTGAAGAAGAGAACGGACCACTATTACCAATGATAGCCACATGCACGAAAACATATCGACATCCAATGACAGCTGCATCCATCAATAATCCAAAGGGCTGAAGACAAGTAGCTTGCTGAATAGATCACATACTATAATAAGCGAAGAGGTTGGCAGGCGTTGTAGAAACGAATGGATCACTATTTACCAATTGATACCCATGTATGCACGAAATCCTGCTGATATCCAAATCAAGCCGATTCTTTGCAATCGTCCGCTTGTTGATAAGACCCACTACGTTGGCACCCGGGTTGTAAGCTATGGAACGACACTTGATGGGAACATACAGTGAGAAGGTTGAGTAATACTCGTACCACCGAAGATAACATACTTACATTTTACCGAAGAGCCCTTACAAAGAGAGACAACGAGACAATCCTTGTTACCCAAGACCACATGCAAATCGAGAATGCATTGTGCATCGAAAAGCCCAAACCAGATCCTAGCTGCGGAGTGACGTACATATGGCTAAAGAGCGATGTGAATGGCAATCGTTTTTCATTGGAAATCGAATGCAGCTTGACGATGAATGCCTTGAGGAGATGCATAAATGACCTCGGTAACATCAAAGATGTCAACGCGGACTCTCATTGCTTGTTGATGACATTATCCATCCATAAGACGCGTATAGTTGTAGAGATCCACCAAAGGAATTGCCGATAATCAGGACCACGAGATGATCGAAAGCTTGCTGACGCCAAAGGTATAAACCTGCTCCTTGTTGCTGACATGATCGATCGATAAGGGACCTTTGTTTCAGGAGGTTCACCAAATTGCAGGTAATGGGAAGCACCAGATGGATGATGGGATGAGGGTTGATATGGCATCAAAGATATGCATGCTGTTGTTTGTTGCTGATACAATCCACTCATAAAAGACGTTCATTGGCTGACATTCTCCAGAGAAATCGCCCGTTGCTTGGTAACCAACCACCCGAGACACAATAAAGGTTGACACCACCAAAAGACATAAACGCTTCCCCATGGCTGACATGATTCACCTATAAAAGATGCACCATAAACAATTGTCCCAACTCATCCAACAATACTTAGCAATTCATAGCTGTGATCTTGTAAACGTCAAAGCACCAAAAGACAAGCAGCTCTCTGCAATGGTCCCTCTAAATAATGGTAGGCGTTTCAGCAAAGGTCTCCAAAAGCATGAGAGTCCTACATACCTGAATCACGCAATCATCACCCGCAGACTTGGGAACCACATAGGCAATCAGGATGTAAAGTAATGATAAAAGCGCACAGCCAAAGAAACGTCATTGTACCGGCACTCTCCTGTGGATCGACGCGATGAAGTGCATCAATAGAGATACCCATCTTCTCTCTAAAGGCAAGGAGATCAATAGCCGTAAAACGATGGAGCCGTGCGAACAGAGGATGCATTTTTAATCCCTGAGGCCGCAACATGAGTCGCACTGTCCCCGGGCACAACATGTAGAGCTCCACAGGAAAGTGTAGTACAATGACGTCCTTGACGTGCAGCCGTGATAATAATAGTATCGCCGAAAGAGGCTCTGCCACTGTAGGGTGTTTGGTAAGTTCACTTGAATCCAACCAATCCCATCATAATGAACACTCTTACCTTGTGGTATTCCTCAATAGCATCACCGCCTCAAATAAAGCCGTATCTCCATGTCATCCATATTGTCTTGCTACTGTTTCACTGTAAGGCTCGTTAATTGACAGGTTTTGCTTTGTACATCCAATTCCATCCATGCATACCATTGAGCCAACGTACGGCGTTATTGCTTTGATATCAATGTCCTGTTGCTGCCAGAGGTACCATCATCCAACATGTTCACCTACCATAAATGCAATGTGAGATAAGAAGCAAACCCAATCCACACGCTTTTGTTGTCAGCATACCCAAAAGAGGCAATGTGAAGACGTCTTGAGAACTCTCATTGTGGACAACTCGGTAAGGAAGGCACACGACGCCCTGAACCATGGTGATCACAAGGAATTGCAACCAAATACACCATCCGACGGCAATACAATAATCAACCTGCAGCGCCAAGGTATACCACCATATGTACCATACTCTCATTGGATCCTGAAATTGGCATCATAAGAGATATCCACCTTCTCTCTGTAGGCAAGGAAATCAATAGCCGTACTTGGATGGAGGCCGTGCGCACAGCGGATGCATTTTTAAATCCCTCAGGCCGCATCTTGAGTCACACTGTTTCCGGGCCAAAATTCCCCAGGAGAGCATAGTACTATACAATGACATCCTCGACGTGCAGCCTTGATAATAATAGTATCGCCGAAAGAGGCTCTGCCACTGTATGGCGTTTGGTAAGTTCACTTGAATCCAACTAGTCCCACAATGAACCTCTTACCTTGTGGTATTTCTCAATAGCATCATTGCCTCAAATGATGCTATTATCCATGTCATCCATATTGTCTTGCTGCTGTTTCATTGCAAGGCTCGTTAATTAACATGTTTTGCTTTGTAGATCGAATACCACGCATACCATTGAACCAACCATACAGTATTCTTGCTTTGAGATCCGTATCCTTTTGCGGCCACAGGTACCATAATCCAACGTATTCAAGCTGCAGTAAATGCAATGTAAGGTAACAAGGATAGTATTTGCTTTTCATGTCGACATACCCAAAGTAACAATGTGTTGGGACCTCTCCTTGATGGCAACCATGGATAGAATACACACGACACACGACGACCCCTTTGGAACTTGTATAACGAGAGAACAGCAAACTACACGTGAACTTTAGAACCACAATGTCCAACTTGAATAATAAAGTAATGCAGCGATTGAACTTACATGTTGTATTGCAATGGAAGCTTGAGTCATGGGCAGATCGCGCGCGTACTTGCTGTTGAATGTCTGCAGCTGGAAAGTGTCGCCATTGACCACATGTTCACCCCAATGAACGCTGTACATTGTAAGGAATGCCAGCAATTAGCGCGTTGTAGTTTGTAAATGGAGACAAGCTTACCTTTTTTTGTGAAGAAGAGTGGTCTCTTTGTTCCTCCTGCTCCCTTGAATTCGTGCACTCCTTGCCACCCGCTTGCTACAACTACCGCTCTCAATAAGCACGACGGCACCTTCTATCTAAGCTATCCATAATCTCCCTGTGCCAAAAGATGGCGTCGACTACAGTAGGACCGGACGCATCAATGTAGCTTTAAGTTTTTATGAGTTAACCCCCTAACGAGTATAGGAAGCTCTTCGTTTTGGTATTAGTTCGAAGGGATCTTCAATCAAACAAAATGTAACAGGATCTCGTTAATTGGTAAAAATGAAGTCGTTTTATTACAGCAACATCATCAAAGTACATGATAAATGCAAGTGGTAGCAATAATAAGCAAGAATTACGTCGACAACAACATTTTCTGTTCTAATCCAACAAATGTCCTAAAGTACGCTTCAATTTTTTCACCTCTCTTTCTTTCAATCCCAAAGATTCTTGATTCTGATGATTCATTCTGGTCGCATGTTGTAGCTCCTCATTTTTGGCGCTCAGCTTTGCTTTGCATAGTTCCAATTGTGATGCGGTCTCTTTTTGTTGCTTTTCAATATTAATGGTCCTTTGCTCCAAGTCGTCTTTTGCATCGATTAGAGTGGTAAGATCGTCACGTGTTTGCGATACTTGTCTGAGAGCATTTTTCAATGTGTGCTGCAGTTTAGTAAGCTGTGCGATGCGTTTCTTGTTTATCGATGGAGCTTCTGGTGGTGTATGTAACCGTGCGCGGATGGTTCTGTTGTCAATCGGGGTATCCTTACGGGAACCTTGTTTTTCGTACATCGCTTCAGTGTTTGAGCTTGACATTGTATGATGCTGTAGTATGTCATCATGATGGGTTGTGCCACCTTCGGATATGGGAGCTACCGACGACAACTTTTTGGATGATGATGACATGCCTTGATTGGTCACCAATTCATCTCGCATTGCCTGGATTTGTCGTTCCAATTCCTGAATCTTCCTTTTGGCATCATCTTGCTTCCGTTGCAACTCGTTACGTTCACGTGTCAAGATTTCGACATGAGCTTTGAGTGCATGAGTTTCTCCTACATTGGTTGTATCTCCATTGGGCAGTCGTCATGTAGGTGGATGGTAGTAACCTCGCATCAAAGGAATTTTTTGATTGCTATGAAAAGCATGTCTTTGATTGTTGCCCGCGGGTGTATTTGTACTTTGATGTCCTTCCATTCAAAAACTGTAACAAGGGTGAAAATCAGATTGTGGTATGAGAAGGACAACTGCGTGAGAGAAAAAAGACAAAGAAAAGAAAGGACGTTTTTGGGAGAGCGAAGAAAATTAATTTGACGGAACTTGTTTCACGCTTGTTTGCATTGATTCTATCTCATGCTTGCTGTACCCCCTCTCCCCCAAGCAACACAGTCGTAGCCAAAACTAAACTTTGAGTTTTTACATCTGTATCGTGTATACCCCATCCATAAAGCATAGCTATTGTTCTAATGATCCTATAATGTTCCCGTTGAGCGTTTATCTTCGCAGCAAGATAAAATAGTAAACCCATACTCGGCAAGGTGATGTAATGATGATGATTATGGGCGATTAACTGGATCACCTCGGGTGGCACGATGCATTCCGATACTAATTCTTCTATTCCTTTTCCTAATGTAAGATAGTTGTATGCTCAACTTTGCCTATGTTGATGTGTTTTGCTGATTAGTGTTTTTATGGGGTAGGTTACAACGACCAGCACGAATTGCCCATCGTCACCGAGCAAGACTTCTGAGAAGGGAAATAGAACGACAAGAAGCTGAGCGACAGCAACAGATTGAAGATCAACATGTAGTTACTCCTAATGGCGCGGATAGTCATGTACCTGAAGAGGGTGAGACCCAACAGCAAGAAGAAAATGACGTTGATCATACTCCTGAGGGTGATATGAGCCAACAGCATGAAGAAAATGGAGATAGCCATGCACCGGAAGAAAGCTTGAGCCAGCAGGAAGAAGAAAATAACGATAATCAAGCTACTCAAGAAGAAGATCAATTGTATGATGAGTATGATTGATCGGATCCAATAATAAAATTGTTGCTGTTTATCATAGCGAGAGATCTCACGCCACTACGGCATATCTCACAAGCATGACTTACACAAATCAACCGTTTGTGCCACCCACACACGAGTCCCATCATCACTGCGTATACCGACTTATCCGTATCCTGATTCAAGAAGCCACGTCAACATCAACCCAAACACCAATCCCTTACGCCATCATCCATAAAGCTATAAATAAGCGTATTCAACAACTGAAATAAATCATTCAACAACCTTTGTTAAGTCTCGCTGTATTCTCTCGTCTCTTTTTATCATCATCTCTCTCCTCTTTTTCATCTTTATTATTGTGCGCATTTCAATTCATCCTCATCATAGTGCGACCTTTTTGCGAGACATGAAGACCAAAACACTTTTGCATCTTAATCAAGTTATATCCATATATCGGTTAAATGATACCACAAAACCGTGTATGCATGGCTTTGCTTTATTGATGATTATTCAATCCTCGAAAGTGCTATATGTCGCTTCGATTGTTAAACACTACACGTCGATACTTGGCAGGTCTTCCATCACAATCCACGTCTTTAGGTTGATGGTAGCTTTCCTCGTTATACGTAACACCTTGCATTTTAGATACATCAGCTCTCATATGATACCGTTTCAACAACTCCTCGAGTTTTTCTCGCTCCAGCCAGATCAGCCTTGATCTATGCTTTCCATGAGCCAATCTTGCAGGTCTTTGTAGCCTATATTGTACGTGTGATTTTAGTATCATTTGGATACAGGTTCAATAGGTATCTTACATAAATGGTTCCTACCAACGAAAGAGAATAAGTATCCTCTTCCAGCAGGAGCATCGCTTATAAACTGAATTTCATTGTAAGAAGCTCCGCATGATTTCTCCTTAATTTTGGGCGCAGATACCGTGAATGTGGCCGCTCGAGCCCTCCAAAAAAGGCCCGATAACATGGGAGGTCTGTCACTTTTTAATTTTTTGGGTAGCATCAGTTCGCGCAGCGAATTGATGCTCTCATTGATGCTCCGGTGGTTTAGTAGAATGCTTATTGGAGGTGTTGTTTATTCTATACGTCTTTACATTTCCACAGCCACCGCTTCTTTACATCTTCTGTACTGATTACATTTGATAAAACGTGTACCTCGTTTAATAGGGCTACCATCAAGGATACTACTAGTCATTGTTGTGTTTTGGGAAGGTTATTTTCTAACAAGCTTGCGACATGAAACCTGTGGTGGTGCGGTAATAGTAATTGGATTTGATTTGTTTGATGTATCATGCCACGAGCTGGGGGTTGAAATGATGGATGGTGTTGGTAAACGTTGTTGAACACGAGAAGGTATTGTTGGTGGGTGATACGAGTTGTTGTCGTCATGGTGAGCGAGTTATTGTATCGCATGGTGTTGAGCTTTTAGTGCGATAGGTGGTGTTTGCGATGGAATTGTACGTGATAGTTTTTGTAGTCTTGGATGTAGAGCTTTACCATTGAACAATATTATTCGTGGTCACTATCTCACCTTTTTTTTTTTCCCGAGCGGCCTCATCCTATCTACGCCCAAAATTGAAAGATGGTAATTATAGACTGGAGATGAAGAATCATTCACATGCATAGGCTTTATCTATGGGGCCAATGTGCCATGTAGACACCTCCTCAATAGAAAATCCCTTACAATCGATTATGAAATAGAATATGACATAAAAACACGTGATTTGGATTTTATTCATTAGTGTTAAGCATGGAGAGTTGAGCAATGTCATCGATAATGTTGGAAGGGGAAAGGTGTTGTTGGGGTTGACCTTGGGGTTGGTCTTGATGTTGTTGATGATGATGTTGCTGGTGCAGTGGTTGCTGTTGCGGTTGTTGTTGGTGCGGTGGTTCCTGTAGCTGCTGTTGTTGTTGATGTTGTTGTTGTTGTTGATTTGGTGTTGGTTGTTGTTGTTGTTCGTGTGGTTGATAAGAATTATTCATTGGATGGTTGTATGTGTTTCTCATCATGTCCTGGTAAAAGGAACACTGATGGGTGGTATGGCGGGTATATCTTCCCCGGTGGAAGATACACCGAGGAACATAGGGATTACGATTTTGATTCGATTGTTTTTGGTATGTGTGTCGTCTGAATTTGCCCCCAAAACGGTTCCAGCGTCTGTAACGTTGGTTGTTGCCTCCAAACTAAATTATAGGGGTTGTTAGTATGAAAACGGTGATGGTATATGGTTTACTTGATTACATTGATGCTGATATTGTGCATGATGGTAGTTGTCAATCCACCATTTCATGACCCTTTGTATTTATATGTAAATTTCATGCACGGGAACATGGTACCTTATGACCACAACTACGTACAGTCGAAGCCGACCTGCAGCAAACAGGAGTAAGCCTACTCTTACCAACACGACATGCTTCATGTTGTCTTTCTTTATTCTTCGCCTTAGATACGATCAAGTAAAAAAGGAAAACATGTCCTTAGTTTGGTATATGAATGACTCAATAAACATACGATAGTGCCTGTTCCTTTATGCGTGAATGAATAATTTCTTAAGAAGATGACGATAACATGTAATGGCTCTCGAACAATGAAAACATCACGGACAAGAATTTAACATAAATGGATACTGCGAAGCAACAGAGAAAAGAACAAAATCTTCTCCGTTCATGCATGCATGACACTCCGCTGTGTCAACACAGCGGAGTAAAGTGGTTTTGAGTGTTTGCATTAGAGTCCCACAAAGAAGTATAAGCAGCCCCTGCATTGCTAAATGTTCTGATGTCCTTAAATGAGCCTCAGTAAGATATTTGATGCTCATATCATATGAATGCTGTCAAGATATTAGACCTTGGATTGTACGCTGACGAGTCTTTTTTCATTTTCGGTCCAAGTTGTATCTCATTTAGATTCAATGTTAACCTTATGGTGTCTTAAACCAAAACTAAGTTACCGGTGATGCATGGTACATCGTAACATATCCATGGTTACAATGAACCTTAGTAATATGCCACCTCGCCGTATTTCTTTGTATTCTTCCATACATGGGAGATCAAATACTCTTCTCTATCCTATCCTTGTGTAGCACACAAAAGGGCTTTTTCCAAATGCTGAGATCGTGGGCTTATACCCATCACCATACAGAATCATCAATATTTGTGAAGTTACCTTGATCGTTTATCAAGCTAACAACTTTCATCATTGGATGTTGATACGCTGTATGCAACGATTATAGCCTCTCCTTAAACCTTATGTAACCCACGGTCATATTTAACATTGTAAATAACTTGATGAAGGAAATAATATGCATCGTGATGAGTTGATGCTTGTAAGATATAGTTCTATAGTCATGAAGACACCTCTTTTTTGTGTACAATAAAGACCCTTAACAGCCGGCGTTATATCATAGTTACCATTACCTTTCAACGCAATATTGTTGTTCTTCAGCCGATTCGGTACCGTAACATGCTTTATGAGTAAGAATGTCTCCTCAAAAACAAATAACAAAGAAATAGTAGATTCATGCAGGTGTACTAATGTATGATGCATATACCATATCTCCTTGGTAAATTGATTTGCAAAACTTCCTGTTCCATTCGGCATCAACAAAAGGAGTACCGGCAGCCATACAGGATGGTGGATACAACCAACGTGAGATAGAAGAGAGTACATCTTGTGTGTGCAAGTTTCATGTTCAAGCTCGCCAATCCCAGATTTCGAAAATGTCGCCACCAGCCAAAGTGGATTGACCACTCTTCCACCTTCTTTTCTTGTTGCTCCTCCTCAGACTTACCACACCACGAATTGACCACCTATTTGCCATCGTTGGATTAGCCATGTGTCAATGTCTATTGCCTGCCATTGCTCACCTCCAAAAGAGCCGCCGATTGTATAATCGTTAAGCCTTGCCAAGAGAGATCGTGGACATTATCGTATTTGAAACCTGCCGAAAGGTAACAATAGAGTGTGGTGTAAAATACCCAAAACCATCCCATGAAGCTAACATTGTTGTATCCAAGCAAGTAAAAGAAGAGAATGAGTTGGTTGGCCGAACTGAATTGTGGAGGACCAGAACGTCGTCCAGCGGATGCAGCAGCAGCGAGGCCTTCGTGCGACTTTGGATAGACGACAGCTTTGGGATAACGAGTGTCAGCAATCAGGGATTGTGTTGTTTGATCATTGGCTTACAAGCTGGCATGGATGTACACAAAAAGAGGGTCGATGAAGAGGAAAAGAAGAGTAAACAACGCTTGTTTGTCCAAAGAAACTCGAGAAAGTGGAGAAATGCGGAGCGGCATGACAGGGCAACATCAACGTGTCTCGGATCAAAACCTTGTACTACATCACATTCAATGGGGATCATTACGCTATGAAGGAAATCGACAATGGATTACACACACAACATCGACCCCAAGATGCCGTTCCAATGAATGCATGAGGAGCCAGAGACAATAGAGCAACACCATGAAAGCCGCTATATACACTGTGACCATAGCAACAGCAGCAGATCATCATAGCAACACACCACCTTACGCCGTTGCTATGTTACAGCTCCAAACCTTTGCAGTTCAACACGATCCTACGAATTGTGTAGTGGACCGCCTTTTATCAAACTTGCACCTTTGTGATTTCCGAAACACGTATCCACGACTTCAATGACAGCCCATAATACGTATTATGCGCGATACTATTGATGTATCCTGGCAACACTCCCATCATATGCATGATTATCGGCGAGCAGCTACCTTTGTTTATCAGATCCCATTCGTTATCAGATGCTGAGCCTCGCCTGTGAGCCCTGAAAATGGCGTGCTGCATGATGCATGTAAATAAAAGGTAAATCATTACATATAGCAGCATTGTTGGTCTCCTTTGATTAACGTTATGCTTCTTTCTTTTCCTCTTTTACAAGCATCTACGACACGCTCCATCCACTATACATTCGCACACCATGTCGACAAGTTACAAAGAACGACAACCGCTATTGGCGTCACACAGCGAGGGGACATTGTACAGCATTGACGATAACAACAATGGCACTATTGACAGCAATTATCATGCATCTACATCATCAGACCACAACAATGAGGAATATTACAATGATGTTGACACTAAAAATGAGGACCATTTAACCACTCAACCTTGGAAGTACAAAGCCGTTGCTTTAGCATGCGCTCTATTCTTGGCAGGTATTGTACAATGGCCGGCGGATGGTTGTGCATTGTGCTCACCTAGCAGATTTTCTTCTTCCCACGATGGTGGTGTGCCCTTCTGAACGCTGATAGTGGGTAGCCATTTTGCAGCACACACGCTAGGTGCGATGAAAAACATCATCAAGGAGGAATTTGGTATCACCAACTCGGAATATGGCGTGCTTCAATCCAGTGTTTCCATTGTCAATACCATTTTACCCGTCTTTGGAGGAGTCTTTTTGGACGCTTTTGGCACAGCGAAAGGATCCATCATCACCACAGCCCTTATCACCATAGGCAATGTGCTTGTATCACTATCGACCCATAGCAAGAGCATGTCAACCATGGTGGTGGGCCGTATACTTTATGGTATTGGAAGTGGCAATGTTGTCATTGTTCAAGAGACGATATTATGCCAGTGGTTCCATGGGCGTGATTTGGCCGGTGTTATTGGACTCATGTTGACAGTGAGCCGATTGGTATGTTGATGATACTACTATGTAGCATTGTTCTCGAGAATTGAAGCTGATACCATATCTCAAATCATTCAAGGCATCGTTTATGGCTCAAGCGACTGTGATTCCGATCGCTGAATCCACAGGATGGTACGGCTATGGTTTTTGGGTATGTAGACTATTACAAGCGACCCCTTGAAACATGCTTTCTCACTTTCCATATATGCAAGTTTTCCGCATTATTGTGTCTTTTCTCGTTGTTGATCAACCTTGTGTACCTGGGGCTCATGAAGCATTTGGGGATGCGTCAACAACACAATGTCGCTCGATCCAAGCGTGTCTTTAGCTGGTCCAAGTTGCTATATCTACCTCACTCCTATTGGCTTATTGCAGCAATGGAATTTCTTCTAGGCGGTGCTTGGGGATGTTGGCTGCACATCAACAGGTAATACCTATTATCCCAATTCATCAAAGCACTAACAAATTATAATTATCAAACCAGCGAGTTCGTCAAGATGCGATTTGGATATGACAATGCAAAGGCAGCAGCGACAGCTAGCGTGGCACAGGTGCTACCGATCTTCTTAATGCCAGTGCTTGGTGTATGTGTGGATCGATATGGAAAACGCTCTTGGATGAGTAAGTGTTTGATAAAAAGCCCCATTTACAGTAGCATTAACATCATGTCGATTAGTTCTTGCGAGTGGTTTATCATTCCTTTTGTCAATGGCGCTTTTGGGATATACGTATTTGTCACCTGTTATTGGCATGTTATTGTTCAGCATGAGCTTGGCCCTGGGGCCTGTGGGATTAGTATCCTCTGTGCCTATCATTCTGCCATTATCATTGGTTGGCACCGGCATGGGCTTGATTAAATCATGCACCAATATTGGGGCAACGCTATTCGACATTGCCACTGGGCTTTTCCAAGATCAAGATCGTAATCAAGGATACGATGGTGTGATGATATTCTTTTTATGCATTGGCCTACTAGCATCATTTGGTGGTGTGGTGCTATACCTACTTGACTGGCAGATTTACAGCTCAATCCTGCAGCAACCTGCATCAGCACGAAACAACAGCAAAACAGAAGCGGAGACATTAGCGGAGAAACGACCCATTGCTGGGAATTGGGTTTATGGAGGCGTTTACCTATTACTGGCTTCAATGAGCTGGGTCATGTTTTTCAGGTTTGTGCTTTGAGCACACTTGTAATCCAACACGCGGGAAAGCGACAGCGCACGGACAATCCCATCCAATCGCATCTGTTTGACAAGGAAAATCGGGGATAGACTAGAGGGGCTGATATGTCAAAAAAACCTCATTAAACAGGAGGTGCCCCACGCACCTCTTCTTTTTCACCTGTTCACAAATGTTTCACGCATCAAATAATGAAACGTGAGAGAAATGCACTCATCCACAACATTCCACGCATGTAAACAATGTGCTCATGAAACCATTTACAGGTGTTCAATACGGCTTATTGTGCGACAACAACCTGTGAAGGCACGCCTTTGCAGTTTCAAAGAAAAAGGTATGCTGCATGTTACTATTCACCCATCATTCTACAAAAACAGAGGGAGATCAAAGAAGCTAACACCTTCTTGATGGCATTAGTGGATCGTAGGCCTGTCGACCCACCTCCTGTTGTACAACTTGAATGTCAACGCCAAGAGTATGTGTGATCGGGTTATGATGATACGCTGGCAAAGAGAAATAGATCCAACAATGCAATGCTTAGGATGCTTCATGACCCAAGTCTTTTCCTTTACGCTACGTTGGTTGATACCCGAGGGGATGACTTACATTTCACAAACCAAGCTACTCCAAGCACCGCGGGTGCGGTTGTGCAATCTTTGCATAAGCTCAGAGACACCGAAAATAAGGGTAAGTGTGTGTATGTGTGTGCATGTGTATGTGCACCCCCAAGTTGGGAATGCCGGTTGCTAACCTTTTTTTGGTGCTGAAACCTGCACATTCGTTTTGTGTTCACATTATTGGATGTGCAACAGAAGGTGGATACTTTATCTTTGACGACATAAGCGTAAGGCAAGAAGGGCACTTTAAGTTCAAGTTTTCGCTCTTTCGAATCGTAGAGTGAGTATCCTTGATATCATGTTATGTGCAACGATGATGATGGGATTCGCTTATCAAAGCACTATGTACCATAATAGATCACACGTCTTTTACTTGTGTTCCATACTCTCAGATACATTTCAAGTCTATTCTCCCAAAAGTAAGTTGAGCGATTGCTCTATTGGTAAATGCAAAGTGACTAATGGTACGCTGTGTTTAAAGCTTTTCCAGGCATGTCAGGTACATATGAACATCCAAAAAAGACGTCATCATGCTTGTCTCTTCTCTTGAGAAACTCAACAGAGGTAATGATATAGAATCAACTGATTTGACAAGGTGGTTCTCGGATCAAGGTGTGCGTGTACGCATTCGACGCAATTCCAATACAAAGTATGTACCTTTTTTTCCCCACTATGAGGATCTTCGTTGCATTGACGATCCTGGGAACCGGTCCTCAACTGATTTTTTTATAGTAAACGGCGGAGGACAACAGCACAAGATATGATGTCTATGCAAAATTTGTTACTGCCCCCGATCCAGAAAAATGGATGCCATCAACCAGTTGACTAGTATTCATCGGGACTTTGTTTAATCCTTGTTCACAAGACATATGCTTGCATGTTCTTTTTTCCTTTTCTTGATCACACACCCAACGTCTTGTCCCCACCCGCACATTACTACAGATCCCCCCGCCCATCATCCACCATTATGCATTGTATCTTTTTATTGCTCAGCTTACCATTGGCTCGGTACTAAAAGTATCGAAACGACTAGTGATTCTTCTTTGGAACAATTGATCTAAGAGAAACGTCGGGAAAACGCCTGATGGGCTTCCTCTCTCTTTTTTTTCTCGTGTACCTGTTCTTTGGTTATACCCCAGTATCGGGCTCACACAAACATGGTGCATCAAAATGGCTGAGCTTGATGGCACCAATTGTCAGGATAAACCCCTTCTTCATTTATTCACACAAACAACAACGTCCATAAGTTTGGGTCTTTGTCCCCTGTCTCTCATGGACATTACCCCACTTGCCAGCCACACACCATTGAAACATAGTATGCAAGTACCATGTATATCATCAATAGTGGAGTAAAGCTACGATGATGAGTATCACAAAATGATAACAAAGTACCGAGGAATGATGCTTTTATTACACCTGCTGTCAACAACGAATCAATGAGTGATATCATGTATGTATAAGCCGCATCGGCGATCATTGATCGTATCTGTAGCACATTAGGCTGAGGAGGACCCGATGCTATGGAAAGACAAAATGCCGGATTAAAGCGTATTATTCTACGCAGGCTCAATTCCCAACATGGTGGAGCTGCAGCTGAAATGTTTTGACAAGGATAATTGTACACACATGCAAAAGCGGCGGCATCGAATTCCAGGGTCATGGAACTAGGAATGTGATATCATTCGGAAGGGAAATGGGTGTATGAAGATGAGACGATTGATGATGGTAATATGGGGGGTATTTGTCGGATAATCTCATTCTTGTGTCAGATCCCCTCCTCCTCCAATATCACACAGCGTGTAGATTGACGTTGAATGAAAATGAGTGAGACATTGTGTCGTAGAGAACAATGAAATCAAGCAATCTATTTAATAAAACTCATTTTTATTGTAGATGACTCATTTACATGGTTGATTGTGTGGGTGTGGGTGTGGGAGTTCAAGGAGGAGGTGGATGAGAAAAGAAGAGATGGGTGGCGTGCAAGTGACTCTAGCGGACAATGATTGGTCTCGTTTTGCCAATCTCAGGCTGAGAGAAAAAAACTCGTGGGTGGGTGGGTGGCCTTCCCTCTCACCTTCGCTCGTTGCTGCTATCCACTGCATTTGGAAACCTCCAACCACCACCCTTAATAGGCAATGAATACCTCGGACCTTGACCTTTCAAACGCTCCCAAAAAGGACAAAGCGCTACCTGTCGACGATGACGGATCTGTTGAGTCTGATGAAGAAAAGCCCACCAAGCGTTCTGGTCGTCGTAAAATCAAGATCGAGTATATCCAAGACAAGAATCGCCGCCACATTACCTTCTCCAAGCGTAAGGCTGGCATCATGAAGAAGGTAAGCATAGCCGATTGCCGACTGGGCTGGGCATGTTGTCAACGACTTGTTCCATGTTGGACCTCTTCTTGGACTAGAAGGCTGATTTGTGTGTACAATAAAAAAACTTTAGGCGTACGAGCTCAGCACACTCACGGGTACCCAAGTGCTTCTCCTCGTTGTTTCAGAGACTGGTCTCGTTTATACTTTCACCACTGTCAAGTTGCAGCCTATTGTTACCAAGCCTGAAGGAAAGAACTTGATCCAAGCATGCTTGAACGCTCCTGACCCAGAACCAGCATCTTCACCTGTAAGTGTTATTATTCATTCTTCGTGCCGTGTGGGTGGTCATTGTAGTAGTGGTATCCTTCCCCGCCCCAATTTTTCTCACTGTTCAATCCGCTCTCTTGCTCTCTATCAGGCACCTGAGTCTTCTTACAACACGAACGGAAATGGTGCATCATCCTCCCCTTCAGTGGACAAGAACAAAATGTCGCCTTATGAAGAAAAGAAGGTAAACTTCATGACATCCTTGTATTAAAAGAGTGTGTGGTGTATTAATCATCATCCCATCTACCTATCTCATTAGCCTGAAGGCTATCCTCCTCAACAAGCAGCACCACCTCAACCTCCCACTGCGCCTCAACAAGCACCTCCCACCACTGGCTATCAACCCTATGTAGGCGGTAATTGGAATGGTCATCATCCAGGCTATGTCGCTGCTGCCGCTGCTGCTGCCGCTGGTGTACCTTATCAACAACAAGGTGGTGGTGCTCCTCCACAAGCTGGTGCTCCTCCTCACACTTCGCCTCATCATTATCCTGGATTGCCATCGTACTATAACAACCAACCCCAACAACAATACATGCCACAGCATCAACATGCAGGTTATTGGGCAGGTTCGCGTGGTCCATCACATCCATCTATGCAACGTCCTGATACAACACCCGATGCTAAAGATGACAAACAACCTGGTGACAAGCAATAAGCTCCCTCTCTATCTCTCTTCTTGTCGATCGCTCCAATGTAGCCTCTCTCTCTCTCTCCCCTTTTCTCAAATGCGTTAAACCCATTCCCCCCTCCCGATGTTTTCTACCATGTCTTATCCCGTTTGTTTCTATAGCAAACAGCTGTCTATTTTTCTTCTTTTCATTATCGCTCAATACAAATAGTTATCCAAAATATCTTGCTCTACTATGTATAGATAGCTATTCTATTCTTGTGTCCATGCATCTTGTCCAGCCCTATATCGTGGTGGTGGTCTCACATAGGTGACAGGGATATCCGAATCTTCATACAATGGCAATATTACCCCAAGCTCCCAATTACTAAACTACGTGTCAGTTATCTTGAACCTTGTCGATATAGATCGTGTGCCTTACTTGATCGACATTTTTGGTTGTTTACTATCCCTTGATATGGAGAGTTTGCCCCAAGCACCCATTGTCGCATTATGGCTCCTATCAATCATGATTGAGATGCTCGATATTTGCTCTCCTTTTTCATTCTCTCCCATAACCTTACCCACAATACACCCATCCTTTTAGTCGATGCTCCGAAGACTTTGGTAGAGTTGCTATAATGTACTATACACAAGGTTGAATACATAGACCATCAAGGGTGAAAAGTGAGTTTACCTTGGAATGCATCAATGTACGTCGTCGATGGCTTATGGCATCGCACATGACTTGCTTGGGAAATGTTGGTTTTTGCCATGAGCTCGTGTTTAAACAAATGGTGCCAGCACCCTAAATGATCCTGCATTAGTAAAATGGTGCTAGATAGCTTGTAGGGAACTTTTTTTTACCGGTGGTCCTAGTCGACTATCGAGCACGGTGTCCATTGAAGGATAAATGATATCAATGGGTGGCAATGGGTCATTGTTTTTCATGCGCACGGGCTTGTTGGATGTCTCGTATGGATCGATACCCGAAAAAGATCGGTAAAGTTCATGGAGATAGGATGGATTTAAGCCGCCAAGGGAGGATGTCTAATACTATCTTTGTCAATGCCAAGAAAAGATTGCATGATAAAGATGCACCTCCCCACTCCACTCCCCACCCCCCATTTTGAAGCTCGAGACAATCGGTTTCATACCTGCATCTCAATGCGAGGTGGTCGATTCGGATCAGCAGCACCTATTTCTCGGATGATCTGTGCAAGACGTGCATGACCATATTGCCGATATTGATCACGCCCTTCGAAATTTCCAGATACAGAGGCAACCACATGGGCCTTGGCACGCGAAAAGTCGTACTTTAGCAATTCATCTTGAACAGAGCTTGGTACATGCATTTGATCAAGCAAAGCAGCAATATCGCGAGCGAAGCGTGGTAAATGCGTGATGGATGTGGCAGCTTTGGATGCAAGTGGGAAGTCTTGAATAAATACCACGTTTTCTAGATCATTGTAATCATAGCGTTCCTTAATCATTGTAATGAGTGTGAGCAAGAAAAATGGATGAAAAGCCATCATCATCTTACCAAGTTGGCCGATCCAATGACAATACGCATGGACTTTTCATGTACGAGGATCATGAGCTTTGAATGAAAGACACCCCAGTTTTCATCTTTGAGAGGAGGTACAATGAATGTCCTTGTGGTACTCAGCTGGCGGGCCATGGCCTATTAGGTTGATGATGATCAGCTCTCGATCATTTGGTGCACGGGCCGTGGTCATCTTCACACACTTACAGGGCGACCATGTAACACGACACAAAGATTGATATGGCTGGGAAATTGTTCCTCGATCCAATCCATGCTCACAACCATAGCTGTAATCACCGCCTTCTTTAGCTTGTCTTTTTCAACAATGTCTTCAAATCGAATAAAGTTGGGCCCGGTGAATCCTGTAACATGCGTCAACTTGACGACACCATCCCAATAGTATCGCTGATCCATGGTCCTTTTGTTGCTACTGCTGCTGCTATCACTTGTGTCCTCTTGTCGTTTTCGTTTGTTGTATTGTTCCACCACATCCTTGGTCGCTGCTGTCAACCCCAAGGCTTCACGTGCTGTAAGCTGATCAACAGACTTGCCCAAGGAAAGAGCAATGGCGGTACGCATGTCGTCATTGTGATCGGATACACGATCGGCTGCTGCTTGAGCTGTGCTGCTGTTGTTGCTGTCATGGTGTTCCTGTTGTAACGAAAGAGCGATCGCGCGGTCAATGTCGTTTTGTTCTGGATCAACAGCGTGTTCTTGCAATGAAAGCCGAATGGCATGCTTGATACTCTCGTCTTCGCTATCACTCATATCACCTAGGCAACGCGTATTGTATGGTAGAAATAAAAGTTATCGCTTTGGAAGCGGGGAAATTTTAAGACGCTGCATGGAAACGGTTGCTGTCGCACACATTTGGGATTGGTTTCCGCAGCATGATGATGACAACGATACACGGCGTAAACAGGAGAAAGCGTGAGGGGATAAAGTAATGGTGGTGGCAATCCCTGATATCACACGAGCCAATTACTGGGGCCACATGAATGGGGAGGTGAGGGGATGAACAAAGAAAAAAAAACCTCTTCCTTGAAGCATCCAAGGACCTTCAACAACAACAGTGATCCTTCTTTTTGAACATTCTCCGTACTCCTTTTTTGCCATCAGCTTACTACAAAGAGGCGACACGATAGGATGGATGAAAAGGAGAGAAAGTGTGTGTATGCTATGGTATACAAGAGATGTCCATGATTGATAATACTTTTGGGTCTCGACTCGACTTTGTTGCTTTGCTTGTTACATTTTCACTGCAGCGCCTGACACACACACACACAGACCGTGTTTGGAGAGAAGCTTCCAAGATAAACTACTGCATAGCAAAGCACTGTTCGTTGAGTGGAACGGGTGTGTCATATGATGCACTTGAAGAGTCATTGGCTAGCTGAGTGCGGGGTGATGGCAGCAGCATTCGATAGTGCTGCCAGGGCGCACCATACACATGTTGCTGTGTGCAATCTTTTTGCCCCTTGCATCCCTTCTTTGTTACTCTGATGACAATTTAAAAAGGAGTTGCCCGTGCACACATCCCTCTTTCTCTTATCCTTTATTCTATATACACCATGACTCAATTCATTCGCGTAACTACTGCTCCCATGGTATGTGCTATCCTATGTAGTAGAGCATTCATCCATTCATGCTGTCCTCATGCTAACGAGTTTTTATAGCCACAACCTCTTCCATCACCCATATCAGCATCATCGTCCTCGGAAGATCGTTTAAAGGTCCCTCAAGGTAATCATCATTGAAACCTACTCTCGCACTATCCACCAACAACTTCATGGTAGATCGATTTAATCCTAGCAAATATGGCTCTATATCCACTGGACATCACGCTTCCGGTAAGATCAAATTGGATGATACGTATGGACTCGGGGAATAAGTCTAATTCGACATGTCTACATACATAGACACAGCAAGTATAGCCAGCAGCGTCAATAGTGATGCATCATTCAAGACCGCCGACTACTTTTTCAGCATGCCTGCTACACCACCACACACCACCGTTAGTCCTAATGATAATGATGAAGGCCTATACCTCCTTTGGACACATCAATTGCTTCGGGAACGAGGATACGAACCAGGACGTTTGAATGATGATGATGACGATGATGATGATGATCAAGAAGAAAATGAACACAACAAACCAAAAAGCATTCAAGTTAAACGGCCGACTGAAGATGCAATCATGCATGACATTGATATGGATGATGATGAGGAGGAGGAGGCACACGATAGTGACCTCGAAAGCAAAAGCAGTAGTGATAGCAGCCTCACTGAAAACTCAATCATCTCGGGTTCCCTTGTGGCCACAACACCGGATCTACGTCTGTATTCGACCTTCGATGACCAATCCATTCGTCGCAGGTATTCTTATTCATACAAGCCATCCATGTCCACATCGTCATTTTATGCATCTCATCGGCAAGAGGAGGAAGAACAAGGATCATCATTTAGTCGTTTTTTCAAGTCTTGCTTTTCGTCATGCCAGTAGCATCTAAAAAAAGGATTACACATATACCAGTACTTTTGTGCACATGATGACAGATTTTCAACATAACATTTATAAAGTAATAATACTTTAACAGCAAAAAGGGAAACTCGGTGATGATCAAAATCCAACTCATATTAACAACGCATGATGCTAGATATGTAAAAGATTTGGCTCATGATTGAGAACCAGGATGAAATTTCTTTTTTATCTTTGGCTTTGTACAGAACGCTATTTTTGTTTGCAAATGATTGTACTTGACACATGAAAAGTGGGAGAGTGTGAGTGTATGTGCGAGTGTGTGTGATTGTGTGTGTGTGTGTGTGCAAAAGAGAAAGAGAGAGATAGAGAATGATGAAAGGAGAAATTCAAAAGACGGGTATACAGTTCTCATTTCTTGAATTTTTGGAGCTTCAACGAGACCTTGGGAGGAAGACCACAGCCAGGTCGCTTAGGTAACATGGCCACGTGATTGTTGTTCAAAAGACAATGTGGAGCTGGTTGTTGTGGTTGAATCGGTATCGATGGGTGATGTTCGCTGTTTTCGTCCTTGTATCCAATATCGAGCGTGATGGTGATAAGGCTTTGGGATAAATGATCATAATCTTGCTTGATAACCGAAACCACTTGTTCGAGTAGCACAAAATGCATAGCAGTATCGTTGAAACGTTGCTTTTCAGCCTGCTTGCTGATACCACCTTGACATAGCATGGATGCAAATGGTGACCATAATCGTTCCTTTTCCTTGTCAGTCACCGGTCGTCGACATAAATGTGGATAGCGTTGCCAAAAGGACTGGGTGGATAAACCAAGTAGCATACTGATCTGGAAATCAACCACAAAAAAGCAAAGCTTCCTTGCTGTCTCTTCAAATAGCTGAACAGTATAGAGTGGCAAATAGCGTTGTGCTTCCATTAACGTAGGTGCTCGTTCTCTGGATGGGGCCAATAACAACGATGAAAGCGAATTGTAATCCTTCTCTTCCTTAACCTTGGCGTGCCAATGCTCTGGTGGTGGTGTGGGAATAGGTGTGTGTGGTCCATCAGGAGACAAATCACCTCCAGAAAGATGTTGCTGTGGTTGTTGCAAAGGATGTAACGTCTTTTTGGGCAAGTGACGACCAGATAATTCTCGAGCATGTGCTTTTGCCTTCTCTGTAGCTGGCACCTTAGCATCATCTTCTTGTCGCGATGGTTCCTCTTCATCTAAATAGAAAACTTAGTCATTCATTCTACCCCAATAATAGTAGTTTACTTACCTTTGATCCGCTTACGAGAATCATCGCCACCATTTGCTTCCCCAGTAGCCTTCCGTTTGCCACCTTTGACCACTGTACGACGCAACACACTCTCGATTTGAGTATCATTGTTCTCACTGGCAATGTCCAAGGGTGTGAGACCTTTGCTATTCTTTGCACGTGGATTGGCACCAAACTTCAGCAAGTGTTCAATGACGTGAGCATGGCCATTCTCAACGGCGTCATGTAAAGCAGTGTCTTGATCAGCACCTTTGGAGTTGGGATCAGCACCATTTTCAAGTAACAAGAGAACAACTTGATCGCGACCTCTCAAAGCTGCTTCATGCAATGGCGTCCAACCAGCATTGTCGCTCTCATTTGGATTGGCTCCGGACTTTAACAAAGTGCTGACAACCGTTAAATCACCCTTGATGGCCCATTTATGCAAATGAGTACGACCACTGGTATCTTTTTTGTGAGGATCCAATTTGCTCGCATCGACCTTTTTTGCTACTGAACGAGTCATTTTCTCTGATGTTGTTTCTGGATCAAGCGATGGTTCACGTGATGATGAATCAACTTCAGCCGAAATGGATTTCTGCCGTCGTCGTGCTGTTGTAGTGGTGGTTGTCGAGGTGCTGGTAGCATGGATACGTCTCCTCCTCCTGCCATCTTCCTTTTGTACAGCATTGTCTTCATCTTCATCCATCTCATCATGTCGATTTCGTGATCGTCGAGGTCGTTTGTTCTGTTCAATACTTGCAAAAGTCCTCATGATAGCCTGGATTTTGCGTTCTTCTCGCGACAAAGGTCGTGAATTGGTTGCTGATCCACTTTCAGGTCGATGGCGTCGTTGTTTTGTATGAGAAATAAAAGTGATTTCATCGATTGCATCACTTGCAGTGCGTTGTTTCCTCAATTCATCAATACGTGCAGCCAAGATTCGACGAGGTTCAGCAGCTGTCGCCACTTGATATGCATTCTCACCAGCATGATTGCAAAGATCAACATCAGCACCAGTGTCAAGCAAATACTGAACAAGGTCTTTGTGACCACCTGCACTCGCATGATGCAATGCCGTGTATCCTTTGTTGCCAAAATAGTTGTAGTCAGCACCATGTTGAACGAGTAATTTGGCGATCTCAAGATGTCCATGATGTGCTGCTTCATGTAATGGTGTCCATAACTCATTGTCCTGAGCATTGGCATTAGCACCTTGTTTCAAGAGAAGGGCTACTTCATCATATTGTCCAGAGGCACATGCACGATGCAAAATAGTACGACCATTGTCATCCTTGGCCACTAATCGATTGAGCTGCTTCATTTTGCTTTCCAATATCACACGACATGCATCATCGTCGCACACATCCAACGGTGTCTCCTTGTCAGAATTGAGCGCAAAGACATCTGCACCAGCATCCACAAGTAGTTGAACGCATTCTGGAAATCCATTGGAACTTGCGTCATGAAGTGGCGTATCATCATTGAAACCACGTGCATTGACATTAACACCACAAGAAACAAGGTATTGTGCCGTATTGTGTTGTCCCTTCAACGAAGCTTCATGCAAAGGAGTCCAACCAGCATTATCACGAAAGTTGACATTCGCACCTCGGCTAACAAGTTCTTTGACCTTGTCAAGGTTGCCAGCGCCAGTAAACACAAACAGTTTGGTACGACCTGCTTTGTCTGGTTTGTTGGGATCTTGACATGCTGTCCTTCCACGAGGCTTTTTCCTAGCAGCTGTTGTTGTTGTCATCTTTTCATCCTCATCTTGTATTGTCGATGAACTATCTTTTCTCGGTCGTCCTCGTCGTCGTTTCTCTGGTGTATGCTCAGTTGTAGATGCTTTACGTCGACCTCGAGTTGCTGATGTCGATCGAGAATGCTTTCGTTTACGTCCCATGCGAATCTCATCTTCATCTTCTTCATCTTCTTCGCTCGTATCTGATACAGCAGCATTGCTATTTGCACTGGATGTGGATGATGCTGATGAAGCAACCGATCGATGTCGTTTGGCTGTTGCATTCTTGTTGCGATGTCGCCTTTGAAATTCATGCCAATAGCGATCTTCCTCGTCTTCTTCCTCATCTTCATTGCGTATGGTATCATCCTCAGCTACTTCAGTCTCGGCATCTGAATCATTGTTGTTTGTATTCACGTGTTGCTGCAACCGATTCGCTGATGATGAAGAAGATGTATTGTGATATGAACGATCATTCGATGATGGTGATTGTGTCGTTAAGCTGCTACTCGCATCGATAGAAGAAAGCGGCTTGTGTAGTGGTGATGGTGGAATCTGTGCCATAAGATGCAGCTACAAACTGTTGTCAATAACACTATATGTCTATATGTATAGAGGCACGTACTTGATGATGTTGCTTTTGTACAAGTGATATGGATTTTAAATGATGGGCGTATGGCTCGTCGCTCTTATATTAACCCCCAAGAAAGAAAGAAAAGAAAATGATGGTATGAAAAGACGCAGTTGGTATCCTAGCAAACCCTTTTTGTGTGAGTTGTCAAGTTGCCAAGCTTCCCAATCAGCTGTTTCAAGATGCACTCACTCTAATGAAGGTCGAATCAAGCAAGAAAAGAAAGAAATGGAGTGGTTAACGAAGGTATGTTTGTTGAAAAGTTGCCCATCTCACGACTGCATTTGCCACATGGACGCAAGACAAGCAATGGAGAGCAATTAAAAGAGAGAATAATACCTTTAGAGAAAGGTGTTGAAAGAAAAGGGGGGAAACGAAAGAATGCTGGACCGAGATATGTTTTTGCTGTATACAACTGTTGTGGACAAAAAAGAAAGAGAAAGAAAGGTCGAGTGGGGCAGTTGGGCAAAGACCCCGAGTTTTTGTTGTCCTCCGCCGTCTTCGCTCGGAGTACTCTCTCTCTCTCTCTCTATCCATACACACACACACACACACACACATGCACACATACATCTGACACACCCTGATCCTGCTTAGTACCCTTTGCCATTGAATCGCTTTTATCATGACTACAATGAATACCTATAATACATACATTCACTTCTATGCAAATAAAAACCGATCTTCCACTAAAGATGTCTTTTCAATCACTAGTGATCCCCTGCAGGAGGAGGGTAATCACGCAGCGGCGTTTCATTTATGTCTCTCTCTTTCCCTCTCTCTCTCGTTCTTCTATGCAAGAGTTGCAGCGTATGTTTGGGCAATCATTTCTAAGTAGTAGCTTTATATGCATTGCAATAGCGAATTTCAATTGCACTTTTACAGCTATGAATGCCGCTATCTCTAGTAAAATACATTCCATAATGCATTGATTCGATCACTCACCTTGCAATGGTTATAATATTATCATTCAACAAGCAGCATTTCAGTAATTTACTACAACTTGAATGGAGCAGCATACGGGAGATGTTTTTGATGTACGAGCCTCCATCAACGTCATTAACGACATTCGTATTTCCCGGGATACAGCACGCTGGTGTTGCATAGCAACCGTATCAATTCGAAAAAAGCGCTCAAGCAATCCGCCCGCTCATGAGCCTCCTGCTTCAATTGATAAAGGTAAAATGATAACAAGTGTCTGCACCTATTGCCATTGGGACCAGCAATATGTGATGTCATGTCAAGGATGAATGCACGAGCCACTGCAACGCTTATTTGTTTAGGTGGACCATAATCAGCAAGTATTTATAACCAAAAATGAGCTGCAAAATGTTGATCAACACGAGCCAACCATGTGGAATTCACCATTTCTCTAACACTTGCTCCTATCTCTTTATATAAATGATGATATTGATATTGTAGTTCTTTCTTTGTATGCCTCAATCATTTGCTTCATCATCATTGTCTTGTGTTCCACCTTCTTGTTGCGCATTATCGTTTGAATGATACCACCCGGTATTAGCCATTTGGCCCATGCCTGGTAATACGCTTGGGAGTCTTACTGAATCAGTGCACACACCATAAGCATCATATTGTTATTGTACCATTGGATGCACTAACATCTTTAAGCATAAGGAAGTAGTCTTCTTATGGTGGTTGCGAGCGGACTTCCGATGGCTTGGTCAATGACCAGGTCGAAAAAAGCAAAAAAATAAGGCCGGGCTTCCCCTTTCCGACGACAACCTACGCACGCACGCACATTCACACATAGCAACCACCACCCATGGCGTCTTCACTAAAGCATTCGGCAACTCGTTTATTACGTCAACCATTGTTGCAACGTTCTTTCCACAATGCTGCACCATGCGCCTCTCACATTGGTCGTAAGCCTATCAGTTTCCCCGAAGATGTCAAGTTGGAGCACGATCCCACACCGATTACCATGCCACGCATTCCTTCCGAATACAACAACACAAAGCTTACAGTGACAGGACCTCTTGGCAAACAAACTGTTATTATCAAGCCATTTGTCCAGCTCAAGACCACAAAGGCTACTGCCGACGATCCGAATTCACAAAACCAGGTTGAGATCTCAGTGGAGAACCCCGAGGAGAAGCATCAACGAGCCATGTGGGGTACAACACGTGCACACTTAAGCAATGCCATTGTGGGTGTATCGGATGGATACCGAGTCATGTTGCGACTTGTTGGTGTTGGTTATCGAGGCGTGTTGGAAAACAAGGAACGAACGCTCTCCTTGAAGCTCGGCTACTCACATCCCGTTGTCATGGACTTGCCAGATGGTGTTACGTGCACTATCCCCCAACCCAATCGTCTTGTTTTGCATGGATCAAATATTCAGGAGCTGACAGAATTCGCTGCCAAGATTCAACGATGGAGAAAGCCTGAACCTTACAACCAAAAGGGTATCTTTATCAATGATGAAACTATCAAGAAGAAGGAGGGCAAGAAGAAATAGAAAGGCAAATCATAGTACATGCTATCATTAGACACAAAATAAAAAAACAGCGACATTCCAGATTTCATATGAGTGGTCGGTCTTTGCTCGTAAATGGAAGGGAGAAAGAGAGAACAAGAGGAAAAAGAGAAGGGGCGGTTCAATGATCCCCGGTGATGATTGATTGGATAAGCATTATAATCAACACATGAGATGGTTTTATTATTACACACGCTAGCAACTAGCTATACTCAGGTACCTTACACATAGCGCAGTTTGTCGTGCACAGACAAAAGGTGCAACGTTGCAAGTCCATTATAAGAGAGAGCAATCGAGAACAACTGGGATTGACATCAACAACCATCAAAGTGAAAAGAAAAAGAGGATGGAGGGAAATGGAGATCTTTTGGTACTACGTTGACTAACAACAATGAGGGCAGGATAGCGTAGTACGATGAAGGCGTATGAGAGAAGCACGTACATTCTTACTCTTTATTCTGCGAACGGATTTGGATCTTATCGAGATTTGCGGAAAGAGGGACGTGTGGTTTGTGTACAACAAGATACCCTGCTCGGGTGCCTTTTGTGGGAACACAAAGAGAGAGAAAAGAAGAGAGGAGAAGGCTGCGTACATGTGTTTACATATTGCATCATGGTTAGGGGATTACAGCTTGACAAAACACCCCATTGCCATCAAGGTGGATAAAAAGGGAGCCTGTTGTATATACACCGCTCCATCAATCATGTGTTTCTTTGCTGGATTCTCTTTCAAAAGCGACCCACACGAGTGTTAAACTCAAGGAGACCGGCAATAGCCTTGTGGGTCGGCGACACAAAAGGCCACCGCATGGTCCTACTAGCCTCATTAAAATGGAAAAACAACGGTCGGGTCTTCCGTTACTGCTCGAAGTACAGCTGTTACCATGTCATCTTTGGCGTAAACCTGGCAACCAATAACTGCGTGCTAGGTAACACTTGAATTCGATCGAGAGCGTGTGATGGCTGTGTGTGTATGTGTGTGGGTGGGGGGTGTACCAATTGAACAAAAATAATAATGAGAGGAAAACCTTATAGATGAATGCGATAATGAGAATAAAGAAGCTTTTCTTTCCCCTGGTCCATTTCTCTTTCTCTTCTTCCCATTTCCTCTTTATAAATATCATCCATCCTTGCTAGCTGCAGAGGCCGGTTATCATTTTAAAGGATCATGCCAAATAGCGCGTCTTCCATGGCGACCTATACGACGTTGATGAGGGTCACGTCGGGTGGTCGCCCCTACTGCCAGGTAATAATAAACCCCCTGCCTGTTATTATTATCATCATCATCATCATTTATGTATTCATCTCATTATGCAATAGGACCTCAACGATTTATTTGCAGCACTCGTAATACAACACGGTCTTAGAGACCATCGATATCGATTTAGAACTATTCCCAACAGCTTTGTATTTGCAGAGGCCATTGAAGTCCTTGGCCATCTTCAGTTCACCCATATCATCAAAGCACCCGATCCTGCTGATCCATCACGCTTGATAGCGACACGCACCACAACGACCTTTTCAATGTCTCCAAAGATGGGTAAAACGCTTGCTCAACATTTTGCGACATCTCGCTTGCTCGAAAACGCTATCGATCCATCCAATCGCGTCATGAAAGATAAAGCCATTTGGCTCTTGTCGCCCAAGGGGAAATACGTTATCCAAGACTTCTCTCACCGAGCACGAGTCTCCATTCAGAGCTTGCAGCCAGCATTGACCAAGATTGACGCCTTCAATGTCGTTGTCCTTGAACGACTCTCCGATCGAGACGACCGATTAGCATTTGCACGCCCCAACATGACGATCGCTTTCAAGGTAAAACATTTGAGCAAAAGTGGTGGGAAGTTGATCGGGCCGATGTTTTGTGTTACTTGAGTACACGAACTAAATGCAAATACAACAACAGACGATGATGGCGTATCTTCCAATGGAGTCTCTTTTGGCCGATGATGCTGGAGGTATGTAAGGGGGAAGATGAGTGGCAACAATAAGGGGAGATGATGTATGTATATCAATGAATGCTTACAAGATCATTATTACTTTTCACTTGTTGTTGTTGTACTCCCTTTGTACTGTGCCACCCCTTAGGCATTGAAAAGAAGGATCTTGAAGAATTTCAATATGCCTTTTATGGATACCAGGCGTTTGAATGGATTAGCGAATACACAACCGTTGTTACCCGTGAAGAAGCTGAAATGGTCGCATCCGAATTTGTTTTATATGGGTGGATTGCTCAAGTGATTGATAAATCAGACCGCGAGAACAGCACCAAGGATGAATCCATCATGTTCAAAATGGGTCGCAATACCATGTATCATGTCACAGGTCGTGGTCGTCAAGTTCTTGGATGGGATAAGCCATATCAATATGGCGATGATTCTGAAGAAGGTTCCCTTGCAGATACGCATGAAAAAGTACTCCAGCGTCAACGTGCTCTTGCATCTCGGCTCCGACACGATAGCAGTAGTACAAAATCTGCACCCACTGTTCATCCAACTCCATCCAAAAAAACGGTTGCTTCTTCGATTTCTTCTGGTTCTTCCTCAGCTGAAAGCGAGCCTGCTAGTGATGATGGTAGTTCTAAATTACTTGAAAACGCTCTTCAAGGAGTTGATCGTGTTGAATTTGCAGTGCCTCATATGCCCGATGACCACCATCCCCATTCATCTTCGACACCCAACAGCAATAGCGAACGGCATTCTTCCGATAAACCACAAAAGGATATTGATGAAGTCACCGAACGATTGCTACAATTGAGATCTCCTGGTGGAGTACAGAGACAACGTTCCAATAGCGCATCCACATCATCTTCATCAAGACCTTCAAGCATGATCTTTAGCAACCATGATCACAACATCGATCCCAATTCGCATTGGGCAAAGCTACGACAAATCCTCCAGGACCCCTTGATCCGAATGTATTTCCGCGACTTTTTAAAGTCTCAGTTCTGTGAAGAAAACGTCAATATTTGGGTGGATTATTACACAATGCGCAAGAAAGCGAAAAAGCCGAATGTGTCGACGAAGGAATTGTTACAGGATGCTTACGCCATTTATGACACGTACCTTGCACCCAATGCCCATTCGGAGGTGAACATCGATCATCAACTACGACATGAGATCATTGCCTATGTCAATAGCACGTTTTCGGTGTTCAACAATGAGACCGGATCGGCTCCTGCAGGCTCTATTCCTTTCGTATCATCAGCATTTCAGCCTACTCATCAGCAGCAGATTACACTTGTTGTCAACGGCCATGCAAGTCATTGTCTTCGTAACATGCTCAAGCTTTACGATCGCGTGGATGATCACATTTGTCGTATTATGGCTCAAGACTCAGTACCCAAGTTCATCAAGACCGAAAAGTACCGTGAGCTCATAGCCAATCCTCCTCAATCCGCTTCAGTAACTCGTCGCAATTCTGTTGGACGACAACTTGTTGTGGAAGACGATGACGACGATGACCTTGATGATCTGTAAACATGCTTTCTTTTGTTTACTCTTCTTGTGAATATTCCCACCCATTCTCCTTTTTTACCCCCTTTGTGTGCGGACAACAATCCTTACCATATAGCTGAAATCTATTCAAAGTTCCCCGTTCCTTGACCAGCCACCATCATCATCACACCTCATTTATGCCAATCTCAACCGCTTCATTCTTCCCCATCCCATTTCTCCTTATGTATAGTATGCCATGATAGTACAAAAGCTTTTTTCTTTGAGAAAATATATATATTTACAGATGCTGACGGTTTATTTATCAAATCTAATATTGAGCAGACATCTGCTGACATGCCTTTAATGCATCGAGGTACCATTGACATGCTGATACGTCATTATTATTATCGCTCAAGCATTTCGTTAAGGCCTTTGCATTCTCATCACATGAAAGTGGTTGTTGCTGTTGTTGTTGTTGGTATTGAGGTTGTTGAGGTTGTTGTTGATATGATTGATCAGGAGCTGTTTCTTGTTGTGATCCGCCACCAAACATGCCACTAACACCATTAGCAAGCGTATGGCCAACAGCTGATCCAACAGCAACACCAGCAGCTGTAGATGCCATTTGTCCAAAGAGACCAGGTCCTCCTCCGCCTTGATGTTGTTGTGGCGGTGGTGGTGCTTGATGTGGTGCAGCAGGTGGATGAGCAGCTTGTTGATGTTGTTGTGGTGGTGGTTGCCTATTAGGCATGGTATGTGCTTGACGAGTTTGCTGTTGGGTGGGAGGTCGTCTTGCGGGAGCAGAGCGTCTAGACTATTGGATTCCGGTGATTAGTCAACATTGCATAAATGAAATTCCCAAAGGATGCTTTACCTGGCGAGGCATGATTGAGTGATTCTTTGTTTAAAAAAAGTGAATGAATGTGTGAAAGAAAAATGAGGATGAGCTTGACTGCAAGTGGTATTTATGCCGTTTCCATTTCCGTTGCTTCCGAAATCATTGGTTCCTTTTTGAGTCATTTCGGAAAAGCTACTTCGCCGTTTAAATGTGCTGTTTGGTTGACAATGACGCTTCAAGAAGTTTCTGGCAAATCGCCTTTGAATCCGTAAGCTGTCAACAAAGTACTCATCTATTTTTGGAAATGGATCATTGTATAGAACTATGCAACTGCGTATCAACGGCCCGATGAATTAAAAAAGTAAGGGCCACGTATTCATACCCACTCACTCACACATACACACACGTATCCCTTTATCCGAACAACCGCGCACAATCCGATATGAATCATCCATCAATGTTTTAAAGCAAGATTGTCATTGTAGACTTTTTTATACATGTTCGAGACAATGAATGATCTAAGCCTTGACAGCGTACTTGCGAAGAGGGAAGTGGGCATCCTTCTTTTGTTGCTTGACAGTCTTGAGCTTGCGTTCATAAGGAGTCAAAGCACGACGCATGGCACGGGTCTTCTTGACACGGAGATCGAGAGGGACGTACTTCTTCTTTTGGTAGAAGAGACGAAGTTGCTCACGTTGGGTTTGGTTGATGACGGTCAAAGTGCGAGCGACGTTCTTGCGAACAACACCACTAGTAGCCAGCCATGTGATTAATTCATATCCCCATCCAACATATACACGATGTTACTTACATTTGGTGAAGCTTGGCAGCAGAGCCACCGGCAACCTTTTGCACGCGAAGGGAGGCAAGTTCCTGCTTTTGCTCCTCAAGAGTCTTGAGAAGCTCGGCCTTGTTCTTGTTGCGAAGTTCGTGTGCCTTGACGGTAGCCTATTGCATTCCATACATCAATATCCAAAACCCTTCTTCCTTCGACTTGCTCATGCCCCCATTGGACTCAATCCAAATCCATTATCCAAGTTGCCAAGCAATAGTAGGTATGTTGAGGTGTAAAATGAAAGCGAAAAGTTGAGTCGCCTTGTGGCGTCGCCATGGCAATTGAACATGTAGAGATTCCATATGATACTGGCAACCGAACCAAGCAGACAAGCCGATGGATAAGTAATATGATGGATGAATGGATGGATGGATGGATAAATGGATCGAGTCTAATGAGAGCATGTATGGGTCGTTAGGTCACTTTCATGATCCTTACCATTTGGTACAAGGAAAGAGGAGGTATCACTTTTCTGGCTGCCAATGTTCGATATCAACCTATCCGCCAATCACAGAGCTCCCCTGCTTGTGCTTGATCCAAATCAGACTTGCTCAACCCACATGTTGCCCATACACTCTCCTCGTCCCTATTACAGATATCATAATAAAGGTTTACGTTGCATGCCTGTATATTGCATTCTTCTCCTTGTACATTATTAAGATCATAAATCTAGCACCACAACTCATAAAGCAACATTGCAGAGTCATAGTAGTATACCTACTGTTCTTTTGCCAAGTCCCCTTTGTTGGAACGTACTATCTGTCACTTTGATTTTCTCATAGCCGTTAAAAAGCGTTTCCCACTGTGTCATTTGATGTCAAAAACCAGCGATTGGATCAAAGTGAATACCGTGAGTATCCATTATTTCGTATCACCTGCAGAAAATGGAAACCTGCTTTTCCATGAAAACTAAGGCATGAATTATCTTGTTTCTTTTTATGGCCGATTTGAGCCCTTTTAAAGTGAATACGCTGAAAATGAAGGGGTCTATCGAATAAGCTCTATACGACAAGTGTCTCTTGACAGCATCGAATACTCAGCTATGTAGCATGCAGCTTATAAGAAAAGTCATAAAATGAGTAGTGCAGGCGTATCCATTGTCCCATCCACAGCGTTGTCTGACATCAGCAATCCTGTCATTCCAAGTGATTTTCCCGTGAGAAGTTGCACACGGACCGTACCGACTTGGTTATGTATGTTGGAGATGCCAACAGGGAAATAGCATCATCATCAAGGGATGCATAATAAGAGTCATACATATTATAAGCGGGTTTACTATGCAATGAAACGTTGTAACTTCCATTTGCATATACCAATGATAGGACGTTACCTTGGGTAGAGATTGGGTTACTAATACGCTCACGATTTCCATGACTTTGCATAACATGTATATCCCCGGTCATTGTACACGCATGCTTTTTTTTCTTCCCACCATAAAATCTATGACGAGAGCCTATGTGCACCAAAGAATAAAGTTTGTTGAGCTTGTTGATTATGGCATTTCCATGTGCTGGGTACGTGTGTGTGAATTAATGTGGGGAACAATCCAAATCAATGCACAGGATTAATCTTGGTATATAAAACAGACATCTTTCATGTCCCTGTGATTAGAATCCTTCTTGTCCTAGGCCGTGCTTATAAGATCTACACAACGTCACATGATCACCAGCAAGCAAATTATCCATGGCAAATCTTTTGACGAGGAAACTGGCAAGAGTAGTGGTGTCGAAATCATACAAACCGAACAAACATCACCGCCACCAGAGGAGGTGACCATCGATCCTCAAATCGAAAGGCGGTTGGTGAGGAAGCTTGATTTACGCTTGATGATTTGGGCGTTTCTTGCCTACTTCGCCAATCTTTTGGATCGAAACAACATGCGTAAGTGTATATAACATGGTTATTACTTGATGTTGTTATTCATTTGTGTGCTTCGTGAAGAGAATGCATTCACCAACGGTATGGAAGAAGACTTGGACTTGAATTCAGACGCATACAATTGGGCGGTTACCATGTTCTTTATTGGGTACATTATGTAAGTGTACTTTTCATATATCGACATCACCACAGGCTAAATGAAATGGTATAGTCTTCAAATTCCAGGGAACATGGTGATCACCAAAGTCAAGCCAAGGTTCTTCCTACCTAGTGTGGTATTGCTCTGGGGAGCAGTGGTGAGCTTTATGGCACTCATTTCCGATTATAAATCATTATGGGGAATGCGTCTATGCCTTGGTGTTTCTGAAGCCGTAAGTGGCATTTCCTCTAAAGCGATGCTACTTGACCTCTGCTTACACGAGTATCGTTGTTAGGCCTTTTATCCAGGTTGTATGTTCTTATTGGGAAGTTGGTATACCAAGACTGAGCTCGGTAAAAGAACCATGTTTTTTGCGATTGGTAATCAAATCAGCGGTGCCCTCGGTGGTCTAATAGCAGGAAGCATTGCTCAAAATCTTCATGGTGCAAGTGGAATGGCTGGTTGGAAGTGGCTATTTATCATCGAGGGCTTGATTGGAGTAGTTGTTGGGCTTGCCGGTTACTTTCTTATCCCCAACTATCCACACAACACACCATGGCTCTCACCAGAAGAGGCAAAAGTAGCTCAAGCACGCTTAATGCGTCAAGGAAAGCAAGTACGCTCGATGACCTATAGCTGGAAAACGTGGGTATACGATCCATTTGCTTGCTACAATGTTAACTAATCCATCTATGATGATAGATTTTCAAACCTATTAATGACACCCTATGCATGGTTGATGGTTGTCAACTTTGCATGCATTTACATTGGCAATAACATGTCCCTCAACTTTGCCATCATCTTACGTGATATGGGCTATAGCTCATCCTTTGCAAATTATATGAATACCCCGGCGTACTTGTTTGGTGCTATCGTTGCCTTGGCAATTGGATGGAGTTCAGATCATTTCCGTGAACGGCCATTCCATTTGGCAGGTGTGCAACTCTGGGTAGCCATATGGTTCCTGATCCTTGCTGTGGTAAATCATGGAGCCAATCCACCAGCATTGGTATTCATTGGAACCTATGCCTTGACTGCCAACATCTCCATGACACCCCTATGCTTGGCATGGTGCAATGAGATCTACAAGTCCGATACCAATACACGTGCTCTTGCAATTGCGTTTATCAATGCTATCGGTAATCTCGCGCCAAACTTTATAAATGTGCGTGCATGGGTTGTCTCGGATTCACCCGATTTCTGTAAGTGATAGAGGAAGGAGGAAGGAATGTTATAATGTGTCTCACACATGCCAAAATGATTTATCTTAGGGCTCGGCAAAATCACCACCATGGCCATGAGTTTCGCATCCGTAGTGCTCACTATCTTTATTTGGTACTTGACCAAGATTCAATTCATGCTTCCTCGTAGCATCGACGATAATAATGATGATAAAGATGACGATGAAAGCGATGATATAAGAAGAGATCAACGTCATGACGAAAGTTGACGCATAGCATCAGCATAATAAATTTCATTTCAGGATCATTGTAACTATGGGTATCCATGACAGGGTTCAATGTGTGCTAGTAGTAAAGGGACCCGATCTCGAGATTGAGTTTCAACTCGTTACACAGGCAAGGTCCCTGGGGAGCTGATGTAATCAAGTGCGCTAAAATGTTGAAAGGGGCCCCGCTTTCTTTTTCGCCACCACACCATTCTTGTTCTTTTTTATCTCTTTCTTTATTCACACGGATCAACATGTCTCAAGCACTCAAGTGGGGTATTATCGGTACCGGCAACATTGCCCATACATTTGCCAAGGGTCTTCAAGTCGCGCAAAAGGGTGATTTAGTGGCCGTGGGCAGCCGAGCCGAGGCAACCGCTGTCAAGTTTGGTAGCCAATATGGTGTCCCCAAAGAGCACTGTTACAGCTCCTACGCCGATCTTCTCAAGGATCCCAATGTCGACGTTGTATACATTTCAACTCCCCATCCCCAACATTGTGAAGTCGCCATTCAATGTGCCAAGGCTGGAAAGCACATGCTGGTTGAGAAGCCCTTTGCCATGAACGAGACCGAGGCCAAACGTATTATTGCTGCCGTCAAGGAACACAACGTCTTTATGATGGAGGCTTACATGTATCGTATTCATCCACAAACGCTCAAGGTGGTGGATCTTGTCAAGGAGGGCAAGGTTGGTACTGTCAAGGTCGTTCGTGCCAACTTTTCTTTCAATGGTTTCCCTCTTGGTCCATCGTCGCGTCTGTGGCAAAACGAGCTTGGTGGTGGTGCTATCCTTGATATTGGTGGTTGTAAGTTGAGATAGGATTTGACCCAAAACATATACATACATCTAATCACGTTGTATTTAGATCCCATGTCCTTCTGCCGTTTGATTGCTGGTGCAGCTCAAAACACTGATCCCATCAACCCTGTTCAAGTCAAGGCTGTTGGCTATGTTCAACCTGATACAAAGGTGGATGAATGGTCCGTCGCATCCGTTGCATTTGAAAACAACATCAGTGGACAACTCTTTACTGGTGTCTTTGCCGATACTGAAACATACGTTCAAGTCATTGGTGATAAGGGATCCATCCGTGTCCAGAATTTGTGGCGACCTGATATCCCTGCCATGGGCCCAGTTCGCGTTGAATACACCGAATTTGGCAAGGAAGCTGTGGATGTGCCTCTCGATATTCCTCAACCCAACATTTACGCCATTGAAGCTGATGCTGTGGCAGATGCCATCTTTGCAGGAGAGAAGGAGTGCAAGTATATGACATGGGAAGATAGTATGGGTCAAGTTAGAGCTCTGGATCAGTGGCGAAAGGAGATCGGATTGACTTATCCTGCTGATAATGTTTAATCTCGCATTTATTTATATTTGTGAATAAAGCCATGTTCAATTGATATCAATGCTACGTGCTATATAATAAGGATAACAAGGCCACAAGTATGTAGAGTAAAGGGTGATGGGAAGCATAACGTTGCATTCAAGCCTGTTTGATCGGAGTGCGCTGAGACAGCCAAAAGGGCCAAAAACACGGACCGCGCTCGAGTAAGCCTCTTACCTATAAAAACCTCTCTTTTACCCGCTGTCTCATTTGCAAAGACGACTACTACAATGCTTTTCGACAAGACGCGACATCATCGACTCTCCGAATTCCAAGCTGTCGTGTTGGCAGGCTATGGTAGTACTAATCGGTGAGCACCACTTTTCTTTACACTCGAAACGGCACACCCAGCACACACATGCATGGTTCTCATTCAACACATTTATCCTTTTTATTGTCGCATTCCTCCAATCGTTACAGTCTCTACCCAATTTCAGACGAAGAGAATATGCCCAAAGCCTTGTTACCAGTAGCCAATAAGCCTATTATCTCATATACACTGGAGTGGCTGGAAAAGGCTGGTATCCATGGTAATGATCCTCTCTCTCTCTCTCTATGCATCAACCACCAGCAACATGCTCACAATCCACATCTATAGACGCCATCCTTTTAATACAAGGCTCAGGAGCAGCATACCACAAGCTCACAACCTACATTTCGCGCGGTTACCAAGGCAGCGTTCATTGCAATGTCGTATCTGTGGATGAGGATTATGGCACAGCTGAGGCTCTACGATCCATCAAAGATAGAATTGAGGTAAAGGATACGGGTTTCTTCAAGGCGTCAAAAGGGATTAATGCAAAACGGGAATTGCCATTGATAGAAAGATTTCATTGTTGTTCCTTGTGATTTGGTTACTGATTTGAACCCACGCGAGTTTTTGGATGCACACCGTGTACAAGATCCCACCATGTCTGCCCTCTTTTATCAATCAAGCTTAACCGAAGCTGCAAAGGATGATGCTGGTAAGTGATTGACAAGGAGTGTGTCATGTAGTAGAAGATTTTGACATTGGGTATCATAGGCCAGGCTCCATACGTTGGCATCGATACCAATCATTCTGCTCTTGTATACAAGGTGCCACAATCCGATGACGAGGAGTTCTCTATGCGAATGTCATTATTGAAAAAGTGAGTCATGATGTGTTAATGCATTCCAAATCACGTGATGTGGATACTAACAGCTAATTCCCCATTTCAAGGTTTCCTCGTGTACGAGTGCACACAGATTTGTACGATGCTCATCTTTATATTTTCAAGCGATGGGTATTGGACATGGTCATGGACAAGGAAAATATCGTCAGCATATCCGAAGATCTCGTGCCAATGCTTGTCAAGTGTCAGTATCAGAAAAAGATGGTCGAGCGGGAAAAGGTGCAAGAATGTAAGTGTTTATTGATAAAGCTGTATACTAGAGGTGTTGTTTTCTCACTCGCCGTGTTAGATGCCTCTACAAATGATCCATTGTTGAAGACAGCTTTCTCCCTTTCTACGACTGCATCCGAGCATATTGAAGACGATGACGCTGATTTCAAGAGCCCTGTCAAAACGCATGTCTATGTCTATCGAGGTGGTTTCTGTGGTCGTGGTAACACCATTCCCAGCTACAGTGAGCTTAATCGCCATGTAAGTGTAAACCATTAGGGTGCCATTGATTACGTTGTATCTCATCACGATCTATTTAGGCAACCAAGCAAGGTAATGATGTGATCCGGGTACCACCCACAGCCGAGGTCCAACCCAAGACCCAAGTTGGCAACGATTCGATGATTGGCGAACACACCAAAATTGATGAACGATCCTCTGTCAAGAAATCATGCGTTGGTGCTCACTGTGTCATTGGCAAGAACGTCAAGATTGCAAATTCAGTTATTATGGATCATGTGGTCATTGCTGATAAGTAAGTGCTTGTTATCATGTGAGGATCTAAATTAACTCTATACTATAGTGCCAAGGTGGATGGATGTGTTATCTGTAACAATGCCAAGGTATTAGAAAAGGCAATGCTTAAGGACTGCGATGTGGCTGCCGAGTACGAGGTCAAGAAAGACAGTGAGTATTGAGGACTATGGAAGGTACCAGGTGATCCCAATGCCTAATGATCATTTATTTAGGTCAAGTCAAAGGAGAGAAATTGGTGGCATTCCGAGAAGCAATCAACTAATGGGATTTGTCCTTTCTTTAAACAATCATCCACCCCCTTTTTTGTAAATGAAATAGACAAAAAGAGATGCTACTACATCACCATTATCATCATTGAACAATATGGCATTTTACATACTATCATTACTAGTAATAGGATCAGGGGTAATTATTGCTTTATGTATTGTGATTAAGTGCTGGGTGATTTTCTTGGTTCATATCGGTCATTGTGTCAGAGAACAATGCCTACAACCTTCCTTCCTTCGCCCATTGGCTGCTATCTCATTCACATAACGTATAGATTTGACTACGTAGATAATGCAAAAAGCAGAGGAGTTTATAGTACGGATATGCATGAATAAAAACAAGGCTGATGTGTAGGCATTATAACAAGAGGAAAAAGTAGTGTGATGGGTAGATGCAGTGTTAATTTACAGTGTGATACGTAGATCAATCGATGAGCCATTGACGACTCCGTTTCGACCACTTGTTGAAAAGAATGCTGAAGTCTCGCAAGATAAAGCCACATACAATCTTCTGCATGGTCTCAGTGACAGCCTCGACCTTTACCAAGAGTGGTAAATAGTGATCTTCCGATGGCTCGCAGCGAAGGATTTCCGAGTACTGTGTATGCCAAGCATCTACAATGATAGTACAATCACGTTAGCATCCATCTCAACTCCCTCTTTTGTTTTCTTTAGCATACCAAGTATTTGAGTTGAGGAAAGCAAGTTGATCAGAGTTTGAATATATTGATGATCCCTAAAAAAGTTTAAATCATTGTATGTTAGATCCAAGTCTCGAGGAGGAGAGGGGAGGTGGGAGGGTTAACTTTACTTACAATGTCCGTGAAGATTCCAGCTTCATCCGTTCAACAGATTTGGACAATTTATTGCTCCATGAGCTCTAAAGAAGGAGAAAAAAGAAGGTAGTTAGCATCCAATGATGCTCCTTTACATTCCCTGGTATGTCGTTTACCTTTGAACTTTTAGTTGCTGTTATTGATGTGGACGATGAGGGGGATGATGGGATGCTATGCGTGTTGTTGCTATTGTTGTTTGTTGTATTTGATGAAGTTTGGTTGTTGCCATCATCGTCATGTTGCATGATGCCGAATTTACGTGCAAAGGTGTCTCGAATATGGTCCAAGGATTGTTCCAAAAGACAGAGTTCCTTTTGAGCGAGAGGAATATCGGTGACATCATCCAGCAATGCTAAACGCTCTAGACCTGCTATGAGTAGCTCGCATGCGGCTAATTTAGCATCCAAGGCCGGAAGTCGGATATTGGGTTGGTACCTGAATAGAACGTGCGCATCAATGTAAGAAAGGGGTTGTCCCATTGCGAAGGAGGAGAAAAAAAGAAATCCAGGGTCCTTGTTTTGAAACACTTACCATAGCTCTTTTGGTACATACAACCGTTCGGTCAAATATGCACCTTCCACCATACTTCGAGAGAGACGTTGCATGAGCGAGAGATGGATAGTTACAGGAGATACAATGGCTGGTGGCTGGTTCATAAAAGGTGCCGAATCAAGGGATGATGATGTATTGACAATGCTACTGGTGGTTGTGAATGTGCTCAAAGGTCGTTGTTGTTGTTGTTGATCTTTGGGTGACAACGCTAAAGATGAAAACGCTCTGGCTTGTTCAAATGATGCCCATCGTGAGGGTGGTGATGTGGGAGGTGAAGAGGCTGCTGTTGATGAAGAAGTGCTGCTGGCATTACTGTTGCTTCGGATACGTGTTGATCTCCTTTGCAGCGTGAGTGTTGGTTTATTGTTTTTACCAGCCGATGAAGGTGATGATCGCCAAAAGGGAGAAAAGGTTGCTGTTCGACGATCTTGTTGTTGATGTTGCAATAATCGTGCTTCTGTTTTCTCCTGTCCAGCAGCTAAAGCAACCTCCTCATCCTGCTGCTGTTGCTCCTCTTCCTCCTCTGTAGTAAATGCCATTGATGATTCCTCGAGTACTTTGGCCAAGTTGTCCATTGCATCTTCCATAGCTTTGGCTGATTGAATGTCGTTATTCTTCTTTTTGGTCGATGGTGGATGCTTTGCATGAGTCACAGGATTGGCTGACATTGATGCTGATGGTCGTGGTGGAGGGGATGATGAAGTGGATTTGATGACAGGATCTTTCAAGAATGAATAGCGTGAAGTAGGAAGTAATAAATCGGCAGCGCCTGTAGATCGTAAATCAAAGTAGTCATCTGAATCGGTTACCGGGGCAATGACTGGTAACTCTGGAGGAGGTATCATTTCTTGTTGAGATGTCACAGACTTTTCCTTGGCATACTCGGATGAATGTCGTTTCTTTTTTGTGCCTGATAAAGTGATGAATAAGATGGTTTTCGAGGAGTCATGTTGATATGTATGTATACATACCTGATAAAGGCAACCATGTCTTTGAAGGTCGACTTGTTGATGAGATGGGGGTGCTTTTGGATGGCTTTGGATCAACATTGAAGGCAGCTGGAATTTGATGCAACTTTGTCTGAGATCTTTTTGCGAGCATGGATACGAAACCACCCATGGTTGTTTTGGATGAATCAGTTGTATGCGTGGATGCTGCATCATCAAAGACCATTTTCTTTTTAGGCGTACGCCACGAGGTGGTGCCTTCAGCGAGAGTATGCAGCATACTGGATTGATCGGATGATGAGATGGTGCTATTGCTTGATTCAGTGGCGGTGGTGGCTATTTGCTCTGACAGGGTTTGGATGCGCTCGGTATAAGACTCGTACTAAGAAAGGAAGAGAGATGGATATGGTTATTTTGGATGTATCTGCAAAGTTATCGAGGAACCTTCTCCCTTGTTTCTAAGGAGCTCCCTTCTTCAGCCATTGATTCACTTACGATCTTTTGTAAACGTGTTCGATCTTCGGTGCCAGCCGTATCGAAGAACCCTTCAAGCAATCCCACCGCTTCCTTGTATGATCTTATCGCAGCATCAAAATCATCGGCTTGATCATAGAGTACGGCGGTGTTGGCTTTATCCAAGGCGATCTCAAGCATAGATTTGCTATCGGAAGGAGTCGATTCAGTGTCCCTGGTACCCAACAGCTTGGGCATACTGCGATTTCCATGGCGATATCCACGAAAAAACCCGCGTTTCTTTGACATGCAGGGATGAGAGTATAGAGGTGTAATAAATGTCGATGACAAAAGGAGTGGTGGGCGGCGACGAGTGAAAATGAGAAAAGAGGGCGAGTTGGCTAATACAACATCGGAAGACGAATGAGAGAGTGGCTCAATGGCAAGTACGCCTCAATCGAATCGAGAATGCGAGCAAGAGATGAAACGAGTGCCGATTATGCTGGTGCTGTTGGTGTTCGTTGAGAGTCGTTGCGTACACAAAGAGAAAGAAGAGTGTGGACAAATTCATTTCAGCTGCCTCGAATGTAGTACAACCATTCCTCGTTTGGCATTTGAATCTGCATGTAGCCGACCATTCGTAAATCAGAAGCATTAAAAAATGTGACGCACGTGGATGTCTTCCCTTGCGAACAGTGCTTTCGCTGCACGGATCTAGCTTACATAACCCCAAATGTATCTATTTCAACGTGCATTCAAATATATGGTGTATCTTAATGTGCCCTACCTTTTACACTACTATGACTAGCATTCTTATTCCCACTTTTGTTATTGTTACTGCTGCTCAGCTAAACATGTGAGGGCATTACTTTTTGATGGTCGTTTCATCATCTGCCTCATTCACAGTCACTCACTCAGTACAGCACCTGCTGCTCATTGTGTGCGTGTGTGTGTGTGTGTGTGTGTGTTCTCGGGAATTCACCGAATAAAGAGATCGGCTGGCACTAAGGTTTATCATCAGTAAATGTATTACCCTTGCACCCAAAACTCCGTATGCGTGATGAGCACTTCCAAGAAAAGCATTGCAGATAAAAAAAGAATCATTATTACTTTTGCTCATTTTCATTTATGAAACTTGTTTGATGAATATTACTTCAACCCAATAATGTGTATACATGATGAATGATGTTATATATACTCTCCCCCATCCAAAAAAGCAAGATCAGATATCAATATCAGTGAACAGCAATCGCCACGCGGATGAATCATCTCCGCAAATGCTCTTCTTTTTCCCATGGACGCTTATTATTTATCGGTAGTATCGCAGCTGCAGTGCTCAATAGCCGATGGCGATGATGGTGATGATCACGATACTTTGTCAAGGCCCGATGATGGTTGCACAGCTAATGGGCAAGTGAAAACGTGGCAACCATAACGGCGATACTTGTTGAGGTTTCATGTGTTTGTTGCGACACGCAATGGGTGAGTACTTATGTTTGTAAACAGGCAGGGATCAGCATTTGTGTGCCCATGAGAAAACGTAAAAGAGAGATGGTTTGTGTGAAAGGCAACGTAAGCACCTCCTCTTTGTGTCTTTGAGCATGTTGATCGTCCTACGCTTTGAGTTTCCCAGGGGTGCTGCTGATGCAATCAGAGCGCGCGATATGGTTATGTGCTGCTGTTGTTGCCACGCCTTTCTTCCCAATCACTCATTACTCGAGGCATGTGAGAGGCACCAGCATCAGTGTTTGGATCTTTGCCTTTTTTCATGTCTCTCCCATTCACTTTTTTTTTCATTGTAATTGATTCTTTATTGGGTGATGATGACCTTTGTACACTTGTCGATCCATTCCCTTTTCCTTTCTCTGAGACTGATGCGGGTTCTCAAATGATGATGATACCAAAGCCATATGTAGAGAGTTTGCCAGTAACTTGGGAGAACAATTTGACCATGCAAGTCAACGTCTACCACTAATGCCTTGCACGAGATCCCCGCTTCGTGACGATAAAGTGGGGACAAGAGAATGCAGTGTAACTTGGAGCCACCCAGACAATTGCGTATGCAATCGTCATCAGCATGAAAAAAAAATCCATCTCTCTCAAAGATAAGCTCAAGCAAACCCGCTTTTTCCTTTATCCAAGGGGTCAAGGGGTGGTCCACTCGAGTGTTTTATATGCTTAAACCAAGCACCCCTTGAAAACTGTAATGGGGTAGCGTGTACAAGTGTATGGTTGCCACCATCATCATCCATCATGAAATGGGTTTCGCGCGATTCATTATAAAAGATAGATTGGTTGTTTCTTTATTGGTGCCATTTCCGATGTTAGGGCATGATGACTGAGTAGATATGGATGGCATGCACACACATTATACACAGCCAGCCAGCCTTCAATATCCACCCAAGACTCAACCATACATGATGGCTTTTCCATTGGGGATAAGAGCTAAAAACGGAAAAGATTTGCAGCGGCGAATGGTGGTGGGTCATTTCATTTTCGCGCGAAACCAAGTTGTCGGACAACGTCGACAGAAACCTAAATAAGTACATTCACTCAGTGTGGTTGCTGCCAATCCCGTCAGACCGCCGGGATCTGCAAAGAGCCACGTAATGGGCGTTGGAGAGTTGCCATCCATTGGCCTAAAGAGGTATGGGGCCGTTATACTTGACGTGCCAAAAGGGCTTTTTCATTCCCATCTTGGCAACTCAAACATTTTGTTCGGGCACACACACACCTTGCTTATCCACAAGCACACCATCACTGCTCCCCCCACAACACCTTCACCCCGCTCATATAAAAGAGGGTTAAAGGAATCTTGGCCATTTTTACCGCCATTTCTCTCATACACTTGTTTTCTTCTCTTGACGCTTTTGTTGTACACCACCACCGCCACCACCACACTACAGCCATTCTCTTTTACTTTTTCTTATCTTTTTCGCCTTCGGTTAATTACCAGCAAAAAGATACTGTAATCAATCCAATTCGATTGGCTTGAACAAACAATTTTATCGCATCATTGTACATAAACATCCAGCACTCGCACGTAACGCAGCATATACATACCCTTTCCAAATGTACAGCACCTTCGCTGAATCCACTCATTACGGCAACCCATATTCGCAGCCACAACAACCCGATACCAGTGGTGGTCAGATCTCGGTCATGACCTGGAACCCACCACCTTTCAATCGTAATTCGGTGCAATACAGCCAAAACCCAACACAACAACATCATCATCACCATCATCCTTCCTATAATGTGCCTACAATGCCACCTCAGCAACGTGCACACCCTCTTCCCATGATCCCAATGCAACGGCCTGCTATGTCGTCTCCTCCTCAACAACAACAGCGACCTGCTATGTCTCCTCAACAACAGCAACAGCAACATGCATCATCACCCCAAAATCAAAACAACAGTAATAATAGCCATTCTCAGCAACAACAGCAACAACAACAGCAACAGCCTAAGCTGACAACTTCCTATTGGGAGGATGAGGGTACTATTTGCTATCAAGTAGATGCCAGAGGTTTTTGTGTTGCTCGTCGACAAGGTAAGTAACTCCGTTCGGAGTGGTTGACTTGGAAACCAAAGAAAAGGAAAAAGCTTAATTTCGCCGTTTCAATCAGATAATGACATGGTCAATGGCACCAAATTATTAAATGTGGTGGGCATGTCACGAGGCCGACGTGATGGTATCCTCAAGAACGAACGTGGACGTGTTGTCGTTAAAGTTGGTGCAATGCACTTGAAGGGCGTGTGGTAAGGTTTCTTTCCCCCAAACAAGCAAAAACTTTTTTTTTCGATATTATGGATCGACCAACCATATCATTCTCCTTTAGGATCACGATTTCTCGTGCAAAGGCACTTGCTGCTCAATTCAACATTTCCTATTTGTTGCATCCATTATTCACAGATGACCCAAGTATCTTCTTTTATGCCAACCCGCCCATGTTGCCACCAATGCCACCAGGATACTTTTTCCCTGGAACGGTTCAATTTCCAGCATCAGCATTTCCGCCACCACCTCCACCACCGCCTGTGCCACCACGCAGTAAGTATTGAATCGATTCGTCATGTTTCTCATATCTGACAGCTAATGTTGCTCGTGCATTTGATAGTGACGAGCTCAGAAACCAATCACAGTATGGCGCGTGCACCATCTGTGCCATCCATGGTATTCAATAACTTTGCGCAACAACAACAGCCATATGCTGTACCTCCGCCACCACCACCACAAGCAGCAACAACAACAACAACAGCTCCCCCCACATCAGCACCACCACCTCCACCACCATCGCAAGCTTCATTCCATTATGAGGCTACAAGTTTGAGTGATTACGCTAGCCGTGCAACGAATGGGTCATCATCAGCATTATCAGAATCAGCACCTCCAACACCATGCTCACAACAATACCATCATCATTTGCACATGTTGCATCCCTATGATGGTACAAGTAGTGCAAATACAAGCTCAACGGCTTTGGAAACTCCATCCATGGATAGCCAGCTGCTGAATCAATATGATGTTGACATGTTTACGCCATCACCAGCAGCATACTATGATGAGCAAGCACAACACCATTTGACTCCACCGCAATATCACCAACAACAGCAAGAAGCCAAATGGTACAATTACCCTATCCAGACCCAACAGCAGCCATTGCACTATCATCAACCATGGTGAACAACGTCCTAATTTCTTCACTTTATCCCGTTTTCCTCCCTTCACACTATCATTTTTCCACCGCTTTATCATCTCGGATCTGGGCAGGCTCATTGATCTGACTGTGCACTTTATCAAAAACGTAACATTTTCATTCTTCTTCTTTGTCTCATCTAAGTAATCTCGTTCTAATTTCATCGATTCCCCCCAACACACCACACGCCCATTGATGTGTATCACCACTACCTTGTTGTATCATCCTTTCTCTCCTCCATTATTGTACCTCGAGATGTTTGTTTCTATTTTGTTGCTTTTTTGTTTATAGCTTGTTTGAACCTTGTCTCCATTAAACACGAATGATCTTTCTCGACCTCTACTCAATTTTCATGTCACATCGCTGATCATGTTATAGGATGAGTACATAAATTGGATGGTTCGGCCGACTGTCAGAAATAGTCTTGTGTATCAGGTCTCAGCTATGATCGCAAATGTCGTTGGTTTTGGTAGTGTGTGAAAAATAGAGAACCAAGCCTCGGTGGTACACCTTTGTGATATGGTGCATAAAGGAAAAAGTTGTGTGTGTGTGTGTGTGTGTGTGCGGATGAGTCCAAACTAGGTAAAAGTGGCTGCTGCTGATGCATTAGACACGTTTCATGATGGTGCTTGAACCCTCACCCCCAATTCCCATCTCGGCGGCACCCGCGATACTGGGAATAAAAGAAGCGACGAGAAGAATATGAGATGCGAGAAGCAAATAGAGACACCAAAACAGAGATCGAGATGCGTCATACGTATGCTGATCGTCTCTCGGTTAAAAATACGGGGGAGAGAAAGATGCATAGCAATGCAAGTTCTCAATCATGTGATGTACTTTGTTGCTTTGACAGTGTCACATCATCCATGTCGCATGATTACCATTATGCTTGTCACATGACACTCGCTGCTGTGGCGTTTTTAGTAGCTGTTTGATGTCCTCGTCAACTGATATACAAGCAATGTTTTGTCCATTATCCAAGCATTTATTTCTCTTACAAAGGGTGGATGGAGATACATGATTGTTTTGGACGAATGAGATTGGAAGGGAGAATAGACTACACGGCGTGAACGTCGTTGCCTGAAATGATTAATGCTCTTGCACAAGACATCATTGGGTCTTTCTTCTTCACTTTTGACACCAATCAGCAAACGATGTTCAACACAAGAAGGCGACTTGAGGAACAAAGGGATAAAGAAGGCTATCAAACGACACGTACACAATCGACGATGCAATCCAAAGCGGCACAATCGAGCCGATCAGCAGCGTCGCCGTCATCAACTTGAACGTTTCCTATCCACGTCAAACGGCATGTTGAATGAGCAATGCTCAACCTGAAGAGGACAGCGTGTCGACCAAGTACTTCGTGGTGATACCACAACAAGCGACGATAGTGAAAGTGGAAGGCCATGTGATGGGATACAGGTAGTGGATGACGTGAAGGGGATCCTTGCAGTGCATACATCGATCAGGTAGGTACCTTTTTCATTTTTGACGACAACAACATCTGGGTCGAGTCATTCTCAAAAAAGCTACGTTCCAGGTGTGCTTTCATTCTGTATCAATGCAAGAAACGCCCAACTGATCTCTCGTGATCCTATCAGCTTTCTTTACGGACACAGCACTACATCATACGACGTTTTGACAACAGCCAACGCTTGAAGGATCATACAACCCACATGAGATGAAAGCAACAAAGCGCTCTCTATCAGCTCCATCCCAGCATTCAGAGGAAATCACCTGTTCGTAGCTCTGCGAGTGCATCAAAAGGATACGAAATCGTGGTGTAGATAGCAAGCATTACAGGGAAAGGACTTTTGGTTGCACCAGCTTATGTGGGCTTGATTGATAGCTAGCGCTAATGCATGGATATCCAATAAAATCTTTGTCCTAGTTACGTTTATCAAAATGATAGATTGGATGTGTGTGTGCCTGAATCTTAGTTAAGGAACGCGTACGCCTGGTTGCAACACGCATGAACGGTACCCAAAAGGGTGTGTGTGGGAACTTTTTTTTCATGAGATGCTTAATGGTTGCTATGATCCTGTATGTATAGGCTATAGGTAATTATAAGGATGTTGTCTTTTGGGGAGCAAATCGGTAGAGCATGTATTGAAAGGCATTCTAGCGGAAAGAGGTTGGGGAATTACTTTTATTGAACAAGCTTGCAGCTTGCTTGGATTTCAGCAAAAAAGGGTCGTCGGCATATCCTCATCAAGCGCATTCACATGCTTCTTGAGAAATCTCGGGCCATTTCGTTTAAATGCATTCTTCTCACTCTTACGTTGACTCGACACGTTTCTTTCCCTTCTCTTTATTGATCACTCTCAACATGGCAACCGTTCCATCCTCAGCTCCTACTGCAACTGTTGCTACGACTACAAAGACTACGGTTGTTCCCGAGAAAAAGGCTGTGTCATGGAACAATTTGTTGTTGGGTGCAAGTACGTACCTTTTACACTTGTATTGGCTCTTTACATTTATGCTGACAAACACACACATTATTGCTATAGCTCTCAACATGTTCGAAGTCTCCACACTTGGTCAACCTTTTGAAGTGATGAAGACCCAAATGGCTGCTAACCGTGGTCAATCGGTTCTTGGAGCTCTCTCTGCTGTATGGCAACGTGGTGGTGTACTTGGATTCTATCAAGGCTTAATCCCATGGGCATGGATCGAAGGTTAGTAGAGAGCATCCTGGTGGTTTTCCATACACTAACGCGGGGCTTTTATATTGTTGTTATAGCATCCACCAAGGGTGCAGTGTTACTTTTTACAACATCCGAGTTTGAGTATCGTTCTCGTGCTGCTGGAGCTTCTCCATTTACGGTATGTCAATGATAACCTTGTGTGTGGGGTAAAAAAGAGATAACGGAAAAACGTGATGCCTGATTATGGACATTCATTTAGGCGGGTCTCATTGGAGGCATGGCTGGTGGCCTTGCACAAGCTTATTCCACCATGGGCTTTTGTACCTTTATGAAAACTGTGGAGGTGACTCGTCAAAAATCAGGTATGTGACAACAGAAAGGTCCAGCACCATGGCTGTAGGAGGTGGGGGTGGTTGTATATTTTTGTTCTTCTTTATGATGGACAACAATGAGACATACACAATGAAAGATCTCATACATATAGCTGATATCGGATATACATATATGCATAGCCTCCAAATCATCGACATTGCAAGTGGCATCTGAGATCTTCAAGAAGGAAGGGTTTCGAGGTATCAACAAGGGTGTCAACGCTGTTGCTGTTCGACAATGCACAAACTGGGCTTCTCGATTCGCCATTGCACGCTATGCTCAACAAATGATCCTGCGTGCTCGCCACGGTGATGAAAATGCAAAGCCTGGTGCTGTTGATAAGGTTGCATCATCCATGGTTGCTGGTGCGCTTAGCTGCTGGAATCAGCCTATTGAAGTCATTCGTGTTGAAATGGTAAATGTTCCATCATCCTATATATAGCTAGCCAGGGGATGCTCACATTATGAATCCATTCTATAGCAAAGTCAAATCAAGGTGCCTGGTCGACCTGAAAAACTTAGCATTGTAACAGCTGCCAAGTGGATCTACAAGTCAAGCGGATTCTCAGGTTTCTATAAGGGTGTGGTACCTCGTATTGGTCTCGGCATGTGGCAAACGGTGTGCATGGTCACCTTAGGTGATGTTTTGCGAGAGTACTTTGGCACAAACTAGATAACCTCAATCGTTGTGTTTTATCTTTTTCCCTTTCCCCCAATCATCTCATCATGCTCAACTACTCGAACGATGTCAACTATTCTTCCTCGTGGTGTTCAAGAGATAGATAGAAAAAGAAACTACACATTCCCATATTGTATAATATCCTCCAACTTTATCCAATTCTACAATCAATGAATGATCCTATCCATAACGAATGCCTGCATAAAGGCCTGCCATAAAAGTGGACTTGAACTGGATGTTGTGAGTAAGGAATCCGACCAAGGTTTGCCATTTGCTGTGCACATCAATGTTGCGATCTGAGCCGGATATCTTATCCCAATGCACGGTGACATATCCCTTTGCACTCATGTACTAGAAAAGGAAGATGAGGTCATGATCTTGTGGATGCTGCTAATGCTTTTTCTTTACCTGCAGAGATACAAATCCCAATCCAACCATGAACGCAAATAGTTTGCCAATCTTTTTGAGAAAGTAGCCAGTGCATACACCGAGAAGGACACCAAATGAAATTTCCCCTTTGTGAATGAGGGATCCCTTGGGTTGTTGCTGCTCTTGAACAAGCGCTGGCGCTGTAGGCTGTACCATTTGCTGACATGCGACAGGCTGCTTGAACAACAGTGGTCCACCAAAAACCATCGTAGTGGCTGCTCCTGCTCCTCCAACCATCCTTGCAACCTTTTGTGTGGTGGTCATACGTGCCAAAGGACGAAGAAAGGCTTCACTAGTGTCAATTACAATCAATGCTCGCTAGGACAAGTGGTAGTCATCCCTACTCCCCCACACATCGGATTCCTTACGCGACTTGTTGCTGGTCACCATGCCTCGTTTCAAGGAAAATGTTGCTGTAGTAGTTGTAGTTGTTCTAACGCCCACACGAGCATGACGAAAGAGGGCCAACGACATTGTGTTGTGGAGGGTAAAAGGAAAAAGAGGAGTGTAACACGAGACTTGTAGAATTACTTTATTGGAAATTGCAATACATATACATCAGCTTTTGAATCTCATTTTTCATGCATTGTTGATGAGGATGGTTGTTGTTGTTGTTGTTGGTTTGAAGGAGAGTTGATACGTGGATGAAGTTCGGTAGAATTAAGACGTTGAAAGGAAGCTCTTGATGGCATTGTGTTGCTGTTATGGGAGACACCCGTAGCAGTAACGCTACTATTATGAGAACCAGTACTTGCACGTTTGTTGCCTAGAATAAAACTAAGAGGACGTGGTGTAGCTCTTGCAGCTGATTCATTGTATTCGGGCGTTGTAAGATAAACCATGCTACGGGTGAGACTTGATGGATCGCTACTACGAGAACCATCATTGTCATCCCCATCCGGTTGTTCAAGCATTGCATATTTTGCAAACTCTTCATTGTCGCCAAAGAATTTAGCTCGTAAGGCACGTTCTCTTCGAGCTTGGAATCGATGCAATATCCAAAGCACTACCAATGTCGCCAATACAAACAAGAACACCGCAACACCGACCACAGCCCACAACCATGTCGGTATCGTACGGAAGACTTCCGGTCCATTAATGCACACATAATCGGTACTGCAAGTCCCTGATATGCATTCACGATCTTGGTCGCATGCCATCCCATTTTGCTTTGAAGGAATGCATTTGCTGTGGACGCAATAGGTTCCCTGCGTACAATTGTCACGCACAATTCGCTGTTGTACACCGTTCCCTGTGGCGTCATACGATACATAATCGGTGCTATTATATACATCAAACATAAACATTCACTGTTGTATTAGCATAAGGTGGTCAGGGTTCCTCCCATAAATGTAAAAAGAAAGCCACGTACACATCCATCGCACATCCACCACTAAGAGGTGCCGCCTTGATATAGCACGTTGAATTCAGGCATATGGCATTGTTACCCGCACATTCATCATCCCGTTGCTAGAGCAAAAATAAATCCCATTACACGTCATTCGTCGTCATGATATGGATATGCACATCAACTTACCAGCTCACAATGACCTCCTGGTTGCACCAGCGGTGTGCATTTAGAATTGCTATCTGGGCAAAAAGTGCCTCCATGACATCGTGGGGGATATGGATGAACCGCAACATTCCATCTATGCGTTTCGATAAGCATTGAATGCTGGGGCTGACTATGATTGACTTACTCTTTCATGTAATCCGAATTGGCACAACCCTTATAGTTACAAGTATTGGTGGCAGGATCACAAAAGAGGTACACGTTTTGACAGGAATCATCATACTGCCATGTTGCTCTACGCAATGAATACTATCATCAGCTCTTCTCCTATATGGTATGTGTGTGCATCATCCTTACGTGTAGATAGCAGATGCATCGCATTGCTGCCCATAGGATAAAGCAATTGTATCTTTAATGAAGAGGAGTGATAGTACAACAAGAATCTCCAATGTATAGCTGTGCATGCTGCTGATCCACAGGTATGGGTATTGTATGCAAAACGGGTTGCTGAGCAAAGGAAGATAAATAAAGCAGAAAAGAAAGAGGGAGAATACTCTCAGCGGCTCCCATGCGTTTATTTAAAGGTTATGTATGTGGCAAACTGTTGCCTATTTTCGAAGGACTTGCGATCAACAACAATTGCGCTAAAGAGTGAGAGGGAGGGAGGGGATTTGGCATACACCATGGAAATGATCTTATCAGCGTGCCTGTTTCTCGGTGCACGATTGGCTGGCAGATGATGCATCCCTTTGTTGATTTTCCTCCAATCTTTACAAGAGCATCTTTTTTCTTCTATCAAGTCGTATCATGTCTGGTACATATGCAAGGGCATTTTAAGATTGCGCATCCGCATGTTTATTATCAAGGGTATTGTTGATTGAACATAAGAAATGGGAATAAACAACCTGTTTGGTCATAGGTGTAATCGCCACACCACGCGTCTATGTACAAGGAAAGCATTGATTTGCCGAGAATGGCGAAAATCTTGGCGCACGCTCATCATTGTAATTCAGGGTGCCAAATGTTTCAGCTTTGAGACTCTGTTCATCAAGGTTGTTTATGCAACAATTGTACGTAACAAAATGGATGGTAATAAAGGGGAAAATGAATGCAAGAGGGAGGAGAGGGCGAGGAGGAGGAGGAGAAGGGTGATAAAGATAAGAAGGTGATGTTGTTGTATGATGAATGATGGTTGAGAGTACGGATAAAAGTAAACTATGCGTTGAGAAGAGGGGTGCGTTCTGTTGATGACTCCGGAGTCTTGCGACAAATGTCGTATTTACAGATGGGACACTAGAAGAATCATGATTATGATCAATTGCATGAATAGAAAAGCTAAACAAAAGTCCTACTTACAAACTTTTTATGTGTCGTCAGCCATGCATCAACACAAGAAGCGTGAAATTCATGACGACAAGGTAATGTACGTAGGATGTCGTCATCGACATAATCCTCCAGGCATATAGCACATTCTGCATGATCTTCATTATGCTGATCTTGTTTTTCTCGTCGAAACTTGCGTGTCGGTAATCGTGTTACAAAGTCAGTTGGCGCTAATTCATTTTTGCGTCGTTGTCGTTGACGTAGTCGCCATGTCAAATAGATGAAAAGCATCATGACAGCAGGTGATAAAACGACCACCAGTAACATGTCAAGGAGTGGCCTATGGATATCAAAAGTCACAACACACATCCTTGATGCCTCTTCCACACACTTGAGTTTACCATGTTAACATGTCATCCTTAACTAGCCGAACAAGCATAGGTTCCCGGAATGAGCGAGATAGTTGAAGTAGAGCTTGATATTGATGCTGTGCGACAAATACACTTGGAATCTGAACATCCGATGTGTCACCTACATGTTGTATAAAAGAAGCGTTGAGCAAAAGTAATGAATGATACGTGTGAGTGTGTGTGCTAACCTGGTGCATACATGGTGATCCAGCCGTTGTAATGTTTATCTCCGACTACAGCTGCAATGGCACCGCTTGCTTGCATGGCTCTAACCTTGTCGACAAAGGAGCACTCGCCTCGCTCAATCAATGCAACCCAGTTCTCACATGGAGGCGTCACAATATCGCATCCATAACGATCATCTTCATGTGTCGGTGGTAAAAGACTTCCAAGCACACCTTCTTCGGTTAACCTTGGTCCAAATGCTGCAATACGATCAATGTATGTCTCGTTGGTTGCCTGCAATAGAAGAGAGCACATGTTGAGAATACGTTGTTGTTGTTGTTGCCGTCTCCTTCAATAGCCTATGCCCCACTTACGACGACGATAACGGCTGCCAAGGTAATGTCCGCCAATGCCGACAGCAGCAATGTTATGCAGAGACACCAACTGCGAATCATGATGGGTAGAATGTACGATGGTGTCTAGGTGTTGCTTTCCGATCGATAAAGAAGAGAAGAAATAAAGAGAAAGTGTGTTGATATGTTTATAACGCAAAAAAGTGAAGCAATAAACGGAAGAGAGAAAGAGGGAAAACCGGATAGAGTCGAATGGGAAACTCAATTTTGAACGTATGCTTGGGTTGTCACGCATCACACTCACACACATACACGCACACACATTTATACATATAGACGCATCCTTTTCGAGTGAAATATCTTTTTACTTGTCCCCCTTCCTTTGACTATAGAGAAAGTCTCTCAGCTTGTTCAACAAGTTCTTCTATACATGACCATCCATCTTGTTCTTCATCCCCATCCACCACGAGTCGTGGTACCTGCTGGGTATTCTAATAATCATGCCATCCATCAACACATATTCGCCGAGACATGATCGCTCTTCTTTTTCTACTCACCAAACTACAACTTGGATGTACTTGTAATGTGATCTTGTTATCTGGTCCATATTGCCATCGTTGCGTATCCGCCTGATATTTTGGTAGTCGTCTACCTTGGACGAGGGGTTGATTGGTCTTGGCTTGTTTGACACTCATCACTATTAAATGTACACGGGACCGAATCACACTGCATGTCAGCAGATATTATAGTAGATACACATAACAACACGCTTACCACAACCAGAGAGTCGGTTGACTAGGAAACCATCACTATAGGTCCACTGTTGGTGTTTTTTCTCTCCTGCAGGTGGTCGCAGCTCGATCCTTGCTCCTGGCTACATGCCAAAAAGAAGAAGGTCAAATCTCATTCCACTCCTTGATCGCTGCCCATTGTGCTGTACCTGCCACGACTTGTCAACCACGGTCAAAACGTGTTGAGGATGGGTATTAGCTTGGATATAGAACCACCCTGTTGGGAAAGCTTGATGCTTCATGTTGTGTATGTATGTCTACGTCAAAAGAAGTACCTCAATAAACCCAGCTTTTGCCCTTTCTAATCATCCAAAAGTCTGCAGTTCTTTTATTCTCTTTGATGATTCTTCCAGCTTTTCAGTGATACTATATACTTGTCCTAATAGACATCCTTCAATGAGTTTACATGGTCAACATACACCATTGATTCGTTCTTTACCTCTTTCATTAGCCTTGGCTTGTTCCTCCAAATAGATGTCCCTATCCCTGATGATGGCTTGTTTTTGTACAGCAATAATGGTCCCTATCACCCGATTATTCAATACAATGACATCATCTTGGTTGTAAGCTTATTACCTGATACATGCAGTATTCGAAAGCTGCAAGGTATGTGTTCTATCCGCCTGAGGAAAAATAGTGATGCTAACAACATATCGGCATACTCCCGATGCACTCGTATGATGCCCACTCGTGTTGATGGATTGAACCATTTCACTAATAATCCTTGTTTAGTGCTTACTTGGCTCTCATCATCATCATCCTTTTGATATACACGACTCACCCACAATACCGCGACTCATGCCATTGCCGAAATCGCCATAGTTTGCAGTAATCGACAACCATACGTTATTCAGAATCGTCCTTTCAGTGATATTCAATGGCGTACGAGGGAAGACAACCTTGTCATGTTGTATAATAGGATCCTCCAGTAACTCGAACAGCACCCACCGCACTTTGGTTCTGACCATATTCGGCTCACGGAAAGGAAAAGGCAATTCGCGATACAAATTTTCCAGCATGTCCACCCCTCTCTGGCAGCAAGCCATATGCGTCGACTGTCATTGGCTGGGTACGTACGCACGCCTATATAAAGCTGCCAAGAACATCCGCCTCGACCTACTCAACCTCTTTCCCATCACAACCACCACCATGAATCCACTTCCTATTGATAATCTCATGTTGAATCCACAACAACAGCTCGATATGGAAAAATGGCACAAGAAGCTTGTAGGAAAGGTTGTTCTCAAGGACAATGAGGAGACTGCACTTGGCGCTGACGAGGTATGTACATACAATGAATACAACACTCCCATTCCCTTTTTCTTTCTTTGTCTCTCTTGGCAATCTATGATTTGTATCAACACGTCTTGAATGTTCTTTGCTCACCCTTTCTTTGGTTTATAGTATGTCCGTGAAAAAGATTTGCCCAAACCCAACCGAGTATTACCTCCCAATTCCCCCATGACCATGGATTATCGCCCAAACCGCTTGAATGTCTTTTTAGACGAGAATCGTAGAGTTGTCAATCTTAACAATGGATAAACGCAACGTCTTGGCTACACAAATCGGAATTGCATGGGTCATAACATCACCGATGATGCAGTGAGGATTGCCTTTTAAATACTTTTGGATGTGTTTTTATTTTGTAATGGAAACAAATGAATGTATGAGTGGGTTGTATGTATCATGTTACTACTACATGTGTTTATGTGTGAGAATGACAGCTTGTTGGTTGCCATCACTACGACATAGGGTTGTCAATGTTACGCTGTAAACGGCCCATTGAATACAAATGACACCCCCCCAAATTTGTAATGTGGTATATAGAATTTAGATTTCATTTGAATTATATTGTATGATGATGTGAAAGATGGTTCATTATAAGGTGTGCTCCAAAAGGGCAACGGCAGCAATGGAGAGGAGGGGGATCGGGAACGAAGCAAAATCCGGAGTTGCATTTAAATAGATATTTCAGGCTAGAAGAGCATCAGCTGCTTAAAAGCTTTTGTTTCTCTTCCAAGATACTAAAAATCAGCCATGGGTGTTCCCGCATTCTTCAGGTAAAAGCAACAAGGATATTAGCTATAGAAGGCGTGTGAATCTAATCCTATGATAATCACCTGTAAAGATGGCTGTCAGACAAGTTCCCCAAGGTTATCACTCAAGTTGTCGAGGAGAAGCCAAAGGTAGTCAATGGCAACACCATTCCCGTTGATACGACAAAACCCAATCCCAATGGCGAAGAGTTCGACAATCTCTACTTGGATATGAACGGCATTATCCATCCGTGCTGCCATCCGGAAAATAAGGTAGCGTACTTGGACTTACTTTGGGTTGATCGTGTGTACGTCAAGGCTAATCTTGCATTGTAGCCTGCCCCAGAGACAGAGGACGACATGATGATAGAGATCTTTGCTTACCTTGACCGCATTGTGGATATCGTTCGACCCCGTCAAGTTTTGTATATGGCCATCGGTACGATCGATCTTTGAGAGCTTGTCACGACGTGCAACTGCGGCATGTGTTTTGGATATGTATACTAACTACACTATATTAGATGGTGTTGCTCCACGAGCCAAAATGAATCAACAACGTTCACGCCGTTTCCGTGCTGCACAACTTGCTGAAGCCGAGAGAGAAGCCGAAGCCAAGGTGGAAAAAGAGCTCAAAGGTAAAATGGGATATGCATGGCGTATACGAAAGTAGGATGGCTGAAACATTGATATCTTTATTAGCCATCGGTCAGGAACACCAACTCCCTGAAAAGAAGAAGCACTTTGACTCCAACTGCATTACACCTGGTACACCTTTCATGGCTCATTTAGCTACGTGTTTACGTTATCATGTGGCTGCCAAGCAAAACAGTGATCCTCTTTGGAAAGACGTAAGTAAAAGAGCATTCTGGAATGTGTACATGATACTCATGGGATACATGATAGCTCAAGGTGATTTTGTCCGATGCTACTGTACCTGGTGAAGGTGAACACAAGATCATGGAATACATTCGTGTCCAACGTGCATTACCACAACACAATCCCAACACAAAGCATGTCATTTATGGCTTGGTAAGATACTGGATTGGTCTACTTTATTTGGAACAAAAGCTTATTGTCATTGTTTAGGATGCCGATTTGATTATGCTTGCTCTTGGTACCCATGAACCCCACTTCAAGGTCTTGCGTGAGGATGTATTTGGTGATGACAAGAAGGGATGTCGTATTTGCGGTAAAACGGGTCATATCGCAGCTCATTGCAAAGGTAAGCAAGAGATGGTGATAAAGATGATATGGATGCGTGATAACTAATAAGGATATGCTATGATAATAGCCACACCCCAGGAGATCGCTGCCATCAAAGAAGCCAAGAGAGCCGCCGAGGGTGAACTTAAACCTTATGTCTTTCTCCATGTTAATATTCTTCGAGAGTATTTGGAACATGCACTGAAATTCAATGTCCCGGGCATCCCATGGAATTTGGAGCGTGCGATTGACGACTGGGTTTTCATGTGTTTCTTTGTGGGCAATGACTTTTTGCCTCACTTGCCATCATTGGAAATTCGAGAGGGAGCCATTAGCACACTTAGTTTGCTCTGGAAGCAGTGTATGGTCATGATGGGTGGATACATGACTGAAAATGGAGAGGTGCGTGAATGGCATATGCTGGGTATGGCATGACATTGTGAGCGTGTGCTGATTTGTGTGTGTGTATATATATATTCAGGTGGATCTCAAACGTGTGCAAATTTTGGTCACTGAGCTGGGCAAGAAAGAAGATCAAATCTTTACTGAACGGAGAGAGAGTACGTCATTGAAAAGATCATTTCATTTGAATGGATCATGTTTGCTGACAATGCATGTCTTTTTGCAGAGGAGGAACGTCGTGCAAGAAACGCTAAGCGCAGAAAACTTGAGAATGAAGCTCGAAACAATCGACCTCTTCAGGGACATGATTTTGGTGCTATGACAGCTGTGCCCGTTCAAAGCTACAATAACCAAGGAATGAGTAACAGTGCTGTTGTTGAGAACCGAGCAGCCTTACGTACCGAGAACCAGAACGCAGCTGCTTCCCTCAAGGCTGAATTGATGGGTTCGTCAGATGCCCAAGTACCCTCCATGAATGATGATGCTCCACATGGTGTCAAGCGTAAAGCCGAAGAAGAACTTGCCCCTGAGACTGGAGAAGAGGAAGAGGAAGAGGAAGAGGATGAAGGACCAGCAACAGCTGAAGACATCGATCTTGAAGCCGCAGGTCGTGCTATTCTTGAAAAGGCAAAAGCTGATAAGAAAGCAGCTGAAGACGCTGCACGACAACGTGAGCCTGATGATGCAGTTCGGTAGGTTGTCATGGTGATGAATGCTGTCAAGCAATAATGTCTAATCGTATGTTGTAGGTTATACGAGCAAGGATGGAAAGAGCGATACTATCGCATCAAATTTGGTCTTGAATTATCTGATACGGAAGCGATCCAGCAGTAAGTTTTTACGCAATGATGAAAGTCCAACACTAATTAATTTGTTTTGCAGCATCGTACGATCCTACGTTGAAGGTCTTGTTTGGGTATTCAAGTATTATTACAAGGTAACTTGGACAAGAAAGAACCACTATATGAATGCAAGCTGATAATACGATCATGTAGGGATGTCCATCTTGGTCCTGGTATTTCCCATATTATTATGCACCAATGGCTTCCGACTTTGTCAACATTGATTCATTCGACATTAAATTCGAGCTCAACGAACCTCTCAGACCTTTTGAGCAATTGATGGGTGTCCTTCCACCAGCAAGGTACTATGATTGGTGATGAGTGCTCTATACAAGGTTTCACTAATGCATATCATTTTTAGTCGTGATCACATCCCAGTGGCATTCCATGGGCTGATGACTGATGAAGATTCCCCGATTCATGACTTTTATCCCGTTGACTTTGAAGTGGATATGGACGGCAAGAAATGGGAATGGCAAGGTAAAGAAGGAGAGCTTTGTGCTTTGAGATAAGGTTTTCGATGACTTATTTTATGTATGCAGGTGTTGTAAAGCTTCCGTTTATTGAGACATCACGATTACTCGAAGCGATGAACACGGTGTATGAGCAGCTAAACGATGAGGAGAAGGCGCGAAATTCTGTTGGCAACTCGATTCTCTTTGTGGAAGAGCAACACAAACTTTACAATTCCGTCAGCACCGTTTACACCAAGCGTGCCACCGAAGGCAATTTGGTCTTGGATACAAGGTTAAGTGCTGGTATGACTGGTTCGGTGGATAAGGATCCCGATTGTATTCCACGAAGCACGCTACGCACTCCATTACCAAATCATGACTTGCCCGATATCTCCAATGACAAATCCATAAGGTAGGTTGCAAAGGAACTCGCCTATATCAAATACTCATATTAACATTGTTGCTTTTAGTGTTGTGTATATGCTACCGCCATTACCAAGGGGTTATCAATTCTCATCAAATCTCTTACGGGGCTTGAAGCTCGACAAGACTACACTTGGATATGAAGATTTGCAGATGGCAACGTTTGAAACCATCAATACAGGACGGCGGCAGAATACCTTTGGTGGTAGCCGGGGATGGGTTCCACAAATTAACCACTTGCAAGAATATCGTGAATAGTAAGTGTACATGTATATACGGAGGTTGTTAGTACACAGAGACCTAATCTTTCATGTATAGCAACTCTGGCCGAAATCGTTACAGGAACAATGGATATGGCCAAGGCGGTTACTATGATCCTTTTGAGCAGCAGCAGTATTATCAACAAGGCTATGCTGGTGGATATGATAATAGAAACCATGGAGGTTATTATGATGGATACCAGTACCAGCAGCAGCAACAACAACAACACTACCAGTATCATCATCAACAACAGCAACAGCAGTACGGGTATGGTCGAGGTGGTGGTCGAGGTGGTGGCCAATACGATCCTTATGCACAACAACAATATCACCATGGTGGTGGATACCGAGGAGCTCCATCTGGTGGTGGTGGTGGCTATAGAGGAGGTTATCGAGGAGGCCCATCTGGTGGTGGATACCGAGGAGGAGCACCTCGTGGCGGTGGTGGCTATCGTGGTGGCTACAATGGAGGATATTATGGTGGACGTCGTTGATCGTTCAATAACAACATTGCCCTTCTTTAAACAAAATTCAGTTGATTCATGTATGTTATTTTTAATCTGTTATAAAAAGAGTATTCTAGTGCTTGAAATATGGGTTTGATAGCACTATCAAGCATTTCATTGTGTGAATTCTTGAATGAGATCCATACTGCTTCCTTCTAGGGAGTGATTAAATTGAATGATTGGGAGTCTTGCCTTTGTCCTAAGCACGAAGGTAGTAGAGCATACACAGTAACATAATACATAAGGAAGTCTCGAGTTAAACACGTGTGAATGATGGTCATTGTTTATGTTATTTAGTATAAAGAGCACAATTCATTATGATGGATACAATGAAGAGGGAATAATATCAGGTCAGGCACTGAGCGGAGGTATGGGATATCATTGGCTGGTTCGCAACCCGTGTAAACAAAATTCTATTCCAAGAGGCACAACTCTGGCACAATCCCTTCCTTCCCGCCACTCGCCATTCACCCAACCGTTCCCTTTTGTCGCTATGGCTTCGAGACACTTGTGCTATTCACGGTCTGTAATTCTTGACGTTCTGCGAGCCATTGTCTCTCGATCTCCACCTCCACCACCTTCGATTGCGCTGCGTAAAGGTTATTCGCACCCATGTCAGGCCACCAATTTCATCACCAGGGCACCCTTGCACCATCATAATAGTACGTCACTTTACAGGCGATTTCTCCACACCAAGCAAGCTCAACCTTTGGCGCAAGAGATTGACGTTATGGACATTTTGCAAGAACTGGAACCTGAGCGAGCACCAACACAACGTGAACGATCTAAGGAATGCCCACGCGACGCCACTGTAAAGAAGCGACGACGAAAGCTACCTTGGTGGGTCGAGAATCATTATGGCTCGAGAGGTCTCAAACCAAAGCGCTTAAAGAACAGGAACTTTGAGCAATTCAATCGAGCCATTTATTATACCGTATTGCAACAACAGATGAACAAGGCTGTCAACCTATTGAAGGACATGGAGCATCGTGGAATCAAGCCTGATGTATCGACCTATACAATGATCATCAATGGATATTGTCGAGCAACAGATATGGAGCGTGCTATGAAGTGGTTTTATCGAATGAAGAAGAACAACGTTGAACCTGATGTATTTACATATACCGGCTTGATCGACGGATACATGCGGATAGCAGATGTACCCCATGCAGAAGGTCTATTTCGATCAATGATGAACAAAGGCATTCGACCTAATCGGGTGACATACAACATTCTGATGCATCAATCGGTCATGCAACTTGATATCGAAACAGCTGTACGATTCTGGGGCAATTTGGTGGAAGCAGGATTACGACCTGATGTATACACGTATGCAATCATGATCCATGGATTGGGATTGGAGGGACAATTGGATAAGGCATGGCGATTATACGATAACATGGTGCGCCAGGAGATCAATGTCAATGAGGTGGTAGCCACATCTTTGATGGGGATGCACGTCAAGGCACATGACAACAATCACGCCATTCAACTCTTTCGGCGGTTTTTTATTGAAGAGCAGCGACCCATGACAGCACACACACGCAATGTCCTCCTCAATGCTCTTATTGCAGGTGCTGATCTTCCAACCATTCAATCCTATTATCAGCAATACCTGGATTTCCTCAATTTACCAAAGGATCAACGTGCTGATTCAGCTCCTATTCTTTTCGAAGCGGGTGCTCATGTTGTCACTTTCACCACGTTTATGCGCTCCTTTTTACGTCGCGATGACCTGCCAATGGTCAGCCAAGTATACCAAGACATGATGGCTCGAAACATCAAGCCTACCACGGTCACCTATGGAATCCTCATGCTTGCTCATGCTTATATTCCTGATCCACACTCTTGTGCCAAGATCCTCCAAGAAATCAAGGCTGCCGGGTTGCCTCCAAACGCCGTTCTTTATACTATTGTCATGCGTGCATGGGCCAAGGCTGGTAACTGGGAAGAGACTAAAAAGACTTATGAAGAAATGAAGGCCGCCAATATCCAGCCAACCAAGTTGACCATGTCCGTTCTTAATTGGGGTAGCCGCCAAACCAAATAAAAGCATTGTAGATAAACATCTTATAATATTAGTTGGATATATTCGATTCGAGATTAATCTTATTAAATCGTTCTTGTATATGCTTCACAACAACATGTCAAAAAGTAACTTTTGGTTCTTCCAATCTAAATCTGCTTTGGGTTAAAAGGAGGGAAACGTTGGACTTGCAAATTCATGGAGCTACTAGTCATTCATTTACTCACACCCCTAGTACGCACGTCAACGCACCCAAATACGAACAGCGTCTTTCCACAATACGCTACCCATGATGATATAGATAACTTCGACATTGCATATAGCAGCACAGGGAGCTATTTTACAACAACCATTGTCTACTATCAGCCCTCCTTCTCGAACCAACCTCAAGTATCTTTATTTTTTTAGTATGCTAGACGACTTTTACAACCAGCAATCCGTTAGCCTGTCGCTATCTAAAAGCAATGGCATGATTGGTTAGTGACACCATTGTCGTGTGCCTAGTCATTTATACTTTTGGATGTCGTGAGATTTGAAGCAACTGCTATTTGTATTGTTCTTCACTAATCACCGCTAATGATTGATACAATGTAAAGAAACGCTGAAGCCCTTGAAATCTTGTGGATAAGAAAGAGTTGTTGAAAGATTAAAGGCAACGCAAAAGTATCAAAGCACATGGTACCCATGACTTAAAACTATCAAACCTGTAGCCTTGCAACGCGATGATTCATTTTCCGCATGCATAGTTGTAGGTTGCCATGAGCAATCTAGATGATCTTGGGAAGTTTTTTAATGTCAGCAACGACGCAATGTCACTGACACCGTATAGTATAAAAGGCATGAGGAGTAGTAGCAGCTGATCTTTTTCCCCTTTATCATCCTTACCCCAAATAGTGAAACATGCCAGGTCGTGGATTTGCAACGCGTGCTATTCATGCAGGATTGGAAGCCGATCCTCATACAGGTGCTATCATTCCACCTGTAACATTGGCTACAACATACAAGAAGGATTATGGGCATGAATTGGAGGTAAATGGAGGTATTCCCACGGTTACTGATTGATACAACAATCTTACGTACATACATACAAAAGGGATACTGCTATACTCGACTCGATAACCCAAACCGATCCAACTTTGAAACGGCCGTTGCTGCTCTTGAAGGAGCATCCCATGCGGCTGCATTTTCCTCGGGCATGGCTGTGGTCGCTGCTGTTCTCAGCATGATCGATGCTGGATCCCATATCGTCACGAGTGATGGTTGTTATGGTGGCACTTACACCTCCTTTTCAAAGATTGCTACGAAGCATAATATTGATGTCACATTTGCCGATCTTCGAGATCCAGAATCCTTGCACGCACATATGAAACCTAACACCAAGGTATTGTACATGTTATAGTTTGCAAGCTGTTTTATTCAGGTATAGAAATAATGTATGGATAGCTTGTATGGATCGAAACACCGACCAACCCAACGCTTCGTTTGGTGGATATTGCAGCAGCTGCCAAGATTGCACATGAGCATGACGCCATTTTGGTTGTTGATAATACGTTCATGACACCTTATTTTCAATCTCCCTTGGAGCTTGGTGCTGACATTGTTTCTTACTCAGTGACCAAGTATCTCAATGGCCACTCGGATGTTCTCATGGGTGTTGCACTAACCAACAACAAGAGCTATCATGATGAATTGACACAAGCTCAAGGTGTACTTGGAGGTGTGCCTTCCCCATTTGATTTGTTTCTTGCACGACGTGGTTTGATGACATTGGAAGTGCGTATGCAGCGGCATGAAACAAATGCAAACGCTTTGGCCAAGTATTTGGAAACGCGCTTGGATGATGCTATTGAAGAAGTCATTTATACTGGATTGCCAAGCCATCCACAACATGAATTAGCCAAACGCCAACAACGTGGATTTGGTGCCGTCATCTCAATCCGTCTCAAGAAAAAAGAAGACTGTGATCCGGTCAAAGTATTTATCAACCATCTCCAAATAGCTGAGAACGCCACATCGCTTGGTGGCACCGAAACAACAGTATCTGTACCTCACCAAACGGGATCACATGCCATGTTGCCCGAGGATTTGTGTCGTAGCTTGGGTGTTGATGGATATCTTGTTCGCATCTCAGTCGGTATTGAAACACTTGATGATTTGATTGAAGACTTTGGCCAGGCATTAGATAAGGCGTATGCATAGTTGACTTGCAAGGTTATAAATAAAATGCTTATCATTTGGCTCTTTATTGATCAATATGAATGATATCTTGATGATAGCTGTGTCATGGCACTAGTATCATGGCAACAATGCATCACGTGCTATTGACATGGCAACCCCTTGATGGCGGTATTGTATGTGTATGGATGAACAAGCGGGTTTAATTGGGTCGGGAAAATGAAGTTCCATTCATAAGGAAGTGCTCCTCGAGGATTTATTATACTTCTTGTTTGTACACCATCATGTCGTTGCGCAAGGGACGTAATGGCAAAAGCTCGCCTGCTTCAAGTTCACGTCCATCGAATCAGAGTTGGGAAGACGATGAGTACGCCCAAATTATTGAAGGGTTGAAACGCATCTACAATCACAAGATTCGACCACTTGAAACAACCTACAACTTCGAAGGTACCCGCCTAGTCCATATTGCTCGACCACATACCATCAACACTGAACGCCTCAACAGGTTTTCATTCGGCACCATTGACTGACTCTGATATCGAGGCGAAGCCTATTGTGTTGCTTATTGGCCAGTATTCGACCGTATGTGTATTATTGGATAATGCAATCAGGCACATGCTAATGATGATTTCTATTTTATAGGGAAAAACGACATTCATCCGCTATCTCCTTGATAAGGCATATCCTGGTGAACATATTGGTGTGGAGCCAACGACTGATCGTTTCGTGGCTGTGATGAATGGAGCCGAAGATCGGGTGATACCCGGCAACGCAGCTGCTGTGAACCAAGATTTGCCCTTCCGAGGATTGAACCGTTTTGGTCAAGCATTCTTGTCTCGTTTCCAAGTCTCTCAGACACCTTCATCCGTGCTTGAAAATATGACAATTGTGGATACACCTGGTATCTTAGCAGGCGACAAACAACGCATTGAACGTGGATACGATTTTACCTCCGTCATTGAGTGGTTTGCTCAGCGTGCCGATCTCATTCTCCTCATGTTTGATTCACACAAGCTGGATATCTCCAACGAATTCAAGAATGCCATTCATTGTCTACGTGGTCAAGAAGAAAAGGTGCGCGTGGTTCTCAACAAGAGTGATATGGTGAGCCAACAGCAATTGATGCGAGTGTAAGGTTTATGTCATAACGTGATGGACCAATGCATGAATCTAAATTTTATTTGCTACTAGTTACGGCGCCATGATGTGGTCACTTGGCAAGGTGGTTCAAACTCCTGAAGTAATGCGCGTGTACTTGAGCTCTTTTTGGACTGAGAAACCACCCAATTGCTTTGAAGACTGCCGGGAACTCATTGAAGCTGAATCAAAAGATCTGTTGAGAGATCTTAAGGACCTTCGACGCAATGCAGCTATTCGCAAGATCAATGAAATCGTGAAGCGCGCACGTTTGGCAAGGGTAGGTTTATTATATTTAATCTCTACAAGATCTAATGTATACTTTAATGCAGGTTCATGCTTTGATCATTAGTCACCTAAAGAAGGAAATGCCTTCCATGTTTGGCAAGAAGAAGAAGCAAGAAGCATTGCTCAACAACCTTGATCAAGAATTCCTCAAGATCCAGCAGCGCCATCACTTGCCACCTGGTGATTTCCCCAATCCAGCCAAGTTTAAACAAAATCTCGCTTTGTATGATATGGACAAGTTCAAGTCTCTCAAGGAAGATTTGCTTGATCGTGCTGATGAGGTATGTGATGAAGATGATGATGATGATGTTTCGAGATACGACGTATTCAAACATGGTTGGTTGCTTTTTATCATAGGCATTGTCGGTTGATCTTCCTCGTCTCATGTCCAAGTTTCCTCAAGTCAATCCAGAGCTGGAAGAGTCTCAACGCAACCCATTCGAGGAGATCGATCAACCTACCAACGGCGAGTTGCCTCCATCTTACTGGCACTTTTCTTCGGTAGACAAGCCGGCCTATATACCCGTTTTCCAAGGATTACACCCTCGTGAAGGCAAAGTGAGCGGTGGTGCAGTGAAACCAGTTTTGATGGATAGCGGGCTGCCAAATGACATACTTGCTCAGATTTGGCGTCTCGCAGACTTTGACAGTGATGGCTACATGGATATTGACGAATTCGCCGTTGCAATGCATCTCATCAAGGCTGTACAAAATGGTGCTGAACTTCCAGAAAAGCTTCCATCCACAATGTTACCTAGGAAATTCTAATGCAGTATAGTATACTTTGATTCCTTCCTTTATTTAACCACCCCATCCTATCTACGAGATCAATACTAGCCAAGCAATGATGAAGTAAAAGAGACATAGCGGATACACCTATCCATTTCCTCCGTTAATATCACTCGTAACACTTTGTAAACATCTCCTTAAGCATCCTTACCGCTAGTGCGCGTCTATTACGCAAATGAACTTCTGATTCCGATAAGAAACCAACAGATGCTACCATCCAATGATTAATAAAGAAACAATGAAGATACTCGAGTGACATTTACCATAGGTAGACCAAAGGAATGAGACAATAGAAATGGGAAGTCGCACCCAAATAAGATCGACAAAGATGGCAACCACGGCTGCTGCTACCAAAGGAAAGAGACAGTAGCCAATAACACATACTGATTGGAAAAATGACCTGCAATGCATGTTTGAATAAGACCGATCCATGATAGCTATCCATATGTACTTACACTGCTCCTCCCAGTAACTTGGCGTTTAGTGTGACAACAGCAGCACCGATCCACACAATCACAAAGACACCGGTAAAAATGGATACAGCTTGATCCCCTGGTGCACTTCCGCTCAGCGTACTAATATAGCCCATCCATGTGAATAACACCTTTCGAATGAACCACTTTCCCACCATCAATACAACCCACTTACATGGCCAATGCAAGACATAGAACGAGCGGTCCCCACAAGTCCCCTACAAATGGTCGTCAGCATGGTTCTTGAGCTAGCAGCATCCTTATCCTCAGCAACTTACAATCTCTCAACACGTTACGATCTCCCTTTGGATGAAGCACCTGCTGTAGTTTCTTTGCCACTTGTTTCAAGTCGCGTAGCTAAAGTATATCCATATCCCAAGTATAAGTGGTGTGCCAAGCACGCATATAACCCCTTGTACTTACAATAGTAGTTGTCACTGGCTCGTCCAATGTATCTTCCCCAGTATAAGAAAACGTCTGTGCCGGCTGTGTAGATTGTGTAGGTCGTGTGGAAGATCCAATATTACCGCTCACATTGGCAAAGGGATTCTCATTGCTCGGCTTGGCAGCACGCGACGTCGATTGGCCGGTCAAGTCGAGATCAGGTTCCACATAGAGTGGCTCTCTATCCGATGATGATGCAAACGGATTGTCATAGGCGTCATTCTGGTTACTTGACGACAGCATGGTGTATGGGTATGTCCGTGTGGTGTGTTGTGTGTGGTTAAAGGAAGACTAGTTGCTCCGCAGAATGGGTACAATAGATAAAAGAGACTCGTTCACGTGATTGAGGACCAGCAGAATGCATGTACAACACTTTGAACAATAAAATCAACTCATCCCTCATTGCATTGAACGTTGCTATTCGTTGAGAGTAATATAGTTAACAAAGTAGTACACATTCTTTACAAGGTGATTTTAATGTACATACAAGCAAGAAGGGGATAAGCTAGCTAAGTCTAAGTGGATGTCTTTTTAGCTACTTTGCCATCATAATCGCCTTCATCTTCCAAAATCAATCGTAATCGCCGTTGTGAGAGTTAATTTGGGGAACATACGTATGGAAAAGAGTGGTATGTCAATGGACTTTGCATTCTTCCTTTTAGACAGACATCCACAAGATATGGAAATTCATCAAGCCATACCTTGTGATGAGGAAGTTAAGCCATGCTTGTCTATACCTTGCTGGGAGTCGAATTCAAAGAGATGTTGATGCCCAGATATCCATTGCCGGACCAAGAACCTAATCCATAAAAAAGTTTCAAGAGATCGACCTGACATGAGTTTGGCCGGTGGTGATATTTGGCAAATGTGGGATTGGCCACCTCGATCGCGAAACTATCACACATGATTCCTACGACCCCGCCGAGTAACACTGTTCTATTAAAGACCCCATGTTCCATTGTAAAATCTTGAGATATGGGCGTCTTTATGTCGTGTGCGTGATGCTATATGACAAGTGGTCTTTGTTCAATGCCAAATAGCTAGGCCCTGATAGAGCCAAAGATGCAGAGGGACGTGTTTGTGTAACTGGATTAAAAAGTTTGGACTTCCGGGACAATGCATGATAGGTACGCAACCCTCATTTTCAGGTCATACATTGGCAGCTAATAGCCACTTTTATCCTATCAGCATTGTTGCGAAATCCACGTGATGGGAATGATACTCATGCTCCAGACATTCATTTCTATGATTCAAGTAGCTTGATCCGAGCTGATTTGGTTGAGTTACGGTCGAACAAGGATTAATCAGCTGAGACATTCGGATGTATGCTGATGTATGCATTAATGCAATCTCTCTTTGACCGTAGCTCAGCCAAATCAGCTCGGATCAAGATAATTGAATAATGGAAATGAATGTATGGAGGAGGAGAATCGCTCGCATTTTATAGAGTGGACAACAGTGCCGATTGTGAGGAAATTTATGTTTGCTCGCAATGTATGGGCTATTGTCAATAGTATACAGCATCATCCTTCCATCCTTCCAGTCATGCAAAGTAGCTGAGTTACACAAAGAGGTCCCTCTGCATCTTTTGCTCTGCCAGGGTCCAGCTACTTCACAATGAACAAAGACCATCCTTCACATAGCATCACGTTTACAGCATAGTGAAAACATAAAGATAGCCATATCTCAAGATTTCACAATCAAACACAGGGTTTTTAATAGAGCAATGGGCTCGGCTTGGCTAACAGCACCTTGGGTGAAAGTTTCAAGTTCAATGTCGCAAACAGCCCAAAAAATATTTTTTGGTCGTCGTCGTCGAAGAGGTCGACCCCCAGATCCAGTTTGGATGGTAGCGACATTGCGAAATCTGGGATTGGCAAGCTTGATCGTGAAACTGGCACCCAAGGTGCAGTTGGCCAAGCCGAGCACATTGCTCTAATAAAAACCCCACGTTTCATTGTAAAGTTCGGAGATACAGGCACCTTTATGTTTGTAAGCGTGATGCTATATGGAAAGTGGTCTTTGTTCATTGTCAAGTAGCTAGATCCTGGAGAGCCAAAGATGCAGAAGGACCTCTTTGGGTAACTCAGCTAAAAAGTCAGGACTTCAGGGACGATGCATGACAGGTACGCAACCCTCACTTTGATGTCATACATTGGCAGCTAATAGCCGCTTTTGTGCATCCCCAACTTTTGTGCATTCTATTGTACGTGGACGATGCTCCTGCTCTAGACATTCATTTCCATGATTAAAGTAGGTTGATCCGAGCTGATTTGGTTGAGTTACGCTCACACAAGATTACATCGGTTGAGCTACATCGAGCGTGCTCTATGTCCAGAGTGATGTAATCTCTCTTTGACCGCAGCTCAGTCAAATCAGCTCGGATCAACCTACTTTAATCATGGAAATGAATGTCTGGAGCAGGGGCATCGTTCCCATGCAGTGGATCTCGGAGCAATGATGATTGGATAAAAGTGGCTGCTAGCTAGCAATGCATGCCTGTTCGTAGATGATCCATAAAGTAGTTATACATTGACCCTTTCATTCGTGCAAACGTAGCTGTGTTACACAACACGACCCTCTGCATCTTTTGCTCTGTCAGGGTCTAGCTGCTTTACATTAAATAAAGACCACTTCTCATATAGCATCACGCTTACAAACATAAAGGTGCCTGTATCTCCGAACCTTACAATGAAACGTGGGGTTTTGAATAGAGCAATGGGCTCGGCTTGGACAACAGCACCTTGTGTGAAAGCTTCGCGTTCAATGTCGCAACTAGCCCAAAAAATATTTTTTTGGTCGTCGTCGTCGAAGAGGTCTACCCCCAGATCCAACTTGGCTGGTGGCGACATTGGATGAAATTGAGATCGGCTACGATCGACTTCATAGTTTGACACAAGATCGCTTTCACCCCGCCGAGCAGCTTTGTTCTATTAAAGACCCCATGTTTGATTGTAAAGTTTGGAGATACAGGCACCTTTATGTTTTACCTATGCTGTAAGCGTGATGGTATATGAAAAGAGATCTTTGTTCATTGTCAAGTAGTATAACTAGAGCCAAAGATGCAGAGGGGCGTGTCTGTGTAACTCGAGTCAGTCAACACAGGCGATGCATGATACTTGTACAGTATTTAGGAGTAGTTCCAAATGCCAGCCAATAACCCAGTCCTCCCATTCTCCATTGTTTCCCAATCCAATGCATACGAACGATTGTCCTGCTCCAGCCCATCATCTCCATCCTCCAACTTTGATGATCCGAGAGGATTTGGCTGAAAAACGCTCAAACAAAGAAACGCCATCCAACGTTAGATAAGTATCAAGTTAAGTTCCAGGTCTTCCCTCCCAGCTTCTTCCCTCTTCTTCCCATTCTCAACTGTTGACTCATTCAAGCACAATTACCACCTGCGAACGATTGTCCTGCTTCAACCCATCATGTCAATCCTACAACTGTCGTGATCCGATTGTCTATGGCTGAATGGCAAACCCATGGCGTGTACACAGCCTTCTTGTCACCCTTCTACAACACCTGCCTTTCTTGATACTACACACTCTCTTGCACCCTCCACTTCCACGATCAAACGCAACAGCATTCATTTCATCAGCTGCTATTAGCAACGCTTTCATTCCATTGTCTCAAACCGCATTCACAACCTCGTCATTCTACTACAACACGCGCTTTTGCACAATCCTCTGCCACGACCAAAGGCAACAGCAGTTCCCAATAGCAAGGTCCTTACTCCATTGTTCAAGCTACTTGTACCAACTTGCTTTGATACATACCGATTAAAGTGGATGATGCCATATCAGCTAGAAGGTACATCGCAATACAAGCAATCATTCTCCTGGTTGAGCAGCAATGAAAATGATTAAGAAAGCGATGGACCAACAGCCGGATGGAAAAGGAAGCATACAGTTGCGATCACGTGACACTTTTCAACCAAAATATTGGATTTGGAATGGTTATGGATGGATGGATGGATGGATGCGATCAAGTTCAGTGATGAGGATCATGGAATGTTTCTTTGGTTACTTGGGGCGTCATCAGCAGGAATGATGGATGGTAGTCTCGTGGATCCGGCTGAGATGATGATGGATGGGATGGAACTGCCAAGGTGTCTACAGCCATGGATGCTATTGGATTACTCAATTCAATGCATGCAACAGCTTTTTTTGCAATCATGGATGAAGGACGTTTATGATAGCAACAATCAAGAATACAATGACACATATTTTCTATTGCCTCTATGTGATTCACCCCGTATCTCATTCAATTTACATTACTGTTCTTTGATCATATTTACTTGATAAACATTTTCATTACCATGTCTTTAGTCTTCGACTTCTTATGCATTGATTGAAAATTGGATTCAACATATTATTGAGATGGATATTATACTATCAGCTTGTATGTACAAGATGCGGATCCTTTGGTTGCTTTCTGGTTTTGAAGGGTGTGGAGGATAGAACTTTGAGGGTGGTTGGGAAGGGGCATCGGGTCATTTGCATCATCGTATGTATCATTCGTTAAAGCTTCCTAGTTCACATGATGATAGACGAAATGCATTGAGAATCCTCGAGTGCTGGTGTTGCAAAGATAAGGGATCCGAGAGTAATGTTGCCCCTTGTATGATCTTTAAAATCGATATGATGAAATCGGACAAGCTGAGTATACTCTACTGAGGAGGCGTGTTGTGTGTCGTTCAATTACACAAACCCCCTGATCCGTGCGCAGAATTATACTATATCAAGTAAATGCAAGCTATGTCTCCGCTTCACTACTATGTTTCACCATGCACATTACACCTTTTCTTTCAAAAAGTACCCTTTGCACACGTAAAAAGGTATACTTTTTACTACTGATTTCTACACGCTGAACCAACAGACAATGAAATAGGAACCCCGGAATGTTCTAGCACCTTCCATCCAATGTCACGTGTCACCAATCAAAAGCGATAGCTGGGAGAGAAGTTGTTGGGATCATAAAGGATCTGGGGTGTTTCCCCATATCCTTTTTTTTCTCTTTTCTTTAGAGCACTGATTGGCAGGAGCAGTCTTCGTGATTGTTAGACTTATAGCTGCTACAACGGTAACAGAGGACTGTAATACCTTCCAGGTCTTAAAGGCCTGTTCAAGGGGGGCTTCCTTAAGTGTGACAGTAACTACCTTTCAGGTCTTTGAGTTCTAGTTAAGGGCTGCTTCCTCAGTGCCTTGGTCAAGGTTGGTGTCCTTGGCTAAAGGCGTGAATGATAATACAGACCTTCTCGTGGTCATTCCTGTGAGTTCACGAGTCGTTTTAGGCTTGTGGAAACCAATTGCCTCTCTTAGTCTTAGCCTTGTTGAATGCAAATCGTAATAAACTCTCTACTCTTTAAACATAAACTTGAGCTTTCATAAACAAATAGTACTTCAAATGATAGAAAAAATTGCTGCGGTCAACATGAGACCAAGGTTGGGTGGGGTCAGATGGGTGGAACAGGCTTAAAAACGCGACTATAGTTCCCGGGTCGAGTCTTTTGGTGGCATTTTTTCATCGTTTCTAGACAAGTAAAATGTCAAACGATAAAGAAAAGCCGTACAATCAACATGATGTATATAATGTGTGGGCATACGATTATGAGACGAGTGTGGCAGCGAGCTTTTAGATAGTAGGCACGACTTTTGCCCCTTTCCTTTCGCCATAGCTATCTCCCCCAAATTTCATCCTCTTTACATGAGTGATACTGCAAATGATAGAGAAGAGCCGTGTGATCTTGATGGTATCATTAAAGTATACGTAAGTTTATTTGGATCAGGAGCTGCAGTAGTGGAGAGTACGTATGTGTGGTATGGGACAACCGGAGCAAGTGGTTGCCAGCGTGAACGTCGACACTACTTTCCCCTTCTTTTCTCCATTGCTTGCATTCTATACTTGTGTTGCTGATCGACGCTAAGATCTTGACATGTACTTGGGGCATGGGTGACTGAAAGCTTTGGAATCTCTGTCGACTCAAGATCGCCATAAAAAGCATCCTTGGTGCACAACGATATACACGTCAACGTATTACAGACCAACATTGTATCCATGGGAACCCCTGGATGTACGTGGTTGACCTGGAGACGCAAACGGCATGGTAAGCATATGGGGGTATCCTTGACACACCTCTCAGCAATCAACACACCTTCGTAGTGAATACTCGTCATGGGTAAATCGAGAAGCCAAGCAACAAATGCTGGCAGTATCATAGTGCGATTGGATTGCAGTATCATGATTTCGATCAAAGGTGGGTGTACTCAATATGAGGATACTTTAATACTACTTGCGAATGGCAAAAGCAGAGCACTACATACATGATTCTTTTAACAATGAGTGTAGAGGATGATCCTTTCATCATCCCCTGTGATGTAAGTCTCATCTTCTGATTATGAGCGATGTCAAGTCTTTCTGTATACTAATGCTATTGTCGTTGATAAAACATCCTCCACTTTATACGATGCAAGGTTTATCGAAAAGGGATTAGTTAGAGTAATCAACCTGAATTCCTAGAGCTTGAGGAGGATAAGGAATACTGGCAATAAAAATAATTATCGTATCACCACCACCCCATAAAACAACATTTATGCAGATATGACAAGCACGTGATCAGTATGAAAGTGATGGTGTATAAGAAAACGAAGGATGATGTTGACTATATCTGATGCACTACTACAGCTCAAAGGGATCAGCCAATGTCTGAGCATGTAAGCCCAGGCGGATTTAACTTAGTGTGTGGATCATTGTTGCTGCTGCTGCTGCTTTGTTTCAGAGTACAACTACGCACCACCACCACCCATGATCGATGACTCCTCAGACGACGAGAATCCAACCATGGAAGACACACAAACGCTTCATGTCCCAACGCCATTGCTTCATGCGCCTAACCTCAGTTTAAAGCTTAACTGGTAAGGGTGTCCACTGCAACTACGCATGCCTTTGACAGAATCCACCAACCAACCTAAACAGCAACATTTTCTACAAAATGGAGAACATCCAACCATCGGGATCGGTGAAAATGAGGTAAGAAACCTTGGAGGTGTAGCGATACCTTGGGTACGTGGGGTGCATAATGAAGGTTTCTTTTGCATGTTGCTAACGAATGACATATGATATGGGTTGATAGAGGCATTGGCAACTTTTGTTATCGCACCGTCCAAACACGAGGCACCGATACTCAGTTCGTTTGCGGGTCTGGAATGAATACAGTGCTTGCTGTCTCTTATTGTGCACGTCAATTGGGCGTCGAGGCATTGATTGTTGTCCCAAAAGCGACCAAGGAACGGATATGCGAGACAATTCGTGGTGATGGATCACAGCTTATTCTTTATGGAGAGGTAATGATCGATGTGCATTTCAAGAGAAAGATCAAGCAATTGATACATGTTGATTGCTAGGATTGGGCTGCATCTGAAGCACATGCAAGGAAACTAGTTCGGCGGAATGGGTAGGTTATTTCATGGATGTCTCTACACAAGGGATGCTAATGAATCCATAGCATCTATGTACCATGTGCTGATCACGAGCATCTCTGGAAAGGCTATTCAACAATTGTGCAAGAGCTCAAAACACAGCTACATGATGGACCTCCGGCAGCAATTATATGCCCTGTTGGCGGTGGCGGCTTGTTGAACGGCGTTATCACAGGATTACAAGAAATCGGATGGAAAGAAGTACCAGTAATCGCCGTTGAGACACATGGAAGCAATGCATTTCAAGCATCAGTTGTTGCAGGGAAGCTGGTGACATTACCCAAGCTCACAACAATCGCTTCAAGTTTGGCTGCCAAGTCCGTTAGCTCGAAATCATTGGAGCTTAGTTTAGCACACCCCGTGGTACCGTTTGCAGTAAGCGATGGTATGGCTGCTGATGCTGTACGACTGTTTGCAGGTAAATGGCAAAGGAGGGAGCTACATGGGATGGTATGAAGATACTCATAACTTTGTTTAGAGGATAATCGGATGATTGTGGAACCGGCTGCCGGTGCAGGATTATCTCTTTGTTACACCCAAATCATACGCGACATTCTTCCATCACTTTCGACTTCGAGTGATGTGGTGGTGCTCGTCACTGGTGGATCGGATATCGGATTGGAGCAATTGGACGAATATAGAAAGAAGTACATCCATCCCCCCGTTGTAGTCAAGAGCGGTAGTGAAGTATTCCTCAAAATGGATGATTCTTTAACAAATGTACGCGACGTCAATGTGGATGACCCTTCTTCGTCTGCTGTACATGCCGCACTAGGCCAATAGCCAGTTGTAATAAAGCATCTCTCCTATACCTTTCTCATTCTCAAAGTGATCTCGACCACAATACGATGAAGGAGTGTAAATGTAATATACGATGAGATCTAGACTTTGGATATCGTAGGTTAAATTATACAGCATACACATACATGGATGAAGGAGCATATGGCAGGGTGATGATGAGCTTTAGGAATTCGCTGATACCACAGCTTCGGCATTCAAGCGAACCTGGATGTAGTTACAGTAGTAGGAGCAAGCTAATAATAGCATTGCCTGGAATGAAAGTCGATGCACAGGCTGTTTGAAGGAAAACAAACGATATGGTAAGGAACACGTTGTAAGAAAGGGGTTAAAAGATGATCCATGCTTAACTCTGGAAGGTGAGAAGCATAGTTCAAGCAAGTTAAATGAAAATTCACGCTTCAATGCTCAAGATAGGTAATAGGCTTTCAGCTACGCACCATGTCAATCGACCAAGTTTGTGCTTGCATCACCCCTTATCTCCTAGAAAGGAACCATGGACGTTCAAGGGAATTGACAGATCAAATCAAAAAGGGAACTATCCTGCTGTGTGGAAACGGATATTTGAGGAAGAAGGAGGTGCACTAATACACACACTCACACTCACACACGCTGAAGCTTCGATCCAAAATCAGGAGGCGGATTATTATATGAATGATCTCGCCCAGTCTAAACATACACGCAAATGAGTGCAGTTGGGTACCTCCTTCCCTAAAAGTCACCATGTATGTACGCTGTAAGGGGTCCGAAACACCATCATATTAGAGACAATGGACGTGGTATCTTACAATAAACATGTCATTTTGCTGCTTTGTAATCCAATTTTGATCTTCTCACAAGTTTGACTTTGTAGTCAACAATCTCATGTTTGTAAGATAGCAACCATTGTACATGGTTGCCTGGCAACAAATTCCTGTTGGTAACCATGGAACGCCTATTTTTAAGACGATCGTTACACGTATGTAAAAGAAGTTCAATCTTAAGGAGACAGGTTCAACTGTGCGGAGAAAATCAAATCAAGGGAGGAGGCTGCTTGCTACAGACAAGGAGGTTCACGACAGGATGATTTAGATGATGAGCGAAACGTAACGACGACCACATTTTCATCCAAAGCTATATATAAAGGCTGTTTCGAATCGAAACAAATCTTCATTATCCCAACAGCTCTTACACTCTCATACACGCACTCTTTCCAATCTTTTACTCAAACCACCATTACACTCCTTGTATTCTCGCTATGAAGACCACACTTATTCTCGTTCTCTTTGCCATCTTTGCCATTGCCTTTGGTGCACCCTGCCATCACAAGGACAAGAAACCCAACCATGGTCACCATGATCATCCACCCCACCATGGCGGTGATGAACCTGCTCCTCGTAAGGGTGGTGATATCACTCAAGTCCAATCTGCTGGTGCTCCTGGCAACAACAACTCGGGTATCGGTGGCCTGGTAAGTTTTGCATTTACAATGGCTCGACGTAGTTCACTATGCTAACCATAGATCATATAGCTTGGTCTCTCTGCTCTTAATGGTGACATTAATATCCTTGGCAAACAAGTGAAGTCTTCGAGCACAACCATGACTCAGAACGCAAATGCTTAATATCTCTTCCCCCCATCTCTCTCCATCCATGATTATTATGGACACAATTTCACTTATACTGTCCCATAAGCAAGACTAGCATCATCATGTTCATCTCTGTAGTGAATAAACTTATATCATCTTTCAATATACATTTTGTGTTTTGTGGTCAACATTATCACCGTACACGTTCTATCTTCCTCTGATAAATCATGCTACAGCAACATTTTCAAAGGTCATGGGTCCCCTTGCGTGTTGTTAGGCCCTTGCATGATTGTTTGCTTAATGCAAGAAGCGTACCTCATCAAGGCATCAACTCATGCCCATTTATGTGGTCTTTTTCTAAACGCGTTTGATGAAGGTGGCAACAATGTGCTTGTCATCCTTGATACTATAGCTGTAGCTCCTCTAGCCAAAGCTCTTCTTTTTCACAAATCTAATGCAGTGGCTTAACTTTGTTGCCATTGATCATCTTGGCATGTATCAATTTAGGAACGAGACTTATGACTACCATAATGGTGTGGGAAGCGATGCATGTCCGAGTATTAGGCTTTACACAAACACGTTGTCAAGTCGCAAAAACACCGTAATACAACGTCTTGTTTGAGAATCACCCCTTTGCATATCTGAGAGTGATTTGAAGGGTAACAACGTCTATTGTTTATCCTGACAAAACAACTTCGGCATCGGCCGGCGTACGTACGTAAGATTCTTGGTCGGTGACAGGAATGCGCTTGATTGATTCAAGGGGGGAAACGTCGCCGTCAAAAGTCTGTGTCACTACAGCTGCATGACATTACTTGCACGCCGAGTTGCCGACCACGTGAGTGGATGTTAATGTGTTTAAGCCAATCAGGAAAAGCTGACAAGATGGGATTGTAAGGTTCAAGGAGTCAAGAAACAATATTACACCAGCTACAACCGCATGTAGTGTATCTGAACGCGTGGTTGTTGATGTTGTTGCGAAAACAAGGCGGAGCGTACAAGTTATTTTTATCATCAATGCTATGGCGTCAACTCGTCAAAGCAAGCTGTATGTGTTTTTCATTTCCTTCATGACACGATGTAATACATGATTCTGTCAATGCATTCAGGGTTATACCATGGGTGTGTCTCTCGTTGTATAAATGTTGCTGAGTCGTATAGGTGAGGCTAACTAATTCGGGGAACAGCCATGGCCAATGCTATGAGATGATAAGGTTCATTTACCGGCACGAGCATGGCAAGTTGAATGAACACCCCTGAAGGAACGTTAGGAGGTCAACATCAATGTGCCGTTCAAGATTAACCCCTTTTTCATACAAACATGTCACGCGTGGTAGCACAAACGGTAAACAACATTTTCTTTCCAAAGCATGACGAGACTTAACAACAAAGAAAAAAGGTCCAAGAATCGAAGAAGTAGCCAACCAAAAGCAATCATTCTCGCATTTCATTTGATATCTCACAATGTTATTAGAATTGACTCATTGCTTCTCTTTTCGGAAGGGGATTGGTTACATTGTCGTCAAAACAAAGAGGAGGAAGACTTGTATTACGCCATCATCTTGAGAAGATGTTGATCGGACAATGAGAGCAAAGCTTGTGAGTGCTAAAACAGGATCTCAGGGGTAATCTAGGCAGTAATGATGAAGAACGGAATGGGAACGTCAAAGACAAAGAAAATAACTCGATGCTCGCGACTCTGGGAACGTTTTGAAAGGTATAAAAAGAGCGATGGGTTCAAGTCCTTGAAAACGATATCCACATCTCAATCTCTCTCTCTCTCTCCAACCAATCTCTCAACTCTCAAGCACTCTTAAAAATGAAGGCCACTTTCTTCCTCGCTATTGCTTTCCTCGCTGCTGTTGTCTCTGCCCGTGACATTACCCAGGTCCAACAAGGCGGTACCGGTGGCAGTGACAACTCTGCTAAGGGTCTCGTATGTATTGCTGTTGTTGTTGTACATGCTGCAGTTGCTCACATTTATTATGTTTATAGGCTGGTGTCTCGGCTGCCAATGGTGACAATACTATCCTCGGTAGCAGCGAGAAGAAGAATGAAGTCAACATGAACCAGAGTGTTAACGCCTAGGTTGTCGTCCTCCTCCTCCTCCATTTGTCGCTATATACTGTAACATCGTGTATTGCATTGACCAAAGACGCCAATAAATCCAATCAGTCGTTTTGTTAAATTGTACTTTTATGGATGCTTGTAAATAACCCATTATATAAGTCGTAATATCAACCAAAACGTGCAAGTCGTTTCCTTCGCATTTCATCCATATCCACACTCTTTTCCTGGGGTTGTAGGCTGGCTTCGATGGCTTTAGCCAATTGGATTTCCTCATCATCTTCATTGTCGATAATGCCATTTTCAGTGTCGTTGTCGACAAGTGAATATCCTTGCCCTGAGAATGCTGTTGGAGACTCGTTTGGTGCTGTGGATGGGTTCGGCAGCGTGGGTGCAATTTGATCCGCTTCGCATGTTGGCAGTGTTCCACGTACAACGAAAACCGAATAGTCTAAGCACCATTACAAAATGAGCAGCCATCCACAATATACCTCAACTATGTCCATATACTCCCTACTTACTTTCATTCTGAATCTGCGAGAGGAGCATACCAAGGTAAGTTTCGCTGACAAGTATTGGCGTGCTTTGAGTGGAATTAAGGTTATACCATCGCCATGGAACCGAAAACTTGCGCAAAGTAAACCTGTAGTAGATATGAATGAATGCATGAGCCAACTTTGATGATTTTAACTCTTGAATACAACTTACCAATGTTGATCTAAATGACATACATACGCCACTTCATTCCTGTAAAAGGAGGTGTTGTCAATAATGGATCCAATCATGTGACCTATCCATGAAACTACTTACTCTGGATGATCTCGTGCGTCTGCAGCTTCTTCTGATCTCCATGGTATCAGCTCTAAATCCCATACTGAAAGTGCTTCTTGAATAACCTGGATGGGCATGTAAAAAATAAGAATGTCTTAACATGACGTATGTATCATGGCAACGGATGGACACCGCGTACCTGAATAGAGAAGTAACCCGAGTCGTCATAGTTACAGCCTTGTTGTAGTGCCGTTGAAGACCCCACCACTGCCCGTTCTCGCTCGTCAAGCTTTTGTCCAATCGTCGCAAGATCGACTGCTGTAAAGTAGCTGCCTTGAAGCAATGCACTATGGTGAGCAAAGTCAATCGGAGCAATCAAGCGTTGGACGACATCAGCACATACTTCAGCGCATGTTGAGCACACAGTAATCCTTCTTGCTATTCAATAATGTACTATAAGTATCCCGATTGAGAATAAGGTAGAACAATCGTACCTTTTCAAAATGAATAAAAGGGACAAGGTCCATTGGTATAAAGGTCGTTGTAAAATCAAAAAGGAGGTCTGGAATGGATTGCACGTCCATGCATTCATGGCTGGGTTTTACACGTGATGCTGCTTGAGATCCGATTAACGTGATTGATGGTGGTTGTCACTTTGATTCTTGTATCATGGATACGATGCAGGACGATTCTTGCTGTTGCCAAGTACTACACTCACATAAATATTGAGATAAAAACGTGGCTTTAATGTTCATTGGTTATATGCAAGTGTGATTTGATAATGAAAAGAGCTATAATATGATATGCAAGCAATATGGGGATATGGATGACTACTACTGGGCGTCGTTGAGGTCTTGATAACTTTTCGAGTTGCATTGAAGAACGTCTATCACAGGGCCAAGAAGTCGATTGAAAGCACCTTTGTTGAGAGTAACGCATTTCAAAATCCCATCGGCTACTACGGTTGCTGCTCGAGGATTCTCATATAACATTGCAAGCTCACCAAAGTAGTCACCTGAATAGTAGTTGTAAATCAATCTTTTATCCATTCATATGCAGTATACATGTATTCACTCACCTTTACCAAGCTTGTTGACTTGAATCAATGAGCCGTCAAAAGATTTTTTGTAGCATAAAGCAACGCCATCCTCGATCAGGTAAAAATTGTGGCCGCTGTCGCCTTCATGCACAACAACATCCTTGTCATCAAAATGGACACTTTCAAGAGCATCTGCAATCTTGTGTCGCCCGTACAAGCTGAGTGACTGAAAAATGGGGATTTGGGCTAGGAAGCCATCGTACATGTGTCGCTTGTGTGCCATGCTCTCTTGCAATAACGAGCGGAAGGTAATTCGATCCAGTACCCATACCACAGCATCCGATGTAGCCACCACCGTAGCAGCTCTTGGAGCATTGTACATGAGTGCTAGCTCGCCAAAACTACCACCCGATCCATAGCTTGCTACGTGACGACGATGTACCTTTGTCGTTGCTTTGTCATCAGGTGCATTGACCTTATCAGGTTGGTCCTCGATATAGCATTCAAAGGTGCCTTCTTCGATGATGTAATAAAAGTCGCCAATACTACCTTGCTGTACTACAATGGTGCCGTTGGGGATGTGTTTCTCGGCCATAGTATCAACAACATGTTGTCGCAAATCTTGATCCAGGTTGCGGAATAGAAAATTGTTGGCAATTGCAGTATCTATTCGTGCTCGTTGATGCGACGTTTTGGGGTATTGAGTAAAATGCAGTGTTGATGTGTTATCTGGATCGAACGATTCGGCACTGACAGATTGGCGTCTTTCACGGCAATAATTGGGCATTGGGAAATGCTGTAACGAAAGGATTTGAGAAGAAAAGCTGTCTCCTTTTTGCTGCTGTTGTTCCGCTATTGCCGCCATTGTCATTGAAAACGAGTCATCGTTGTAGGTTTGATTATCAACGACGATCGAGGGTGGTTCATTAACGAGTGGATGGACTTCTTGAAACATGAAAAGTAAAAGAGATCGATTGTGGAAAGAAGAATGATTATCCAAGTCAATGGATGGGGTGATATAAGAATGAGCGGAGACCACCTCACCTGATATTGTATGTGTGATCATCCATTTTTACCCGGATTCTAGCATAAAGAAATATTGCCACACCGCACGAATCAGCCAAGGATAATTCAACAATGACGACCAAAGTATACAATGTTTTCTGTATGCGTAATAATGACAACCCCATGGTGCTATATAGCACTTGAAGACTTCCCACGAGCTCATCACCAATCCCATTATGCTCTTGTTGGAACATTGTTTATATTACAAATGAGTATCAATCCTTTACATACAATGATGGGGAGAGGCAGGGTATATCAATGGTGGTCTCGGTGTTTCTTGTTGTCATCGGTGACAGCAATAGGAAGATACTTTGATGACTTTTTTGTCCGTGATGATTGTGGTGTATGCTGATGCAATGGTGATGATAAATGGTCTCTATCAGATCTCGAAGACTATGGGATGATGATAATAATAGACATGTGTATAAGCCGATTAGCCAAGAAAAACATCACGATACCCCCGATCACATACCTCTCCACAAGATACTTCGCCACTTTCAGCATTCGCTGAAATGTCTGAAGGACTATATGGATGTTTTGATGGTGGTAACGGTGTAGGTTGATGGATGATGGGCGTGGTTTCTTGTGTAGAATCGTAACTCATGTAAGGCGTTGAGCGATTAGTTTGGCGTTCAATGTCGTATGGTGAATGATAGATTCCAAGTCGTGGTGGTCGACGTATTGCTCCTCGATCCACATTTGGCATTGAGGCATAGCGTACAAGTGGCTCACGTTCCGATAAGGCAACCGAACCATTACAAGGACGAGGGCAAGGTGTTGAAAACCTATGTATATTGTTGCTGCTGTATTGGATGGACTCTGGTGTCTCCGATACACATTGGGAAGGCTCATCATTGTCATCATCTTCGAAACTACGTGCGAGAGTAATATAGCTTGGCTCGTTTCCATTGGGATCGTCTACTGAATCGGCGTATTCGCTTCCATCCTCGTCATCATCACCATATTGAATATGCAGCTTTTCCACAAGAGCATCACCAAAGAGACTGATAAAGTACGCTGCCACAGCAATGGAAATCACGATGTATACGAGCCAGAATTCTTGGGCAAGCTTTGATGATCAAATATCAGTGAAAGGTTATTAGATTGCATGAATCCTTTTATACATACCACTGATTGAGGTACGATATCGCCAAATCCAATAGTCAATTGGGTACAAAACGCGAAATAAAGAGCGTCGAGGTAAGACCAATCATCTTCCAAAAGGCAAAATACACCGGCACCACCAAACCAGCAAAGTATAAGGGTGAAGGTCATGCGCACAACACCCGAGCGTGTGATTACTTGAACAAGGATTTGCCGATCTTTGTTGTTTATGATGTTGCTGATGGTATAATTGCTGAAGGTTGAGACATTGGATGATAGCCGTCGCCGAGCACGATTAAAGGTAGGTCTTCGATTATTTCCTGCTTGCGGATAGCTGATTCCTGCATCATGTCGAGCGAGCCATTTTTGATGTTGTCGATGAGAGTAATCGTGTAAAGATTCAACTCGCATGAGATTGACCTTGAGAATATCTGAAGATGATCCTGTGATAACGGCACGAATCGAAAGCAACATGTAGCCGACCACGCTAACGCCTGCAGCTGTATAAAGCAAAAAGAATATCTTCCCTTGTGAAGTACTAGGTGCGATATCTCCATATCCTTCAAATCCAAGAATGCCATATTGATCATCCTCATCATCAGCAATAAATAGCGTCCCTCTATGATGGAATACCTACCTATGGTTGTAACGGCCGTCCAACAAAAGATTAAAGCTTCGCTATATGTCCAATCCTCGAGCAATGCATATACAGAAGCACCAATAGCAACCACTGAGCACACCATGACAGCAGGAAGTACCAATGCATTGATAGCAGGAGTCAACTCGGAATAGGGATACGATAGCAACCAATCAAGAATAAACCCAAAAGTCGCCACCAACATCAATGTACCAGAGACAAGACAACTCCAGTAACCTCGTGAGTAAACGTATCGTGGGTCATCCATTCCTTGGTCTGAACATCGTTGAGAGAATGCCATCACCGCCAATACGCTCGCTAATCCTGCAGAAAATGTCATGTTACACCAAATCTTTATGCCGCACAGACCTTTGAGTTACCTTGAATGCATGCCATCAAAATACACCATCTTGATGCGCGATAAATATAAGAGCGCGTTTTTCCAATGAGGAACATCCATGTGATTACGCCACAAACAACTGCCAATGTCACCAGGGTCCTTTCTTGAGCATTGATAGATGCAACTGCGTTTCTATCATAGGAGTGGCCCGTTCCATCCCAATCATGATGATCCACTATCCACCCATCAACAGCTAATGGTTTACATATAAGTACGTCATTTATCATGCTATGTCGCATATAAAGAAGCTCTTACCAAGGCCACGAAACAACATGAATGTCGCGTAGATCGAAATGAAAGCTGCCATGCAAAAAGGGATCTCGGTCAAGCTTCGCGATCGTCCTCTCAATTGGCGTGCATTGTGCATTTGCTGCTTCCTTTCTTCCAACCATCCATTGTATATATCAGACAAGCGATAAAAGAGATGTTCAAGTCGTTCCCACAAAGAAGGTGGTGGTGGTGATGATGATGGTTCTTGTTGAATAAAGCTGTATCCAGTATGAGCCACGGGGTGTTCAGGAAGAGAGAAATGAATGGCGGCACGACGACCGTCCCAAGTCAATGGCTCATCCTCTTGTTGTTGTGGTGATAGAGAAGTAGGTGAAGTTGTGTAGGGTGTAGTAGTAGCTCCATTATCGTCCATCGGCATAGCTGCCAACAAAAGAAAGAAGGAAGAAGTGATGTTTCAGTTTTCAGCAGCGCTTTCGAACATGTCTTATGCTTTCAATCACACGCTTAACACTCCTGTTTGCTCGTCAATAGCAATCATCGATCCAACTTTGATTCTAGACAACATCCGAATGGCAATATTACCGCACTTGCATCACCTTTCCAATTGTACAACGTTACTTGTGAGGGCTTTTTGGTTGCATAACGTGCGTCAATTTCGATCTGATACACGTAGGATTGCACGTTGAATAGTCTCGTCATCTTTCAAGTAGTTTTTTGATAGCATTGATACATATCAATTGGGCACAATAGATAAACGGGAATGGTGATCATGCGTGTAATGATGATGGTATGAATGATGTACAAGTAGTAATAGTCTCCTTTATTCGATAATGACAAGATCTCATGAGATGATATGTATAAGAAGATGATTATAAGGACTCAAGTAGGGATCCAAAGCATTTAGTAGTAAGAATGATAGTTTAGGCTGTCTGGTGGGATGAAATGAGAGGAAACCAAGGGCACAGCTGATTGGCTTTTTATGTGATCCCGACGAAAAATTCAGCTGGGGCTCGTTAAATCCAGAGTGGGATACCGAAGCCTATGCTCCTTCTTTGATCAATATGGTACGTTCAAGATATCCATCAATCAGCAATCCGTGTCCAGAGCGTATCCATCCTTCATATATCATCATCATCCATCATCATCTTACAACCTTGACGATTCGATATGGGCGTATTCATCTTCATCCAATCCCCCCATCCACTCCAACATCATACGCTCTTCTGGACCACGGCTCTTGCACATTCCCCCATATGTGGTGAAAAGGATAAAATGTCTCATTGCTTTTTTATAGACCTGCAAGAGAAGAAACAACGGACGCAACAAGCACGGCCGTGGCCACAACAAGTTTGTTCGCTGCATCAACTGCTCCCGCTGTGTTCCTAAGGATAAGGCTATCAAGCGCTTCAACGTCCGTAACATGGTCGAGGCTGCTGCCGTCCGCGATCTTCAGGAGGCTTCCGTCTACGAGGGTAAGTCCATTCGATGAGTCTAGAAAAAGGGGGTGTGTGTGAGCTTGTATTAAGTCATTGTATGATGTATAGAATACACCATTCCCAAGCTTTACGTCAAGCTTCACTACTGCGTCTCCTGCGCCATTCACGCTCGTGTTGTTCGTGTTCGCTCTGTTGTCGATCGTCGCAACCGTGCCCCTCCCCCACGCTTCCGTTTCGCCAAGGTGAGTTGATGGTTGCCATTGCTGGTTGTCATGGATACTGATATAGCCATGGTGATGCGTATTTATAGAAGGCCTAAATGGATGTCATGGTGTCTTGAGGTCTAGTGTCTTTTCCATGTCGAGATGAATAAATTCATTTTCTCGTCGACAGATATAGGCGTGGTTTTTGTTTCCAAACATGTTCTTTTGTTTATCGATTCTACATGAAGGGAAGGGTTGCCATCGAGTATAACACAATCAGCACAGGCGATCATCTTCGCTTGATGCATAGTGAACATTTGCTGCTACAACACGATCACGGTTTATTTGATAAAACGCCTACTCATCTGTTGAAAGATCCTTTAGGTCAACTTTGCCAGGTCGTGTAATCATTCATCCTTCATATTAAGGGGAAAGCTACCATCACCTTATGCTTCACGATGTCATTGTGGTGTCATTATATTAAAAGTACTTGCTATTTTCATTATCACGTCATGTACCTTGGCGTTGGACTAGGACAATCAATTCCTTGTTGCTGATCTCAAAACAAACGATAAAAGTATGAGATGCTAAATGTCAATGCTGTATCGCAGATGTTACCAAAAAGTTTGTGCAACAAGGCGGCAAGCCAATGAGTATCTGGCTATTGAGAGAGGAAGATCCACCATTTAGAACAGCCTTCAAAGCACCATTGTAGACCGCTTTTGGAAACATTCTTCCATGCTTATCCATGATCCTTTGTTGCCACGTTCAATCAATGGCACTATGCCAGACATAGCTTGGTGTGAGCCAAAAAAGATTAACGCGGTGTGTCATTCATGCAAGCGATGGATCAAACAATGAAATAGTAGCCTTCCAAAACATCTACTCCCTTTTTTGTTGTTCATTCAAGCTTTTCGTATTGCAATTGCTAGCAACATTATTCTTCATTTTGGCAACTCATATTGGATAATCTGGTAACACAGATGCATATCACTGTGAAAATTGACCCACAGTGTGGGAAAACGGTTAAACCATCGACATGGATAGATGTATACTAAGCATCGGATCAGTTTTTACATGCTCGTATTGGACATGGTATTCTTTCTCATCATCGTGGGAGGCACACGTAGCCAGTAGCATTGCACCAATGCCATCGTGCGGCAAGTGATGTATTCAATGCAGCTATACCACCTTAAATGAGATGCTTGGTAATGGTCTGGTTCCCATGGATACTGTTTATGAATCGGAGGACAATGGATGCACAAAGACGCTGACCACAACAAGACGTTTTCCATGGGTGGAAGTAATATGATGAGACATTGAGACGAGGTATATCAATAGAGCATTCATTTTATTGTTCTTTCATGTGATGGTGAGTAAAATAGAGGGAAGGGTATGCGTATGTGTGTGTGCGCGTTGTGTATTGCAAATAGGGCAGCATTAATGAATACAAAAAATGTACCAAACATCCGCGGATGACAGGTACATGTTGCACATGAGCATTTGGACAACTTGTGCTCCGCTTTTGCCAATCTCCAATAGTTTGGTTGTGAGTGAGAGAGGTGGAGAATATAGTTGCCAGTGGGTGATGATGATGTGGAGTTGATGCCTGTACAACTTGTCCCCACTCTCACTTGAAATTTTTGGTGTCTCTTTGACCTGCTCTTTTCACTTGTCCTTTTCTTTTTCCTTTACTGTCAACATCCCCAATGGACGATCCGCGTTATTTCAACTCGCGTTATAGAGGCCCTGCTGCTCTGGAAACACCCAAACTCATTCGCAGCATTACCATCGACCGATGCAGCAACTTTACAAGTGGCGGTGCCAATGGAAACGACATCAACCTTCTTTCACAACTCTACAAAGCACGGACCAACTCGGGTAATAATCCTTTCTTTCGATTGGCATTGCATTGCTTGCCAATGCGCGTACACGCCACAGGAGGTCGCTGACGTGCTTGTTGTTCAACACTAGAGGAGTTTATTTCACTGCTCGTGTACAGCGTACCTGATCTACGACGGATACCCTTTGATGAAGCAGTGCAACAAGAGTTTAGACCTACACGCTTGGGAGAATGGTTTGGTCCATCGTGGGTAAGTTGAATGATGTGGAATGGGTGATCACCTGATGTGCCACCTACATTGATCTGATAATGCGTTTGTAGTCGACCCACTGGTTTCATGTACAACTTCGTATCCCGAATGAATTCGCTGGTGAAGAGGTCCATTTTATTTGGAATGCAGACAATGAAGCATTGATTTGGAGCATTGATGGCATGCCCTTACAAGGCTTAACGGGAGGAGGTATGATGCCATGTATATACCCATATAGTTAATCCAACAATCTAATCTTCCTAATAGCTGGTAGCGATGCACGACATGAATACATCTTGACAACAAATGCCCAAGGAGGAGAAATCATCCAATTCTATATTGAAATGGCTTGCAATGGGATGTTTGGTGCAGGAAATGGTCTCATTGGCCCACCCGATCCTAATCGATTCTTCAACCTGAATGAATTGGTACGTGACCAACGGCAATGGAAAAGAATGAGAATTATTGAACATCATCGCATGAATAGGATCTCGCTGTACCCAATCGACGTGCGTGGGATCTCCTCTACGACTTTCAAATCATCCTAGGCATGGCAAGAGACCTTTCTCAAGATTCATTAAGAGCAGCCCAAGCATTGAATACAGCCAACAACATTGTCAACACTTTTCTCCCAGGCAACGATGAAAGTATCGAGCGCTGCTTACAAATAGCCAGCCATTTCCTCAACGCGAAGAATGGTGATTCACAACACGAGGTTATTGCACTTGGTCATTGTCACATTGGTAAATCCGGCTTGTATGGGTGGGTAGATTTGGGGTATGGAAATGCTTGTATACTTAACCCCCCCTTTTGATGATTAAGATACGGGATGGCTTTGGCCTTTTGAAGAGACGATTCGCAAAGCAGCACGTAGCTGGTCTTCTCAAATTGACCTTATGGATCGATATCCGGATTACAAGTTTATTTGTTCACAAGCTCAGCAATATGAATGGGTGAAGGACAACTATCCACCTCTATGGGAGCGGATCAAAGAAAAGATCTCTTTGGGACAATTCATGCCGACTGGTGGCGTAAGTTTGACATTTCGGGAAATCGCAATCGATTCTTTATTTACACGTGAACCCATCTTGATAGACATGGATCGAAATGGATACGAACATGCCAAGTGGGGAATCGCTCTGCCGCCAGTTTCTTCTTGGGTATGTAAGCAACAGGAGCAAACTTATTCATCGCCTACTAACATCATTGGAAAGACAACGATTTTATGAAGAACATTTCGGCAAACGGTGTAAGGTCTTCTGGCTACCAGATTCATTTGGGTATTCGTCACAGGTATGTATCATCAACAATGGAAATCGTCTCATTGAATATTAACACTAATATCTTTTAGCTGCCACAACTCATGCATCTTGCGGATATGAAGTACTTCTTTACACAAAAGCTGTCATGGAACAATATCAACAAGGTTTGTGAAAGGACGCTTTCATATGAGGGATAAAACAAGCTCAGCCATGTACCATTAGTTTCCTTTTACGACGTTTTGGTGGATCGGCTTGGATGGCACCAAGGCATTGACCCATATGGCTCCTTCTGAAACCTACAATGCTCAATGCACACCCGAAGAATTGATTAGAACGTAAGTTATTATTCACCCACAATCGGTTCTTCTCATTTCTCATCATGGGGTCTTCTTTGGTTATTGTAGTGTGCGAAATCATCGTGACAAGGAGTATTCCAATACAAGTCTTTTGGTTTATGGTAATGGTGACGGCGGTGGAGGTCCATTGGCAAGCATGATTGAACGTCTACGACGGATGAAGAATGTGGTATGTGGATGATCTTTATCCGAAGGACCGGCTTGTTCAATTGAAATACGTTGCAGGATGGGTTGCCCAAAGTAGAAATGGGGGCTCCTTCGGATTTCTATGAACGTCTCGAACGCGATACGCCAACACTTGCTACATGGTCTGGGGAAATGGTATTTGCAACCTATACGTACCACTATGAAACGGCTCCTTTTGGCTCATGCACAAATTTGCTTAGTACTTTGAATTACATCGCGGCATTTTCACTACACATGCTCTATGCAAGAAGTTCAATCGCACGTGTGAGCTGTTATTGAGAGACGTGGAGATACTGGCAACATTTGCACACATTGCGGATCCAGAAAACTTTGAGTAGGTTAAATATTGAATCACATTATGGCATACGATCCTAATCACCCATTCTTAGATATCCAAAGGCTGAATTGGACCAATTCTGGAAAATGATTTGCCTCATCCAATTTCACGATGTCATGTCAGGCTCTGCCATCGAGATGGTTTATGATGACTGCCTACAGGTACATATGCGACACTTTTTCTCTTCGCAAGTAAACCCACATTGATTTGTTACATAGATGTATAGCAAAGTCGATATGCTTGCACGACAAACTCGTACCATGCTCATGGACAAGCTCCTTGATTTGGATGACACAGCGTTGCCTGAAGGAAAACAAGGTATGATGCACATTAATCTATTCTTTATGCTTGATTCACAATTACTCACGGGGTTGAATGTAGCTCTTGCTGTCTTTAATACATTACCTTGGGCACGCAGTGAAGTCATTGAGGTTCCGTTGGATGAAGGATTACCGACAATGAAACAATATTCAGCATTTGGGCGAACCGGATACGCTATTGGTAAGTGGCTCTCTCTTCGTATCAATTTCAATTGCGAGGAGACTCAAGCGAGGATCTATTTTGCAGTGGAAAATGTGCCACCATTGGGTGTTCGTGGGCATAACTTTACCGAGGAAACCGAATATGAGCCTGTCAAGGTGACCACCGATCGCAATAACAACATCGTCATGGAAAATGTCTTTATTCAGGCAACATTTGACAAGTCCGGTCATCTGATTGGGTTGACTGATAAGAAACTCAAGTATGCATACCTAAGCTACTTGCTTTGAATGCTGTGCTCACCATCAACGTTTTTAGTCGACCATTAATACGACCCAACGAGCGTGGCAACGTATTCAGGATGTTTGAGGATATAGTAAGTACACTTGAAGGACCAGCTGTTTCCGACAGAAAGCTAACATGCTGCATAGCCGTTATTTTGGGATGGTGAGCTTTGAATTCTGAACTGGTGGATAAAGGTCTAACAAGCTGCATTTTTTTCGCACAATGTCACTTTTTTAGCATGGGATGGTAAGTAAGCTGGATGGTGGTGTACCCATGTGCATTATTAACACCACGATTTATAGTCGAAATTTATCATTTGGAAAAAGGAAGGATTGTGGAGGAAGGATCGGTGCAATTGCTGGAACAAGGACCATTACGGGCTGCACTTTTGGTAGAAAAGCGGATCTCGGATACAAGCCGGTTACGTCAAATTGTGGTCATCACTGCGATATCACGCCGCATAGACTTTGAGACTGAGGTTGATTGGAACGAGAATCGACAATTCTTGGTAAGAGATACGAGGATGCTTTTTTAACATAGCAGGCTGTTGACTCGTTTATAGAAAGTAGAGTTTGCATGGGACATCATGGCCGACAAGGTAACGTCGTTTTCGTTTTCTTTCAAGTTCCCCTATTGACTAGCACTTTGTAGGTTACCTATGAGACACAGTATGGAACAGTACAACGACCAACACATTACAACACGTCGTGGGATAGTGCCAAATTCGAAGTGGCGGGCCACAAGTTTGCTGATATCTCAGAATATGGTTATGGTGTGGCGTTATTGAATGACTGCAAGTATGGGTATGCTGCCCACAACAATGTCGTTCGTTTATCTTTGATTCGGTCACCCAAGGTAAGTTGGCATAGGAAGCTAACGGGATAATTAAAATGCTCACACGACTGCTATAGGCACCTGATTCGAATTGTGATATTGGTAATGAATACTATGCACAGCCATACATCTTGGATGCTAACTTGTTATTAGGACATCACGTGTTCAAATATGCGATTTATCCACACGAGGGTCACTTTATTCAATCGGATGTTGTTCGCGAAGGTTACAATTTCAATGTGCCATTGCTAAGCAAGTAAGTGAATGTATCATTGGGAGGAATTATGCATGAAACTAAAACCATGCTTTAGGGTCATTCCACAAAGCAAGACTGCAAACGTCGCGAAAGCACTACCACAATTCCGACTTGAAGATGCACCTAATGTTGTATTGGATACCATGAAGCGCGCAGAAGATAGCCCTGATATCATTATTCGATTATATGAAGCTTATGGTGGTCATGCAAGGGCAAGGCTTGTTTGGTATGCATTTTTATTCATTCACACAACATGGGATGAGGTATTGACAATGATCTACTTGTAGCTCGTTACCTATGAAGGCTATCTATCGGTGCAATATTCTCGAGGATGAAATGGAGGCTGTTACTACGAGTGTCGTTTCAGCGGCTGGTGACCGTACATTTAGTACGAATTTACGAGTGTTGGATGACGACATAGTGGAAATGCAACAAGAGGCTGAGATGCGAAGGCAAGCTGAAGGTGTTTATCTTAATGTTGGGCCATTCCAGGTGGTTACATTGAAAATCTCATTGTAGATAGTAACATGATATTAAAAAGATGTGTATTTTTTGGGATGATTGGGATTGTGTGTGTCTGTCTGATTGAGAGAGCTGTAGATTGGATGGTTCAAACCCCACTCGCGTGTGCGGATTATACGCTCACGTCATCGAGCAACCAGGGCTCCATTAACCTACCCGTGAAAATTTTGCTAGTGGATACCTTCTCAGCAGTTGTATTCATTTCGACATGGCATCTCTTCGCGCCGCCGCCAAGCAAATTGACTGGACCAAGTTGAGCAACACCCTTCCTTCCGAGACTGTTGCTGCTCTTCAAGCTTTCCGTAAGCGTAATGACGAAGCCAAGCGCTTGTTGAACGAGTTGAAGGAGCAATCCACCACCGTCGACTTTGCCCATTACCGCAACGTCTTGAAGAACCAGGCCATTGTTGACCAAGCCGAGAAGGCTGTTCAAGGCTTCAAGCCTGTCGCCTACAACCTCGATGCTCAGCTCAAGGCCATCGACCAATTCGAAGCCAAGGCTGTAAGTTTGTTCTTTATCATGTCAACGAATGAGCTTTCATACTTAACCATGCTATGACTCCCTATCCAGGTCGAGAAGGCTAGCAGCACCGTTCAAAAGATTGATGCCGAACTCAAGGATCTTCAAGCTACTCTTGGTCACATTGAAGGCTCTCGTCCCATTGAGCAACTTACGGTATGTTGGATTGATTAGAATATGGATATGTATGTATGTAATGTATATGGAACTCATGGTATGGGGTATGATTAGGTTGACGATATCATCATCGCCAAGCCCGAGATCACCAAGGAGATTGAGGAGAAGCTCCAAAAGGGCGAGTACACTGTCAAGGGTTACAAGGAACGTTTCGGCGATATCTCTTACTTCTAAACGGATACTACACAATGAAAACCCATCATACACATCTCTTTACATAAACATGAACTCTGTTTGTACAGTAATCAACATTTGTGATTTATTGTTGTCTTTTACATGGAACGAGGTCCCTGAAGAATATCCCTTAAATTGCTTTGCGCATCTGTAGCTGCACGATCCCAATACTTTTGCGACTTTTCCAATTGCTCAATCGATTCATCAGCCTTCTTGATTTGATCAACGTAATGCTCCTTCATTTGACTTAATGGTGTTTGAATAAACCTGTGGATGATAGAATGATATGATCAGCTAATGACATCGTGCTATTGGATACCCATTCATGCCCTTCCTCAACTTACATTTTGCCAACAGGCTTATAAGTCTTTGTGTCAGGTTCAAGCGTATCGAGTTCTCGTCGCGTCAACTCGGACATTTTGCGATCGCGTTGCTTTGCTTGAATCTGGGCCTTGACGGTGTTTAGCTGTTGGGTGCTGGCTACGTATTTTGCTTGTAACTCGACAAAGACCTATAGCAAGATGATTAGCTTGCGAACATTGTACAGTGTCCTTGAGACAATCGTACTTTGCGGATGGCGTCATCGGAAAGAGCTGACATGATGAAGAGGGAGGGAGAGAGAGAGAAGGTGAAGGCAACTTGTCCAACCACACGCCCGCACACACACATACACGCCACCAACTCAACCCATCATTTTCGATAATCCAACTCCGTCTTTGCATCCACCATGTGTCAAGCTATCATGAATGTGTATTGGCATGAATGCGATATGGTTGTCATGGAGTCGTCATCAAAGCAATTGAGCATGATATTCAATTCGTATTCGTCATGGAGATCGTTCGTTTTGGTTTGGAGGTAACCTTGAGCTAGAATGCAATAGTCAGCGGGGAATCTCTCACGTGGTTGCAGTAAATTGACAACTCTTCCTTTTCTATTACACCTTCCCTCTTTTTACCCATTTGTTATTGTACATGGTGGCTGTACAAGCCGATTCTCAAGACGATCTCGATTTCTCTATTGGCAATCTACCCGAAGGCCTTAATGTCTCGGCAACAACCGCACCTCCAACAGGATTGGGCGAGTTGGATCACTTGTCTCTAAAGCAAGATGTCGATCAGTTTGGTTTAGCAGGCAAGATCTGGCAAAGGTAAATAAGCTCTTTCCCTTCTTTACCTCCAAGAACATGTGTTATTAACATATCCAAGTGCGTATATGCTTCAATCCTATTTCTCACCAACATGGCGCCAAAGTACAATACCAGCTCCACCAATACCAAACGAATACTGCCTTGACAACAATGACCAAGATGGCTCCAACGACACCACTATACCCACCAAACCATTTCGAATCGTTGAATTAGGTGCCGGTACCGGCTATGTTGGGATTTGGTTGGCCAAGATGCTACGACAGCCTAGCGAGATATACATCACTGATCTTGAACAAGTACTTCCCCTGATCCGCGACAATGTAGCCACACACTATCAACCTCATAACGCTGATACTTCAACAACCGTGCACGTCCAAAGGTTACATTGGGGCAACAAGGAGGATATCAATGCTTTACTAGCAGATGGTCCAATTGATTTGGTTATCGTGAGCGATTGTGTCTATTTCCCAGAGCTTTTCGAACTCTTGACAACCACGCTTCAAGATATATGCAACCCCACCACCAAAGTCGTCATTGGATACAAATGCCGTTCATTGGAAAAGGAAGCAGGGTTTTGGCAGGATTACTTTGGACGCTTTTTCGATTATGAACCTGTATGGAAATTGATCCCAGATACCGATGAAGAGGAGGAGGAGCAGCAGCAGCAACAAGGGCAGGAAAAAGATTGCAATGAGAAGAAGCTTGTGCAAGGAGGGATGCTAGGCGAGGAGGAGCAAGTTTACATTTTTGTCGGGAGTAAACGACCAGAAGGGCAGATCAAGGCAGCTGATGATACATTCACGACATTGCTTTTCTGTAATATAATGGATTTATAAAAGAGTGATTTATATATCAAACGCATCAATGGGTCTCATAATAATGCTGTTGTTGGGATGTATCGATATGCAGTGCATAGGCCTGATGAGGGGTGGTTATCAATAGGGAACGACGTCTCCATGGCAACTGGGTTATGATATGATGAGATCGTCAAATAAGGAGAATGAGGTAGATTCCATTTACACGCGCTCAAGATATCCCTGTCATTATTATTATATTATCAACGTCCTTGCCTTTCAAAACAAGGAATGCAATCGATGAGCCACCTTTTTGGAGTATGCACATGGGCATTTAATAAGCATATGCATAAAAGGATGTACGCCAACTCACCCTGTTGCTAAGCATTACCTCTTCACGATTGTGCATTTATGTGCATGCATAACGTTTTTTCATCGTTCCACAAGCTCGTTCCATATGAGATTAGCATAAGCGGAACTTCCATAACGTGGGCATGCAGGGACACACACAATCAATCTAGAGCTTACCCTTTGCTCTCCTTCTTCATCCAACCCCTATTCCATGCAAGCCATCCGATCGCTTGGTAGATGCGAGTTTATAATACACGACGCAGCTTCCTGATTTTACTTAACGTGAAGGTCCAGCCGCTATGTAACCATGGCTACGAGAGACGCTTGATCAGCAACGATGGGAGCCTGTGTAACAAACATACCATATTCGTGCAACTGGTAAATGCAATCCAGAGCGTGTTGGGAGAGGTCTAGATGCTTGGCCCTTGCAATCCCTTTCCGATTGAGCTGGAAATAACCTTGTATGATAGGAGTACCGTTATTTTTCATTGCCACCACAACCATGCAATTGGCAACTAGGATCCATTTTTTACATCGTGAGTACCATTACCAGATCCACTGAGTGTGGAAATAAGTCGTCCCGAAAGACATGGTAGTGGCAGCACCATCAATTAGTGCAGCTACTAAAGTTGACGTACATCCAATCATATGTTGACGGAGGCAATTGAGCTGTCTGCAGCATGATACAATACAGATGTAATTGGCGTAAGTGAAGACGATGGATCAGCATACCATCAAGGGAAAAAAATTAAAAGGAGGCTTCCTCGTTACTCTTAAAAGCTAAAATGGGAAGCATCATCCTTGTAAATGCGCACTTGCATCTCCACGTGGAAGCGCTTCGACCTTTACATGCCCTGCATTTTGCATTTATTTGTGAAAAAGCGATCGGCGAACACATTATTGCATTTCTTTACCTCCCCTTTCTTTCACACTTTCTTTTTCGATTACTTTCACTTTTCATTGTTATGGATTGCCAGCAACACAACACACCAAGTTTACCATCCATTGATGTAATGCTTCAGGATGCACCCAGTTTAACACGTAAGCACCAAAATCCACCTTTATCCTCGGCATTGCCATACTCAAAGGGAATCACAGCGTATAGAGGACAGCATGATGCCGTCTGCAAACCAGCTGTGGGACATCGAAGGCATGTCTCTGATTTTGTCTTGTCGAGTAGACCGAAACCAGAAGAGCACATCCCATCCTTACGTACACCTACCTCTCGTATGTCATTGACTTCATCCATACAAAACCAGCAACACCATCATCATCATCCTGATAACCCACCACAATTGGGTGAATCATTACCTTTGTCGCAGGATACGCCAGCCACGACGATGATGCAGTCGAAATTGCGATATGCTGCAGATAACAACGCCGTTTGTGCAGCGCCAATATTGCCGCCACCACCACCGGGGGCAACATGTACAAAGCACCAACTCACGAACAATGAATCACAACGCATGGTTCGTCCCCCGTATTATCACCATGGTCGCTCAAGGTCGGACATGACACATGTATACTCGTCTTCAGCAACACCATCATCATCATCTTCATCCACCGTATCAGACCATAAGACCATCAACAAGTACTTTTGCTCTTATTGTCGTAAAGGGTTTTCACGGCCATCGTCATTGAGAACGCACACGTATTCACACACGGGAGAAAAGCCATTTGTGTGCAATGTCGAAGGCTGCCATCGTCGCTTTAATGTGCATAGCAACTTGCGAAGACACTTGAGAACGCATCAATCACATAGTGACCCTATGAATACAGGCACCAACTCAAGTTTGGCTGTATTTGCTGTCAATGCCGAGTATTGTACACCTGCGTGGTAAACCAAGACCGTTATTCTTGCTGTATTTGATTGTTCTTGCACAATGAGAAGAAAAATAAAGAACACAAAAGCACCACTGGTTGGGATGGCTTGTATTGAAAAAGCATGTGTGCATTAATTGGTAGTCGTCAAGCATGATCACAGCTCATTTAGGTGCGTCCGGCTAAAAAAGCGGCTGTGGTACAAAGTCTGTGTACTCTCGCATGATAAGCTACTTATCTTTTCGGGACCCTGAAGTACAGCCATATTCCTTTATACAGCAGCTGCCGTTCCTAACCCCACACAAGCACCTGACAGCATATCTAGGACTGTGTGACATTCACATTACAACCATCCGCACTTTACACAATCTATCGCCCATGTATATGGGATGTTCCGAAACCAGTCGACTTCATGTTTTTGGATGATACATGCGCCTTTGTACGTGACCTGGTTGCATTGGGAATTGCATATAGTGATCGAGTTACTGTTGCATTCGAGGGCACATGATGGCTTTTATATTGGTAGTAGTAGCAATAAGAAATGATCGTCATAGTGAATCCTGTTACTAATTGTAATTGCTCTATTCTTTTTTCTCGCTTTTTAAGTGTGTCCTACACGCTAGCAACCGCCGCCTGAAAACCAAAGAAATGTACGTTGACTCATCCATACGCATCGTAACACAACAAGATGTTGTATAGATTGTATTGATGTTGGAGCTTCCGTACTTGTCTTACTCTTTTGCTATAATACATAGATATATTCGAGGATGTCCCTTTAAGTAAAAGTAGAAAAAAAAAGATTAGAGCGTATACAACGGAAAGATCGACCACTTAAGGATGTGGCCGGAAGGCGGGAAACACCGCCAGCACGAATGGGAAGGCTGGTTATTGTTTCACGCGTGCGTTTCATGTGATGGCAAGCCGGGAAATTACCCTTTTTGGATTGCATCTCCAGGACAGGGGCGGAGGATAAGATAAGGGGTGTTTGATTGTGCCTGATGCTGCACATACATCTTAGCGCACACACACACACGCACATGTATATAAATAAAAAGACCAACGACTTATTTAAGATTCATCAATGAGTTTATTCAAGTGGATAGTGATGAAAAAAGGAGAGTTTGTTCTAAAGTAAGGTTGAATAACGTTCCGAGGAAAGGACTTTGTTTTTGACAAGTGCATCAAGAGGCCCCACACATACACACACAAACCGGTAGTGTTGTTCTCCGACATCGCGTCCTTTATATCCTTTCATTCCCTTCCCAGGTTATCCCTCTTTTTTTTGCTCTTTATTTCTCTTTTTCTATATTGACCCAACCCCATCCACAAAGTGGCCATGACGAAAGCAGACTCTTCTACTGGCAGCTTGAATCGCTCCGAGCAATACCGTCAACTCTTTTACAAGCATGCTTCCGTTGAAAAGGATGGTGACCAGTTTTTATCCAAAGACGACTTTCTAGCAGCGATCGCACCTGGTGAAGACTTTAAGAAGATTCAACGTGAGCAATTCGGTTTGCTTTTCAAGGTCGCCGACAAATCGGGCAAGGGCATGGTGTCGTTTGAGGATTTCGTCATCTTTCAAAACTTGCTATCCAAACCCGATGCTGAATACGAGATTGCATTCCGATTGTTTGACGTGGATGGCACGGGCAAGATCACCTTTGACCAGTTCAAGAATGTGCTATCGAGCAATATGCCAAAGGATGCAGTGCCTTTTGACTTTGACTGCGACTGGTTGAAGTTGTACATTGGTTCAAAGGAGGGACAACATGAGTTGAGCTATGAGGAGTTTTCGCAGCTTCTCAAGGGTCTTCAGGGTGAACGTTTGCGTCAAGAGTTCAAGCACTATGACAAGAAGCAGAATGGATACATCGAACCTGAGGACTTCAAGCGTATCATTTTGGATATTGCCAAGCACAAGTTATCGGATCATGTTATCGATCATTTGCCCACTCTATGCAACTTGTATGCAGGCACTGGCAACCAAATCACTTTCTCCAACGTGGTTGCTTTCCACAACGTCATTCGCAATATGGACATGGTTGAGCTGGTGATTCGACGTGCTGTTGAAAAGAGCCCCAATAACAGGATTAGCAAGGCTGATTTCCTCAATCACGCTGCCCAAGCTAGCCGCTATACGGTGTTCACTCCTATGGAAGCCGACATTGTTTTCCACTTTGCTGGTGTTGATGGTGGTGCCTCTGGCACTTTGAGCCTTGATGATTTCGGCAAGATTTTGGATCCCCGATGGCGTCATCCTCAACCTGAAAGACAAGTCCCTGTCATCGAGCCTGTAAAGAAATCTGGTTTGCTTTTTGAGATCATGGAGAATGCCTATGCTTTTGTATTGGGCTCGATTGCAGGTGCTGTTGGTGCAACCGCTGTTTATCCCATCGATTTGGTCAAGACACGTATGCAAAATCAACGCTCCAAGGTGGTTGGTGAATTGCTTTACAAGAACAGCTTTGATTGTTTCAAGAAGGTTATCAAGAATGAAGGTTTTGCAGGATTATATCGTGGTTTGGGTCCTCAGCTTGTGGTAAGTATTTTGTGGAGGATGATGATGATGATGGGAAACACGCGTATGTGTGTGCAACATGCTTACAACGGGAAATTTGCTGTTTTAGGGTGTTGCCCCTGAAAAAGCCATCAAGCTTACCGTCAACGACTTTGTACGAAGCAAGTTGGCCGACAAGAAAACAGGCGAATTACAATTCTGGCAGGAGATGATTGCTGGTGGTGCCGCTGGTGGTTCTCAAGTTGTGTTTACAAACCCTCTGGAGATTGTAAAGATTCGTTTGCAAATCCAGGGTGAGCAAGCTAAGAATACGGGTGCCCCACGTCGTTCGGCTATTTGGATTGTCAAAAACTTGGGTATTGTCGGCTTATACAAGGGTGCAAGTGCATGTTTGCTTCGTGATGTTCCATTCTCGGCTATCTATTTCCCTGCATACGCCCATTTGAAGAGAGACATGTTCCACGAAGGCCCTGAACACAAGTTGACAATCACTGAATTGTTGATGGCTGGTGCTATTGCTGGTATGCCTGCTGCTTACTTCACAACTCCTGCCGATGTGATCAAGACTCGTCTTCAAGTGGAGGCTCGTAAGGGTCAAACTTCGTACAATGGTATTGCTGATGCTGCCAGGAAGATCATGCGTGAGGAAGGCTTCAAGGCATTCTTTAAGGGTGGTCCTGCAAGAATTTTCCGCTCATCACCACAATTTGGTGTCACTCTTACTGTTTATGAGATCTTGCATCAAGCTTTCCCTCTACCAGGAAGCCATTCGTCTGCTGCTACTGGTGCTACAAGCTCACCTGCTCCACAAGCCCAACAAGACTTTGGTCCTCTTCGATCAAGAAATGCTCTCAAGATGCTCTTAGACCTCGATTATAGATTTGGTGTGTACAGACCCACCGCCCCTGCTGCTGATAAGGCGTAGAAGATATCCATCCTATTTTTTTTCCTGTTTTCCTCCTTCCTCCTCACCCATCTTTCATCACTTTTTTCCCATCATTGTGTTTTCACGTCCTTCCCTCCATACTCTTTGAATCTTGTATTATCATTTTATCCGAATAGAAAGGGTGCCTGTGTGTGTATGCATCATTGCATGGCAATTATTGATCCTATCCAATGTCTCTATACATATATAGCATTTGATTGACCACATTTTAATGGAAGCAGCCTATTCAAGGCAAGGCTAAATCACATCGCTCGCACTTGTGGAGTCTTTGCTGAAACCAATTTTCCAGCATCCGGCTAATGAATCCTACCTAGCAGATACTTGAATACCAAAGACAGCTTCCTTGACCTCTGGTTGTAATGCATGCTTGCACATAATAAACATGCATCCTTCCTTAAAGGATTTGTATACGTGGCATAAAGGAACTTTAAAAGACTCATTCTCATTGTTGTTGCAGTGTCAATAAAGGAGATCGTTACAGCATCGTTGCATATACAACATATCAAGTAGTGCATCTTTTTATATATCAAAGTCATTTTATAGGCATAAAAATTAATTCTATTATATGAATGTAAATACATGCTATGATGCTAGATATGATGTAGAGAACAAGACAATGGGCACACTGATGTCAACAGGTATCGCTGGCTCTAAATTTTGAATAGCGGATCTGTGCAACTTGGCTAGTGACCACAACCCCCAATCCATCGTTCAGTTCGAAAACGCCATAGATACACGACCAATCAACATGCAGCTCAATCCCAACATGATGTCCGAGTACAAGCTTCAGCGCGATGCTTGTCGACCACGCGTGTATGCAAAGTATGAAATCATTGGATTCATCAGCTCAGGAACATACGGCAAGGTTTACAAAGCACGATCAAGGAACAAGTAAGGTTGTGTAAAGGAAACGTGGCTCCATCGTTGACCAAATGGACTTCGCTATCCAGAGAGGACCACCGTGAGTTTGCGATTAAGAAGTTCAAGCCCGATCGAGAGGGAGACACACATCACTATGTGGGCATATCGCAATCAGCCTGTCGAGAGATAGCGGTAGGTTGGATACATCAATCAACGGCTGTGTTGTAGCGTACTCACTCATGGCTTGTCTCTAGCTATGCCGAGAGCTAAAGCATGAGAACATTGTCAAGCTTGAAGAAGTACTATTGGAGGATAAGGCCATCTATATGGTGTTTGAATATGCTGAGCATGACTTTTTGGTAAGCACATCGTGTTGTTGCCTTTTTGCTTTACTGATACAGCCACTGCATGATAGCAAATCATCCATTATCATCTTCACACGGAGCGAAAAGCCATTCCCGAGGTCATTGTCAAATCATTACTATGGCAGCTTTTGAATGGAGTCGCCTACTTACATGCAAACTGGGTGCTGCATCGAGATCTGAAGCCTGCAAATGGTAAAATCGGCTTTGTGCAACAAGTGAATGCTAGAGCTAACATGCATCTTTTTCTAGTCTTGCTTACCAGTGAAGGAGTCGTTAAAACAGGTATGTACATAGCACATGCTGTGGTATCATACATTGAGCGCTTAGTCATTCTTTTATCAGGCGATCTTGGCCTTGCACGTTTGTTCAATCGACCATTACAACCACTTTTCAATGGTGACAAAGTCGTCGTTACAATCTGGTATCGGGCACCCGAATTATTATTTGGATCAAGGCATTATACAAAAGCAGTGGACATGTGGGCAGTGGGATGTATCTTTGGTGAGCTATTGGCGCTGAAGCCTATATTCAAGGGCGAGGAAGCCAAGATGGATAGTAAAAAGAACGTGCCCTTCCAACGGAGTCAACTATCCAAGATATTTGAAGTACTAGGAACGCCTACAAGTAAGTCTCAATTGATGTGCAGCTTTGCGAGGTGCTAATCATGGGTCGTTTTTCCACAGAGGAACGATGGCCAACCATTGATCAGCTTCCGGATTATTGTCATTTGAGCTCATTCCCCATGTAAGCATCCCACATGCATATTGATGTTGATCCATATCATTTAACAAGTTTACTTTGTAGGTGTCCTAATAATTTGAAGCATATGCATGGTCTTCCCAAGAGTGAGAATGGATACAATCTTTTGGCATCATTACTGGAATATGACCCTGCAAAACGAATCACAGCAGAAAGTGCCCTTACTCATCCATATTTCCAAGAGGAACCAAGACCTGTCATGAAGTAAGTATATCAATAATAGGGCTATTGCATGATGCTGACACGCTATTTCCTCCCAACCAGCGTCCTACAACAGCAAGGTGCAGAATACCCGCTTCGTCGAATCACACACGAAGATAATGATATCAAATCCAATGCAAAACCAGCCATCCCATCAGCAATGGGCCGTGATGATCATTCGAGAATGTCCAAAAAGGCGAGACATGGCTAGAGGATAACATGGCACGTAGCATCCCCCAATCACATGATCCATTCACTATGTATCGTTTGTTGTTCCTCATTCTTCACAAGTCGTACTTTTGCAAATACAAATAATTGTTTGATAACATCTTGACAACCAACCGCATGCATGGTTTTATTTGGATTTTGTTCAACCGAAAAGGGGGAGCGTGGAAACCATTTATTTCTTCTATAGTAAGGCAATGCCCAAACAAGCTTGTAAGTAAATGCGATCTCCAAAACACCTTAACCCATCTCACCTTGTTAGCCTCTTCTTCAGCCTTGTCACGAGCACGCTTCTCACGAGCACCAAGAGTGCGGGCAGCAGAGCGAGCGTAACGAAGCTTCATGTAAGCGTTAACCTTCTTTTCATCAGCAGAGATGGCACGAGCTTCAGGGGCAGTAGCAACTTGCTCAACGGGAAGGATAGCACCACGAAGTTGAACAGCGGAAGCAACAGCAGCAGCCTATAATGATAATGACAATGAGTTATATATATCATCTCCATAGCAACCATCATGATGCTCATATACTTACATCAGAGTCACCCTTCTTGGGGCTGGAAGCCTTGCGAGGGAAGACAATGAGCTTAGCCTTGTAAGCCTTAAGACGTTGAACGTTCAATTCAAGGGACTCTTGGGAGTGGTTGCGACGACGATGGTCAACGGCAATACCAATGGAACGAGCTTCCTTGCGGTTGATACCGGCTTCCTTAAGCTCCTCGAGGGTGAAACCACGGCCAACACGGAGACGCATGTTGTAACGTTGAGTGGGGCAACGGACAGCAGGACGCAACAAGCCATCAACAGGACGAGGGGCAATGCGAGCTGCCTTTTGAATGCGTGCAACACGGCGCGATTTCTTGCGACCAGGTTGATCGAACCAAGTCTTAACGCGACGTTGCCAATCCTTGCGGAAATGCTGGTTGGGAAGTTGGTTGTTGTGTTTCAAGACCATGGCAAGGCTGTGTCAAGTAGCAATAGAGATAAGTGTATAGGTGAGTATATATATACTACTTACTCTCCTCGCCCACTCTATCAACCTCATCCAACCCCCTCATCCACCCATCCAATCCATCCATTTTTTTCATTCATCCATTTCATCCAATACTCCATCCATCTCCTCTCTTCTTGTTATCCAATCCATCCTAATTTCAAGGAAACGATAAGTACCTATTACCAGTCGAGGGAAAGAGAAGGTCGTATAGTGATAGGGATCGCCACTGGATTCACCCGCGAGCGAGGTCTCCCCATTGCCTTTTCTGGTCACTCTTTGGTTTCCGCACCTGTAATGCTCTCAGATCACAATTCATCTTCATTATCTTAAGCACCCTATGTCTTTTCGACTTGACATGATTCTACATCAATAATGATACAAACAATGGACCACATTTTATTGTGCTCGTAATAATGGCTAAACACTCTAATAAAGACGACCACCATCCTCCACTGGACACCAAAAATAATCAGTTGTTGCGTTGGCTAGATACATTGCCATCTTTGTCTAACGGTATCCATGACTACTAGAACGTCGTATGCGTAGTTGCTATCATTCATTGATCGAATAAACAAGGGTGATTTGAACAAAGCCTTTGTATTGTTGCTGTGCTCTTGCCGAAACAAAGATGCATCCGCAAGGGTCAATTCCACAATGAACACCACCTTACATTTGAAGCAACCCCACAGCTTTCATTTTGTCCGGGACCAGATTGTTTCGTGTACCTTCATCAGAATCCTTGATAATTATCGCCATGCCTTCAACGTTGGTACATAGCTGCTTTTGTAGATCCAATGCGGTATCATCTACCTTTGTAGAAACGCACATGAGATCGTTACCATGGAGATCATCCACCAACGTATTAAGCCAAACATGAGATATACCTTATAAAATAAACCATCCCTCTTTGCCTTGGATCTTGTAGAAGAAAATTATTGGCGTTACGAACGTTTGATATGGGTACTGGGTGTGTTGCAACAACTCGCAAATGGGATCATGTTAGCCCCATAGGAAATGAGGAAGGAACAATGGTCATGAATCGTCGTTTGATACTCTTCACTGTTGGCTCCTAACACCGTTGATCGGTTAGTGCTCTGTAGCCTGTAAAGTGAGTCTATGTATTCTTATCAAAGAGAAGAGAAACAGCGTCACTATCTTGTTTCTCAGGCCGCCATGGATACCAATCCATTCTTCGTATGCACCCATTGGTACCCCAAGGAAGAGGAATTTGATTACCCAGATTTCAAAAACTACTACTTTTTGAAGATTGACCTCGCACAAATTCGATCGATGGGTGTCTCCGATATCAGTAAACTCCACTGTTGTTGGTGATCCGTGCACGCGACACCGCCACTTGCCCGAAAAAGACGTTGATCCAAGGTACAACAAGTGCCCATATGCATGCCTTTTATTGCAATCACTCGTTATAAAAATGATAAAATAGGTCGTCCAATGGAACGTACCCCACCTGTTGTGGTGCAGTTTTCGCGTCAACGACTATCAAATCGCATCAGTGATCTTCTCGTCATCATTCCTCTGAGTATTTAGACTCTGGCTCCAGGAAATCAGCAGCTGCTTCTTTATATTAGTACTAGTATCATAGTAAACAAACTTGTTGGCATACATGCTTGGTACGTGTTGCCATAGTAACATTTGAGTGATCTTTGTTGTTATCTGGATTGCCACAAGCAACTTGGCTGATCATGGTTTTCATTGTCAATAAACAACGTGATGATCCTCGCGTAGATGGATATCCATAATCGATTGCTTATAAAAGCGTGCATTTCTTGGATGTTGCTATGCACACGCGTGATTCCCTTTCCCCGCTCAACTTGAGCAAAAAGACACTTTTCATCTCCCGCGTTCAAAAGCTAATCCCTTTTCTTTATTCCCTATGCTAAGCTTATACAAGAGACGACCAAAAGCTACCACTTTGAATGGACTACTACCAGAAGGATACACCGTAGAGGAAAACGTTGACACATTGGTACGCGAAAAACGACAAGATCTTGCCCATCTACTAATCTCGGATGCAGGTTTTCATTGACTACCTCATGTTCATGGAGCGATTGACCGAGGAAACACAACAATACGCCCAAAGGCATGGTATTCAGATACTAAAAAAGGAGCATTTGGATGAAGTTGCAAAGGTAGGAAGAAGCCAATACTGTCACCTTCTGACGAGAACATTAAGCATATCCTCCTCATCATAGCTCGTGTTGCAAGAATTCCGTGGATAGGCTCTTTTCTCTTTTACCCAAAGTCAATGCACATGCTACACCCGCTCCTCCTCTGTAAATAATCGATAGTAGTCGTTGGCATCACATAGTATAAATTACACAACCATTATCTACTACGCATGACCCGAATTGAGCCCACAATTAAAACGATCACGTGATTTGCAAAAGAATACGTCTTGTTGATATGCGAAAAGAAAAGGGGGCGGGAGTGATTTTAAAGATATAGACCCTCGGGGGTGCCTTCGCTCTTTCTATATAGTACCTTCTCTCGGGCTTTTCGGAAGTCTTCAGCAACGACCTTCATACGACGTTCACGCAACGCAAGCAAACCTGCTTCAGTACAAATGGCCTATACATTTACCATTAGTTTTATCATTCAGCAGTGTTTTTGGTCATCTCAATACATACCTTGATATCAGCACCCGATAGATCATCCTTGGACATGACAAATTCTTCCAAATCAACGTCATCAGCCAGCGTCATGCGTGATGTGTGAATGTTGAAAATACGACGTTTGGTCTTGACATCGGGTAGTGGGAACTCAATCTTTCGATCAATACGTCCTAAGATGTGTGTGTTGTTAATATACTGATACCACTCAAATCCTTCCATCCACATTTCTTATCTTACCTGGACGAATCAATGCGGGATCTAAGCTATCGATCTTGTTGGTTGCCATGATAACTTTAACATCGCCTCGTGAATCGAAACCGTCAAGCTGATTCAACAATTCCAACATGGTACGCTGAATTTCACGTTCACCACCCGAAGTCGAATCATATCGCTTAGTACCAACAGCGTCGATTTCATCAATGAACACGATAGCAGGGGCGTTCTCTTCAGCAACTCTGAAAAGCTCTCGTACAAGCTTTGGACCATCACCAAGATACTTTTGAATCAACTCCGAACCAACAATACGCAAGAATGTAGCACTGGTTTGATTTGCCACTGCCTTGGCCAACAGCGTCTTGCCTGTTTACAAGTAACAGTAAGCACATTGTATCGTTTCTTGTTTATAGCATTGAATGTATACACACCTGTACCAGGAACACCATAAAGAATGACACCCTTTGGTGGTTTGATACCCATTTCTTCGTATAATTCGGGATGTGTTAATGGCAATTCGACGGCTTCCTATAATGAAGATGAAATCAATTGCCATCCTTTGCTTATAAATCGACCTTTGAATATACCTTGATTTCTTGGATTTGTGTTTCGAGACCACCAATATCTGCATATGATTCGGTTGGTGCCTTTTCGAGCTTCATTACGCTGACCATGGGATCGGTATCATCTTGAAGTACACCAACGACGGCCATTGTTTTGTGGTGTAAAAGAACGCTGCATCCAGGTTCAAGTTGATCTTTATCGACAAAGCTCATGACTGAAACGTAGTATTCTGGGCCGACTGAGGATGAGACAATGACGTGATCATCATCAATGATTTCTTCCAATGTGCCGACTGCCATAGGAGAACCACGAAGATCATCGACACGCGTTCGTTCTTCTTGATCACGCTCTTCGGCTGGTTTCAGACGCTCTTGATTCTGCACAAACTCTTCTTCCAGCAATAGATAATCCTTAATGCGCTCCATCTTGAGGGTCTTGAGTCTGCAACGGGTGTTGGGGTACACTATAATATCACACTTTTAGCATATGATTGCCTGTCATAGTCCATCAACAAGAACCTAACCTGGTGGTAACTTTGAGGAAGTATCAGGTCCCCTTTTCTTTCTTCTACCAACATGTGTTGGAGCAGGAGGTTCCCACTTTTTCTTCTTGTCCTTCTCCTAAAGACGCATTGGGATGAGCTATTCTGATCTTTGGAGATAGATGATGGGGGGCGTGTACATACTTTGTCTTTTTTCTTGTCGTTGCCTCGGGGCATTCCAGACTGTGCGTTACCCTGTAGACCATCAATGAGTGCCGATTCCCAACGTGCAATGCGTAATGGATACCTACCATGGTTGCTTAGTGGTGGTTGTAAAGTATAAAGTGAGCTCCCCAGGTGCCTCGCGAGCAAGAAATGAACTCCATGCAGGCCGCGTAATATGCCGAGTCACGCGAGAAGCGGGAGAGAGAGAGACATCTTTCAATTCAGCCAGCTAGCATTGTTCATCCAACCTCCTCCAATCAATCTACAGAGAATGTCCATTATCAATGATAGAAAAAGTAGCCACTTGAATACAATTATCAGTATTTAAATGTTTTGCTGTCGTTCACCTTCACTTGTTAAATACACGTTATCGAATACAATTCCTCCTCCAATTATGCGTTGTCATTTACAATGAATATGGTTTATTAACCTAATACAAGTGCCAACAACATAGGAATGACATGGTCTATCTATTGCACATGAAAGTGTAGTTACTACTACTGATAAGGAGGATAGCCATAACCGGATGGCGGATGTGGTGGATATCCTTGGTTGGGCTGAGCTGGAGGAGGAGGATAACCTTGAGGTGGATAAGGACTAGGAGCTTGAGCAGGTGGATATCCATGTGGTTGGGGTGGTGGATAAGGCGATTGATGTGCAGCAAAGGGTTGTCCATTAGCAGCATTGTAAGCAGGCATGAACCCTCCAGTGAACTTTTGAGGTTCAGGGAAATTCAATGGCTGTTGCTGTGGTGGTGGTGGTTGTGCTGGAGACGATACTGGATACCCACCATGAGATGGAGGTGGCATATGGAAACCAAATGAGTTGGGTCCTATAATATCACCATGTGATTAATGCTAAATGGTAACATTGAAAAGCGAATTTGATTGTACCTGAAGGACGAGGAGGAGATGTTGTAGGATGAAAAGAGGAAGCTAACATAGGTGCACCAGCTTGGGATGATGTTGTTGGAGGAGGAGGATAACCATGTTGTGATACAGGTGGTGGTGGTGGATGATGATGATGACCTGATGGTGGTGGTGGATAAACACCTCCAGCAGCTGGTGATGCTGTGCCTGCTGAAGAAGATGGGGTAACTGGTGGAGGCATATGAGGAGTTGCCATTTGTTCCTGTGGACGAGCTGGAGGACGATAAATTGGGGGACCAGCTGATGGTTTTGATGATGTCGTTGACGTCGAAGAAACAGGAACAGGAGGATATTGTTGGTTGCCATATTGCTGCTGTGGCACAGGAGGGCGTTGTTGTTGATAGGCTGGATGGTTATATGATTGATGATATCCTTGCTGGGGTTTCTTCTTGGCTCCAAATCGTGTAGGCTGTCTTTTGGGTGGAGGTCGCTATAGGCCATTGTTTATACATTAATGTTTGTGTAATCATGTGGATCATGTCACCCATCTACTACTTACAGCTGAATAGAATGTTAGCTCGAGGTAAATCTCGCCTGCTCTTTTGCCTCTGTATAGGAGTGGAAACCAATCTGAAATCCCAATAATCCATCATTGAGTATCAAAAAAGATATCAATCAAGAATAAAAACCCACCATCAGCTTCTCCATCACGCATCACTTGCGTTAGATCGATCGTGTTCTCGGATATCAAATCTTCTTGCTTTGAATCCTCATCGAAAACTTGAATATACATCTTCGTTTTACCCTCGGGAACAGGAAGATTGACCTGATAGAAGCGTTACTATTTATCAAATAAAGGCATATCCGCTAGGCATCTTATTTACCTGGTCATCCCAAATTGGACGAGAGCCACCTCTATAATCAGTCTTGGTTCTTTTGGCTGTTTCGCCTAAACGGAAGACACAGAAGGGATCTTGCTTTCCAGCAACCTTGTAATGCGTTAGTCAATGGCGAGTTTACTTTGAGATTTCGTAGGCAATCTACCTCGCGATTGGGGAGTTCACGCTAGAGATGAGTAAAAGCGGGGTATGTTGTCAGTGATGTGTCGAATAAAAAGATAAGCAAAATGACGACATACAGCTTTCAACGCCACGACGACGAGTTCACCAGCCAGCTTCTTAGGTTGGTCCGTCATTATGTATTTGATAAAGGAAGGATGGAAGAAGAGAAAAGAAGAGCAAAGTGCTGGATCAACTTTTGGATGGTACACTAGACTTTTACGGACTTTGACACAAATGATGAGCCTACTAATCAAAGCCTTCTCCCTCCTTCTTCGACTTTAAACTCTTGCATTTATAGACTTGTTTGCTCGTAGACAGCCTTCTATAGTCAATGATTCATGTTCTTTATCGCTTGCCCTGATCCCAAAACACTTTAGAGAGCATAACTCAGATACTTATTTATATTAGCTCTACACTACACGCGTCTGATATTCGACATGGCAAAGCTTGTGTAACCGTTGATGTACTTAAAATAGATGCCTAGATGATTGCATCATGCTGCGTAGCAAAAAGAAGACCTATTTCACCAGTGGCTATACAAGGCAAAACCATGAGAACAAGATTACCCGTGTCAAATACCATTGGCAGCCATGATGATGTGATCCGGGGATCCATGCATGTCTCCTAAACAAAAACAGGGATGGCTTCTAGGCCTTGCTGTGATAATAAATGATGGCTGCAACAGCAACAAGAGGGATGATAAGAAGTGATCACGAATGATGATGATCGTCAGCGACACTATTTTGTGTTCCAAAATTATGTTTATGGATAAACATGCTCGATGAAACGATTATGGAATAATGAGTGGGGTTGTGTTTGTGTGAGCAAGATTGAATGAGGTCGACTTGGCAAGATTATATGCAGGCTTAGCTCCTTTACCATGGATACAATGAATTGCTTTGCTGCATTGCTATGGAGACAGATTTCACCCCCCAAAAAGAAAACGAGTCGCCGCTCCAATCATGAAAGACTGTGCTTAAGTTGGTGAGAGGCTTGCTTTCTTCCTTTCGTTTTTCATTGGAAGTGAGCCATCCTATCATATTGCATCCAAGCATCCGGCGCTTACTCTCCCGATAATTTTGCAGGATTCATAAAGTACGTGTCTCTTGTTCTTATTCTTACTTTATCGCTGCTCGCGAATTCCTTCAGTCATGTCGCTAATGCCTCTGTCGTGATCGATAAAAGAATGGACAACTACAATGCTACCAACAACACTCAAGAAACAACACCTGCTTCAACAGCTGCTGTGGTACGTACCTAGTAGATCGACCCTGAACGCAAATGAGTCAACGAAAAAGTAACCTTGATATAGAACGAGGAGCACCGTACGGCCATAGGATATGATCGACAACATCTTGCTTATAGTCAGCCACACGTATCCATGGTATGTTGGTTGTTGTTGTTGATATTCTTATCATGAGTGAACCTTCTCCATTGATCGATTTGACATATAGCCAGCAGCAGCTCTCATGACGACTCAAGCCAGCACTTCTCTTTACCGTGGTCCCAATGGTGAAGTCATTGTTGCACCCGCACCTCAACCACAAGAGGAAGAACCGCTCTATGTCAATGCAAAACAGTATCATCGCATTCTCAAGCGGAGAGCTGCTCGTTTCAAGTTGGAGGAGATGAATCGGATAGGTCGTGCTCGTAAACCATACCTTCATGAAAGTCGTCATCGTCATGCCATGCGTCGTCCTCGTGGTCCGGGTGGTCGATTCTTGAGTGAGTACCTTGTTTGCATCACCCATTTTTATCATGGGCCATTAACCACCTTCCTCAATAGCTGCTGCTGAAATTGCTGAATTGGAGAAAAGCGGAAAGCTACGCAACGGTGAATGGGTCAAAGAAGACGATGAGAGCAAACCCACGCAACAACAAGATGCGAACAATGACATCAAAACGCAATCCAAACCAGAGCAGCAGGGTGATCAGCTCAAGGAAAACAACCAACACCACCAACAACAGGATTATGTGAACCTCCAAATGTAGTAGTCACCAACACCTTCATCTTGTTACAGAACATACCTCTACAGAATCATATTCTCACATAAAGTTTTCATGAATGAAATCCCATATTCATCTCGTTTTCTCATTCTCCGGACCATATCATTCAATAAACATGATTTAACAACATACGTAAACGACTTTTATATATTATTAGACTATAATTTTAGCAAGTTGTTGTCATTCAATGATTATCTCGTTGCGTTGGACCGCCTTCTTCGTATTCATCAATATCATCATCAATGGCCCATGTATCTGCAGTGCCAGTCTTTTGGTTGTTTTTCTCGAGAAAGGTGGGATTTGCTGTTGGATCAAGTCGATAGCGATAGTTCTTGTCAAATAACCTTTGTGCTATGTATCGTTGCAAGCATTGATGAGAATCCACAATAATAGACGTAGACGGTTCCAAATGACTTACTATAAGGCTTAAGACCTTTACCAAAGTTGTGAGTTACAATAGCGCCAAGTACAATGGTGCCCTGAATAATGATATCTTAGCCCACATTGTTATCCAAGTAATCGTGATGCATAACCTACCAGTGATAGAACGATGGCAAGGCATACTAATAGTACGTCAATGTTAGCTTATCCATATGACTCCGATGAACATAGCAACTTGCCTGCAAGCACCCAAAAGGTCCAAACGGTGGAGCTTTGTTGAAGGATGATAATAAAGTCGATGACCAATAATGCATGAAGGACGAGGAAAGGGATCATAAACTTGCTACGCTCCGTACGAAGACCTTGTCGAGCAACAAATGGAGCTGGGAACTGGACGACTGTCAATATGAAGTGCAACGAATACCAGGTTTTTGCTGCTGGGGATCCTTGATGATAGCCTTCCTGGGTCATGACCACCACCCAGAATATAGAAAACACAATATGGAAGAATCCATCCAACTTGAGCGATAATAGAAAGAGCTGGCATTTCTTGAATCGTCCTAGCAATCATCATTTTTAGCTATTTGCACCCTCAAGTTAACGTGAGTCAATCGTACTTACTTTGAAGCTTTGGATCTGCACCGATACGCTTGTAAGTATTCCAGCCAAACTAGAATGAATGGAATGTCCATTAGTATTATAGCTCCCTTCACACCCAACCGCCCTTGGTACCTGATGAATGAGCTTGAAACATATATAGGTGAATATGCAAGTGATAACAGCCATCAAGGAAGCAAGTGCAATTTCGCAATGCAAAGCAGAGTAGAAGCCGTTGTCATGGATTGATTCTGTTGTGGTGCTATACGCGTCGCTAACACGATGATTCCTATGGTGATGGTGATGATTGCTTAGCTTTTGTAGAGTTGTTGTTCCTGTGACGACATGGACTTACCATTTTAGTGTTTCGCCAAGCTGTACAAGTGCCAAGATGACGCAAATGAAGCTGTTGCCAGCGTGAGCAACCAACTGGATTACACTTTGGCGTACCACCTAAACCAGTTTGAGTTCGCATAAAGTAACACAAGCAGCCATGGAAGACTTACTGCGTCAATACCAAGATAGAGTTGGAAGATGTAAAAGAGAATAAAGAACACGTTCTCATCCATAAGTCGTCGTAGGTTGATAAGCGTGTCAATGCGTCCATTGTTTGGGTTGACTGGGCTGAAGGGAGAACTTGGAAGGTGACCCTCGCTGATCGATTGCCAAAGATCGTTTGTAGCGTTCCTGTGTGCAACCGCGATCAGGATTTCCAACACGATCCCGAGGATGCTGGAAATGACAACTGCAGTGGTATATATTTTGGTCGCTGGTGACTCTCGTATACGCGTCCACTAATAAAGAACCGTTGCTTTGGGCTGAGCATGTTCCCTGAAGAAGACAAAAGAAGCGTAGTTTCAATGGAAGCTTACAGTGAGCTGCATGAGGCGGATCACAAAGGAAGGTGGTTGTTGTTTTCTTTGTTCGATTATCGATTCCATATTATGGGTATTGTTGTTGTGGTTATAAAGAAAAAGAAGAATAAAGCAAGGAGCAAGATTTAAAAGTGGAAAGGAGAAAAAAGACATATGCCGCCCTGTTATCCATTTTAGGTAATATCATGCGTCATGTGTTGCAGTTGCCACCTTAAAACACTATACACTTTTTCCTCTCGCAAATGATACAACAACAATGACCCAGGCATACAGTCCTTGCATTCCCGCTAAGTGAGCAACGCACTTTTACCATCTTCCTAAAAGTATGTACATGTATAGCCCAATCCCTCCATATGCTATGTAAAAAAGTGAAGTTGTTGTATTGATAGTATGAATGAATGAAACAAGAAAAGGTTATCTGGTGGAGGATGAAGTCGAGGTTGCAAATCAGATATCGTTCTCGCTAGGTAAAAAGTAAACAATGCTGTAACTGGCACCTGCTGCAATGGCACCGATTAATAATGTCTGGAAAGCACCCTTGATGGCACCCTTGGGGTTGACGAGACGGCTCTTGACGTAACCAAAGATGAGCAATGTTAAAAAGGTGACTGCAACAGAAATGTACAAGGCAAAAGTGGACTCTTCAATGAAAATGTATGGCAGTAAAGGAATCAAGCCGCCGATGAAATAGGAAGATCCGATAGTCAATGCCGATATCTACCGATCGTTGCTTATTAGCAGTCCGACAAGCCATTGTCTCTTCATTTTGCTTACCCAGCTACGATGAGGGTCGGGCATTTCCAGGTTGAGCTCAAAGCGCATCATGAAATCCACAAACTTTTCAGGGTCACTCTTGAGTTTATCGATCAAAGGTTGTAAAGTCTGACGATCCAATCCATAAGGCTCCAAAATCTCGACAATCTCTTCCTCCTCATCCTGCGGGCATTCTTCCACCTCGCGTTCTTCACGCATACGCTCCGTTTTGTAATGCTCCATCTCTGAAAGGGCAGCAAGGTATCCACCTAATCCCATCGAAATAGCACCACTATACACTATGCTTAATCAACAAGCAATACCCTTTACCTCATGAATCCTCCTATTACCTCACAAGCTCTAAGAACAAAGAGAGCATTAGCCATCATGCCAATGGATACAGATGAAAGAGTAAAAAATAGTCGCTTACCTGCTGCACCACCATACACTACAATCTTGCTATTTCCCAAAGATGACAATCCGGCAGCCAATGCAAATGGAACAGTCAAACCATCTACATTAGAAATGTATTAGCGGTATGGGTAGTAAAAATGACCCATGTCCATATAGAGATGTGTAGCTTGCCTGATAAGCCAATAATGATATCACGAACTACTTCCGCTGATTCGAAATGCTGTTCGCTATGCTCATTTGGAATAGCCATGTAGTCATGCGAAGCTCGTCGACGTATACGATTCAACAATTGTGACATGAGTGAGAAGGAAAAGACAAAAGAGAGTGGTTAGAGGGAGAAACACGACACGAGAAAAAAAAAAGAGAGCGGGGCTTTTGCTTGTGACACATGGAGCGCGCATTGGCGGCCGAAGGGTCATATTAATGTAGTCTTTTTTTTTTATTCTCTAATTGTCTTTGGTGGCAGGCCGTTTCAGCTTGGTTGTCAACCACCGATGTGTATTAACCCTTTTTTGTGTTGTCCTCCATCGATCCGTTGCTGTGGATGCTGATGATTGTTCTTCCACCACCATGGCCATATCCTCATTACTGCTATTACTGCTGCCAATATGACTACGCGTACAAGATGATACAACAGCCGCTTGTTGTCCAGATGAGAACATGTGTAAAATACGATCATCCTCGTCCTTCCAATGAGCTGAGCATAGTCGATGTTCCAAGGGTAATAATCCTTCGGCTTTTTCAATCCATTGTCCTCGCGTGATGTAGTTTTCAAAGTACGGTCCACGACATGACGTACATGGTTTGGCTGTGGCAAGATACGCAATGAGATGATCAGGGAGATGGGATGCGTTGAGTTGTCGTCGTAATGTGATGCGTGCGCAAAATTCACGTAACGAAGGAGGATCGTGATTGAGAGCGTGTGTGAGATTGGATTTAAGGGGACATCCTAAGAGCAACATGTGCCGAAGATACGGGAGCTGAGCTACCTCGGCCGGAAGCACAGTGATAGGATTTTCCGACAGGTTGAAAAATGCGAGATGTGTCATGTTGCGGATGTGATAGGTGAGTTGTTCGATGGCATTGTTTTGCGCATGGATCGTATGCAGCTTTTTTGATCCTATCCGGAAGCAAGCTGTCAGATCGCTAAGGCAATTGTGTGATACGTCCAGCTCATTCAGATTGGACAAGTGGCTCATTGTGTCTGGTAACTCCACAAGTTGATTATAAGCAAGGCCAAGGTATTCAAGATTCTCTAATCTCCCAATGGCATCTGGTAACCTTGTCAAGTAATTATGCGAGCTACATACATGAGTAAGAAAGGGATTGTCAGTAGTCATTCTTGATTTACATAGCCAACCCAACCCAACCCAACCCCTTTTTTTCCACCCCTTTTTTCTTTTTGTTGAAAACAATCCTTTTGCCACACAACATAACAAATGCGCGCGTACACTCGCACATACTGCATCTCATTCCCCCTTTTTTCATATCATGGATGCTTCACGCATAGATACTTTGAGTTTGTTTCCCCTGACTTTTGGTCCATATTTCATCACCCCTTGTCCTCGGCATCCACCGTTATGATCAATTGTGTTGGAAAGCATACTTACATATTCAATCGTCTGATCATCTTGAAGCAGCTGATGTTGGGGCTGAGATTGATCAAACGTCGGGCCGACGCATCGATTTCCTGCATTGACTTGTTATAGTCCCCATATACGTCCATGAAAGTAAATCGTTTTCCATCAAGTGGTTCGATGTTGTTGTATGCATACGGTGGTGGCTCGTTACATTGATGGTAATACTTTTTATCAATATAAGCAACGTCATTGTATAAAGATTCCTTGTCGCTATCAGAGATGAGGTTGTGTTGTTGTTGTTGTTGTTGTTGTGTAAGGTCGTTGTTGCTGCTGGAGGTATACCCAGAGTCAACTCGGTCTAGTCGGGTCGTATCATCATTTTTTGGGTTAGGCAACGGCTTTTCCATCAGCGCATAAAAGTGCGGCTTTGCTGTGACAAGATCCAGTTGTGATGATGGGTATTGCTTTTGTGTGGCATTCTTTGTGATATTGGTGGATGGTTGCTGTGCGGTGGTAATCGTGGTATTCGTTGTTGCAACGTGGCCAAAAGTTAATGTACCTTGGCTTTTACTTGATGTTTGTCCCATATGTGGATGAATACGTTGGGGCGAGACACACACAAACCCAAAAGACAAAAGTAGAGAAAAAGGGGAAAAGAAAGGAAAAAGTTGTTCTGTAGAAGCAAAGAAGCAAAACATTCACATAAAAGTGTATGGTGTCTATTTTTGGTAGGTGGGCGAGTGTGGTTCAACATAACACAATCAACCGTGCAGGCACATACACACACACACCACCCATCACACACACACACACACACCAAATGATAATACAACTTGCCTGCTCACTATAAATTTACTATGCCTTTTATCCTTATTCGTCATCCTGCATCTCTACAACTTATCACAGCATGATCCAATAAGGAAAACAAGCAAGGTATACGGACATTCGCCGCCTAGTTGCACATCAAAATACTCCCTTTCTCAATGCTGTGCAACGTAGGAACCTGCAGGCTAATGGACAGCGTTATGTTGATCACTTGGACTTCCGGTTATAAGCAAGGATCCGAACCGATTGGTCTCAACTACAACGATACACGTTGCTGATCCCATCGTACTACTACTACCACTACTACCTGCTATTGCCCCTTTTATCATAGATGTACAAAGGTCCTCCAATACCAAAGCTGTATCCCTTTTCACTGCTTCTTGTTGCTCTTTTATGTCGGCTTAATGAACGGCCATCCTTAACTTGAAATCAAGACATCATCATGCATTTGCGTAAATGACCCGTGATGCTGGTATGAGATATCGAGTTGCGATAAAGGAAGATGATGGATCGTGTATTGTGATTAAATGTGCATAAATGACTACGTCTGGATATGTGCTGCATTTGATGATTATGATACTAATGGTGGGTGTCTATCTTCTTCACAAGTAGTCCTCGTCATGTCCTGATATGAAGCCAACTGTCACTCGTTTCGATAACGGCCTCTTATCCACTGGTCCAAAACGAGAAAAAGGGAATAAAACATATGTAACCTTGGCAGTGATCAAACCCATCGGGACCTAATAAGCGTTATTTATATATAAGAATGTATTTTTATATCCCCATTGTCAAGCCATCCCACGTACCGTGCCAAACGAGTTGCTATCCCTGGAATGAAATGCCTCATCACCTTCCACCCAACAGTGCCCCTTTGGTACATTGACTAATCATTGCATTTAATCACGCTTGCTCATTTACATATCATCCAACTTACTGGGTTTACTGCCACGCTTCAGGGGTTGTACAGTGTCACCTTCCAAGGCAATGATTCGCTTGGTTAAAACACATTTGGGATCAGTAGGCGAGCTACATGAGCAAACAAATCGTTATCGTACCCCCTTTTCCTCAATGCTTTGTGTGTGTGTGTGTATACTACTTACGTCAAAGTCACCACTTCACCACGAGAAAACTGATGGTTCGTAACAGCCCACTTGTTGAGAAGAACACGATCCTTCCATAGCATGTTGCTATCAGGGTTAAACGTCGGCTATGTATAGGTGGTCAGAGGAAGCGTGTATACACGAGTGAAGCTGCTGTAGACATTTACTTGCATAGATCGACCATGAACAGTGCCGTAGCTGAAGCCGTGATCAGCAAAGAACATGACAACTGGGAACCATGTTATAGCGCGAATGGTAGGTGTCCAGTAGGGACTTGAGCGGAAATGCGAAAACATAAGAAGAGCTGTCTGGACACTAATCAGCACTCGTTTACCGCTTTTTTCTCATTTCCTCACCTTGCTAAACAGATCCTGTTGGCAATCCGTGGTGCATTGGTTATGCTGAAAAATAGGAAAAGCAAAAGAAAAGAGACGCCCATGGCTTGGGAGAGATAGGACTTGTTCCTTCGCGCAAGGGCAACCCTGTTCTTTCAGGCACTGCTGCTCCTGCACAGTCTTTGCTTGAGTCAGCGAGGATGCATGGGTACATCATAGATCTCATGCATAGAATTATTATGAGCATACAATAAACAGAGTCCTTCATAGTACCTTCATCTTCTTTTTTACCACAAATGATCATAAGCCTTTGTCAAGGAGTAGTAGGGCACATCATGAATGATGCTACAAGTATTGTTAATGTCCAAGGTCACGTTTATCTTAGTAAAAGCATTCGAGTAGCCTAGATGGCAACCGTAGTATAGCAACGTGTTGAAGCGGTATCATAGCAACGGTGTTAAATCATGTACATGGCATTTTCATTAATAAGTAGTAGGCGATTGTAATTGCCAACGACACGGCCCTGTGCAACATGAGTCTTGCAGCCCTCCATTTTCCCAAGTGAGATTGGTTTATTATTCCAATGTGTGTGATCTCTTCTTTTTAGTACTACATTCCATTACTACATGTTTCATCTGCTACATTACACAGTAATTCCATTTCCAGCATTCCATTATAAAGATAACATCCTCGTCATGTACTAAGAGATCTTGAGCTGCTGTATCTTTCTTGCAAGGCGGGTGCGCTGTTATGGAGCGGAGATAAGCCTCCTCCGATCTTATGGATGTCCCATATTGCCAAAGTGATCAAAGCATCATGCATCTGCCAGTAATAAGCACACTACTTTTTTGTAATTAGATATAATAAGCCTTGTGTGCGCTACCATACGACAATACCATAACAGAGCTCATTAGTGTCATCACACCACCAGCGGCCTGTGCTGAGCAGTCACGATAAGAGTGTGTGAGCTGGAGAAGAGGCCATCGGGTCGCTGCTTTGCACTTGTTGTTCCGCGCCGTGTGTTCTCCATCTACGGCTACTCTCGTACATCTATTGTTCATTGTTGCTCGTTCGGCTTTGACGCATGCTGATCCTGATATTTAGCTTCTCTCCTTTGAAAGCACACGGATTGTGAGAAACGGCAAAAGCTCCACACCCAACTTTGTACCTTTTTGTATTTCAACGGCTCCTTTATCTTCTTTCGTATCGCAATGGCTGGTAAGCATTCTCTTTCTTATTGGGTCCCTCTCCTTTTGCGGGAGTTGTTGCCTTGGGAATGGGAAAGGAGTATACGCTGAGGGAGATGTCCATGTGGGGAACTTTTCTGATTCAACATTTCGGCTTCTTTTGTGTATGGCTTTTGAAGATCTTGGCTTTGATTTCAGCGATGAGCACGACGACTTTGACGTGGTGAACACTGTCTTTTCAACGGATGATAATGCAGCAAAAAGAGAATCAAGTCCACCTCGAGATAATAACCAAGGACATCACACTATACCCAATCAACAGCACAACGAGACTCAAGTTAATGGTAATGCGGACGATGATATCAGTGGGAAAATGAGATCAAGAGATTGACATCCTTATGCGTCATCAGGTACTCATCCGGATGTGAATGATGATCAAGGCGAGGACGACAAAGCAGCGAGGATTCAAGATACATCGGATGATCATAAGGAAAAAGATCCGTACAACGGCCTTGATTCAACAGCTGGTTCCTATGCCGATGATTACAATGACACGGATGAATATCTTGAACCAACACCACCCGAAGGCTTTGGATCCGATTCATTGATTCAGGTCATGTCCGAAGGTCAGTGGCATACATTTCATCTCCTTGGTAACGATCAACGCTAATATGATTTCGGGAAAATATGCTTTCACATGAATAGAAGTCTCCGCTGATGATCTGGACGATGAGCTTATCATGGATGAATCATTAACGCCAATGGAGAGGATTTACATGTTTAATAAGAGCGACATGCTGATTCACAGGTAAGATGGAATGATACTATGGGCTCTCCTTCCTCATTTCTTACCGTGAAACAATAGATTGCTGGTAGCCAAGGAATTGCCAAACACCATATATGAGATCAGCGTATCAGAAGCAGTCAATTACGTACTACCCATGGTGCTCAAGATTGCAATCGACCACGATGATACCGTTCGAGAGTCATTTGTTAGCGAACTGGACAAGATCATTATGTTTTATTATACGGTAAGGATCGAAAAGGATCTCATATGGTTATTCGTTTGCTGATTTACGTAATATTCAATAGCATGCACCTCCTCTATTCGATAAGTCGGGCGAATCATCACAATCACCTAATAAGATGGTCGAGTCAACGTCACCTGGACATCTTCAACAGCATCAACAACATGATGAACCTGATACTATTTCGGTTCCCGCGCCGGCTGTAGATGGCACCACTACCGAGACATCCACCCTTATCGACCATGATACCACTGAAGCAGAAGCAGAACAACATGATCAGCAATTGGAAGGCGAACGAGGAGGTGATGAACAACATGAGCAACCGCCATCGACAACGTATACCACCAATGAGCTTGAAAATGCGCCACAACATGAAACACAACAACAACCATCAGACCATGATCAGAAAACAATGACTGACGACCTCCATATTCCTCAATACGCCTTTGCACCACTATTGATTGAATTCCTCCTTGATCAAAACTCAAGCTTGGCTTCATTGGGTCAGCAATGTATTGTCTCAGTAGCAAGCGAGCTCGCATCCAAGGGCAAACACCATGAGCTTTACAGAGATTTGTTGGATACCGAGATATTTGAAGGAGTGGTACTTGGCTTGATGGCGATTGTGGATGGTAAACCACGACAAGGCGATTACGATCAAGCATTAGACAATCATGAGAAATCATCAGGTAGCATCGTGGATGGTGAAGAAGGTATTAGGTGTATATTAACAGTGATACTATACAGCGGATGAGATGGATCAAGGCGAAATCAATCTAGCCAAGATGATGTGTCTTTCGGTAAAAGAAAATCACATGGCAATGCATAATTCATGCAATCCAACTAATGTATTTTCATATAGCTGATTTCTGCTTTAGCTGGTGTATTGGGCCCAGAACGTTGCACGAGTCGTTGTTTACCTCTTATTGAACGAATGGCGAACGATCCCATGTTCTATGTGCGGAAGGAAGCAGCGGCAGCTATCGGTAATTTGGCCACCGTGGTTGACCCTCAAGTGGCAATCGACCGTTTGGTGAGTCCCTTTATCGAGGACTTGCAGCATCACCCTGTTAACTCGTCCATGACAGCTTCCTTTGTATCAAAACTTTTCCCGAGATACCATTTGGCATGTTCGTCGATCGTGTGTTCTCACACTCCCATTGTTATGTGGCATTCTACCGGATGAGACACGTGCACAAATCGCTGTAGATGGTGTCAAGCTCTTCAAGAATGATGTCTCAAGGAATGTTCGCAACACACTTGCCGAAGTCATTGGTGAGCTCATTGCCAAGTTTTTGCCTGAAGATTGGGAAACTACTGGAAAACCAGGAAAGGTAACTTGAAGAGCATGAGGCGCTTTTAAATCACATACATTCTCATTGTGGAAATTTAGGTACCTGAAGCCTTGCTCGAGTTCTTTTTATCCTTGGGTCCCAGTAACGGCGTCAACCAAATGTACAAATCCGAGACCGATCGTGCGATTATTTGTGCATACAACTTTCCAGCAGTGGTATTGACAGCGGGTGCCGAATATTGGGATTCACATCTCAAAGACACCTATTTGAGCTTGACCAAGGATTACCAAATCAAGGTTCGTCGCACGTTTGCCTACTCGTTGCATGAGATTGCTCGCATCATTGGCCCTGATCGCACTGAACGAGACTTGGTTCAAATATTTGCACTCTATTTGATGGATCTGGATGATGTCAAGCAAGGTGTTTTGGAGCATTTGGCAGAATTCCTTGGCACTTTGGCAGTGAGCTCAAGAAACGAGTACATTCCAATCTTGGCAGAAGTATGGGATGGTGTCATGACCAATTGGCGTTTACGTGATATCCTAGCTGGCCAACTACGCGATATCGCATTGTTGTTCGATGCAGCACGTGTGGTTGAACACATTTTACCTCTTGCAATTCGAGCATGTCAAGATGAATTCGCTGCCGTGAGAGAAACAGGTGTCGAATCGGTAAGTGGGATTGGATGTTTCCTTATTGTGCACAAGGTATCAACATGTTGTGTCTTTTAGTTCCCTATTATCCTTGACATTGTCAAACGCGCAGTTGATGAGGATGGCGAGACTCTTTCACAAGCTGATCCCGAGAGTGATGATAATAGCGATAGTCGCCGTGAATTTGCCTTGGCCTTGTTGAATCATGTGATGGAGAAGCTCGATGAATTTGTTCGATCTGAATCTTATCGTGGACGTTTGATGTAAGCTTTATTGTCGATACGCTTTATCATTGCATGGCTGACAACATCCATTTAGATTTGTGCAGATTTGCAAAGTGCTGTTGGAAGCAGGAATTTGTGCAGCGGACTTTGCCTCTTTCTTTTTACCAAGGTTGATTCCATTGGCCAAAGATCCAGTAGTAAATGTGCGCATTGCAGCTGCAAGAGCATTTCGGACCATCCAAATGCATGGTAAGTTATGAAGATGATCATTTAACGGGATCATTAACAGGGCTATTTATGGTTGACAGAAGCATATCGCCACGAATTGACTGATTTGATGTTATCTGACAACATTGGGGAGCACGATACACCATCGGAATTGAACTTGGAGCAAATGCTTTATCAGCTGGCCTTAGACACCGATGCCGATGTGCGGTCGTTTGTGAGTGATCTTGTGGATCAGCAGCGTTTGGAGCAATGCAGGAATGAGATCAAGGCTATGGAAGCTGAACCTCAAAACATGGGAACACCTATGCAAGGTATTGAGGGAGCATCTCGTTCACCATCACCGGAAGTCTCATCCCCAGCACATGGTGACGATATTGAGAGAGAAAGAACATCGGATGATGAAGTGGCCATGACATCTGCTGGTACACCTATGGATTGCAGTGCCGAGAGTGATGACAGCAACAGCGATCATGAAACTTTGGTGCATGAACATGACGAAGATGGTGATGAGACCATGGCCGAAGTCGAGAAACATGATGATGATGATGATAACGACCACCATTCAACACGAATCGATAATGAAAGAATGTCATCTCCACCACAATATCAACCATCACTAGCAGCAACGGCTACCACAACGACCACGACGACTACAACAACAACAACAGCGGCATCAGCTTCATCTTCATCAACCGACGATAAAGAAAGGGATGAATACGTGTATTTATCCAAAAGCATGCTCCATCAAGATGAGATTTCACATTCAGGGTCGTCATCCTCAAGTATCAATCCCCAATCATCTCCCAACGAGAGTGCGTAGAGGGCATAACAAATCTGATCAATATCCACGGACACCACAGAAATGGCTACGTTTTCTTTTTGTTATTATTCTTATTCCTTTATTGTTCATCTTTGTTGTCCACTGCTGCTAGACACTTGTGTTCCATATTATATAGCGCATTTGTAGGTACATTTCCTTGTGCCTTACTTCATCTGTGTACTTAGTCTTCTTTTTGTATTCAGTACTTCTTTTCGCCTGCAACTCTTCATTTGTTGTCCCCCATAATATATACTGCTTTTCATGCATAATATCTACTTTATTCTATGCTTACGCAGCAATGGCGTACCATTTAGCTCTACATTCTACTGCTTCACGACGCACCAAACGTTTCCGATCATCCAATGGCTTCACCAACTGCTTCGTTACATAGGATAAATGAGGTCGAAGTACATCATAAGAAAGAGATTCAGGGAATTGTCCCAAGCATTTCAAGGCTGCAACGCGCACATCAATTGGGTTTTGTCGGTTGTTCGAATCAAGGAGCTCCAAGATACCAGAGAGGATATAGCGGACATGCGGGGCGACTGCTTCAGGTATTTCGGCAACTGCCAATCGGAATGTATCCAATGTCGAGACACGCAATGTGGCATCAGACAGCGACAAGGATTGAATGAGGAGAGGGACGAGCTAGGGTAGCAACGTTAGTCATGCATTAAAAGAGTAGCATGTAGTAATGAAATAAACTTACAGGTGGTAATTCATTGAGGAGGATTTGTTTTGGCACATTCTTCAGCATGTAGGACAAGGCGATAAGATAATTGTGCTTGATATCTATAGACGCATTATCATTAGCAAAGTAATACATGTTGTATCTTCATCTACTTACCATCATTAGCAGCTTGTAAACCATCAATCAACTTTGGAAGGCAGTGATTGAAGAATCGTTGCTTGTATAAAAGCTATAGAAAGGGGGGTTAATAGTTGCTCATTGTCCCAACTTTGATTATCCTATTTACCCTGACGGTCGCAAAAGATGCCTTGTTAAGGGCGAGCTCGTCATCACCAATGATGATGTCAAATCCTTGAGAAGCTTGTCCGCCGAAATATTCGTTGCTGCATAATCCAATCACCTTATCGGTCAACTCGTAGCCGAGCGTAGAAGCTTGAAGCACAAGTGCTTTGGTGATCTATGGATACAAGGGATGAGCATCTCATATGCTGTATCCATATTTGACCTACCCATAGATAAATTGAAAGTGCATTGCGAGCTTGCTTGTGATCCTTCGAAATTATACTCTCCAAATTGGCAACAACGGATTTGATAAGCACCGAGAGGGTTTGTGCTGTTAAATAACCTTGTAAGCGCATCTCTTCAGCTATTGAGAGCCATTTCTCCACTTACCATCCTTCCATTTGTTGACCACGGATCCAATCATTCTCACAGACGATGTGTGCAAACTTTCATTGGTAGTATCCAAGGCAATGTCAATTAGCTGACTGATAAAACCATCCATCGAAGCCACGGGGTAAACAACCTATGAATCCAACACCATTGTTAATACTCTGCACAAAGTCAAATTGGATCGTAAACTTACATCTTTCCTGCATGCAGCCACCACAGCTGCAAACAACGGGCTTGTGTCTTTTTGTATGTCTGGGGAGGCAGTCTAAGAAATAATCTTATAAGCTCTCTTGAGAATAGAATGGCAATCTCACATTTACTCACGTTGAATGGTTGGAATACACCTGCCGAAATACCAATTTGAGCAAGATCACCTTCGAGATACAACTTGAACATGCTATCCAGGTGCGTCTTTTGTGCACTATCACGGGCATTCGTTAATTAGCAAGCCAATGGCAAAACACATTCCCATTAACTTACCTTGAATCCAGTGATTCAAACACGATCATAATGATAAGAGCAATGTCTTTCAAAATGTCCTTCGAAAGGATAAGCTGGTTGCTGTCGGCATTGAGTGATGCTTGAACAACGCTTGTAATCAAATGGGGCACCACGGTTTGGATGCATGTTGCAATGTCAGTATGCTTATCCTGGACCTTCAAGCGTAAGATATTCAAAAGAGCCTTGAGAATTGCACATGGGTAGCCTGGTTGTTGATCTAGATACCTCGTTAGATACTTTGTGAGGGAACTTGAGAGTATTATAGCATACCTTTTTTGCAAACGACATCAAACTTTTGCAAAAGCAAAGGCACAACGCTTGCAAAGAGGGCTGGGGTGGGACATAGACTCTTGATAGCACCCAATAGTTGATTGTAACCAATAGCACCTTGTTGCGCTGCGGACTCGGGAAGCTGGGTGACCAATGCAGGAATGGTTTGCTCAACAAGATATGTGGTATCAATCTTGCAGATCTCTTTCAAAGACGCAAGGGCAGCCGTCCTATCATCGAAAAGTTAATTAAGCTGCATTGATCTCTGCCTCATCACATACGAACCTTAATTCCTCATCGCTTTCATCGAGCAGAATCTTATTAAAGGATTGAACAGCAATACCGAGCTAAAAGAAAACGATAATGAGATGGATGTGATGAAGCCATGGATTCCCATTACAAACCTCGTTAGCTGAAAGATAGTTTCTTGACAAAACCATAAGCTCTAAGCCCTTGAGTCCAGAAAGTCGTAAGCCGTTGTATTCGTTGGATGACATAAGCGCAGACTCGAACATGGCGAAAAATCGATCCTTGTACTCCAACAAAGGTGTTTCCTCTGTTTGATCCACTATACCCCGTTGTAAGCTATCAAAGCTTTGATTCTCTTCCATTGACCTTACTATCAACATCGCCATCCATAGATCCATAGAGGGCTGTGCTCGCTTCGAAGAATTCCAAAATGACGTCCATGATAGTTTTGCGGCTGGTAGCAATATCAGTTTCACGATACTGGCGAAGAAGTAATGGTGCAACAGAATTGACAATCGAGGCACATACAATGCCTAAAAGAGGGTATTTAGTAATGTATAACGGTAAAGCCAACTTTTTCATAGGTATACTTACGAGATCCAGTAGCAGCTGCACGAAGAATACGACCTGCTGGTTTGGCGTTCTTCATCTCGGGCTCTTTAAGATTGGCGATGCATTCCACAACAAGCGGCTTCAATGTCTTCTCAGTAGGATCAACAGCCGTTCCATCAGCATCAACGCTTAGAGCTGCCACAATGTTTTGGATTGCCAAAAGTGCACTATCTTCCAATGCGGGATCTGTTGAATGGAAAACCTAAAATGCATATTAGCATCAAATGTAAAATTCATTCATAGATCCACCTTACCTCGACTTTGAGCGAATCGAAAATGTCATCAATCACAGGTAGCAATGCGGCTGAGCCATACACTGGAGCACATGCTGCAATGGTTTCCATGGAATCTTTCTAATAGTAATTGATAAGTATTGGTCCAGCCTCATGATTCAAAATTATTCACCTTTGCACTTCCGGAGGTTGATGTCAGCTTTTCAAGGATAAGCGGAACGGCGAGCTTGGCGAATAATCCAGTAGCGGACAAGCATTGTCTATGCTTGGATATTAGTGCCATGACGACTATCATCCTTTCGATAGAAAGTTACCTTAGGCTTTGTTTCAAATCATCGGCTGTAATACCATAAGGATCATCTGGTGGGGGCTTGAATGTGATGGGGAAGTAGCAGAAAGTCACTTCGAAAACATCCTGTAGAGATACTAATGAGCTACCGCTACGTGATGTGATCATCACCCTTTGCAACGTACCTCCACGTGAGCACTAATATCAAAGTTGTCGATAATGTCCTTCACCAACTTGAATGCACTCATCAAATTACGAGGATCCTTTTCTCCATCCATTGCTTGTGCAAATCCATAGACGAATTCGTTGTTGATTGCTCTAAGCGCTATACGTAGCACACGTATGGATAAGTATACTCCTTAACATGATCTTGACTTTTTCCCAATGTATATTTACCTGTTGCATGTCTCTCAAGTAGATTTTCAAAGATGCGGAATACCATGTTTCTCGTTGCCTGAGGATGTCTTTGAACATCAACGCGCTCAAATATCCTATAAGATTGACATCAAAGTAAGAATAGGCTGATCCTCACTTCCATAACCATGCGTACCGTGTTGCTGTTGTCACTGCATTTGTTCCTCGGAAATTGTCGGCTTGAGTCAAGGCAATCAAACCTTCGAGTAGATTCGGGATACACGTCTTGTCAGTGAGTCTTTCGCAATAAAAGTCGACAAGGACGGAAACTAAAGATACATTGTTGGTTGACAAAGGTTCGCTTTATATCAATATGCAGAAACACGTCATATTACCTGCTGCATCATTGATACTGTCGTGGTTACAGTTGTGGAGCGTATGTGAAAGAAGCCCAATAGCTTTGGAAAAGGGTGAGTTACGAGGCCTGATCGCGCCCGATCTCCCGAGGCGTTACCTTTTGCTCGTACGTGATCGTCGTCGTTCGTTAGATACTCTCCCATGGATTGAATAAGTTGTAGCAAATTGGCCTGCACTGAATTGCTGTTGACAGCTAGAAAATAAAGAGTAGCATTGTTATTACCATTCATGAAGAACCATGGCTTGCAGCTTACCATTGACGATATTCTCGGCGCATTGAATGCTCTCTGGCGACGTTGTGCCAGTCGATATCATATAGTTCGTAACTTCTCGCTCAATGGAATCCATGACGTGAAAGTGTAAAGCAAGTAAAGTAGGCTGGGTTGAATCAGTGAGATAGCGGCTCCTAATCACATGAGATGTGACTGATCATCTCCCGCATTAATCAGCCAGCAGCATTCAGATCGGGCATTTCAACGTACAATGAAATTTGAGTTGTGGGCTCCTAAACCAAAGCCATTTGGAAAGAAAGAAATTAGGTGAAGATCCATATCTTTGAGCTGCTCTTTACTCGAATTCTACATGACCACTACCCAGCTTTTTTATCTTATTGATAGCCCCTCGTATGCTGCATCCTTCTCTTTTAGAATAAACAACCTTAGATTGGGTATATCATTTACTCTTGTCTACTACTCAACTCCTCTACATGCTCAACATACAAAAGTCTAAGTGGATTATCATGTGTGTGTTGGTGATGTGGTGGAGGGAATGCGTTGGAGGCTAACATACTTGTCACCTTGCCGAACCTGTATTTGGGTAATGACAAGCATGTAACCTTTGTAGGTATCACTTCTTCCCTCCTCAACTTTCTTTCAACACCATGATATCACCCAAGTTTGCTCAACCAAAAACCCTTGATGCTTTCTAGCAACTTGCAAATGCGGATCATTTTATCCATTACTTCAACTTGACATTCTTTTTACTTGTAGTGCTTTTTCAGCCCTCAGGATCGCCCTTTGCTTTTATGATTGCTACGTTCTACTTGCGGGGTCCAAATTATGTCCTTATGCAAGTCCACTCGCTGTGTTACACACATATGCAGTCAACGACACCTTCGCAATATGATACACAAAAGGTGGAGTAAGTCTAATTTATTCACATAGGTGGACTCGATATAGGCGTTAAATTTGGGAACGGGTGTTTATTGTTGAAGGATGAGCTTTGTAGCTTAGGTATACACGTACTATGGAAGAGCATGTTAATAAAAGTTAATCAACCACACACACCCAATCAAAGTATCTCACCTGAGGACCTCCTCCACCTTCTGGCACAGTCCAGTCAATGTTTTGTGAAGGATCCTTGATATCGCACGTCTTGCAATGAATGCAGTTTTGGGAGTTGATTTGAAGGCGCTTTTGGCCAGGGTTTGCTTCATCTTCGACGTATTCATACACACCAGCTGAAAAGTGAAAATAGCCGTCAACCATTTGAAATTTCACTTTTGCCATATATCCAATCTCTCAAACTTACCAGGGCAGAATCGGTTTTCAGGTCCGTCAAACACCGCAAGGTTACGTTCCACAGGCACATCCTTATCTCGGAGACGCAAATGCACAGGTTGATTTTCTGCATGGTTGGTGCCAGTGCGAGCGACATTGGTCAAGAGATCGAAGGAAATAACACCATCAGGCTTGGGATAATCAATAGGCTTGCTCTCACTAAAGTATAAGATGTAAGTACAAAACGCCATCATTAGCCATGAAAAACAAACTTACGCAGCAGGCTTAAGGGATTCCCAATCGGTCTTTTTATGCTTGAATGTCCATGGTTCCTTGCCCTTGGTAATCATGGTAGTTAAACCAGAGTACAGTACACCACCGAGAAGGCCAAGAGATGTGTGGAAGGAAGGTTGACAATTGCGAACAGCATACAACTCGTCGTGTACCCAAGACTTCTTGAAGCTGTCCTCGTAGTTGTCCAACATGATAGGTTCTTGTGTCTCAGCTTCACCTTCACCTTGGCCGATGATCTTTTCATAAGCAGCTTCGGCAGCAAGCATACCGGACTTCATGGCAGTGTGAGTACCCTTGATCTTTGGCAAGTTCAAAAAGCCTGCTGAGCAGCCAATCAAAGCACCACCAGGGAAAGCGAGTTTGGGGATAGATTGATAACCACCCTCATTGATAGCACGGGCACCGTATGAGATACATTTGCCACCTTCAAGAAGAGGTGCAACGGAAGGATGGTGCTTGAAGCGCTATATGGATGCATTGATGATGACTAAATTAGTATGTGTGTCACATTATTCCCACGCTCTCTATGCCCTTGTTGACAATTTTGCCCCCTCTCCCAAAATTCAACCTACCTGGAATTCCTTGTAAGGGCTCAAGTAAGGATTCTCATAATCGAGGCCGACGACATAACCAATGGCCACCAAATGCTTCTCAGGCTCGAAATGATACAAGAAACTGCCTGCATAAGTGTTCATATCGGTTGGCCAACCAATGCTGTGAATGACAGTGCCTGGTTCATGCTTGGCAGGATCGACTTCCCAGACCTCCTTCAAACCAATGCCGTACTTTTGATGTTGGCTATCCTTGCGCAAATCAAACTTGTTGATGACGGTCTTGCTCAATGAGCCATGGCAACCTTCAGCGAAAAGAGTCACCTTGGCCTTGACTGCCATACCACGCTCGTACATGTCCTACGTCAACAGCATTAATACACACATCATTGACCGTGAGAAAAAATAACAAATTACGCGTTTACCTTGGGTTCAAAGTTCTTGTCAAGACCCACATCGTTGAGGTTGATACCAGCAACACTGCCATCTTCATTGTAACGCACCTCGCTACCACCAAAGCCAGGATAGATCTCGACACCCAATTCTTCAGCTTGTTCACCGAGCCACTTTACAAAGTTGCTGAGAGACACAATGTAGTTGCCCTTGTTGTTCATTTGAGGAGGATGGGGAAGAGGAATAGCCATGGTCGATGTAAGGAAACGCATATTGTCACTTGTCACAGGCGTGTTAAGAGGAGCACCACGTTCTTGCCAATCAGGAATAAGCTCATTCAAAGCACGAGGCTCAAGAACAGCACCACTCAATGTATGTGCACCAACTTCACCAGCCTTTTCAACCACCATGACACGCAATTCCTTGTCGGCTTCATTGGCAAGTTGCTTGAGACGAATGGCAGCTGACAAACCAGCAGGACCAGCACCCACAATGACCACGTCAGTCTCGTCTTCGAATTGTTCAGAGAGACGAGGATCGTCTTCACCAAGAGACTCGCGATTAGGAATCCAAATGGAGCGAGGTTGAGTAGTGGATAAGCAGCGTACAGTAGTGAGTCGGGTAGTAATAGGAAGAGACACTTTGTGTGTGGATACGCGAGTAGCATTAGCTAATAAAGGAGCAGCAGCACCACGACGAGCATATGTGGATCGAAGGCGATTAGCCCCACGAAGAAGACTTGACATGACGTGTTATTGAAGAGAGAGTGGGGAGAGAAAGAAAAGTAAAAAGATCAAGAAAGACAAGTATCGAGAAGGATGAAAGGCTCCCAGGGCAAATTTTACCGCAAGTGAGATCTTTCACGTGCCGATTACGATCACTGGTGTCATTGGCCGGATCGCTTTATCTTCCCATCCCGGGTTTGACTAATGCATCTCGGAGATTGCTTTTTCCAGATCAACATGACAACAACTACCTTGTAATACTATAACTAGTCTTTATAATCTTGATTCAAATAAAAGAATGGTTTACTATCATTAAAAGGGGTATCCAACCATAGTCGCCACCATCACACATGCCATAGTGGAAAGGGCCATTGTCAACGGTTGTTGGATGGCTGCTGCTGGTGCTGCTCCAGAAGAAGAATCTGGATGTAGCTTGAGACTATCCTTTTCAGCTGATTCTGCATCACCCGCTAAAGAGGATCCTGTATCATTGGATTGCTCATTGTTATCGCCATTTTGCTGTGGGTCTTGTGTTTGTGGTGTTGTTGCTGCATTGTTGTTGTTAGCAGGAGCTAATGATCGAGACAATGCTTCCTCAGCACTCAAAAACTCAAGGTTGAATTCTTTGGCAACAGCTTCGGATCTTGCTTCGATCCATTCAAGTAAGCCCCAATCAGCACCACCACCTGTGCTATCAGGATTAGGTGCATTGACGCTGTGGTACAAATTTTCGGATGTTTGCTCATATGTCCATCCAAAGAGGTTGCCAGAGGATTGTTGCTTGATGCTACGATCCCATCGTAAGTCATGAGAAATGAATTCGTGATAGGCATGGATACGACGGCCAAGGGTGTTCTTGTTGAAGAGCATAGTCACTGTGTCTTTTAGGTATGTCTCAAAGCGCTCTCGAATGTGGTCATTTTCAAGCAAACGATTGATCATAACAGCGTTAGGGTAACGCTTGGGGAATTCCTTGTATGAAATGTTGACAAAATCATGTCCTTCAGGTTCAGCAAGGTTGACACCAAATGTTGCATCATAATCCTGACCAAGGTAATACCACTTGTTGTCTTCGGTGGGATCACGATAGGTAGCGTCGTTCGTTTGCTGCATCCAATAACCATCCCAATCGCCTGTCAAGTACTCGACCACCATAAATTTGAGGAACGAGGTAATGTCAAACTTCTTTGAGAATTCATCAATTTGTGCATCATCTTTGACGTCAACGTCTTTGAAGGCTTTTGCCAATTCTTGTACAGCTTCAGGACCTTCAGGACTACCATCAGCAGGCTGCCAAGAATACATGTGGCTCTCATCTTCTGGCAGGTATTGATAATCGGCACCAGAAGAGCCATCATACAATGGACCCATTTTGAGAGGAGGTTGACCATTGTAAAAAACAGCACGTATGTAGCTGTAGTGAATCACATCATCAAGCATATTAAACGTGCCAAAGCCTTGGCCATTGATGAAAAGTCGCACCATGTTGGCACGATTGCCAGGAGCACCCATAGCATCGAGCACATCAGCATACAGCTTCTCTCGCATCTGTGTTGGGTCTTCTTCCATATGTCGAAGCTTGAACCAGTTACGGTGATCAAGAAATTGACCTTCGGGTAATGACCATTCCCAGCTTTGTTTGGCATCATTATGCTTTTTGCCACCGCCATGCAACCCAAATTGGCAATCCTGTCATATAAATGCATGTTGAATGAGTAACATGTATGCAAGTCAATGCATGCATTCTTTGTTTACCTTGAATGTCTGCACTTCATTAGGGCCAATGATAGTAAAGGTAACGGGGAACTTTTTGTTTGCTTTTTTCTTTTTCTTCTCCTTGGTCAATTTCTTGACGATCGTTTCCATGTCGTTTGGATCACCATTGATAAAGATACTAGGAATGTAGTGGTCATCCCAAATGGCACCTTTCTTTCCACCACGTGTCCATTCGGGCTGCAGATAGCAATAACATGTTAATAATGATGCATTGAAGAAGCATCTTAATAACACTTACAGTGTCAGCGACGGGTCTAGGCAAATCAGGTAGCGATGTAGCATAAGTCACTTGTCGCTGAAAGATATCATTTTGGGTCGTTTCGGCTTCCAACGTGCGATCAAAGTTTTCCTCGTTTCCATCGACGATATACTATTATCATTCTATGAGTATGTATGCATGACAACATGGGGTTGTATAGCTCTTACCTTGTATTTACAAGTGCCTGAGCATGATGCTTGGCCTGTGTAATATGGCACTTGAGGATCATCGGCGTGGAGATCAACTTTTTCACCATTGACGGAGACTTGGACGCTGTCAGATGCACCAGGTGCTACGACTTTGAATGTTGCTGCTGATGCGGATGCTGCAAATACGAGGACGGATGCAGCATGAATTGTTCGCATGATAATGTTGCAATGTGAAAGGAAAGGAAAATGAATGAAAGAAAAAAACGAAGGGAAGGGAAAAAGAGAAAGAAATACTTCAAACAATGAAAAAGGGAGAATGGGATTTTTTAAATGTGTGAGTGGTGTGCTGATTACATGCAAGTCAACAAGTCCTGAAAGAGAACGGGATGGCTGTTATGGCTGCGCACAAGCAGAAATTGAAACAAGACATCAAACTTGAACCATGTTGATTTGGTGAATTCCACTTTTGTACCGTTTTGTGATGCCGTGTAAAAGGAGACATTTAGTACAAGTATCAGGGGGTTAGAGTGAGATCCAGGATATGATCAAATGCGCGGCGCTATATCAAAGCTTCTTTATTTGTTTGGCTACGATATGACAATGGACATTGTTCTTGGTTGCTTTTGGGTTCTTTGTGTCTGTGACATGATGATTGATCGAAGATGGATGGCGATTATTGTATTATACGATGGTTGACATTATTCAATAAATCGCATGTGACCATATACCTTCATAGATACCTTACCATGGAGAAAGGATTAGGGAGTTGGGAGATCTGTAATTACTCGACCCCTTCACTGAACTTTCTCTTTCTGTGGCTCGGAGTATGATACTGGAGGAAGAAGGGGAGGAAAGATGATGACCAGTTCCAAGGGGGTTTTGAGAGGAGGTGTTCTTATGCAGCAAAAAATAGAATGACAATATTTTATTCGGCACAGTGAAATGACATGCGTGGTATGATTGCTCTCTCTAAAGGTGCTTTATACATGCGTAATAGTATTTGATTCATCAATCCTTATGTTGTCGCTTTTGGCGTTCTTCTTTTCTTCGAGCTAATTTGGCGAGCTTCTTTTCTTGTCTTCGGCTCGAGATTTGATTCAAATTGGGTGTCTGTGTCTTGTCGAAAAAGGCCTGCAGGGTATCCGGTTCCGTGTCATCCAGGGTGAATCTTCCCAATTTGCCTTGTCGATATTGCTTAAGTAAAAACTTGCTTGCCATGGTAAGGTCCAGTTCGCCCCCTTTGACAACCGCTCCAATGCGCCGTGCCACCGCCTCTAAAAGCACATGAATGTCATTGGTAGGTTCCGATAACCCAAAGTAGGATGTGTACACCTCGTGAGCATGTCGCCGATTAAGCTCATACAGTAAATAATCAGCCATTACTTGCTCATCCGCCAAATGATCCCGGATACCACCCGTCAATGCCACTCTTAAGCTACGCACTGGATCTGCAATATGAGGCACCATCACACCTGGTGTGTCGATAAGATAAATGGCTGGATGCTCAAGCACTTTGACGGTGCCTACCACTGAACGTGTAACCCCCGGTTGATTTCCTGTTGCAGCCGCCTTGCCTTTGCCAACACCAACTCGCCGTAACGCATTCAACAACGACGACTTGCCGACATTCGGCATACCAACAACCATGAGATTCAGTTGTGGAATGGGATCGGCTAACGACGCTGCGTATCGAAGGATGCTGCGTACATGTTGATCGTTTTGGCAGCTCGTAAATAGCACGGGTGTATTGTGTCGTTTCAATGCTCTCGTTACTGGTCCTTTGGTGTCCGGATCAGCAAGATCGTACTTGTTGTATACAATTAGCCTCGGCTTACGACCAACGACTCGTTCAAAGTTGGGATTGACGGACGACAAAGGAATACGAGCATCGCGCACTTCAACGACAAGATCGACTGCATTCAATCGTTCTGAAATCACCCGGAGACCCTTGGCCATGTGTCCTGGAAACCAGTTGATAACTCGATCATATGAAAAGGTAGCTCTTGGTATGAAACGACTTGCTGCCATGGATACGATAATTGAACAAGTGATCTTTGTTGCAGATATCGGGCACCTTTATTCCTGTACCTGACGGTCACACATACACACCTTGAATCCTGCATAATGATGATCAAGGTATGCACGATGATCATGGATGATGCAAGATACACGCCCATTCATGTTGATGTTTATCGATTATAGTCTATGCCAGTGGGCGGGCATCATGTGGGAACAGTGATTAAAGTTCACGAACCGCATCAAGCACAAGGAAATCGTTTTGCGTGTGCTATCAAGTGCTTTTCATCGGAAACTCTATCATGCTATATTCGGGCTAGGTATGTCACACAAATTCAAGATACTTAAGCTCGAACTTGGGAATGGTAACTCTCTTTTCTTCTACTTGTTCTCTTAGCAATATCCAATCCATCATGACCACATCTGCCGATACCATCTCTCAACAAGTATCCGCCGAGTTACATGGATCAGTGACCATTATTGGTAAGCATCACTATACTACCACCGGAAAGGAATGTGAAGAGCACATGCATCGTCATCTTGCCCTTTATGATACAATTCAAGAGAAAAAGAGAACATCTTTACTGATAATCTTTCTTAGTACTCGGTGCATCTGGTGATTTGGCCAAAAAGAAGACGTATCCGGCTCTGTTTAGCCTATATCAAAAGGGGTATTTGCCCGACGACACCCACATCATTGGTTACGCACGCACCAAGATGACCATTGAAGCATATCATGATCGTATCACGCACTTTATCAAAATCAAGGATGAGACCACCAAACAGCAGCTCGACAAGTTCAAGTCAATGACAACCTACCAATCAGGCCAATATGACCAAGATGAATCATGGCAGACTCTTGATACGACGATCCACCAAAGCGAAGAACAAAGAGGCATCTCCCCTGGCAAGCGGAACCGTGTATTCTATATGGCTCTGCCGCCTTCGCTATTTGTGCCTGTTGCCAAGGGTCTCAAGAAGAATGTTTATGCGAAGGAAGGATTGACAAGATTGGTTGTGGAGAAACCATTTGGCATGGACACTGAATCTTCAAACCAGTTGGCACGTGAGCTCAACGCACTCTATAGCGAAAAAGAGGTAATTGCATTGTATCTTCACTGTTGCTGAGAAAAGTCACTCATGTATCTTTTTGGGTTGTTGTTGTAATAATAGATTTATCGCATTGACCACTACCTCGGCAAAGAAATGGTCAAGAATGTCATGATGGTGCGCTTTGCCAACATCTTTTTCAATCAAATTTGGGATCGCAAGTACATTGACAACGTGCAAGTTACATTCAAGGAGCGAGTGGGTACCGAGGGACGTGGTGGATACTTTGACGACTTTGGCATTGTGAGGGATGTGATGCAAAATCGTATGTAATAGCAATCACTGGTGTAACGCTTTCTTGTGAAACTAAAGTGTAGATTTCATGTAGATCTTCTACAAGTGCTATCATTGATTGCAATGGAGCGGCCTATATCAACAGACGCAGAGGCGATTCGGGATGAAAAAGTCAAGGTGCTCAAATGTATTCCACCCATTGTGCTTGAAGATACATTGTTGGGACAATATGTGGGTGCCAATGGGAAGCCAGGATACCTTGAGGATGACACTCTCAAAAACAAGCAGAGCAAGACGCCAACGTTTGCAGCAATGACGTGCTGGGTACAAAACGAGCGATGGGAAGGTGTGCCATTTATTATGAAAGCAGGCAAAGCACTTGATGATGCCAAGGTGGAAGTACGGGTGCAATTCCGAAATGTTGCAGGCAGCCTTTACAAGGGCTCACCAAGGAATGAGCTTGTGCTTCGCGTGCAGCCACAAGAGGCGGTGTATGTCAAATTCAACAACAAGCAACCAGGGCTATCCTATCAAACCATTCAAAGTGATCTTGATCTTTCCTATCATGATCGTTACAAGGATCTCGATATCCCTGATGCATATGAGTCATTGCTATTGGATTTGCTACGGGGTGATCATTCCAATTTCGTACGAAAAGATGAGCTGGAGGCAGCATGGAAGATCTTTACGCCTGTTTTGCATGAAATTGATCGTCAGGGTGCCAACATTGATATCAAGACATACCCTTATGGCTCGCGTGGACCCGAGGAATTAACTAGCTTTGTACGTAAATATGGTTATGATCGCTCAGATGCCAATTATGATTGGCCTATACAAAGCCTTTCTTCATCAGGAAACCAATAAATGGAAAAATGCATAATGGATGTGGTGTAATTATCTATTTCCCCCTTTTTTTCCACTCTCATTTTCTTTATGCATGCTTTTTGATTTCATTATAACTAGGGGCTTCGGTGTATGCTACGCATGCCTTGCATATCGTGGTAAATCCTGTATAGACCAATCGAGTAGCAGCATGATGCAAGTGATACTGATTATCAAGGTCAATCATTTTAGTGATGCTTTTCGATGCCATGGTCCACACATGTTGTCGAATACATAGCTTCTTATCCAGATGACAAATCCCTTGTAGCATGGATGAAAGGACCCAGTGCATGAAGTCTAGACCAAGACGTCAGTTACAATCCTCACAATAATAGATGCACTGATCTCACCTGGAATAGGGCTTGCTTTTAGGGCAACAGCAGCTCGCACCACCAAGTCAGAATAATCCTTGCTATCATTGCTACCACCAGGGCTGGTTTCAAGCTGATAACGACTTGTGATATCTTGTAGCTTTTTCCTTAAGATAGCTTTTGCTTGAGGATCAGTGTCCACTATACAACTTTCATAAGTACGGGTGCATTGTGGTGAATAAAAAACCAATTACAACTTACATGGCAATGCAGCGATCATTCTTTCGAGACCCACCATGTATAGGTCTAAAGCCATGTTGCGTGGTACATCGGGAGCAAGCTGGAGCAGAGTAACAGATTGCTTAATGAGCTTATCATCCAGCAAATTATCGTTGCATCCCTCCTCCTTCGTGTTATGGCTAAGGTCAATGTCATTCTCAATCTTTTCATATGGAGGGGGAGGCGTATTTATGCTACGGGTACTATCTGCAGACGCTAGCAGCATACATGGATCAATTTGCTGCTGCCGGTGGATGCTATTGCTGTGGGAAGAGGGCTGCCGGCCAAAAAATGACGAGAACGAGCTATAATGAGCGAAATTGACAAGGGCTTCTTTCAGCATGATGATACGAGGGAAGATAGAGAATTAGATGATTGCTGTATTATAAAGTAGAAGGACGTTGAAAAAGGGAAAAAGAGAATGAAAAGGGGAACGAGTGATATGATGCTGGGGTTGCTGTGTGTGTAGCACACTTGAATATCACTCAGCTCATGCATGAAGTTGCATGTAGTAAACAGATTCTGATACACACAATAAAATGATAATCGGCTTGCGGCTCTGAAACCCCATACCGAGAGAAGAACTTTTGCCCACTCTCCTGGTTTAAAGTCTCTCCAATGGATGGTCCAAATGCACCTAGAAAGTAGCATGCAATCCTGTCACAACATAGCAGAATCACAGCTTGGTATAACAAAAGGACCATCCAATCACTCCTTTGCTCCCCTTGTCAGAATCAACAATGGTTTGTTTCTCAATCCAACCGTAATTCCAGCTACTTTGTGCAAATGCCTTGCATATGACGACATCCATCACAGCACATTTTACTCATCCTCCTCCTCATGTTGTCCTTCATTATGACTGGATTTCCTTCCCTATTAGCGCGTATGTTCCCTTTGCCCGAGGTGTAACATTTGGGTAGATGCATATCGCTTACTGCGAGGATCTCGCATTATCAATGCATTCGAAATGGATCATTTCCATGACGACAAAAAAATTACACAGTCCCGGAACTTCTTTTATGCAAGAACTATCATGACACTTGTACACTATAAACTTGTGGTATGCCTGTCACATGACGTGTGTTTATTGTCAAGGAACAAGGTTCAAGAATAAAGGTGATGGGGGTGGAGATGGTTTTGATTCACATCCAAATTTGGCAGAAGGCTTGTATCAGCCGCTCTTCTTGCACGGGTTCAACTTGTCCACCTCTACTCATGCCGACATTGGACGCTTTACAGCAGGTATACCGCCACACACGCATACACGCACATTGTACGATCGCTTTGAGAATCTGATTGTGAATCGCTGTAGGTGTTGCCGAATAGCAAAGCGTTGTTTGCCGGTATCGTCACGAGCCTTGAGTTTTACAATGAGAAGATCTTGATCGTTGGTCACGGCCCATTCCTCAAAATTTACAACGTCCATACTGGCAACCTACTCGTCACCGAAACGGCCCTCCCAGCAAACCGCATACATCGAATCGTACCAGGTAGCTGTCAAGCTCAAAAACTATGAACGCGATACATCTTTCAATACACTAACATCTCACATCATTGTAGTGGATACCGACTCATCTCCTCACTCGAAGACGTATTTCATCTATGGATCGAAGACGATTAGAGAGATACGCGTGCATCAAGTTTCCGAAGATGATGTTAGGTAAATTGCATTATTCTTGCCATGTGACATGCTGAATCTAACATTGGCCGACAGCGTATCATTAGGACCTGCTTTCCAATTTGCGGACTGGATCATGGATGCGACAAAGCTGGAAACAGGAGAGGTATGTGGCATTCAAAATAACGAGAGGGCCCTTCTCTAATATGGGATGTGATAGCTTGCACTTGCATTTGCACACAACCAAGTTCAAGTTTACAATATGGAGAATGAAAAGCCCGTCCTTGTTCATCACGTACAATGCCAGGTCAAATGTATCCTGTGAGTATTCTCAAGTCTATACAACATGTCATTTGCTAATCGTAATGTACTAGATACTCGGCAAGATTCAATGGCACAACGCGAGACAATTTGGTACTTGGAGCTGGAACAGTGTTCAACGAAGTTCATGTATGGAAGGTCTTTGAGTTGGATGACAATCGAGATGGCGTTGTCGTGCATCGTTTGGTCGGCCATGAAGGTGTGATATTTGGTGTACGATTCAGCAATGATGGTTCCATGTTGGCGAGTGTATCTGATGATCGCACAATCCGTGTTTGGTCTTTGACAAAGGAGAGGTAATGGATCAATGGAATGAGGATGAAGGAATCACATAAGGCTGATGGATGGATGTAATAGAAAACCATTGGTTATTTTCGGGCATACGGCACGTATATGGGATTGCCAATTTGTGGATCAATATCTTGTCAGCATTTCCGAGGTAATACGCATTCTTCTTTCTTTCAATGACAATATATATATACTCATGATATCTATAGGATGCCACTTGTCGGGTATGGAGAAACATTCTGATGGATGACTCTGATCATGATGAAGCCGATTGTCTCGCTCGCTGGGAAGGACACGTTGGTAAAAACGTTTGGAGCTGTGCGATTAGCCCCGAAAAGAAGATGGTGGCAACAGGTGGTCAAGATTCAGGAATCCGGCTTTGGTCATTGATGTCCATCCGCAACAATAATATTGGTAAGTGCATTATAAGGATGGAGACATATCCACATAATTAACAACGTATACATAGAATCTGAAGATGATTTGGCACACATTGCGCTTCCACCTTCTCAGCCTGAATCGAGCTTCATTCGCAATTTTTCCTTGATCGACAATCGATCCGCTGTCGTTTTCACCAGCGATAGGTAATGACATAGGTGATGCGTGGTATTCAATGTATCTCACTCTTGTGTAGCTATTTTCTCAAGGTCAAAGATGGGCAATGGTCCGAGCTTTGTTTCAATGATGACTTCCAGAAATATGCAACGATGGAAAGCTCGCCATGTGGACGTTTTCTTGTGGCTGGTAACATGGGAGGACAACTGCTAATCATTAGCACTGAACAGCAATTTGAGGTATGTATGCCACGCCCTTGACAATGAATATCATCTAATAGGAATGAGATAGCCTGTAACGATTACTGCACACAAGCAAAAAGTATTTGAAATCTATGTCCAGGCATCACAAGGTAAATAATGTCCGTGCGCTTTCACATTTCATGCATTGCTTACGAGTGGCTGACATTGCATCTCAGATCCATCTGTGTACTACATCGTCTCCACTGCCTTTGATGAACCAATGCTTTTCCATCGATTGACGCTCCATGAAACCAATGCAGTATGTATATCATTATACACAAAAGCAAACACAAAGCCCTCATGCAAGTTTATAGCCCACTTTGGAAACCCAATTCGTGCTTGAACGCCCTATTGAAAGAACCACGTCCATGTCTTTTGCGTATATCGAGCAACACAGGATATTCTTGGCGGGTTCTCGAGAATCAGCACTTGTGTTATATCAGCTACCATGCGATCAGACCAGCACGATTCAATCAGTAAAGCCATTGATGCAACTTCGACGTTCACACGGCAAGCAAGCTGTCAGCCATATCACTGTGAAACAAGATCATCCGCACAACAATGAAATTATCTTTTGGACAACAGGGCGGGATGGCTGCTTTGTTCAATATCGACTTGTTAAACAAGACCAAAAGGATATTGTTGAGGAGTTTGATGACGACAAGACGCCCCTCGGTATTGCCAGTCAAGGAGATAATACGGTCACAAGCCGCGATTGGATGCTGGAAAGAGTGTATCGCAACAGAGTGACAAAGGGTTGGCTTGAGGATGCAATTTGGGTGGATAATGAGCTCCTTTTGCTGGGTTTCTATCGCAAGCGCTTTTTTGTGTACAATGAATCCAAGAGCTATGAGGTTCGTATACAATGGTGATTAGGGCAATGGTGATACGTGTCTTTGTTAAGATGACTTATTTTTGGTATAGATGATCTCCGTTGCATGTGGTGGTGCACATCGTCGATGGCAATTCAAAGCTTTGGACTCTAAGCTAAATCTCGCTACCTTTGCGTTTATCCGAAAAGAAAAGGTATGATTCCAAACATGTCACTATGGCCCACCAAGGTATTAATAGATATATAGCTGTATGCCTACTTTAGAGACGGCTCATCGATCAATGATGGCTTTGATGAATCAGTACTACAGGTATGTGCCATATATGAACGTTTTGCCGGTTACTATCTAACGTTCTTTTCATTAGGAAAACTTCCATGGTCGCGATGTGCGTGCCTTGCAGTTCCTTGGTAAGTAGGGAGGCATGTTGAGTATAAGCGAACTTTTGGCTGATGGGATTTTTTACAAGATACCCTTGTTGAAGATCATGGAGTGTCGCCCAAACCCGTCTTATTTGCCACAGGCGGTGAAGATACAATCCTTAGGATCAATCAATGTATGTGATGTGATATACAGGCATGCATATCAGCTTATCAACTTTACAACAGATTTCTCAACGCCGCAACCATCGCACGTTACCCTGGCAAGCATTCGAAGGCATAAATCGGTCATCAAGTCTATCGTTGTCAGCAAAGGTAAACCTACATGCTCAATCAAGTTGGGGTATATGCTTGCAAACTAATCCGTGACTAGGCATCGATAACCTTATTTTCACGAGTGGTGGTAATCAAGAGCTCTGGTGCTGGAAACTTGAGTTGCTATTGCCAAATGACAACGAACACAATACACCAATGGATGTCAATTGTCTTGAATGGGCTTCGTGTCCCACAGTGAGGTAAGAATCAACAACCCAAGGTTGCTTACGATATGGAGGGCTATACTGATTCTGGTTGCAATAATAGCGAAGTCATTGAAACCCGAATTATGGATATTACTGTACATGCAATTGATGCAGCACGAGGATTACATTTGGTGGCAGCTGGATATTCAGATTCAACTATTCGGGTATGCACTCTTAATGTATCAGTCATAATGATATTAAATACCGCCATTTTCTTAGGTTTGGCTTTTCAATGAAGTTACTCGACGCTTTTCACTCCTTGCAGATGGATCATGGCATACCCGTTGTATACTTCAGACTGACCACCTTGTGATTCCAGGTATAGCGTACTTTCATGCATACACACATACCCTCTAATCATATGTATGATAGGATCAAATGGAAAGCGGGATCGGATTCTATTCTTTACCACGGCTACCGATGGAAGGTAAGCAATGGGAGAAATTTGAGGACTCGAGTTGTATTGTATGGGAAATTCATATACCATCATTTTCAGAATCGCCGTATGGGATATCAGTGACCGCTTATACGAAGCCATTGAGGATGTTGCAGCACTCGAAGAAGATCCCATGAGTACGGCAACCAAATTTACGGAGCCAGTGTACTTTTATCGAGCACATCAATCGGGAGTAAATGGCCTGGCGGTGGCATTACAAAATGGTGATTACATCAGCTCTTGAAGGGCGATTGCAAGTGTCGGCTAACATGCGTGGTTTGAACACTAGATACTATTATCATTTTCACTGGTGGCGAGGATAACGCTATTGCAGCTGCAAGGTTAAGGATCAATGACGCAGGTGATATCACTCCAATGGAGGATCCATTTGTAATTCCTGGTGCACATGCATCTTCAGTTACAGGTGAGTTACCCGTGGTTTATGGTTGACAATGAGCTAACATTGCTCCCCAATCCAGCTGTTGCACTTATCCGGAACAATACCACTGCACTCTCGATATCAACCGATCAGCGCCTTAACATGTGGTCCTTGGAAATGGAAGACGATATGCAAGTGAAGATGATCGATGCTGCCTTTGTTGATGTTCCTGATCCATCATCGATGAATGTGACAGAATACCAGTAAGTCAATGATACAATCAATTACAAGCGTTCAATCTTCTTAATATCTTTTTAATAGGTCACGCACGCATGCAGCATTAGCAGGTATTGGCCTGGAGAGTTTTGTATTCTAGTCGAATCCTTGTATAGATAAAATCACATAGAAGACTTCAACCATAGACATAATAATACAATCATTTATTATTACAAGTAGTACATTTTTCCCAATTATTGGATAATAGCAGTGAGCCAAATCACGGTATCACATTGTAAGACCCATATCAGCTAGTCTCTGCTTGAACGTTTTCTGCTTTTCTTCATTCATCTTATTACGGGCTTCGATTTCGGCTTCGGTCACCTTGACAATCATCACAGGGCAAGGGCAATGCTTTGTGAGGTATTCGGATACCGATCCCAAGATGGAGCTATAGATATGTATATGCTTGTTAGTTGCCATACATTTTCTATGCATGATGATACTATACAATACCTTTTGACTTTACCAAAACCACGTGAGCCAGTCATCATCATTAGTGGGTGTACGCTACGACAGTAGTCGACAAGAGATTCCTTTGGGTCACCTTGAATGACCTCGCAATGTACGTTATTGAACTACGCTCTTAGGTTAGATATCTAAGATATGCCATATTGGTACCTATTCTTACCGAATGCTTCCTGAGTACATCGGCAACAGCTAATAGCAAATCTTCTTTGACGTTCTTTACAAGGTCACTATCGCTACCGTTGGATGACCTTCCTACGTTCATGTCGTAGCCAGCAGGCATGTTGTGATACAGGTTGCTTGATAGGTTTTTTGGTGTCAGGCTGGAAAAGAAATCGCTTTGTTGAAGAATATGCACGAGATGGATGTCATCATTAGGTTCAAGTAACCCTGTTCGAATAACACGATCGAGGATGGCGTCGCTAGCACGAGTTTCATCGTATGCAACGACGACTATGCGCCCTTGTTGTCGACCAGGAGTACTTCCTCGTTTTGGAGGAGCAGATAAAAAGCTATCGGGAAGCTGTAACTTGTTTGAATCGGTGGATGTTGCCATGGGTAGCCAAGAAGGAAAGGGTGATGAATAATAGAAGGATTGAACAATGATAGAAGAGAATACACCCTTGCGGATAGAAAACCCCTCCTCAATTATCATGCGAGTATGATGTTGTCCTTCCCCCCGCCAGCTCAGCTCAGTCAAGTAACCCTTGCATAATCACCCGAGGAGAAAAAAAAATCATGCGATTGTGGTAGAATGATCAGGCCTTTTCCAAGAATGAATATTCAACGAGAGTTTAGTGAACCCCATCGACATGAACAAAGTAGCTACAGCCCTCAAGATAATCCGGTACAAGCACCAACGCGATCTCATGAAGGGATCCATCCAAGACAAGAAAGACGCTCTGGAAGTATCGTAGGCGATAGTCAACTTGGTGGATATGCCATGTCAAGAGCCATTGAAAAAAGATGGAAAGGCAAAGAACCCACTCTTCGTGCAAGTCGACCAAGCATTGCCCCTCAAAGACGTGAATCCTGGATGGACAAATTTGAAGAAGCTGGCAAAAATGGTAAGTCTGCTGACAGCTCCTCTTGCTGCATATTTCTTTTGGTCTTAACTTTAAATTTTGCCTTGTAAGCAATTCGACGTTCTTCCACAAGCACCGATGCTCTCATTGACAGGCTTGCTGACACGCTCAATACTTGGAGCCCTGGCACCGATGTAACCAATGACAAGAGTGGCAAGCAACAGCAACAACAACAGCAACAACGTCGAGAGTCATGGTCGCAAAAGGCGTATTCGTTCTTGTTTCCACCATCGCCATCGTCACCACTTCAACAAGAGCATTCATCACCACGACCTGCTGCACGTCCCTCACTAACACGACAAGCTTGGTCGTGGTTGCAACCACGTAGAAACAGCAACGCTACGTCACAAGACGATGTAGAGTATCTTGGATCCGATGTCAGCTACGATGATACACAGGCCAGCTTCCGAGTTGAAAAGACAAAGGGCAGTGGTCGTGGATTCTTTGACAGCAGCAATTATCGTGAAAACTTTCCATCGCCTCCTCGATCACGTTCCTTTAGCCATAGCATTCGTCCAAGTCCATACATGAATCAGCCTACAAGGAATTATGCACAAGCAGCTCGTCGAAGTTTGGATGTTATGAATGGTGACCAACAAAAGCAATGGTTCAATCCTGATCCTGAGAGTGCTCGTATCGCTGTTCCACCACTATCCGTTGAACACAAAATGGATGATCACAACACTTCCGCTACTCAACTGTTGTACGATCGTGAAGAGCAACAAGAGAACGACAATAAACAAGTCAACAAGAAGCAGCAGCACCAGCAGCATCAAGACACATCCCCAAACAAGTATCATGTTGTATCCAACAAGCAATCTCCTCCACCAATGAAGGAAAACATATTCGATAATGATATTGAGAATTGGAAACCACACATTTCTGGTAATACACGTGAATAAATTCAGTAAATCTCTTTCTTTCGTTCATTTATATGTGTGTTGGTTATAATAGTAGCAGACGAGATCAGAGTTCGTCGTGGGCTGTTTATTTGGTAGAAGAAAAGTGGATTAAGATCGAGTAGTAATTATACATAAACTTAGCCTGGATGATGGGTACACTTGATATCAACTTGAACTAAAACCAAAGGAAAGCAAATCGATGGAATGCTATTTTATGGTTAAATCCATAAAGTCACGTGACCCCCAAAATGAAAAACAAAAAAAAGACTTCGATTAAACACATCGATTTTTTCATTTACGAGGCTACCAGGGGTCGAACCTGGAATCTCCTGATTCGTAGTCAGGCGCCTTATCCATTTGGCCATAGCCCCTCGAGTTATTTTTGGATTTTCAAATACCACCATCACTCAAACTAGTTCCCCATATGGCAATACAATAGGAACTGGGTGACGTTTCACTTTTAAATAACGTTCAGCGTAGATAGTTGAATGGTACAATTTCTGCCTTCCAAGCAGAAGGTCGGGGTTCGATTCCCCGTCTACGCATTCATGTTTTATCTCGTCAGGATTTGGAGTCACGTGATTCCAGATTGTCTCCGATCAATCACGTGTTTTTTTAGTCTATGTTGATTACAAGCAGCAAGGTAAAGAGAAGGGACTTTATTGATAACATGTTTGGTAATATGCAACATGCTAGTATATATGGTACGAATGTCTGAATGAGGAACAAAGCAATACACTAAGGAAGAGAAAGGCGGTGTTGTTGTCTGAAACGGATTAAGGGTCGTGCATAATGTTCTCTGGGTAGCTTTTTTCTCTTTCTTTGACACCGATGAGCAGACAACATCCCACATGCAAGCCTTAGACAACAGGAATGAGCGTGGTTGCCATGGCAATATCGTTGCTTCCTCTTGTTCGTTGCTATTCCCGCCTTACGCTTGGTGTCCACAGGTACATTCAGAGTCCAATGTTGCAGCAGAACTTGTTCCATTGACGTGTTAGCTTGTATAGAGGGCAAGTTTGGTTTCAACACGTTGGCTGGTTTGGCGTTTTGTTTCGGCTCAACTATACGACACCATGGTTTTCGGTTTCCAGTAACCAACAACAACGGGTCTTCGTGTATATGGCAAAGGCAAGTGCAATGAAACAAACAATGAAAAGGGTGTTTATCGTGTGTGTACTAATAATGAATTGAATAGGTTTCTTTGGTCAGGCAATGCAACTTGGGGGATCATCATCATCTCTTTGGGTTCAAGTCCCAGCCTGTATCAAGTGGTCACTGCGTCGCTCTGCACTAGCCAAGTGTGCTGGAAAAGCTTCTTGGAACGCGTCCAGGGCTCTATAGGCCTGCGTTGAGTTGAGGATGGGTCGATGACGATGGATTTTTGGAAGAGCATGGTCACCGTGTTGAGGTAAAAGGGGATTTGCAACAGCTTGTGAATGTGCTTAACCAACACTCTCTTCTCGTGATAGGCTCGTTCTTTCCCTTGAGGATTTCTTTTCATGAGGTGGGAAATGATTAGAAGGATTGGGGATCATTCTTTCTTTGGAGAGGATGAATGAGAACAACTATGAGCCTGGACTCTACGTAAGTGATGTCCTTCCTTGCCATGGATCGAACTGGCCTTGCGTTATTCGTGCAGTGCCTTCTCAAGAACAAGGGATCGCCCGACGTTGCTCGTATGGTGGTGATTTGGTTTGTGAATTCCTTCTGATTTGCTTTCTTCCTTGGAGAGGATCGCCTAACGGTATACCAAATCGTTATCATTCCGGTATCAGATGGTCTAACTTGCCTGGTTTCTTATTTGTAGAGACGACGATTACGATGATCACCCCATCCACAACAATGGCAATGATAACGACAACGAGATTCAAAAGGAAGCCTGCAAGATCCCATTCTTTTCAACTTGCGTGTTTTTGGATGTTGGTGTGACGGATGAGATTGGCGACTGGTGACGAGTACGAGTAGGAGTACGAGTACGAATGGTGACGGAGGACGACTACGACGATAGTGGTGGCAATGTACAGTAGCAAGATAGCTAGATGAAATAAAGCATTGTTTATTTATTACACGCTTGTTGGAGGTTGCTAGCTTGTGCATTACATACTATTGCTTCGAAGATGGAATAATGAAGGTGGTCCGGTTATCGGTCATGCAAGAAGTACATGGCTTTTGTGATACAATAAGGAGGAGTGGGAAGTAGGATGAGCTTGAGAAGAGAAAAAGTGAAGTGATCCCTCGATTGGGTTTCAGGATGAGTGACTCATTCAATAGGTATATGTATCTTTTTACATATACAAATTGGTTTATGCAGCTCGACTTTCTTCTACATGCAAATGTGATACATACCTTGACACACATTCATTATTGGATGCTGTTTACTTACGTACCTTCACAAAAGGCAATCTTCATCATCATCATCCATTTGTGTAGCAACCTGTCAAGAACGTGTCTGTGTAACCACCACGTGCCGTTTCACTTAGCTCTTCATCTTTCCGTTAATGCAGCCGACACCATCCACTAGGAAAAAGCAACTCCATCACGCTTACAGCATAGGTAAAACATAAACGTGCCTGTATCTCCAAACCTTACAATGAAACTTGGGGTTTTGAATAGAGCAATGTGCTCGGCTTGGCCAACAGCACCTTGTGTGAAAGTTTCACGTTCAATGTCGCAATCAGCCCAAAAAATATTATTGGTCGTCGTCGTCGAAGAGGCCGACCCCCAGATCCAGTTTGGCTGGTGACGACATTGCGAAATTTGGGATTGGCAAGCTTGATCGTGAAACTTTCACACAAGGTGCTGTTGGCCAAGCCGAGCACATTGCTCTATTCAAACCCCCAAGTTTCATTGTAAGGTTTGGAGATACAGGCATCTTTATGTTTGTAAGCGTGATGCTATATGGGAAGTGGTCTTCGTTCAATGTCAAGTCGCTGGACCCTGGCAGAGCAAAAGATGCAGAGGATCGTGTTGTGTAACACAGCTACGTTTGCATGAATGAAAGGGTCAATGTATAATTACTTTATGGATCATCTAGGAACAGGCAGTATTGCTAGCTAACGGCCACTTTTATCCAATCATCATTGTTGCGAGATCCACTGCATGGGAACGATGCCCCTGCTCCAGACATTCATTTCCATGATTAAAGTAGGTTGATCCGAGCTGATTTGACCGAGCTGCGGTCAACGAGAGATTACATCACTCTGGACATAAAGCACGCTCGATGTAGCTCAACCGATGTAACCTTGTGTGAGCGTAGCTCAACCAAATCAGCTCGGATCAACCTACTTTAATCATGGAAATGAATGTCTAGAGCAGGAGCATCGTCCACCTACAATAGAATGCACAAAAGTTGGGAAGGCACAAAAGTGGCTATTAGCTGCCAATGTATGACATAAAAGTGAGGGTTGCGTACCTGTCATGCATTGTCCCTGAAGTCCTGACTTTTTAGCTGAGTTACCCAAAGAGGTCCTTCTGCATCTTTTGCTCTCCAGGGTCCACCTACTTGACAATGAACAAAGACCACTCTTCATATAGCATCACGCTTACAAACATAAAGGTGCCTGTATCTCCAAACCTTACAATGAAACGTGGGGTTTTTATTAGAGCAATGTGCTCGGCTTGGCCAACAGCACCTTGTGTGAAAGTTTCACGATCAAGCTTGCCAATCCCAAATTTCGCAATGTCGTCACCAGCCAAACTGGATCTGGGGGTCGGCCTCTTCGACGACGACGACCAATAATATTTTTTGGGCTGATTGCGACATTGAACGCGAAACTTTCACACAAGGTGCTGTTGGCCAGGCCGAGCACATTGCTCTATCAAAGACCCCACGTTTCATTGTAAACTTTGGAGATACAGGCACGTTTATGTTTTACCTATGCTGTAAGCGTGATAGAGTTGCTTTTTCCTAGTGGATGGTGTCGGCTGCATTAACGGAAAGATGAAGAGCTGAGTGAAACGGCTCGTGGTGGTTACACAGACACGTCCTTGACAGGTTGCTACACAAATGGATGATGATCATGATTGCCTTTTGTGAAGGTACGTAAGTAAACAGCATCCAATAATGAAGGTTTGTCAAGGTATGTGTGTATCACATACATGTAGGAGAAGGTCGAGTTGCATAAACCAATCTGTATATGCAACCAATCCAATGATGGATCACTCATCCTGAAACTCAATGGAGGGTTCACTTCACTTTTTCTCTTCTCAAGGTCATCCCACTCCTCCTTATTGTATCACAAAAGCCATATACTTCTTGCATGAACCGGACCATCTTTATTATTCCATTTTCGAACCAATAGTATGTAATCCACAAGCTAGCAGACTCCAAGCGTGTAATAAATAAACAATGCTTTATTTCATCTAGCTACCTTGCTACATTGCCACCACCACCATCGTCGTAGTCATCGTCCGTCATCGTTCGTACTCGTACTCGTACTCGTATTCGTCAGCCGTCATCGTTCGTACTCGTACTCGTACTCGTATTCGTCAGCCGTCGTCAATCTCCTCGTCGCAAATATCAAAAACACACAAGTTGAAGAGAATGGGATCTTGCAGGCTTCCTTTTAAATCTCGTTGTCGTTATCATTGTCATTGTTGTGAATGTCATTATCATCGTAATCGTCATTGTTGTGAATGTCTTTAGGGCTCATACATAGTTGTTCTCATTCATCCTCTCCAAAGAAAGAATGATCCCCAATCCTTCCAACCATTTCCCACCTCATGAAAAGAAATTCTCAAAGGAAAGAACGAGCCTATCACGAGAAGAGCGTTGTTGGTTAAACACATTCACAAACTGTTGCAAATCCCCTTTTACCTCAACACGGTGACCATGCTCTTCCAAAAATCCATCGTCATCGTCCCATCCTCAACTCAACGCAGGCCTATAGAGCCCTGGACGCGTTCCAAGAAGCTTTTCCAGCACACTTGGCTAGTGCAGAGCGATGCAGCGGCCACTTGATACAGGCTGGGACTTGAACCCAAAGAGATGATGATCCCCCAAGTTGCATTGCCTGACCAAAGAAACCTATTCAATTCATTATTAGCACACACACGATAAACACCCTTTTCATTGTTTGTTTCATTGCACTTGCCTTTTCCATATACACAAAGACCCGTTGTTGTTGGTTACTGGAAATCGAAAACCATGGTGTAGTAGTGTAGTTGAGCCGAAACAAAACGCCAAACCAGCCAACGTGTTGAAACCAAACTTGCCCTCTATACAAGCTAACACGTCAATGGAACAAGTTCTGCTGCAACATTGGACTCTGAATGTACCTGTGGACACCAAGCGTAGAGCGGGAATAGCAACGAACAAGAGGAAGCAACGATATTGCCATGGCAATGGCCAACCACCAACCACGCTCATTCCTCAGCACTTGGACACATTCACTCCCTGACAATGCATGTTCAGAACTACGTTAACACCTCACAGCCAACAAGAGCACTCTTCTATAATACATTACCTTGATCGAGATGTCGTGAATGGAATAAGGAAAGGTGGGAGAAAAAGAAGAGAAGCGTTTTCTCAAGTCGTGGAGCCACCGTCCCCCAAGTTTAAATCCCCTACTGCTATTACACTGAGGCCACTCAATTACCCTATACACACCATCCACCCAACCACACAACTCACCCATCATTATCATCACCCTCACGATAGACAATAGGTACACGTAAATAAAAGATATGATCCTCACGTATATCTCTAGTTGTAGGTTTGCCTATTTATTTTAAATGGTTGTCGCAGATGATAAAGAACATGAAAGGAATTGATGATATTGTCAAATGAATGACAAATCAATGATGCCAAAATGTAATTTATGGCTTATTGAAGGTGGATGATGTACATCAAACCAGAATATGACTCACCAAGGGAACTTGAGGATGAATAGCAACCATGACCCCTTCTTCAGCACCTACACCAAGCTCCGACTTCTGGCCAATGATCGCTAATTGGACTTTTACTTTAAAATTACTTCATATTGAGCTTCCAAAATGATCTCGCATGCTCATCAATCGATAGCGTATGCATTCCGCTACATCATATTGTGAATTTTGTTGCCATCGGATCACCTTCCATATTTGGAAGTTGACAACTTCCTGATGTTCTTCACATTTCAAATAATAACGAAGCGCGGATGGTTTAGTGGTATAATATCCGCCTGCCACGCGGATGACCCGGGTTCGATTCCCGGTCCGCGCATTCATCTTCTGATTTCTCTTTTTTGTTTTTTGGCCGTGTTAGATCACGTGACTCAAAGGTGCCATTAGGTAGATGCATTATCAAGTGAATAAAAGCGCCATGTATTGATTGATACGAAGGCTGATATATGAATCCTGGCGGATAAGAAAGGAGAGATTGATTGCGTATATATGCATAGTCAGCCGGGGTCTGCAATGCATCACCTAATTAGTCTACTGCTAGCTCAAAGCAACAATCAACAGCTGTTGTGGCTCTCAAATGATATCATAGTGATTCTTTTTGTAGTCATGGAACTATGTTAAGTGTTATTTGTTTATATGAATGACGAGAATGTCATGTTGCCACATGGTAGTATAACGCTAATTTTGAATGTTGACTCCAAGATAAAAGATGCATGCACGCATGAATTATAGGTTGCATCAAGAGAAGGTAGCTTTAATAGAGGTACATTAAAAGAGCCTATGCGTGCACGGGCTGAATAATAGAAATGGGTATACCTTTTTTTGGATGTGTGGGAGGATGTGCGTCGCAGGAGTGGTGGAGCTGACTGAGGAGATAGAAAAGGAGTGGCAAGGACATGGTGGCCAAGTGGATAGCTTAGGACAGAGAGAGAAAGATGCATCATGTACAATAAGCACAGTGTCTTATTGGTGCAATCAAAGGAGCAACGATAACCACAATGCCGGTGAAGCAATGTTTTTAGGGCAAGGCGACAAGGAGAGGGTAAAAAGGATTGTCAGATATGCTGTGACACCCACCTGCCTAAAGAAAGGAGCATTGGATGAGAATCGATGTGTGCCTGAGAGGAGAAAAATTAATCGACAGCTCTTGTTTGAGCATTGTGCAGCATGCGGGGTCATCGAGTCTGTGTATGTGACACTCATGCGATGGTGATCGGCAGGGTCAATTGGACGGGGTTTACCATACACGGCAACTGGTCGTGCTGTACAAGCACCTAGTTAAGCACCAAGCTGTTGTTCTTGTAAGGAGGGGAAAAAAGGGGTATATAGACAAAAGCTTGTTCTCGTAGACGCAATTGGCTGATATAGGGTGTTTTATCCACAGCCCCCCATTGTTATACGATTGTTGATCTGTGCAGAAGGCAACAACAATGCACCTTGCTTTTAGAAAGATAATGAGGGACAATGCGTATGAGCAGCGTGGATGATGCGGGTGTCGCCTAATCCGATACAGTGATGCATTGTCACATTACATCCCAATTATCTTGCTGCTAATTGTCTCTCTCTCTCTCTCTCGCTCTCTCTTCCTCTATTTAAATCCTTCATTTTCTTTCTCTTTTGACCTGTTGTCTTTTTTTCTTCAATGCTGTCAACTTCCAAGTGGAATCCCATCAACACAACCAGCAACATGTTGCATGATTCTTCTCGAATAACCATCGATCAAAATGATTACTATGGTCGCTTGACAACACGTCTTCCTACACCACCTGTTCTATATCCCGGTCATGTCACCGATCTTGGTTCTTCCTCAGGCACTCCATCACCCAAGGAAACCTTGAAGGATTACTTTGAGCCTTATACAAGCGACATTCATTCGCCACACTGTAGTAGGGTAGGTATACAACAGCTGTCATGGAGGTATAATGTATAACATCTTGTATTGATTTATTCTTCAAAGGATGCATCCGTGTCTAAATTTTGGCGAGACGACCCTCTCTTTACCAACAACGACTTTGAACACCTGGTTGGCAATGTACTGGATGACGAGGATAAGCTGGCATTCTCTTCGTCGCCAACATTACACCGCACCATTTCCACGCTCCTGTCAATTACTGCAACCTCGTTGGCGACCATGTCTCCTGACCATGTTGGACATCACTTGCAGAATGCCATTGGGGTGATTCACCAGCTTGTCGACTCGTTGAAAGCAACACAAACCGATTTGGACAAGGTATAGCACGAGTGTGTTACAAGTGCAACGCGTCTTTCTAAAACGGACCGCATGATAGAAATGCCATCAAGTGTGGAGTCTACAATCATGTCTGTCAGCCAAAGAACTCGAGGTGCGCAACATTAAGCAGCAATTAGCGGTTGCCAATAGACTCTACGATACACAAACTATCAAGCTTCAACAAATGACTGAAAAGTAAGTGATCTACTCGTTTCTCTTGATTCAGGGTCATTAATAGCAATAACATTTAGGAAAACGATCATTTCGGAGCAGTTGCCTAAAACCAACACTCGTCGACGTCCTTCCGAGGTAAGTAACATCTTCATTTACATGTATCTTTTAATACTCATACAATACGTATCCATAGAAACCAAGCCAATCTCGTCAACAGCAAGGTATTCTTAATGCTGAATATCGCCGTCATCTTGACAAGAATGCCCAAGTCGATTGGGAGGTAAATCCACACACATATTGGATTGAAACAAAATGCTGCAGTGTGCTAATAATAACGATATTAGGCCATGGTGGACAAGATTATCCAGCGTGGTGACCAACAAGCATCCCTGTTTCTGCAACAAAAATTAAAGTGCGTCACTGAGGAGCAAAAGCAAGCTATTTTTGAAGCAATCTTGCCTCAAGCGTATCCCCTCATGACCAGCCGATTTGGAAATTTCCTAGTGCAGCGTCTCCTTGAAGTGGGCACCATTGATCAAGTAACTGCGTTGATCGCAACTATGCAAGGACGAGTCGTAGCACTGACATGCCAACAATTTGGTTGCCATGTGCTTCAAAAGGTACGTAACACATACATGTGTTTCCCATGTTATCATGCTAATAGATATTTTTGGATATAGGCATTTGATTGCTGTTCCGATGAACAGATGAAAGCCGATATGGTATGCGAGCTCTTCGAGAACATCCAAGATACAATCACACACAAGCACGCTTGTCACATTTGGCAAAAGGTCTTTGAGATGCAATGGACTATTCCCAATCCACCCGCCGTTATGGAGCATGTTAATAAGGCTATCCAAGGACGATGGACTCAAGTTGCATTGGACGAGACTGGCAGTTTGGTGATCCAGCACATCTTTGAGAACCTTAAAGAAGATGCCGGCAAACGACCCGTTATCGAAGAAGTGCTCACAAACGTTGTCACTATTGCCAAAGGCCAGTGGGGCAATTGGGTTATTCAACATGTACTTGAGCAAGCACAAGATAGCCGTGATCGGGAGCGTGCTTTTGAAGCGGTACTTGAACATGCAGCAACTTTGAGCATGGATCAATTTGCATCCAAGGTGGTGGAAAAGGCTTTACGTGCTGGTGGTCCAGTTTTCCTTGGACGCTTTATGGATAAGGTGCTAACAAGTGGTCAACGTCGACGAGAACCATTGATCGACATGGCGTCTGACCAATATGGCAATTATGTGGTACAATGGCTGATCAACCATACGGAGACCAATGACCAAGTCAAAATGTGTCGTCTGATCAAGCGGCATATGGTTTCGTTACGAGGATCGAAATATGGACAACGCGTCGCATTCCTTGTTGAAAAAGTGCTTCGATCGCATGAAATTACTACTTATCCCGCTCAACATTGAACAAATTACAGCTCACGGGCGTGCCCTGACCTGAAGATTTGACCGACACATGCACATACTACTACTATATATACACACGCAGCAGCATATGCATCATCTTTTCCCTTTTTTCTATGTACCATATACCTAAAAGCAGCACCATGGGGCGGGATATCTATCTTTACCATATCATATAACGCTTCTAAGCTAACAATCTCCACCTTCCCAAGTAGTCAATCAACAGAATAAATCACATATCTAAATGCTCTTTGAATCCTTAATTATGATTTCGAATATGGAAAGCTTTCACAATGTGTGATGTTGTTTTTGTAGATGCGTTCTCCCCTTCTTTCTAAAGCCATTTTTATATGACAATGCATTACGTTCTACTCCTTGCGTTTGCCATGAGCTACGTGGTGCTCTCTTTCACGAGACAAACAACTCGTTATTTTAATAACAATGCGTTGAGTCACAGTGTTCGATCCACACATGATCCAATCACATGATAGCCATGATGAATACAGATGACAAGGGCTTACAATTATATGAGGGATGGAGAATGACGACGATGGTTTATAATTTTGGGATGGAAAAAACTAACAATGAACACCCCGATTGCCATGGCAGCCGTTGCCGTCGCAGCAACACCGGCATGTGACACCAACAACTAATTTTTTTACGTCTGGGTTGTGTAGCCCAGCTCTCCCTTTCTCTTTACTAAAGAGTAGACCAGTGATTCTCATCCTTTTTCCTTTTCATCTCTTTTGTGAATTGACAATGGCTGATACACCTGCAGTTAACAAAGCACAGTCAAATGTTGTGGATGACTTTTTGGCTGCATTGTTTGCCAGCAATCCGACACCTACATTGGAAAAGAAACCACAGAGTCAACCCAAATCTCCCCAGCAGAGTACTGCTACTACTACTTCTACTACTTCTACCACCTCTGATACACCTAAACATACCGACAACGACCAGCAAGGTGGTGCTGCTGCTGCTGCGGGAACAACCAAGCGTGCTGAAATCCTGGATGAATTTGATGAATATGAGATGCTTTCAAAGCGCAAACATGAGGCAAAAGATAGCGCTGTCAATGCTCGAAAGGGCGGCAAAGCTGGATTCAAGCCAAAGAAGGCTGCAAAGAAAGCATGGCCCGAGGCTCGTTTACTTGTTCGAGGTATTCCTCATACAGCCAAGAGGCGTGATGTGCTTAAGCACTTTAACAAATATGGGAATATTGTGGAAAGTCATTTTGGTGGCAATGGCATGGACTACATCCAATTTGATTCCCCAGCTTCATGTACAGCTGCTCTTGCAGAAAATGGCACAAATATCAAAGGATCTGTTATTGGTAAGGGGTTAAGTTATAAAGGTCTTTAGGAATAGAAATAGCTGATGCGTGTGTGTATCTATATATGCGAATAGAACTCGATGTAGCCGCCAATCCTCGTCCATTTGTAAGCTATGAGAACTCGACACAACAACATCAACAGGTTCCATTTCGTGCAGGCAACAAATTCTCTTCACGGGGTGGTGGTGGTAATGCACCTGCGTCTCGAGGAAGGGGTGGTCGTATGAGAGGTGCTGGACATTTTCAACCTTATTCTATGCAACAACCTTCACAGCAACAACAACAACAACAGGTGCCAGAATATGATCCTACAGATTACTCAATGTGGAATGGGGGATATAGAGAGAATTACAGCAATCAACAACAACAACAACAGCAACAGCAACAACAACAACCTTCTTTATATGAGAATAATGGATATCGTGGAAAGCGTGGTGGTCGGCAAGGCATGCGTGGTGGTGGACGTGGGAAACCAAAGGGTGTAATGGCTCGTCAACAGCATCAGCGTCATCCTTCACCCGTTGCTCGAAATGATCCATTATCTATATTACAAAATCGTGATGCTCCAATGATACAAGTGCTTGCTTATGGACATATGGATCAGGGTTTTGTGAACTATGTGGAATCTTCTTTTGCCATTCGACGTATCACTACACATACCCTTTATGTTCAATATGGTCAGGTTTCACGTGAGGAAATTGTGAAGCAACTCATTTTACAAGGTGTCAAGGCTCTAGTTGTTCTTGATCAAGGAAAGGAATCCATGCGTAAATTATATCTTCAGGTCTTTGAGCGGAATACAACGGGTGCCAATAGCTATCGTTTTGATGGTAAGGTTTTGCTCATATTGTTTTATCATCAGCTTGCTCATTATCCTTGTATAGAATATGATAGCGTTTCGGTGGATGAAGCCATTGCAGTTATTGAACGATCACAGGCTAATGAACAGCCACAATCCATGCCTCCCGCCACATCTACAGCTCAAGCCGCATATCAAGCACAGCAATTACTAATGCAACAACAGCAACAACAGCAGCCACAACAACCACCATCCACTCAAGCACAAGCAATATCCAATCTTGACCCAAATACTTTGGCCTCTGTCATTGGTTTATTAAAGAACATGGTGCAACCATCAACACAACAACAACAGCAACAGCAACAACAGCCACCACCACCACAAGCACCTGTACCGATTTCGGGAAATCCAGCATACGCTTCACAACCCATGGCACAACCACCAAACCCAGCAGTGTCCTTATCACAGTTACAGCAGCTCTTGGGATCAGCCTTGGGAACATCGTTTTCACAACCCAATGCCAGCATGACGGCTCCTTCACCTGCTACATTTAATCAACAAATTCCCACTACATTCCCTTCATCCCAGCCACAACATGTTTCTTCACCAGCATATCCACCAGCACAACCACAACAGCAACCCATGACATCTATACCTACTACTTCAGCTCCCAATCTCTCGGTTGGTGATTTGCTTCAGAAACTTCAAAGCTTAACTCAGCAACAAATGCAACATCAATAAATGACCCCCTCCCCATTGCGTATATAGTCCTTTAAAACAATCATGCTTTATAAATGTGATTTGTGTTTCATGCGAGATACTAGATGATGTGTGCGATGTTGAATTCAAGATGATGATATGGAATTTGCTTAGTTCTTCTTGTGAGACTTGTAATAATTGATAAGACCATTGGTAGAGGCATCGTGAGAGGTGACTTGACCAGCTTGACCGAGTTCGGGAAGAATAGCCTTTGCGAGTTGTTTGCCAAGTTCAACACCCCATTGATCGAAGGAGTTGATATCCCAAATGATACCTTGAGTGAAGATCTTGTGTTCGTACATGGCAATCAATGCACCAAGAGTAGCGGGGTTGAGGATCTGGAACATGATCGAGTTTGTAGGCTTGTTACCCAAAAAGATACGATGGGGTACAATGTTTGCATCTGCATTTGGACCCATTTCAGCACGAACTTGTTCTTCAGTCTTTCCCACCATCAATGCTTCCGTTTGAGCGAAAAAGTTGGAAAGCAAAATGTCGTGATGGTTGCCAAGGGGATTGTGGGTTTCCACGGGAGCCAAAAAGTCGCAAGGGATCAATTTGGTGCCTTGATGGATGAGCTGATAGAAAGCGTGTTGACCATTGGTACCAGGCTCACCCCAGATGATGGGACCAGTCGAAGTTTCCACTCGTTCACCTGAGCGAGACACGTACTTTCCATTGGATTCCATATCACCTTGTTGGAAATAAGCAGGGAATCGATGCATGTATTGGTCGTATGGAAGAATGGCTTCACTCTCGGCACCAAAAAAGTTGTTATACCAAACACCAAGGACAGCAAGCAATACGGGGATGTTGTTCTCCAAAGGTGTATTCAAAAAGTGTTGATCCATCTCATGGGCACCACGCAATAATTCTTCAAAGTTGTCAAAGCCAATGTAGATAGCAATTGAAAGACCAATAGCGGACCAGAGCGAGTAACGACCACCAACCCAATCCCAAAACTTGAACATGTTCTTGGGGTCGATACCAAATGCACTCACGGCTTGGGTGTTGGTGGAGAGTGCCACAAAATGTTTGGCCACGTGTGCAACCTGAATTAGAAATGCACATGAGTAAAACAATCCCTTGTTGTTCACACACACACATACAAATACTTACATCCTTTGCTGATGAAAGGAACCAATCCTTAGCAGAGGTAGCATTGGTGATCGTCTCTTGCGTAGTGAATGTCTTGCTGGCCACAATGAACAAAGTAGTCTCGGGATTGGCATGCTTGATCACTTCAGCCAAGTGAGTACCATCAATGTTGGACACAAAATGCACACGAAGACCATCCTTGCTATATGGCTTGAGAGCTTCGGTAACCATAACAGGACCCAGGTCAGAGCCACCAATACCAATGTTGACGACATCAGTGATAGCTTTGCCGGTATAGCCTTTCCATGCACCTGAACGCACCGATTCAGAGAACTCCTTCATGTGTGCGAGCACTTCACGTACTTCAGGCATGACATCTTCACCATTGTCATAAATGGGCTTATCGCTCAAGTTACGCAAAGCGACATGCAATACAGCACGATCCTCGGTAAAGTTGATATGCTCACCACTGAACATCTTGTTACGCATCTCCTCAACCTTGGCTTCCTTGGCAAGTTCCAATAGCAACGAAAGAGTGGTATCATTGATACGGTTCTTGGAGAAATCAAGCATGATTGACGCGTTGTTGCCTGAAAACTGACGCGAATACTTTTCAAAGCGTTGGGGATCTTGGTTGAACATGTCCTTCATGACAAGGTGTTGACCTTCTTGGTCGTAATGTTGTTGCAACTTGCTCCATGCAGAGAGACGATTGGCGAGGACCATGGTGATGACTTGAGAGAGAGAGGGAAAAAAAGTGGTGTGTTGTATCAAAGAAAGAGGGAATAAATGGCTGAGGCCTAATCAACCCAACAGCCCTTTTGCAAGATGCCCAGTTTCCTTTTCCGATATGCGGGTAGGGGTTGTGATGTATGCTGCATGTCCCCACTTTTCACACCATCACCACCTATCGTTTCATCTTTGTCATTGCCATTGCTTTCAAATCACCTTTATGATAATAACAAATAAAGAGTATATCTACTTTTCATCCACAATACATACTTGATATCATGCAATCATATCCTAATTTCCGAGCCATCCCTTAGCTCGACCCGAAAAAGCCAGCAGTTTCCCAGCAAAAGGGAACATCGGAGATGAGCGTGTTTTGATGATAGCCCAACAAAACATCCTTTTCCCCGGTCCATTGCTTATCGATGCGACAATAAAATACGTCAACAATCAACAATCATTGATCCGCACGATGATACAAAGATCTTGTGCCCAATTCATTTATTATACACGTCCCATTGTCTCCCAACCCAGCCCATCACCATCATCATCACGTCATTAACATTAGCTTTCCCGGAAGGCGATCTGCATCGGATACACATTTATCCAATCCCAGTCATCCGAACCATCCATAGACTGTCATTTACACGTATGCATCGATTGAAGATAGTGATTTGGAGGTAAGGGTGATACAAAAGCATTTGTGGGACTTGCATTTTTTGGATCGAACCCGATAAATGCTATCTGAATTTGAGTAATGTGGATGTATTATATGAGATGCGAAATGTCCTCGTAAGAGTTGCATAATCGAGTCGGATTTTGCAGTAATACATCATGCGCAACGGCGAGTGTCTGAGACACCCTTGCATAAATGGGATCCCATGCAAGCGTATATAGCGAATGCAATCATATTGCGTTTACTATCGCTTCTTGCTTTATTATATACACACACCACATTATGGCTCCAAAGAAACGTACCAACGAGACAAAGGAAGATACAGCAAAGGAAGAACCACCCGCCAAAGTGCAAAAGGGTGAACATGACAAAGATGAAAAGGCTGTCAAGGATGAATCTGCAGGTGTCAAAGTACTAGAGAAAGGTCACATCTTCTTCTTGTATCGACCCAAGGTAAATCCAGAGGTGCATCTTCGTATACGTCGCTCATTCTCAACAACTTCTTTTTTGTTATGCGAAGGTTGATTCGGACGAAGTAGAAAGCGCATCAGATGTTCAAAAGGTCTATATGGTGTTGAAACCAAATTGGCATTCTTGTAAACCAAAGCGGCAGCCAACATTGATCGTCCTTGGAAGAAAAAAGTTGCCCGATCCAGAACATCATTCACGCTATTGGGGGTTTGTAGCTGAGGCTTCCAAAGATTTGACAGATGCATTCAAAGAACATTCCTATGAGACCAAAACGAGAGGAGAGCGTACTGTGCATCCTTCAAGGCCCATGGTAGGTTTGCATGAAATTCATGTTCTGGATTTGAATGTGTACTAACTTTTTGTATTAGGGTGAAGGTGTATATGAAATCGCCACCCATAATGGCCATTCGCACCTAGCATACATGTTAACATTGCCTGACAAGCCACATGAGGTTCAGGAAGCTTTCAACATTGAAGAGAAAGCGAGCATCATCATGGCTGTAAAGGTAAGATGACAAAATTACATGCCGCATGATGATGATTATCTCACCTTGTATTTGATAGAACCCTGAGAAATCATCGCCGCCTAGTGCTGGTCTCAGCTCAAAGCAAAAGGCTGATTTTCCTAAAGAGCTAATGGAAGCTTTTGCCGACCGACGCTTTATCCAAATGGAAACTACTGAATTTCTCAACTACAAGGATTGCGAGCTGATGTTGATTGGTGCAAGTAAAAACGTCGAAAAGGAGCTAGGCAAGGCGGGTAAAGAGCTTAAGGAAATGGAAAAGAAAGATGAAGAGCATATCGAACATGTTGGCGTAGACAAATCAGTATTTGATGAGCTTGAGATTGAAAAGAGCCAAAATCCAGGTTCACCGCTTCAAGGAGATTGGGCATAAGAAAACAATGACCCATTTTGATTGTGCGCCATGTTGCACAAAATGTCCTGCATGACAACAATCCCTCATCATTAATCACACTAGCATCAACTTGTAATGTAGTCATTTGAGAAAGTCCATCCAATAACACAAGCTTGTTTATTGATCTCTTAAGGTTCATGATATGGATGATTGGTGTAGTGGCAAGCTGCTGCTGACTACTGTGAACGTCACTTGTGCCATCCTATTAATGTCACTCCATCGCCTCATGCTTCAAAAGACCATAAGCTTCTACTCCATCTTTGAGAAAAATGGTTACCATGGAAACGTGCTGGATTTGTTTAATGAGGATTACCATGCCGACAGGATACGGTATTGCGCACAATTTGGGATTAGCCTTATAGCATTTTTCATAATTCATAAATTGTTGGTCCTCGATACTAATGTAAGACGATCTAAAGTGATTAGCGGGAAGCTGCCGAAAAGTATATAAGGTCATATTAGGTGTTGGTTTAACAACGTCATGCAGCAGCAGCAGTAACGAAAAGATCTTTAACACGCGACATTACTACTATGAGCCTCGTTGTACTTTTAGATGTTATCATGGTAGATAATGGGTTGGGTGCATCAATCAAGCACACATGATGATAGGGGAGAGTGATCACTTTTATGGTGGTTGTCTTTTATCAGTAACTGAGCCGGAGACGCGAGATTCGACAACAGATTTTTTTGGGTTCGCGAAGTTGCGCGTGGTCTTTCTTTTTCCCTACCCATTCGGAAGACACTATGGATCAAGCAGTCTATGAGACATTGCTCAACGTTGGCAATCCTGACGGTACCATTCGCTCGGCTGCCGAACAGCGATTGAAGGAATTTGCCTCTTCTTCCCCTGGTAATTTACAACAAGCTTTGTGGACGATTACAGTATTAACGCTTGTTGCAGAGTTCCCCGTTAGTCTCGCTCGTCTCACAGTGTCTCAGGACATTAGCATTCCTCAACGTCAAATATCCTTTTTTATTGCTTTCAATTCAGTGTGATTCTATTTCCAAAGAGCTTCTGATCAACCTTAACCCACTATTGTTGTCTTTACTTGGCAGCTGTTACTCTCAAGACGTATGTCACTACTCACTGGTCTTCTCGAAACGAGGAAACATTCCAAGGACCTGAGCCTTTGCCCGAGGTAGGTTTATAAGTCATATTTATACGTATATAGATCTTGGTCTTTTAACTTGTATCTATTGCATTAGTGCAAGAATGCTGTGCGTGAAATCATTGTGCAAGGCCTTGCTGATCCCGAGTCCAAGATTCGTGTGGTGAGCGCCTATGTTGTTTCCAAGATCGCCCATGATGATTTCCCCGAAGATTGGCCCAACCTCTTGGATATTATCTTGAGCTATCTCAAAGCAAACAGCGCTGATAGTGTCCATGGTGCTATGCGTGTGCTTCTCGAAATGGTCAAGCGTGATATCAGCATTCAACAACTTCCTCAAATTGGACCTGTTCTTGTGCCTGAGCTTTATCGAATTATGACTTCGGATAATGTAAGTGAATGGAATGCCATGGATGCAAAAAGAGACAAGGATTAACCTACTGCATAGTTATATTCTTTCCGTACACGTGGTCGTGCTGTCAGCATCTTCGATAGCTGCACTCAAATGCTTCAAACCATGCGGGATGATAATCCACAAGCCGTCGATCAGTTCATGGCACCCATCTTGCCCCAATGGATGCAAGCTTTTCATACCATTCTCTCTCATCATGTCCAAGGCGATGCCGAGAAAGCTACAGCTGAGTATGGTCTCAAGATGGAAGTACTCAAGGTAAAGAGATCATATGCGTGCCTATTTGAACGATAAAGTAGCTCATCGTTGTATTGTTCTCTTAGTGTATCGGTAACCTCAGCAAGGAATTCTCGTCCTTTATCCTCGAATCATTGCCTCAATTCCTCGAGCCTGTTTGGAACGATTTGTGCAGCTTGAAGGATCGCTATGTGACCGAGATGGTGCTTGAATCGGATGGTGTTGGTGAGAGTTTCCAGGATTCGGATGGTAGTGAAATCGGCTTCCAGGTCTTCCTTTACTCGATCTTTGATTTCATGTTGGCAACTTGCATGAAAAAGACTGTCAGGCATCTTTTTGTCAACAACCGTGCACCCACTCAGCTATTCGAGCAAATGTTGTACATCATCATCGTCTATTTGCAAATCACCCAAGAGCAGGAAGAGATCTGGTTGAACGACGTGAATCAGTACATTGCTGATGAGGACGATTACACTTACGCTTATTCAGCTCGCGTCGCATGTTGGGATTTGCTTGCTGTAAGGATCCATTCATATGAGGAAAAAGGTCGTTTGATATTAACCTTGTTGCTATGGTCATAGTCTTTGCAAGATGCTTTCCCCGATCCATTTGCTGCTGCACTCCAAACCGCCGTTCAACGCCATATCAATGAATCTAATGCTGCTCGTGCTGCAGGTGATAACAACTGGTATGTAGGATCAATGGAAAACATGAGAAATGGTATTCATATTGGGGATTAGGTGGAAGATCCAAGAAGCCTCTCTTTGCGCTGTGGGCCGTTCCGCTGATGACATTATTCTTGGCATGAAGGATGAAAAGCGCAATGTGCAATTTGATATCAAGAGCTTATTTGACCACGTGATCATGGATAGCATGAGAGCCAACGGTAAGGGAAAAGTCTAGTTTACTTGCGAAGCTAATATCTAATGGATGCGTGCTCATCTTGAATAGGTTTCCCCTTCCTTCAGGGTCGTGCATTTGTGATCGCATCCGAGCTTGTGGAAATTCTTCCTCCTGAATTGGCCAGCAATTATGTCCGTGTTGCAGTGGAAGCACTTCAAACCCCTGATGGCAGTATTCCTTTGAAGGTATCTGCACTTCGCGCTCTCAACAAGTAAGGATCTATATATGCGCATGGAGGTTTCTCAAATGGTGATTGACGTATGTTGGATATAGCTATTGCCGACAATTGGATGTTGAATATGCCGCTCCTTACCAAGTCAACATTATGGAATGCGTGTGCCAATTGTTACCAGATGCCACTGAAGAAACGCTGATGCTATTGTTACAGTCGTTGTGTGCTGTCATTAAGATCAAGCCCGAAGTCACCGCTCAATACGAACACATCTTGACTCCAGCTGTTCTCAACACATGGAAACGCTTCCCTACCGATTCAATCATTGCCAGCTACATCCTTGACGCTGTGGAAGGATTCGCCAAGAATGAACATTATGCACCAGCTCTTTACGGACGTTGTTTGCCCTTCCTTGACAGCGTGTTCAAGACCGTGTCTAATCAGCCTGTGGTGATGGCAGTAAGTGAATGCTTGGGACTTATGGATGTCTTGGATCTCAATCAAATGCGCTTTTAGTCTGCCGTGGATCTCTTGACAGCCATGATTCGATACGCCAAATCACCATTGCCCAACGAGTTCACTGAACAAATGTTCCCTATCGTTATGGAGCTTGGCTGGAATTCGACCGATGAGGATATCTTGCAGGTAATGTCTATTGTATTGCTTATCATCATTATGGGAAAGCATGCTTATTTGGATTGATTAGAGCGTTCAAGAGTGCTTGAAGCAGTATATTTCCAAGGATTGCGATCACATTATTCAATGGCACGATGCAAGTGGAAAATCAGGATTGGATTATGTTATTCACTTTGTGGCCAAGTTGCTTCAATCATCTACTCCTTCACAATCTCTCTTTGTCGGCGACTTGATCATTACATTGATTCAAAAGGCTGGCAACAATATCGCTGGTGTTCTCCCTGAGTTGCTCAATGCCGTTCTTGCTCGTTTGCAATCCACCGATTACCAGCCATTTGTACAGGTAAAGTGATGCTACAAGTTTATTTTCTCTTTGAATATTGTTACTTATCGAATGCAAATGAACGTAGTCTCTCGTCATGGTGTTTGCTCATTTGATCATTCAGCAACAAGATACTGTGTATCAATTCTTGTGCAACACAACTGTCAATGGCAAGGGCGGTCTCGAGATTTTGATGCAAATGTGGTGCGACTACTTTGATTCCTTCTCCGGCTACTATTCGCTCAAAGTCAGGTACGCATTAATGGTTTTTTTGGGACTAATACCGGTTTAGCTAACACACACACTCTGTCTCTTTGTTAAGTGCCATTGCCTTGTCCAAGGTGTATTTGATTACCGATCCTCGTTTACAAAGCTTGACCGTTCGTGGTGATATCATTGCTGATCCAAATGGTGGCATTGTGACACGTTCCAAGGCTAAGAACAGTAAGTAGTGCAAGCGTGCATTTCACCCATGCATGGTGATTAATCATTTGTGGATACAGGACCTGAACAATATACCGCTATTCCTCTTCACGCCAAGATCATTCGATTGTTAGTGGGCGATCTTGCCAATGCTAGTGCTACTGGTGCCGAATTCTTCAATGAAGAAGTAAGAGAGGATATATAGAACATGGGGTGTGAGTTGCATTCAATGTTGATAATTTTCATTGTAGGACAACGAAGGAGCCTACATATCTGACAGCGAGGATGGTGGCCAGCTCAGCAAAGCCGACTTTGAATTCCTTTCCGGTAAGCATCAGTTTTTCCCCCCCCCCATTGATATGGATGCATCCTACTTACACACAAAATGTCTATAGAGATGCTTGCTGGTACCGAAGACGATGATGAAGAGAACAATGAAGAACTCAAGAACGATCCAATCTACCAAACCGATATGCGTGCCTACTTGTTAGACTTCTTCCGCAATTGCTCTGCTCACAATGTCAATAACTTTATGGAGTTGTGCCAACACCACTTGCCAGAGGCAGAAAAGGAGATCCTGGAAACCGAGCTTAAGAAATAATAGTCATCTCCCGCCGTCCACAACACCAATCTATTTTAATTGCCTGTATTGCCCTTGATATATCCTCATATAAACAATCTCACTTGCTCCCATATGGATGCTTTTATAAAGATGTCCCTTATTCACATTATAGAACTTCTAGTGATATAATGTTGTATCTTTTCTTAGTAGTGCTATGCAAGGTTCCACAATGACAGCGATCTGAATGAAGCTTGTTCGAGATAGGTTACACAATACGACAAGATGCTAAATTTGAACATGTATTTTCTCTTTAAACTGTCACCAGAGGAGATGATGGAATATGGATGGATTGTAATAAAAAGGAGGGAGCATAACCACAAGGATCGACGTAGATGGTGAAGGGTTGTATATAATAGAGATGATGGAATATGGGCAAGAGAATAATGCGTATGTGTAATCACCACGTGAAGCACCGGATGCAGGATGGATGGGGATCGTTAGATGCAATGGGGGATGATGCTCCAGGAGAAACAGGCTATGTTGCCACCGTCACATGTGGAATAGGTCGTGGTGCATGGTAACTAGAATAGAAGCAGCACTTCTCTTTCCCGCTCTACTCTACACCTTCTCCTCCACCTCCACAACCACCACCACTTACCCTCTCTATATATTACTATGAATGGCTATTGGTCACCAAAGGCCATTGGTAGCCTCGTCTTCGTCAATGGGCTCGTTTTCATACAAGGCTGCTCTGTTTATGTGTGGCAATACTTGGCACTTGTCCTATGGCCCATCTCCCAACAAGCATACTACCAATTCATAAATCTCGTCATGTCCATCTGGGGTCTCACGCTCATGTTCCTTATCGACACCTTTTGCCCAGCAAGCTTTGTGCTCAATATCGACCCGAGTTGCAACACTGACACCGAACCAATGCTACAAAAGGATAAACAAGATAAAACGATCGGGTTATCGATGCCGAAAAGGGCTATTGTGATTGCCAATCATCAGGTAATGGGGGAGAAGGATATATGGAAGGGAGAAGGATGTTCATGCTTGGATGTCTCTAGATCTATGCCGATTGGATTTACATTTGGTGTCTCGCCTATTTTGCCAAGGCGCAAGGTTCGCTCAAGATCATTCTTAAGGATAGTCTCAAACGATTGCCGGTTTTCGGTTCGTAAGTGGTTAAGGAACAATGGAATTGGCTGTCATTGTGTATTAATATCATGTTCTTTGTTTCTGTAGGGTAAAAGATGGTTGTTGGTCTTTCACGCGACATGCAGCTGACATGTCCTTTTCTCCTTTTTAGGTCATGACGTTTTTTGAGTTCATTTTTCTCAAAAGGAAGCTGGCAGCAGACAAGGATACGATTGTGAACAACCTTACTCGATCAAGAGAAGCAAACAACCCCATGTGGCTCTTGTTGTTCCCTGAAGGCACAGTGATCTCCGAGAGTACAAGGAAACGATCAAGCGATTATGCCAAAAAGATGGATATGGTATGGAAGGGTGGGATGATGATGATGGTACATTGGTGGTGATGGTGATCCTTCGCACTCACACGCACAAAACATGGCCCACCCTTACACAGCAAGACAATCGTTTTACACTCCTGCCTCGTTCAACTGGTTTGAAATTATGCACGGAGACGTTGGGTGACAATCCTGAATGGTTATATGATTTGACTATTGGTTACGAAGGTGTCAAGGCCAATGAGAATCCCGAGGATGTCTACACGATCCCAAGCATCTTTAGTGCTTATCGATACCCCAAGCAAATCCATGTCCATATTCGGCGGTTCAAGATCAGTGATCTTCCCAAGGAGGATGATGCGTTTGCACAGTGGATGTTCGATCGTTATGTGGAGAAGGATCAATTGATGGCGCACTTTTATGAGCATGGTAAATTTCCTGGAGAATGCGATGCTGAGCTACCAATTGTCATGAAGGAGCCGACTCCAAGCTTTTTATTACTATGGCTCTCCTTTGTACCTTGTATTCCATTGATCAAACTCGCTTTGGGTGCCATCAAATCTGTTTTATAATAAAGTTTTCAGATAATGCATAATCAAGTAAGTGGGATTTACTATCTTGTTTGTTTTGTGATAAGGATAAGGAATGAATATCACATTTGAATGATATGGCTATATTCTATCGAGCGGGGTTCTTATCTCAGTGGGGGGTGATGATAATGCAAGAGTAGGAACAGCATTGCGTCTTCAACAGCCAATCATATCTACGCCCGAGCACGTCTATCAATCTCATCCATTATAAAAGTTTGTTGTCAGCCTGTCTCAAGTCATTCACTCTTTTATTCCCTTTTCATCAAATCGCATCATGTATCCTGCACCGAGAGTCCCTCATCCTCAAGGTGGTGCCTCGCTTATGGTCGCCTTCCAATGCAAAACAAAACGTGCCCTTGTAGTGGGTAACAATGCCATTGCCGCCAGTCGGGTGCTTACTTTGCTCGAAGCCGATGCTGCTGTTTCGCTTGTTGGCGTTCAAGATACCATGTGCACAGAACTTCTTTATCGTATCGAGCATCAACAAGTCTCCTGGTTGGGTGAACATTGCCATGACGACCTCATTGATCAACACGATCTGGTGTTCGTATGCATGTCCGATCGTAACGCTGCCGAGACTATTGCCAAGGCTTGTCGTTCTCTACGTGTACCTGTCAACGTAACTGATAACAACGACCTGTGTGATTTCTTCATGACTTCGACGTATCGGGATCAATCTCTCCAAGTGGCAGTATCGACCAATGGGCAAGCATCCAAGCTCTCCAATAGGATCCGCCGTCATATCACATCTTCTTTACCACCCAATCTTGGTGATGCTGTGCGACGTGTGGGATTGTTACGACAAAAAGTACGTGAATCGGATCCAAGTGCAGCAGCCAGCAGTCGTCGGATGAAATGGTTGGCTCAAATTTGTGAATATTGGAGCATGGATCGATTAGCACAGCTATCGGATCGTGATATGGAGGATTTATTGGAGGCGTATCATCAAGATGAAGGGTATGAGAGTCTTGGCACTGCTGGTAGAATTGCATCATTAGGCGCACCACCAACACCAGCCAACATCACCACCACCACAACATCAACAGCAACACGTACTGGAACCATCACATTGGTAGGAGCTGGTCCTGGTGATCCCGATTTGTTGACAATGGCAGCCCACAAAGCTATCCAAAATGCCGATCTCGTACTTGCAGACAAGATTGTTCCAGCCGAAGTGATTGCTTTGGTCAAGTGTGATCTTAAGATCGCTCGCAAATTTCCTGGCAACGCCGATGCAGCACAACAAGAATTCAACGCTATGGCACTTGAAGCATTGAAACAAGGCAAAAATGTGGTACGACTCAAACAAGGAGGTATGTTGGTATAAAAGAGGGAAGGAAAAACAAGGATACAACGACTAATGTGGCTCATTGTAGATCCATTTTTATTTGGACGTGGTGGTGAAGAGGCATTATTCTTCCGCAAACATGGCTACACAACCGACATCATTCCCGGGATTTCATCCTCTGTGGCTGCACCACTGCTAACTGGCATCCCTCTTACTCACCGCTCGGTTGCATCTCAATTTTTGGTGACCACTGGTACAGGCGCAAGAAATTCACCAGCACCCTTACCTACCTTTGATCCACATCGCACCGATGTCTTTCTTATGGCGATCCATCGATTGAATGCTTTGACAGAAAGTTTAATCGCCACACAAAAATACCCATCGGATGTTCCTTGTGCTATTGTTGAACGAGCAAGTTGCCCTGATCAACGCGTCATTTGGGGAAAGCTTAAGGATATTGCTCAAGTCTTGGATAGCGTAGGTGGAAGTCGACCCCCTGGATTGCTGATTGTGGGACATGCCATCAATGTCTTGAAGCATGAAAACCATGGAGATGAAGGTGTGGCCAATACATTGCTCACAGCGAGTGGATCTTGCATGCAGGATGCTGGAAATCTTTTGCAACTTCATGACCCAGAAAATGTATGCTAAGGAATACATGCACAAAAAGTATACCCTGGTGGATGACGACATGCAACGTGTGGAATGTTCCAGTTTTTCGGTTCAAGCAGCGCTGCTTGAAGATCGCTTGTCGGTACCTATCTCGTCTGTTCAACCAATTTAATCCATAGCTTGTCATATAATTAGATAGCATTGTGTATATAATCATTGTATTCAACATTACATAATTTATCCTGCCTTCATTGTTGTTGTTATTTCTAGTTTGATTGTTTGGTCAGTGCGCAATCAACCACGTGTCGATAGCCGTGTAACCTGGAGATGATTGAATACATGCTTGGCTGGGTTAGTAGATCTCTTGAATGTCTCCCAAAGGGTTATTTGTGTTGTTGTTAAGAGGTGGAATGATAATGATCTATCACGCTTTCTCCTATAGTCATTCCCCGCATCACAATAATTGGCTCATCAACGATCAGTCATGTTCTGGGCTTGCTTTAAGATATCCCATAATGCTTTCTTTTTTAAGGTTTAGCTTATTCCCCTCTTATGGTAACTATCATGATCCATTTCATTCACGAATATATATAACTAGAGGTTGATTGTTATAAGCATGCATCCGAGTGCATTGTGAATGAGCTCAATCCCCACATTGACATTTGCACGAGAGCCGATATGGGTCTGTCACATCAATTTAGAGCATCAATTGGCGGCGTGTAACATGGTAGAATAAGCTTGGGACCTGAACCACGTTTCCCGCATTGACCAGGGTCATGTTTCTAGTCAGCTTTCCTTCATCCAGGGGTCCTTTGGGATTACATAAAGGCTACCACCATATGATTTAATGTGATGGTTGATTTATCAATAGGGCGTTCATGAATAAAAGATGCAAGGAAGGATGTTGGGAGAATGATTCTAATACAATCACGTGAAACCGTCAAAGAAAGAGGGTGCAAAGTGTATCAAAAAGAGAGATTTGTAATACAAAACCGGAGAAAGGGACGGCGTGTAAATATGCAATAGATGACAATAATAGATATGTGTGCTTCTTCACCAGGAAAAAGGTAATGTTGGGTGAATGGGGTATCTAAGCCCAGACCTATGTATGATGTTTGTGTCATGAGAGATTCGATGCATGCATATTATTACTACTATCCCACTTTACCTTGAGATGACTATCCCAGCTGCCTGAACAAAAGGCCATGCCGTCTTTTGCGACACCAATGCAAGAGACTCTATTATCGTGACCAGAGAGGGTACCAACTTGTTCACCCTTTAGGCTATCCCAAACTCTTACGCTGTAATCGTCGTAGCCTGCAAAAAGTAGTCTGCCTGAGATGGAAAAATCAACGGAGGTGACAGTGTGCAAAAGATCTTCATTTGCAAAGCAATTAAGCTCGCTATCAGCTCTAAGATCGAATAAGCGACAGCTGGCGTCGTCTGAGGCTGTTGCAAATGCGAGTCCATCGGGAAAAAATCTATATCCACCACCATCATGATCATTAGCTAAACTCCCGAAAGATCCAAAGCAGTGTATGGAAGAGGATTTGAATGGGGGAAAACTTACTGCAAAGAGTTGATGTCCGATTCGTGACCCACAAATGTTTGTGTACACTGCCCTGAACGAATGTCCCAGACCTTGGCCTGTGTGTCGCAAGAACCAGAGACAAAGATGTTGGGGTTCTGGGATGAAAGAGACACGCTCATAACGTCGCTTTGATGATCCTCAAAAGATGTTAATCGAACACCTGCATCCACGTCCCATAAAATACAAGTATGATCTCCTCCAGAGCTCACGATTTTGGTATCATCCAGAAATCGGCAGCATGTAAGATAACCTTGATGCCCCATTAGTTCACGTGCAGGGCGACTAGGTCCTTGTCGTGTGCTAATGTTGTATACTGAACAAAGGTTGTCAAGGCCACCACAGGCAACGAAGCGGCCGGATGGTGAATAGGCACATGTCATCACCCAAGAAGAGCGAAGTGGGATGGCATACAACTTGTTGGTTGTGTATGCATTCCACACCATAAGTCTGCCGTCTTGGGATGCTGAAACAAGGTGTTGTGCGTCGTCAGCCCAATGCATCGCATAAATCTTTTGAAGATGGCCGCGTAGTTGTCGTCGTACTTTCATCACAAGTCGAGGAATCGGTGGGATATCTTTTGCCATTTCTTTCACTGTAATGAGGTTGTATAAGTCAATCAGGTCAAAGGAGAATGATAACGTGATGATCATTACGTGTTGTATCGGCAAGGGCATCTCGACGTTGTTTAATGCGGTCCTTAAGTAATTCAGCTTCTCGCCTTGCTGCTGCAATGCGTTCGGCAAGATCATCGTGATCGTCTGACATGTGGTATTTGTGGAAGAAGTACAAGTAAAAGAAAAAGAAAGGAAGCGCGAACAAAGAGGTAAAGGATAAAAAATAGTCAACGGATATCATCCCCGAAATTAATAGCATGCATGGCTGCATCCATGTCGTACAGCTATTCAAAGACAATCGGCAGCAGTAGTAGTAATGGATGATGCATCAAGACAGCCAATGGAGATAGTATTAAATTGAGGCTTTTATTACTCGATTGTGGATGTTGTATAGAGGTTGTGTAAATTGTTGTGCTAAGTGACATGTTTGTATTTGACTGCTGCTGTTGCTGCTTCAGATGCCACTTTGGCGGATCATCATTATTTAGTTTGCTGCGTGTCATGTTGGACAAGCTTACTGGCGGTTTTTCCTTTTCCTTACTTTCCCCGCCCTGAATCCAAATAAGGCATTTTGCCATCCTTTCACTTTGCCAATGCCTCTCTATCGCCGTGTCGTCAGCTTCCAGGTCCTTCAACGCGATCTCCATTCAAACTCTGCAACCGTTCAATGTGCTAATGGCACTTCACTCACCTTGCAAACGGGTGGTCCCTACACGGTCGACGATGCTCATCATATCTATGTTAGCGACATTTGGGTCATGGCTGGGCAGAGCAACATGCGTGGGTTTGGTTTTATGCATGACCTTGTCACTCAGCAACCACTTTTACACGACCCCATTCCCAGCGTTCACCTCTTCCAATCGAATGAAACATGGGCCGTTGCAGCTGATCCAACCCATCGATTGAGTCAATCGCCTCGTTCAGTGCACCATCGTCTTCCTGATCCAACAGTGCGCGATCCAAGTCTTGTGGATATACGAGGAGCTTCCTTGGGATTACCATTTGCAGCAAGATATCAGCAAGAGAATGATCAGGTACCAGTGGGACTCGTTGCAAGTGCACATGGTGGTACATCCATGGATCAATGGCTTGAAAATGGCGAGGATAGTCTTTATGGGGCTATGATGGCACGTATCGAGAAAGTAGGTGGTGCTGTGGCAGGGATCTTATGGTTTCAAGGTGAAACTGAAGGCATGGCAGGAGGTGATGTGATATACAGTTATGCCGACAAGACACGCCAATTGTTCGATAGGATGCGGGCCGACATTGCACCCGAGGTTCCCATTGCTTGTATACAACTTGGTCGATTGATCAGCACCAGTGTCCCTGACAACAGCTGGTCCCATATCCGATTTCAACAACAGCATCTCTTTGATACTTATCCACATTGCCAAGCTGTGGCTGCCATGGATACCGACAATGACGACTTTGTTCATCTCGGTGCAAGAGGTCTTGCCACAGTGGGTCGTCGACTTGCCATCGCTGCTACACATGTTCGACGTGGTGACAATACAACTTCTTCAAGTCCACGAATAGAGAAAGCTGTGGTACAACGCGTTCAGATCAAGAATGGAGTATCTATGCAATTCATCAAAGTATCATTTCAACATCCTGAAACCATTCATTGGCGTTCGCTATCCGAGGTGCATGGATTTAGTGTGCGTGACATCCAAGATGACAACAAGGAATATGCAGTGATTGTCAAGGCTTTAATCAATGAACAAGATGAGAGTGTGCATCTTTTTTTGAATCGTGATGCGGATGCCGTGCTTTCAAACAACAAGGATCGCTTATGCTTGTGCTATGGCTGGGGAAAGACACCAATTTGCAATCTCACCACGACCACCGATATGGCGCCTTTGGCGACAAAAATACCCTTATTGACTCCTTAAATCTATCATCCGATTTACCACTTTTTATTATCCTCCTCTTTCAATAAACCATAATTATGTATTAAAGGAAACAACGTATAGCACCAACAGGGCTACCATCAAGAGCAACATCCTTGCCTCGTATAAAGGGTGGGGTTTGACATTGCAGGTCATGATAAACTTCAATAGATGATCCCATTGTGCTGATACGCGTGGGTGGGTTGTCTTGAAACGTCATTTCTGAACATGTATTCGCTGGAAGATCCTCCTGGTTTTCGAATCCGTTGTAGTGATACGTGACCGTAACCGATTGAGCATATGCCAACAATGCCATGAGCGACATAATCAATGTAAGCATCATTTTTGAAAACATGGACGTATAAAGAAAGAGAAAAGAAGAATGAATGAGAAAGAAAAGGATGCCCGTAGTAAACAAAGAAACCATTATTATTCTTACCCCTTTGTTCACAATGCACAGACTGATCGAGACCGCCCAATGTTAACGAGCCAAAATGTTGCTCACTTTCCAAGGCTGCTGGGAGATTGCATATAGCAGGGCTATCGCATTACATGCTCTTCTAGTTATACCTTTTGACCCGTTATGATGAATCACCAATAAACTCAACCACATGTGCCAAAATGTCCAATGTAACTTTTTTGCCTTGTAGCTGAAAGCTTGCATCCTCACATAGTGGTGGTTTATCCTAGCAGTACATAACGCTTTAATGCATACTGCCAATTATTTATAGACGTATGTATTTTGTTTCACCTATCACTTCTTTCCTTGAATAGAGCTGCGATCACCGTCAAATTATGCACGGGCGTATGTAACATGCTGATCATTCATATGCAGCACGTATCTTTCATAGCCAATCCACAAGTTGACTCTGCGTACGTTGCATGAATACTTCATTTACAGTGACAAAGATCATCGACTTTTTTTTATAATACCGCATCTAATATAGCAAAGTACATGATTGGCATACTAATAAGAACTAAGGTAAATGCACCAAACATCAAAGGCCATGAGCCCACCACTTTTTGATCAGCTGGGGATTTGAAAAGTTCACCACACAGCAGCTCGGGTAAGAAAATACGCACATACGCTGCTCCAGGCAGCAAGAACCCTAAAGTGCAAGAAGAGGTTAAGGGGGTTTCAATACACGTTAGCATTGTTGTATGTATACGCTACCTATTGCAGTGGTGGAAACACCGCCAATGATGGCAAATACGGTACCAAGCTCGGTCAAGGTAGCTCCTAGACACAGCACAACGCAAAACATTGAGAGCGTTACGATACAATGTTGCCTTGTTGTTGGAAGTCGTCCCTCGGTATTGTGGCCAAGCATCTTTTGCAATGATTCACGACAAGGGTGAAGAGCCAGCCTAATGATAAACATTGTCAGCAGCATGACTACATCAATACCAGGTATTACTTACGGTATCGTCAATGCGATGAAAACTGCAAGGGTTAATCGAACCAAGTTGATGATGCTATCATTGGCAGGAAAATTTAAAAGAACGTTGGCATTGATGGCGGTATCGCCTCCAGCAAAACAAAAATAGCCAAAGATTGCAAATGTCATATTGAGCATAAAACCGATGCTTATGGATAATACATCAGCCTTAAGAAACTGTGAAGGGCGTTGATCTCGTTGGCTTAAAAAGACACCAAAGACGTTTTGCGAACAACCATACGACAAGCCCATAATAGCCAAGCCTTTGAACACTTGATCAAGGGATGGGTTGAGCCATACAATGTCAAATGGTGTATAGTATGCAGGCAATCGGATAGCGACACCAATAATAACCAAAGGCAAGAGCAACACACCAATCGTGGACCATTTTGCAAGCGGTGCGACCGAGCGTGGTAAACAAAGAGGCAAACTCTACACCAAGATGTTTAGAAAACCACATGCACAATGATATTTGTTGTCATCCCCGCTACTACTACCCATCTTGAAAAAAACAACTCACAAATAGTAAGCCGAAACAAACAACGGCTATATGTCGATCCGCGAACCATGGAAGCCAACCTCCTAATAGCTGTGGAAGCATATCACCAAGCACTGTATAGGTTATCTTTTTATGGTCAATCAATATGCCTCCTCGTTCGGTTGATAAGATGATGTTTATACTTGCATATGTAATATGACACAGCTGTACCAGCGGTATGAAAAACGAGCATCAAGTTGATGGCTTGGCCACCATGGCGACCGAGTAGACTTACGCGACAAAGATCAGCGAGCGTGTATTGACCGGAGCGCACACCCGAAAGGACTAGTAGATGCATTGCCATGCATGTCAACCCAGCAATGGTGATGGACATTGCTATACCAGCCCAAAAACCACAAAGGTACAGGGCAAGTGGCAAACCAATGATACCAGATCCCATCATGGCATTTACCAAATTCATGGATGAGCTGAGAATTGAACAAGTGCCATAGCCAGGCCGATCAGCTTGCAAAGCACCCATATTGGCTTGTGGAGAAGAAGGATTGGCAGATTCAAGCTCATCATTGTTGGCGAGAGTACCATAATCTTTATGATTGGGTGATGTTATAGCCCCACCACCACCACCAGTTAAGACCGTGGAATCATCATGTGAGCTGGTTGTTGTGAAAAAGCTGCTGCTACGACTAGGTGATGATGATGGCGATGGCAATGATCCTTCTGTTGTTGCCACCATAATGGGATAATACAAATACAGTAGACAAGAAGAGATGGAGAGAGAGAAAAAAAGAGCACAGAATAAAGAAGACAGCAAGTCGTGTTTTATGATTCGAGACTTTCTATCGATGCAAGATCATTGCAGATTTAATGCACGTGGTTGTTGATGATCTGGAGTACGTGAAACAAACATTTGGTTGTTGTTTGTCTATGTCCACAATCTCGGTGCTTCTCTACTAAAACATACACACACGCGCACACACACGGCTAATGTTTACTCATTGCATATGGTTGTACTTGTACCTTTCCATATTTTTATTCAGTTTATTCTTGATCCAACCAACTATACAAGCTATGGCACCGTGTAAAGTATTAAAGGTTTGTGGGGAAATGGATACACTGCTGCTGCTGCTGCTGCTGCTGCTGTATGCATAACAATGCCCGAAATGTGCCACCAGCCAACCAAAAGCAATCTCATTCTATGTAAGCAGTCAAAAGGTTTACCTATCGCAAACGATTATGATGGTGTACTTACCAGACAAATGCACTACTATTCATTTGTTGCCATAGATACGAGCCATTAGGTGTGTTGCATGGCGACAAGGTTGTCAAGAGCCAATGGTTGAGCAATTGGTTGTTTGAGACGTGATTTCGAATACCGCCAGTGTCGGCTGCCTCCAAAAGCATCGATGAGCGACAACCTATACACTCCCCTTCCCGATCCAAGATGGTAAGTGTTATCAAAGGATGAAAGAAAGAGAATGATTGAAATGGATGAAGGGAATGAAGGATGGATGAATGAGTGGATGGATGAATGGATGAATATTAATCGCATGATGGATAGTCGCTTGTTGTTCCCGAGAGGAATCAGTTCCAGCACATTCTGCGTTTGCTCAACACCAACGTTGACGGCAAGAACAAGATTACCATTGCCTTGACCTCCGTCAAGGGTGTCGGTCGTCGTTTCGCCAACATTGCCTGCAAGAAGGCTGATGTCGATCTCAACAAGAGGTACACATTTCTACCGCTCCTTTTCCAATGCAACATGCCACTGACCACAGACACACGCACTCTTTTGTATCATTCAGAGCCGGCGAATTGAGCAACGAAGAGTTGGAGCGCATCGTTACTATTCTTCAGAACCCCGCCCAATACAAGATCCCCAACTGGTTCCTTAACAGACAAAAGGATGTTGTTGACGGCAAGTACAGCCAAGCTATCTCCAACGGTCTTGACACCAAGCTCCGTGAGGATCTTGAGCGTCTCAAGAAGATCCGTGCTCACCGTGGTCTTCGTCACTACTGGGGTGTCCGTGTCCGTGGTCAACACACCAAGACTACTGGTCGCCGTGGTCGCACCGTTGGTGTCTCCAAGAAGAAATAAGGTAAGAAAGGATCAATAGGATCATCAAAGAGAGAGAAAAAGGAGAGTATCCTTTACTAATTACGTGAATGATCACTTTTATTATTTAGCTTAATCTCTTTCTCTTGCAGTGTGGTTTTTTGCCAATAAATCATCAGCAGAATGTGTTTTATCGTCAAATGTTTCGTCGTTCAACAACAATTCCATATCTTTGTGCTTTTGTCGTCGACGTTTATGAGCGAGGATTGCAAATACTAGTCCACCAACAAGACTAAGGAATGCCACAACACCAAAAACGACGCCAATGATCTATTCAATTCGTATTATGAGGTGATGTGCGGATCAATCTTGATCGTCATTATATTACCAATGAAGTATTGCGTGTTGGATTGGATATGTCAGGTGATAGAGTGGATATCGCTGTTGGCGTGGTTGTCATGGTAGGGATGGATATGCTGCTGCTAGTGACACCTGTGTGGATTATTGAGCATGGGATGTGTAATGGGTAAACAATGGCGTACCTGGCAATAATGTTGGTGGTATGGAGAATGACGAGTGGGATGATTGTTTAGAGGATGACATGATGGAAGAATGCGATGAATGCGTAGGTGATGCCATGATTGAATACGGCAATGTAGCCGATGGTGTTATGACGCTAATCAAGAAGCCCGACGATAAAGGAAGTCCATATACCATTTCTAATGCAAAGCATACAAGAAACAAGATATGTATTAACATGATCATTTGTAAGGAGAAAGAAATATCTACATGAAATGAGGTGGAGGAAGATCTACAATCTATATAGCAAACGAGGCTGAGATGCAAGGGAAGGGTAGCGCGCGAAATCTCGATAGCTAAGCCCCGTTCTTCTTCATGTATCTTGATCCTTAAGCATGTCTATGATAATAAAGTTAAGCGTGAGCACACAATGTGGAACATGTAGCGTATCTCACTGTCATACCTGACCAAGGGTTGTTTTCCAATTGTGCTACCAATGCTTCAGCGTCGTGGGGCTGCATATCAATGTTCGAGTCGCTGGCATAATATCGGGTGAAGGTGTCAATAGATGTATCGTATAAAGGTTCCTGAAAAGTGGCCTCTGGGGAAAATGGTGCATGTTGATAACCACGTCTTGGTGGCATAAGCGATGTAGATGATGAAACCTGGCTCTCAATGCTAGGAGACGGCAATCTTGCAGGCTCTCTTGCGGGTAGATGTGGTTGTGGCTGTGGCTGTGGCTGGTGCGGCTGATCGACAACGATGGATGGCACTAGTCCGTAAAGTGAGCTTTCACGAAAAATGCATAACAATGTAGCACATAGACAAGCACAATACCTGGTGATCCTCCTATTTGACAGACACTTCCTGCACGTGAGTGTGGCAAGCTGGCTGCACGAGTACGTTGATATTGATGCTGATGCTGCTTTTGTTGTAAATCCATTTCAGGCTCTTCAGCGCGCGGTGAAAGTAAACCTCCCAAAAGACCCAAGTCAAGCAGCTGATGTTCACGCATACGTTCTCGCTCCTTAAGATATTGACGCCTTTGCACAAGCATTGTCACTAGACTTTTAGCCTTCTTTGCCGCAAGCATATGCACAATCTTGTCTTGTTTTCGAGCATAGTGTACAAGTGCGTCGAACCTGAAGTGAAGAGTGTTTTTGATTGGAAAGGGACCTTGCATATAAAGCCGTTTGATACTTACGTGAGAGATTTGGATACATCAACAAGACGCATAGCCAGGATTTCTAACATGTCGTGGAAAGCTATACCCCGGGCGTTTGAAGCAAGCATGATTTCCTACGTTACATGTCAACAACCCGCACGTGATAACAATCCAACTTTTGGTTACTCACTTGATACACCAAGTCATAATGCCGTTTGTTTTCTCTCACAGCTTCCACGTCCATATTGGATAAGCGCCGATTGACTTCTTCAAAGTTGTAGAACCCTTCGCCCATGATATTCGGCTCCGCTTGAGTGATACTTCGCCGCACAGGTACGGAAGCAAGATGAGCCACATCAGCATCCATCTCATTGCTTGCCTCTAGGAGACTCTTCAAGCTATGCTCCGGCTCATAAATGCGCATCGCCAATACACCCTTTAGGTTCTGTACAACCATGTTAGTTTAGATCGGCTATAGGGATCATCTTGCACCTACTCTCAGGAAACCAGGAATATCTTTTCGGCGAATGTACCCCGTTGCTTTTGGATCAAATTCGGCCCATGCATGTTTGAAACTATTCGACAAAGAACAATCGATGAGTTTCAGCAACTACTTTGAAAATTTAGTACTTACTTTCTTAGGTCGGTGCGCGTGATCAAGGTGAATTGGTTCCGGTTATCAAACGTAAATGAAAAGTTGTTGATCACCACCTATGCGTCCTTTTAGTTGATCCCCTTTTAACCACATCCTTGATATACATACCACAGTAAAGAGATTGACAAACACATAGGTACACACGACATAAAACACAACAAAGATTGCAATGGCTGCCACTGGTGATCCACAATCAGCGTCGTTGACACAGTTAGGGAATTGTACAGCAAAGTCATGCATCAAGAAATCCTGTAACAGTTATTGGTTAGCTCAATGCAATATATCACGTCCCATCAATACATGCCCAATTTTCTCCTGTAGTGATTCGCCAGAGCGTTTGCAACGTGTTTGGCAAATTCCGAAAGTTTGCATGGTTGTTACCATAAGGACCATAACGTGTCGTAGTAAACAATTCTTCAAGGGTAACTGCAAAGCATATCATGACTACTGCAAGGGCGCATGTGATATAGATGATCCTTGGCATGGCTCGCCTGTAACGCGTTTTGATCAATAACCTAGTTTGTTGAGATGATCCAAGCTCATGTACTCACTTGACCGACCGAAATAGTGTATCCAACGACTCGATCCTTTGTGCCAACCGGAAAGGGATACCCACCAATGCAACTTTGAAGATAATACCAAGGAAATACTAAGACGTCCCCAGTGTCAGCTTCGATTTAAACATGTCGCACGTCGTTTCACTCACATTGATTCCTGCCGTTTCCTTGACAACGTCAAGTAATAATACTACTTGTCAACGTATGATTAAAGCTTGATCTCATGTTAATCACAAATACCATCACTTGCCTGTGCTTATCATGACGCCATCGTATAGGTTCCATTTGGAAGATAGCGACTAGATCAATGTGTTGGTATGGTTGTTTTATTAGCCTACCTCCTGTTAACTTACCTTTCGTGGTCCCAAGCCGCACATTTTGAGTACGATTTCGATGACATACAACCCGAGAAAGATATGATAAAGATGTTCTGCAAAGATGGATGAGCGACTGAGGTCACACCTTTTCGACAATATGACTACCTTGAATGGATGAAAAGGCTTCTGTTTGATGATTATGGGTCAAGGAAAACGTAACTGCAATTACGATTAGTAAACATCTTGCTTTCATTTCCCATTCCCATCATAGGTGAGATGTGCTTACCAATGTTTAACACCAGCACAAGCGACATGAATTTTGCAAACTTGCCACGCTTGTCAATAACAATATCGTAGCATAATCCCCGTATTGATCCTGAAGGTGGACGAGTCGCTTTTCGAGTGGGCTTGATCAATGAGAGTTGCCGCTGAAGGTCTTCAAATTGACGTTGTGTATTGGTCAAAGAAGATATGCCTCGACGTTGCTTGAAAGTTTCAAGAATGACACCGATGAACAGTTGAATCGCACAAAGGGATATGACAAACATGAAGCAAATGTAATAAAGGGCATGCCATGTGGAATTGGATCCCCAATAGAAACTCGGCTGTGCTTTCAAATCCGGGGAAACACTCATCGCAGTGAAAAGGGACATGATCTTTTTCAAAAGCATGATATGAATATGACGCATGAATACGAGTGATCTTGTCACTTACCCAACCTTCACCTGAGGCACATTCAAAGAGATGTAGGATCGATGTTGCAAATGTATCGTACGAGTATTGATAAGGATTGTCCCATACCCTTGGCACGAGAATGCGTAAATCATCGGTTTTGAACTCGCCATGGCACTCGCTCATAGCGCCAATAGAATCGGTATCATTGCATGCAGCGAATCGATCACTGAAGATGTAACAGCCATACATAGCAAATACGACAAACACCAATGTATTGAGAGCAATGGCATCAATGATAGAAGGTAAACCATGCACCAAGTCCAAAAAGATAACCCGGATGTCTTCAACATAATACACCAGCCGCATAGATCGTAGAGTGCGAAGAACACGTAAAAGGCTTTCACGGTAATGCGATTTTTCCACCACGAGGAAGACGAGTGTTTGCCCTGATAGAACCAATAAATCCAACACGTTCCACATGCTGCGTAGATAGGATCCAGGGAGAACGAATACGCCACGCGAGATGATATGAATCAAGCTATCAATCCAAAAGACCACCAACATGACACGTTGATATCGCTCGGCCAAAAAGGACCATTCTGGATTTCCTCGTCGATGGGTAGCATCATCCCATATGGCGAGCATCACGCTTGTGCACAAGAAAAAGACAATGGCTGTGTTGTATATAAATGAATCCACCAATCGAGTGCATGCCTTGCGCAATGGATTGTTCGCCTTGAAAAAGAACACTGAACGAAAGACCTTGAGGTTCTCCAATACCACGTCCTTGTTCTCTTTGGCCACATTGATCTCATATTCGTCACCATACTTGACCAAGGGTTCCTCAGGATCATCCAATGTGGGCTCATCCGTTAACACTGAGCTATGTGCGCTCATAGTTGACCTGTTACAATACCGTGATTAAAACATGCATGCACTTTGAATTATGTATGAAGTCACTTACATGATGGATGATCGTCGTTTTCCACCTCCATGTGCTCCACTGGTCCTTGTACCTGAGAATGATAGCCTTGATAGACGACCTGTCATACGCGATGATCGACGAGCCGATGCCATCTCTTGGAGACCACGTGCAAGCGGTGACGTTCTGAAATCATCTCCAATAGGATCGATGTTGGTGAGAAAGTCGCGTACTTCGAATCTTGTCACGGAAGCTACAAGCGTTTGTGGTAACTTTTCCACCTTGATTGTTTGACGCTCTTGCTTGAGGAAGAATGGCAGCATCACCCTATACCACACATAACATGAGTGGGTGAATCCTTTATAGATACGGAAGCATAATACTCACTGACTAACAAGGTCAAGCTTGAAATATTCTGGTTGCCATCGATGCTGGCGGATGTATTTCTTGATTTGTATGTGTCGAATAGCGTCCTCATCAAGATCAAAGTTTTCCATGATGACAGCAATGAAAAGATTGAGCACCAAATCTACCATTAGAATGATCAATGAGCCTATTGTATATTGTCAACCATGTCTCATTATGATACTTGCAATGGACCATGAAGTATAAAAACACCATATAAACACCTGCGTAGATGGCAGATGCATGAGATTGGCTGTGCATGGCAGAATAGAGGATGTCCTTTCAAATAACCAGCGGTGAGCGAGGTAACGCATAGCATATTGTGGATTGCCTTACGGTCCAATTTTCCCCAGTCATAATCTATTATGATGACATTTCGTTTGTAAGAACACTGAAATAAACCACACGTTATGATATTGTACCTGGAAAAGAGCCAAGAACGCTTGAAAGAAGGAATCAAATCGCATCTCTTGGTCGTATACTGTGGTGGTCGTATTGAAGTCACCGCCAAACAATTGCATGGATATGGGACAGAGTAAGGAAAGGACCCAAAAGGTAAAGAAAGTCAAGTTGATGATTCCTTGACCATCGCCAATAATATTTGACTATATATAGACGCGTGTTAGTGATACTATACGGCATCATCATAAGACCACCACATACCAAGAGATTCAGCACGCGTGGAAAAAGATTGACGAGCCGATAACATCGCAATACTGCAAATACTTGTAGATACCTATGCAGCAAATACATGTCACGGATATGGGGAAGCTCGCACACCATGGATCCTACAGCAAGAAAGAAATCCACACGATTGCGTTGAGAATGGTTAAGGATGAATGCCTACAACATCACAGCATGAACCAATGAGGAGTAGAGAAAAGGATATGATAAAAGCTCCAAAATTGTTGCCAGCTGGACGCACCAAGAATCCGTAAAGTGATTTCAAATGCGAAGAACAAGGTGAATAAAAAGTTCATCAAATCTATTCAAAAGGCACACGTAAGAAACATGATTGAAGAATAAGGTGATGCACTTACGAATCCTTTCTATATCCTTGTCATCCAACTTTGCAGAATACAACGCCATAAACACCATATTGATAGCCACAATCACGCTCCCTGCTGTAGGAAAATACCACTTGGATACGATGGAATTCGCCCATACACGTATACGATCGGTGCGGCTGCGCATGATTTGTCCCATGTACGAGGTACGTGCACCACCACCGATATAAACCCAATCCTCATTGGTGCTATCCGGTTGACTACTGGTAGTGATATCCCTTGTAAGCAATAATCGAGCCTTTTTGCCAGCTGCGAAAGCACTATGACGCATGTCTCCTCTTGCACTTGCAAATGAATTTGTAATGACAGCTACCATAAATGAGTCAGCAAATGCTGCTATTCTTCCATGTCCATATCACTTACCAATAAACATAGGAACCATGATGTAAGTCATGAGATAGATGCAAAAGCAGTAAAAGGTTGCGGCTGCCACGCTAGAAATGCTGTCCTGGCTGAAATACATGAGATCGGTCCATCCTTCGGTGGAAATTACGGTAAAGATATTGAGGATTGTGTACAAGATATTGTCGTAGCTCATATATCCCCATCCTGGTTGGTAGTTCACACTTTGCACACACACTTGGCCAAGTTTGCATGTGACGCCATCATCATCGTGGAGATCAACGTAGATGCCGCTCTCTAAATCATACACGCCTGATTTGATACCATTTGCATCATAATGATTGCTGCATGCAACAGGCGGCTCGACAAGTGTGACATCTAAAATTTCCCAATGTATGAGTGTACATGTATAAAAAGGGGCATGTTGACTTCACTTACTATTTGCTTGGAAATCCACCACAGCGCATCGCCTTGAGAACGAGTTCATGAATACAAATACGCCCAAAAGCGAAAACAAGATCCAAAAGAAGATAAAGAATCCGAGCACATTGCACAGCATATCGAAACTTGTCCTTAAGGATTGGATGATGACCTATGATGATGGCATGAATACGAGAATGTAAGCACTATTATTGATAACTTACCGCTGTGCCTTCCGTAACAACAACCAAACGCAAAATCCGTGCTGCTGCTAGTGCTTTGAAGAGAGACCAAGTTTCTTCCCCCGATGCGAAAAGCATGATGGATAAATCGATCCAAAAAGATACTATAGCCACGGTATCCACAATGTTTCCCAAGCGAGATAAATAGGCATCATGGCTGACTTTGAGAAACTTTTCCTCTTCTTCAAGAAGGCTCTTGCCAGTCTTTGTTGATAATGGGGTGTTTTCCAAGAGGTCGTGTTCTGAAGTAGGTGAACAATGACTGCTATTGCGTGGCGAGGAGGATGGTGTATATTGAGAAGCGAAATACGAATAAGGGCGAAGGGAGTTGTTGGTATCCGGGTCGACGTTGGGCTGCTGATTATTGATGATGGGTGACCATGGCGGCGGAATTTCATCTCCCGATATATCGGCATTAACTCGTTCAGGGACATTGATAGCTGATACCGATCGTACACTCCGTGCTGATGAAAAAACGGGTGCTGCGAAACCAGGAACGCGTGCTGATCCAATTGAACCAGAGGAAGTGCGACGCTGATCATGTTTCCTTGGGCTGAAAAGGTGTCTCAGTCTCAATAGCTTGGGTCTTGACTTGGATGGATAAGAAATGGCCAATCCGTATACAATGATTTTGGCAATGGCTTCAAAGCTATTCACATCTATATGAGGAAGATCATGTATATCTCTCCATGTTGGATGTTACTTACGTATAGATGATATTGATAGCAAGTAAGATATACTGATACAAATGGGTGAAGCTGGTCTTGTCGGCATTGACTTTGATAGGTACAAATGATAGGATGATCCATTGCAAGAACAAGAGAAACAAGATGAACACGTTGAATTCGCTGTATACAAAAGGTGATTAGGATGAGATATGTTAACGTGCTGTAGATACAATGTACCTGGATGCGACAATCTTCCAAAGCTTGACACGTAAAGGATGTGATGGGGAAAACCACCACAAAGACCACCCTTCAAAGTGAATACTGGGCACATGGCTATTGTCATTGTGGTCGTCTTTCATGGGATGGCTGTTGTTTCTCGAAAACGAATGCATGGCTGCTGGGATACTTTGCAGGAATTGGAATGGAGACGATCGTCGGTGTCGATTGGAAGTGTCCATGGTGTTCGATGGCTGCTGTGGAATATCGTTGCCCCCATTGCTTTGCCGATGCGGTCCTCTTTCATCGATGATTGCCTGTGATAGTTCTGTATTCTTTCGTGAATGGTGTCGGTGAGAGAAGATGTTGCTCAAGCTTCCCAAATGATGTTGAGATAATTCGGAAGCCGAAACGGTGGCTGCATGATCGAGGGGATGAGCAGTGGCGACATCGGGCGAACCACCATTGCTAGTATTATTATCGTTATTCCAAAAGATAGAAGAACGTTGTGTGGGGGATGTATAGGATGGATGTGCACCAGGTGTTGAAACAGAATGTCGACTCATACTAGGTCTCTATATACATAATAAACAACAACAACAATGAGCTCGCCAATTTCTTTGTATGATGATGACAATGAATGTAATGTACCTTGGATGGTGCTGTTTTTTCAAGATAATGAGCAAGCATGACCATTTCTTCCATTGGAATCCGATCGATGGATGGTTCACAGCTACGTGTATTGACCACTCGCCCTGCCATGCCATGCAAGAATGCCTGTATGCGTTGTCGACATGATTGTGATGCAACAGGCACCGAAGATGCTCGCATGGCAGCAGCTGCAGCAGCTGCAGCAGCAGAATACATGTCTTTTTCTTTTGATAGAGCATCGGGTCGAGTGGGTACTTTATTCATCGTATGAGTGAGCTTGAGTAATCGAGAGAGCTGTCTTCGACTATCAGACATGTGTGAGCTGGCATTACTGGTTGGCTGTAAGCGGGAAGAGCTATAATGTTGGCTTGTATGTGGAGGAGCTCGTGATGAAGAAAGACCACTGGCATTCACTCTTGCACCCACAACGGATGAATGTTGATATGTACTAGTGAATTCGCTACCAGCCATGTATCGTTGAGCATCAGGGATATGGGATGTGCCGCCAACGTCTGATCTTGAATCACTTTGGCCCATGTCACCAGAAGTGTGATTGGATGTATAGGCATCTTCTGAAGCTTCATCAGTACTGCGACTAGAATATTGCATGGATGGCTCATTGTATACGATAGGCTGATTATCTTCATTGTATAAATGCCGGAAGATATAGCCATTGGAGATACTGCGTCGACGAGGAATGCGGTGGGAACTTGCTGTTCTACCCCATAATAAAGCATCCAGCTTATTCTTCCGTTGCAATCGATCTTTTGTCAAAGGAGGATACGATGAATTATTGAGATGGTGTTGAAGCGAAGGTAATCGACGTGAAGAGGTTAATGGTGGTCTGTGCGAATAACGAGGAGGTACAGGAGGAGGTGGAGGTGGAGGAGGTGGAGGAGGTGACGATGATGATGATGATGATGGTGATGAAGATGAAGATGAAGATGATGATCGTCTTGGTGGAATAGTATGAGAAGAAGATTGACGCCTTACTCTTCGATTCAATTGAGCTTGGCTTGAGTAAGAAGGCAAGTGTGATTTCATGATATGATAAAAAAAGAGAGTTGTGTAATGCGTTTCGGATGATTTTCGAGGATACATTTGTGTTGCCTATGATTCTCTCTCTCCTATCCTCTCCCCCCAACAAGCCAACAACCGCAGATTTTTTCATTGCTTGCCTCCAAAGCTGACGTCTTTTTCCGTACCACGCTCCTCATCAGACTCTATGACCATTTCACTACTATTTATCACCACTCGTCCAACCACTCCATCGATCAACACCATGTGACCATGTCAATGGGGTCCTCCATTCAGTATAACCAGCATTCGAGGACCTTGACTTTTGACTCGCAGTGTGTGAGATTAGGTGTTCAGTCTGGTCGCTCAGCGGGGTTGTGAATCCATCCTTTTTTTTCTGGCTCGCTTTGGGTGATTCTCCCGTACACACACACAGCTTGTCCTTTCTCTCTTTTTCCTCTCTTTTTCTCTCCATTGACACGCGACTTTATAATCGAACACTCAACTCAAGTCAACATTCTATCATTGCCACTTGAAAACACCCATTCGTTCAATCACAACTACAATGAGTAAGTTGCCTTCTTTCAAAGCTCTCCTCGTCTACCTACCCACCCACCACCCACCTACCATTTCCCCCCTCCTTTCATATACTCCAGAACTCAACAATGCACACACCCATCTTCCCAATGTCGAGATGCTCTACAACTGATTAACGGCTTCAAATCTGGTTATAGCTGCACAACGACGTGGTCGAAACGGTTACGGTAGTCGGCAAAACCGCC